TCAGGGCAGACATATGTCGAGAACCGTCAATCACTATCAGATTGTATCACCAGGAAGCCTGGCGAAACGTCTCAACCGTCGGTCCGAAAGTGGCCTCCAGACATTTCCCTATGCATTGTGGGTGGCAATTAGAAATGATAGGTTGGGATAGACGTCGATCTCACCTGTATCGATCAACTTGGGAACAGTCATGGAAGAGCAGAAAAAGGCGAGAATCTTAAATAAAATGATGTAGTATCTGTTGGCGCCCTCTGAATGGTACATATTCGATGTGTTGTTTTTCTTCAATTCCCTTTTACATTGCAAATTGCAATGATAATCTTTTGACTAGGTATTAGGGGAAACCCAACAGCCTAACCTAGCATTGTCCTAAGACAATGCCAATGTACATGCAATGCATTGAAGGCACCCAGGCATATATACTAATAAAACGGTGATCAGAACGGATAAGAGCAACTGAGATGCCGGCTCGATTCGAGCCAAATGCCTGCCCAAGTACACACTACTACTTACTTGGTGTAGGTGATTGTAAGTAAGGCCAACTGGACTGGGTGCCGTGCTAAATACCTGGATACCCTCCATAGACTTAGTCAACACGGGTTTACTTAGGATCATACACTAGGTAACAACATTGTGACCAGATGTCAAGCTGCGAAGTGAACACAGTAAGAATAGCTATCGGCAACAATGCTGAGAGCCTGGTATACTGTACCTTGGCTGGGTATCTTTAAGTATCCCTACGAAGTAGGGTTTAGACACTACTACCTCTCTTGGGGTTAGTTCACGTGCTAGACCTTACTGCGGGTATATGCGGTAGATCTTACTGTGTAGACATAATATGCTGCGGAAGCTTTTCATCCCACCATGCCTTGGGCGATGTGGTTGGTGGTGGTGGTGTAGTACGTAGCAGTGATGCTCCTTGCTCTCTGACCTACATCAACCGTCATCTGTCTACAAGCTGCCGTCGCCGTTCGACCTTCGGGGACGCTGGTCGTGGACCTTATTGCCCGAGTCCTAGCGAGTTTCGCTCAGGTATTCGTCATCGGCTGCCGGTAATCCTTCTACGAAGTATATTCCACTGTGGCTATGCCGAATCACACCCTTTTGCAGCTACGCAACGCACAGATAGAAGTGTACATGGAGTACACGGGTACATGGATGTGTACATGAGGTCGGAAAAGACCCCACTGGCAGGGACGTTCCGAGAACCCCTGGCGTTGTCATGTCATGTGTCCTTGTGTAGCATATGCTAGTGTATGCATGGGGAATTAGCTACACTTCCTTTCTGAGAATCTGTGTTGTTCTCCTCCAACATGCCACAGTAGCAGCGAACATCCTGGATGCAGTCATGTTTGGCGGTACAGGCCTGGCGCCATTACCTGTCTCGGACGAACGATACTGCTTGTGTTTACAGGATCGGTTCGATTTGGCACTCTGCGGCTCTGCTTCGAAGTGGATGAGCGTCCTTATTTGGCAGGCTGATGAAGCAATAAGTACCTTGACACCACTGCGAGCCGTTCGTCTTCTTGACTATGAGAACCTGACTAGCTTTATCTAGCCACACTGGCCCCCGGTCGCTCGCCCGCCTGCTGTATTTGTATCGTATCCCTACGGTTCGTGCTGTCATGGCACAGATCATACTGTAAGTAAGTACAGTAGAGTCGAGGATAGGCCATATGGATGTCACGGAGAGCTCGTGCGTGCTGGCGCCACATTCGCACATTGTGTACTGTACTCATCTTTCTGTCTTAGTGTATGAATCTTGACTTGTCAAACGCCTACGCGTAATCTGTCTTTCTAGTCATATCCGGCTTGTACGGCAACCGCATGTCAGGAGCATTGTACGGCTTCAGATACCAGATACGAACGTTGAGGAACCCCGGAGTAGTGCTTCGCCTGAACCAGTAACGGCGCGTCTATCAAAGATACGTGAAATGACAGCTGTGCAAGGTTCAAGGTCTGGCCACTCGATTGCCCCAAGCCGCCAAACTCAAATCGGTACGCCCTTGCCAGCCGGCTTCTTTGTCCCCAGTGATATGGACCATTGCGAAACTACTTCATAAGTGAACGATCTCCTCAGCCCTGTAGGCATTTGGGGAAACACCAGATACCTACGTCAACTCTTGCTGGTAGCTGCAGAAGAAGCAGTGCACAGACAAATCCGAAGATGTCTTTATCTTCCGATCTAGGGACTGAAGCTACTCGGGCTTTTCTTGCGCACGCAGCATCACGGACTCACCAGCACAAGGGTGGGTGGTGGCTTCGGCCCCATCGGTTAACAGGCCCCTGCATTGATATTCACTTCTCATTTGCCGCCCAAAGTCCAAATTCCAGTTCCTACTACCAATGTCGGCCGCGTTGATCGTGGACAGTGGGCTGTTACTGTGACGAACTGTGCAAATCATGCTATTCAAGCAGACGTTATTTCTCGTGACACTATCGAACGGAAATCTCACAGATCCTAACAAGTTATATTAGTGTAGTGGTACCTCTTGAGCATTGTGAAGCAGTAACTATACGTCCAAAGGTGGCGCCCAGCCTCTCCATAACCTGCCATAATTAACCCCCGAACTACCTGAAATTTTTGCGGTTGATGTTGCAGTCTGGCTCCATCGTGCCCCATTCTTCTTCTGCTCGACGAGCGCAAGCTGCCCTGGCCTGCATATGCTCGAATACCTACACGTACTTCTCACGTGTAATAGTGTGATAGGCATTTCCTGCCACTGCATGCCCTGTATTGAGCTCATGTGTACCCAGTACTGGCACTTCTGGTCGTGATACCTCTGGTGTACGTGTACTCGACAATGTCGTTTGCCGTGAACGATAGCCTGCCACAAACTCCCTTCAGCGCTAACGATGGCCCCATCGCTTGCCTCCCAACTCATGTCTGTGTCTGGCTAGGATGGGTCTTCCCGTGTTAGCATTGCCGTCATGCCGTTCCGGAGCAAGGGTTCGGATGTTGGACTATCCAGTGTTCTCGCGCGTTAAGATGTCGACGGTTGAGTGATTTCTGAGGGTTAGCAAGAGGATGTCCCGGAGAGCATGAACTCCCAAACTACTGCCGCACAGACAAACAAAACCGGAATCCCATGTATACATCGTAAAAGACGCTGCTGTCCACTGCCATGAATGATAAAAGCACACCCCTGTTTCTTCTTCTTAATACTCAGTATTAGCGTATGTACAGACGTCTCTAAGCGGTCTGCCTGATGGTACTGCGTTGTCAGGTACTCGTCCCGTCTAATCCCTGCCTATTAATGTATGTGTACCACGCATCCTACCATACCATGACATGAGTGATCGACGCCAAGTAGCGACTATCGAGCTGTCCACGAGCAAAGTATTGCAGGTACAAGATCTGTACCGACATAAACGGGGGCTAGGGTAGTCTACCCTACCAGTCAGTGTACACAGGACTCCCAAAACCAACCCTCAAGGGTTGAGTGACATGCCCCAGGTGTATGCTTGCCTAAACCTGGTTGATTCGCCTTCTTATCACCTTGGGATTTGTGTTGGAACTTATCCTTTGAAGCTATAGCTGTGGTCAGACCATTAACAGTTTCCGTACTATGTATGCTTCTGTCATGCCTCCCCAGACCAGGACAATCATCACCCACTACAAGTACCGACCTACACACCCATGACAGTGTAGGAGACTGACATAACCTCTCCACTCGCCTGGCAAGCTAGCTCTTGTGTCTATCGTTCTGCTCTGGCGTTGCCCACTTCGACATAACTACATCAAAACAACGATATATCGTGACGAAGGCAGTCACAATCGGTTCAGCTTACTTGCAGAGATAGGCTGCCACTAATGGAGCCGTAAGATTCTTGAAAACAGATACAGGATTTGTCCGGAACGGGTCTTGCGTGTAGCAGTACCAGAATCCCAACACCTTGGTCCTGCTTCCAGCCAAGCACTTCTCTAAGCCCTCCTCCTCGTCGAACCTTTACGGCGCTCTACGTTTGTAGCGTTGACATCGAAACCATCGATTCATGGTCATCCAGAGACAATACTTACCAAATCGTCCCGTTCCCGTCTAACTATCATAAGTTCAGTTCAAGTTGCTCCATACAAGTTGAGCTGAAGGAAAACGAGAGTTGATCGGAGGGCTACAGGGAACAATATAGGGATATTTCCTTGCACAAACGTGAAAGAACAGCTACTAAGCCCGGGAAACCAAGAGTCGGTTCGCCATCATTGTTCGATGTTCTTAGAGACTGGAAAGCCGATAAGATTTTGACCATAAAGTTATTTGAGTGCTAATATCCTCTCTGGTTCAGGCGCAAGAGCACGGGACTCACCGGATACCCAGCTAATGGTATTGACACATATTGCTGGCTTCGAGTCTGGGATACAATCGTAGAACGGAGATTACCCGGTTCTCGACCTCACTCTTGGTCCAATCGACTACCAAACTCAGTTGTCAGTTGTAGGTCAGAGCTGTTGAACGGTATAGAAGAAGCGCGCTGTCTGGCACAACATTCATTCTAACCACAAGTAGGGGAAGATAAGGATCAAGCGAGACTAACCCAAGCCCTACGGGGTTTTGTCTCGGTCTCACGAGCTCCTTCGAAACTCAACCGCGATCCTATCCTGATAGTGGCATTCCTATTATCCATCTTCTACAACAAGCAGTCAGGCTCGTGTCTTTTAGGGCGCCTCTTCTTGACTTAGCTTTGATTATTGTTGGACTTTCAGGACCTCCACTCTTCGATGGGACTGCGTCGAAACACTAGAGAGCGAAGGAATAGAAATAGGAGAGAGACTAGGCGCGATTCAAACAGTAGATCGAAGATATCGAGGGAGTGTGTTTGTCTTAATCCAAGCCACTCCATATATAACAAAGACTCAGAATCACCGAGCAAGTTCCAACAGGAAAGGGAATACGTTTACATCGCTTAGCACCTGGTTTTTCCTACACCCGAGGGCCTCTCCTTGACGTTATACGCAACGACTTTGCGTTTCATACAACATTTACATACGCTTGCTTGACAAAATGGCGTATCAGCAATCACCGTGGGCACATATCCCACATTATGTGCCAATGATGAACTCAGGCATGCCAAGTTTACCCACGGCTCAAACACAGGGAAATCCACCAGAACAACCCGGCAAGCAGTAGGTCTTCTCCAACTCGTATCGGCTTCCAAGTCCCTGACGGAGAAACCTAGATTGGAAAAATATACGCTTTCCTTCATGCAGCAGCCGTTGCATGCTAAAGCCGCGAATGGAAAGGACAAAGGTAAGCATTAGAATGGTTATGCTAGCTAAGAGCTGTTGTCTGATTGCATGAACTACAAAAGACCGGAGGCCAGTAGATCCACCTCCAATTTTGAAGCTGGAAGTGGCCACAGACCAAGATCCTGATGGTGTATACAAACAAAGTATGTTAATGCATTCCCCTAAAAGGTCTACTTAACTCTAATCTAACGCTAGGTCCCTACCTCATTGTCGTTGCATATCTAGAATATGGGCCGGGCCAAGACCATGGTCCTGATGCAATGCCGCCGGCAAACCTGATGTCGGGTACGATGGTCTCGTCGTTACACCGACTCAAAGATCCTGGTGATCAAGAAGGAGCCTTTTTCGTGTTCGGCGACTTGACAATCCGCCGTGAGGGTAATTACTGCCTCCGATTCGATCTGCTGCAGATGGAGTTTGGCGTTAGCTCGGATCCTGATTCGTTAGTTACTGTCACATCCGTGACCAGCAATCCTTTTCGAGTCTACTCGCAGAAAAATTTTCCAAAACAGCAAAAGAATGAGTCTACGTTCTTAACTCGGTCCTTTAGTGATCAGGGCGTTCGGCTGCGCGTTCGGAAGGATTCCCGGTTAAGCCTCAATCGAAAACGGACAAGTGACAAAGCCATAGAGAAATATGACCGGAAGAGAATGGCCATCGAATCGCCTGGGCAGGGGCGGAGACCTTCAGTCCAGCACAGGTCGTCGTTGGACTCTACAGATCAGTATCACGAAGGAGACATGTTTTTGAATGAGCCGGCAAGCAAACGACATAGGACCGGATCTGGGGCTTTGTCAACTACAGAGAATGGACTTGAGACGCGTTCTTGGGGATCCTACCAGCCAGGCAGTAGCTCGTCTTTTGCGAGCCATGGATCGATGACTTCCATTGGTACTGGACCACCGACCTCTGCATCCCTGGGTGCTCCTCAAATGCCACCGCCAACCACGAGGCTCGATACCCATTTCTCCTCACTCCACACTGGTTCAAGCATGTTCCATTCACCGGTGGGGGAGCGCCAATCACCGGTCACTCCCTCATCCGTTCACCAATCCCCCTTTAATAGCACTGGATCACAAAATTCTTCTATGGCTTATTTATACGGAACGAGTCTAGGTCAGAACGGTGGCGCACAGGCGTTGAATCTCGCTCCCGTTGGGGCACACACACAGAGCGCGATGAGTACCCCTCGCTTGGCAGACTCGTCCCCACGGCCACATGCTCATCCGACTAACGCGACATCTCCAATGGGGGTCAACATATACGCACCAACATCACAGGTCTCTGCGCCGCCACAACCTCGCCAACTTTCGTACAACACACCGACTTACCACCACGGCCTTTCGAGCGCCTTCGACCACAGCACCCTGCATGAGCATGGGATGAATACGCCCTTGACGGCAAACATGCCGCCTGACAGTTTGAAAGGTGGATATGCCGATGTCTTCAATGGAGTCACCGCAAAATCCGAGTAAGGCTATAGTCCCGAGCTACTAAATGCAAGCGGATTAATGTGATAGTCAGTCCCACGCGTAAAGCGCACGCATCCAGTTGGCAATGGGCAGCCAATCGTGGAGCAGATCACAAAATATACCCTCTCAACTCTTTTGGTATTGCCCAAGAGACGACTGCTTGATATCTCGATGGAATTGGGATTAATCTACGAAGATTGAAGCATACAAAAGGTAAAAGAGATATACATTCTAATTATTGTTTCCCGCTTAACCGGAGGTTGGAATGCATTGTTCTGGAAGAAAGATACCCCACGGCGGCTGTTCTGTTTCGCGCACTACTACCCATTCTTTGTCATGTCACGATACGAAAACTAAATAGTAATACTACCACTAAAATCCGAAAACATGTATACTGCAAAAAAAAAAAAAAAAAAAAAAAAAAAAAAAAAAAAAAAAAAAAAAAAAAAAAAAAAAAGCCGTAAAAACAACAGATGCTTAGAAATGCTTACTAAAGTGGCAAGCTGGATATTAGTATATCAAGAGGCACAATCTTGGTCTGATGCAATGCTAATGCCATGTGGCTTGCTCGAGCTCAGCTTATTTTGATGTCACGATTATCGAGACATGTACCGTAAAATTTAATATAGATACCTACAGAGATCTCAATTTGATACATTGCCATTCCTTGTACATACTCAGCTATTGTACCTAGGTTCCCCGGCTAGTATGTGTGGCGCTAGGAACGACCCAGATGAAAGCTGGAGTTGGAACCTGTGGAGCACGACAACGTCCCTACGCCCTTGTTCTCTACACTACTGTGGACGGTGAACTTAACAAGCTAGTTGCTAGTGCAATCTATGCATTGTATATGATTGATATGATATCTCTTGAGACTCGTTGTCGTGAGCTCATGGGTACAGATATACGTAAGTGAAAAATAGCGTGGGAGTATGATCATGGGAAACTTGTAGTTCCTCAAGCTCGGCCTACCTATTTGCCATTTACCAATAACCGAAGTATTTCATTTCGTGCTCTATCACATTTTCTACATTTTCGCACCACACAGACGCCTCTTATTTGTTTTAACCCGTCTAAGCTCGGTGTGTTGCGATGTCGGCACTAGTAACTCGGCTTACGCCCAGACGCCGAACTGACGAGTCCAAAAAAGAGAGCAGAGACTGCTCTACTCGCCATCTTTGTTCTAGATGTGTCTTAAATCTTGTTCACAATAGAAATCGTACGAGCTGGCCACGCGGCCTGAAAATTTAGGAGTAATAGCAGGTCTTGCTTCGACGTGTTTAGCTCCCAAGACATGGTGCGTGTACACTACAAACTAGCAATATCCCACACCCTGGAAGGGTAATTATCCTGGGAGGGCCCAGAGCCATGTTTTTGGATGTTTCGAGTTCGTATTGGCCTGGTCAATTAGGTAGACGGAAATACAATGACAAGTGCCTGGCAGACTTAGTGCACACTCAAAGGTCCAAGATTGTTACCAGAACATTTTTCCTGTTACCAGCTGGCCCCTCTCGCCGTCTTCGGTAGCACAGCTATCGACCATGTAGATAACACCTCATCAAAGTATACCAGCGAAACAAAGTCCTCCAGGCAAAGAGTGGAGCTTATTTTGGCCGGATCTGCAGGTAACCCCGTTATTGAGAGGGCCGTCTTCAAAGGGGTGCAAGCCGACTCGATGTGTGATATACACCTAGCCCGCCAAGTTAGCGCATGGCGGTCTTCGATATGGCAACGCTGGGGCCGGATACATTCCCATTCGACAATGGGCTCCCCCTCTCTCATACTGCATCCGTGGGGAAAACTCAGCGCCCAACACTGGGTGAAGTACTGAGTACGGCTGTTAACTCTGTCACATGACGAGTTCACCTTTTCATGTGCAATCAGAGACATTGATTCACCGGAAAGTCAAGTGTTAACTACTGCCGACTAAAGGGGCAGGTCTTGAAGTACAGAGTCTTAGCAAATCACTAGTCAAACACGGCGAGTCCTTGAGGAGTCAGTCAGACATACATGAGACTCCACGGTCTCACCTGTCATTCCGAGTCCAGAGCAGGTGTTATCGAAGCAATGCAAGCTATGCTCGGTCTTGGGTAACACATGGCGGCGTGCCTGCTACATAAACTTAAACAGAAATACAGCTATCGAAGTACCTGATTACACTACATGTAATTACTAGGTCATCCCTGATACTCCCCCCTCCCAAGCTTGCAGATCTGGCAAGTCGATGCCCACTACGGTATCTCAACCAGGTACTGCAGATCTCCGGTATGAGAATAGAGTTTGCGACTCCCCTTGGTCCGCATTTCTAAGGTTCAGCAACTGCCGACCTCATCCACAAGTCGCGAATTCATACAACTCGCGCGTCTCTATATGGGGACTTTGAAGTCTATTTGAACATCCTTAGACACACAAGGCCACCATAAAGAACTTAAGCCACCAAGCACAAGAGTCAAGTGGCCGCGGGAGGCGGGAGGCGGACAGACTAGTTCTAGTCAAACCCCCAGAGTCGAGGCTGTGATTCTTTTTTTTAGTCTTTTTAGAGGAGAGCACGTCTTCGGGAGTGCCCGCTCTTTATCATCGTAGGCTCGTGGCTTATGTTACCTGCCGAAATGTTCTTGTTACCTCGTTCTCCATGACCTGTTGGTCTAGTATTCACTGTCGGAAGCCCGTCGGAAAGGTTTGCGAACACCAGTAATCAGCACCGTTGCAGTTCAATTTTCCACTGTAAGCTGATAATGACATAGATCTTTTGGACCTACTTCAAAGACATAACGGTACCCCCTTACGTTCGCCATGTACCATTTACAATGTACACTCTAGCACACGTTACGGCGCGTGGAGAGAAGACTAAGCCCTGCGCAGCCCTGCTACTGACTTAGACCTTTATCCCGGGTTGTGATTCGGTCGGTGCAACAGGTATCAACGCCTTTTTGCCTGTGATACCTATGATCAAAGCCGAAGTAACCCGACACTCTGATTGATCAAAATGACCTACCAGGGTCATTCCGTCGGGCCTAGGGTCCGAAGGTATTCTTGCACTACAGATTGCACTAGGTACATTCGACATCTGCCACTTGGGGTAACCCGCATAATTTCCGATCCTTAAGAGCCGTATTAAGACAAGGGAGGCGGTAACTACTTGCAAAGCCGCACAGGAGAAGGCATGCAGTTTACCTTAACCTGCCCGTACTCCAAACGCTTCTGTGACCGCACGGAATACATCCCTCAGTACCTTTCTGTTATGGCGCAAATGTATTCTAGGTCGCATTGCACCAAACTCTTACAAATTTCTCTATGGCCTTGGCATGAGCGAGAAGACCTGGTTTAGACAATCACAACGCATTTCGCTTGAGCATTCCAAGAGCCACACGATAAACTCGTCTGATGCTAAAATACGAATAGTTCGATAAACGAGATGAGAAAACAACTCCATTTCTTGCCCAAACAAATTGCATCGTCAAACATAACACACTACCTGGCAGGGTACATGTACATATATGTAAGTAACAATACTACCTACTCTCAATATACCCTGCATGATGTCTGTGGAGAACCTTGATTATCCAAGTCCTAGCAAGGGTAGCAGGGCATTTAGTCAGCTGGAACTATTGCCATTCTAACTACTCCAATCAGACTTTTTTCTGATTTGTAGCGTATACATCTCTAGACACCGAGGATTGGTGATGAAGACAATAGGAATTTACGCGCCACAACGCAACTTCAGCTTCAGTGCTATAGTATGCTTCTCCTTGCTTAAACCACGATATTGTGAGGACACAGTCTCATCATTGGGGAACATCCGCTATGTGCCATCCATATGCACGTAACTAACTGTAACTGAGCTAATTAACTCAGTCGTGCCTGGGCATTGCCCAATGTAAAGCCCATCTAAGTACACTAACGTTAGAGGGCATTTGAAGCTAGACGCCCAGCACCATTAGTATACATGTATGTAGACTTACACCACGCCACCACTTCATCATGGTGGTCGCGATGTATTGCATGATGTGAAGATGCAATGAATACGCTACTGCTTACACTAGTATCACATCTGTATCCCTGCGGGTCTCCCCAACTTTTCAAAGTGTCGATCACGCCCAGAACATCCAATATTCTGAATTGAGAGGCGCTTCGAGCAGGGTATCCTGAAATGCGTGTTTGTAGTTGGCAGTCTGTTTGCATCGCGAAAGGGAACGTACATAGGCATGTAGAAAGCTGTATCGGGCAGTCAAGGTCTTGCGATGGAGCCCAAATAAGGTCTCCGGTTTCTCTTTTTAGAGCACAATGACACTATGTGTGACGACAACGACACGTCCACTGTTACCATTCACCTTGCTTTTCTTCTTGACCCACGTTGAAACGAAGCGTCGCGGTTGTAACCTGTCAAAGCTGCATTATGCACACCCCTCATCGGAGGATTCACCAACTGACGGCCACTTTGATGCCTTTTTTCTTTCCCCTGCCCCCTCCGTACTAATGCAGTGTTTATTGAAAATTTCTCATAAGACACTATCTAGTGTACTTACATACAGTATACAATACAGCTAGCACAGCTTCCATATTGGAGTAAAGTAGAGATGCCGGCATGGTCAGCTTTTGCTGCAAGCAGAATGAAGAGCCGAGCTTATCCATCCTTTTTGCTTTTTTTTTCTGTATCCTACTATTCCCCCCCTTCCCCCCCTCCCCTCTCGTGACCTCCCCAACTCTCCTGCAGAGAGGTTGGGTGACACGTCAAACCCCCAAACCATAATACCTCTTACAGTACACTATGCCCACACTACAAGGGGTGTTGAGTGAAGGACGATATTGGCCAAGAAAGAGTTTACACAACGCTATTGAGACGATCCCACGCGAGGCCAGGGGGTACAGCGTTACGTTCTAGTGGCAAGCTTCCGCGAGCCGAAAACGGGAGTTCCACACACCCACAGTGCGCTTTAGGTACCGCTTGTGTTCGAATCCCCAGCTCCGGCTTGGTCAAGCAGACAAGAAATGCCACTTCGAGTCTGGGCCGAGGTGCTAGTTTGCCGTTTTCAGCTAGGATGTGCGGCCAGCATGCGCAACCGTTCCCAAAACGTTCGATGTGTACTCTCTCTACTCGCTCTCTTCCCAATAGCAGTGAACATGGATGAAGGTGTGTGCCAATGCACTAGACAATGCAAATGCCGGCCTCCAGCACTACACTAGTGTAGTGCCGTTACATTCTTGAACTTGCCATCCCACCGCAACTAGCAGTAGGTGCATATGTGCCTTCATGTAGGTGTAATGTATTGCGGTTGTTTATATGTACACCATCTCTCAATGGACACAGAGAATACTGCAACTATCAGAGACTAAAGGAGGGCAGTATAGTTATGAGTCAACTGGAGAATTGTCACATAGCTAATTAGCTGCCTCTCCGATCAGGTGGGCCTCAGGACATGATTGATATCTTGAGGTCGTCCAGTCAGGAGCTCTCATGAACTCTGCTCATCTCGGGGCTCAAGTTAGCATATACTTCATCTGTAACAACGTCCTCGTGATTTTATTTTCGTCTTAACGGGTTAGGCGCTAAGATCCATGGTAGCAGTTCGTTATCATCAAAATCCCAGCTTCATCCGTTTGAATTGTAGTGACTGATGCTGGGGAATTATTTGGAACTTTTGTTGACTGATCCAGCAAGCACATGCATGATGACTGGAGTGACTTGCGGAAATACCAAGACAGGACATCAGAAGTGATGATGCGAGTAGCATCAGTCGATTTTGTTGTACATACATGCAGGAGAACTGTGTCAAAGCAGCGGTCAGATGGCTCTGGATGGCGCTGGTGTAGGAAACAGAAGCTCTGTCACAAGGTAACTCTGACTACACAGTACTGGCTCTGGCAGAAATTCTTGTCCTGTTTGAACGGTGCAATATCTCCTATCAATGAGAAGTAACTGCTTACTTGTCCATTGTGTGCCGGAATCTATGGTTACAATACGTATGAACCGCTCCGTCGCTCAATACTGTGTCTCTAAGCCTCCGCCTATGCTTAATACCTTCTTCAATAAACTAGAAAATAAAGGCGGCTTGTTCCGTTCCCCTGGTTACGTGCAAACTACTGCTCAAGAGAAGTGACAAATTTCGGGAATCATGAGCATAAACAAGCTACAAGGCTGATTAAGGTGTACAGTACTTACACCATCTCATACGATATGTGTTGCAGATGTTTATTGACTATTTTGTGTGCCCGTAACTCAACCTAACGTGCGTTCATCATTAGGTTTCGAGGCAAATTAGATACTCAACCTTGACAATCTGGGTTATTTATCTAATCCTTGCAATGCTCACTGGGTAAATAGCTCTTAATCATAACAGGTATTTCTAAATTACCCGCAATGCAGCTAAGTCGATGTTGTGATAGTCTCGTACACCAAGCATAGGGGCATGTACAAGTCTTCTTGCCACACGACTATGTCAGTGCCAGCTTTAAGTACACTAACCAGGTGTCTCTCCCTAATAAAGCGCTACGTTGATGCCCGAGCGTTCCGTACATCTCCTTTCTAGAACTGCTGACGAAAGCTTAGCGACACATTTGCAACTAATAGCACAAGGGTATAGAGGCTGCGGCTATCCAAACCCCCCTAGCAGCAGCAAAGAGGTTTCGAAGCTAGTAAAAAAGCGATAGCAAAAAGCGTCAGCATAAGTATCTACATGTGCCTTTTACTAGAGGGCAATAGTCCATTGCACCGAGCACCGGAAGTTTCAATATGTAATTCGTACCAAATGAAGTCCTGAGACACAGCAATTCCACAACTGGCTAACTATAACAGCCATTGCTAGTTAACCTATAATACGTTAATTAAGTCAAAAGGATTAGCATTGATATGATTAGAGAATGTACTTGTAGAGTTTAATATGAGAATATTGATTAAGTCGCAGAATTGAGAGAAACGTATGCTTGAGTTGTCTACAGTTTATAGCTAAAGATAAATGCTAGATTGAGATCTCCAAACAATAATTGATACAGTCTGATGTTTGTTTGTAGTCGAGATTTACTCCTTGTTGAAGCTCTATTTCTTACTAGAACTTGACTTCTTACTCTTAGATGACTTACTCTTGGATGAAGAAGAGTGGCTGCTTGAGTTACCATAAATCTCAGCAGCGTGAGCGTGGGGATCAAGGTAAGTATATGGCTCACACTGTGCGTATTGATAGGTAGAAGAACCTCCAAGGGCTTTCTTTATGTCCTTGTCTGTAGAGTACATTTTCATCGTCTTAGGCTGCCCATTTGCATCATACTCGTAGGGGTAAGCCATTGTGTGCTAGTCTGAAGGATTAATGCTGTGTTGTTAGCTTTGGTGGTATGATAGTTGTAGATATTGATCTGATATTGTGCGCTGTATGCTGATGCTGGGTACTGATGATAATTATTATTTTGCGAGCTCGGGTAACTACTTATATAGACATTTCCACTACAATAGCTTCTATTGTATGAGACAGGGAAAGGTCCATGCCTTTGTGCGCCTGGAAACAAGGCATTATTACAAGATATCTCGAGATAAAGGATAATGCATTGTTTTCCAACTCTTATTCTTCTTCTTTTTGAACACAGACATTATCCTAGGTGAAATCTTCACGGCGGCAAAAAAAGGGAGCCTTCGTATAAATGAAACACCACATTATTGAATGTCTATCAAGAATCTTTGATAAAGAAAAAGAATGAGCCCATCGCTCAAAGAATGGCAATTTAATGTGCATGCTCAACAATGCTATACGCTAAGTCCTTTCAGCGTTGTAGTAGAAAGCTGATGCGTGATTACCCGTGGATTGTCAAGCTTTTGAGACATGGGATTGGCTCAAGCAAAACGAGGAGTAGCAGCAGCAACTTTACTGAAGAGGGAAGGAATAAGCGAATAGGGGGGGAATGATGGCAAAATTCCTCGCACAATAATCGCTCAGAGTCTTCAGATTCATGAAGCCAGTGCTTGTGCTATCATTGTGTATACATAGCTCAATCGAATTACAAGCAATGCCCACCGAAAGAACAGATATATATTTTGGCCCTACATGATACTTGTTACTACTCGTCTAACGACGCACTTCTATCCAGACTTGAAGCACAATTTGCAAAGCCATATAGCCTATTGATACGTATGTTACCTTTGGACAGTCGCAACATATACCAACGACCCGATTTTCATACCAACACCCTTCATCAGACAATGACAATCTCCACTGGCTGTATCTTTTGCTGTAGAGCCTCCCCATACATGAGTCCGTGTACGAATGCATCCCCAACAAGGACATAGCCACCTTGTGCTTCACGCACCACGTATGGCACTGTAGCACCGAGGATCACGATAATTAGGTCGCCGACTTGCGCACAAGGCGGCACAAGCCCAATGTATCCAGCCCGCGTAGTGGCGAATCCTCGTCCTACAGCTGCTGTTCTAGCCTGCATCTGGAAGGTCTGGACAGCGTCCATCTTCTTACCACCGAGCCCGCCCTCACTTCTTCGTTCGCGCCAAGCAGCCAGCGCACTGTGGTATGTCACTGCTGGATCTGTGATGGGGCTACTATGCATTATTGCGTTTCGCCCCGTGTACATGTCGTCCATAAGCAAGACGCGCGCAAAGGCCTCCTCGCTGTTTCTATACACAGGCTTGCGTTGACTAATGAGCTCGTCGAAAGCAGCGCGGAACTTATCGTGAAAGACGAGAAAGTCAGGCTGGCCGCTCGGCAGCAGTGGTGCAGTGTGCACGTGCACCACGGCTTCGATGGTGTCCACGGCCAGGCAGCGTACACTGATACCGCCTGATCCGGTTATATCCCCAATGAACTGGATGTGTGGCTGCGCTGTGCCAGAAGCCGAATACGGCGTGGGACGGAGCGTCGAGATCACCTTGGGCGACTTGCCCTGTGCTGTCCAGTCCGGAACCCAGGACGGTAGATTCCTTACCTCGCCGTGGCGTCGCTGGAGCCCTGCACTGTCGAACATGTGGATTGTTCGGCCGCGACGGACTTGCAACGCTGCGAAGCGTCTGTACACCTGTTCTGTTGCGCGCGTATACGGTCCAATAGCTTCGCGATCAGTGTCGCTCAGGAGGGCGAAGAGCCCGAAGATCTTGTCCTCTGCATTTGTCACGCCAAAGTCTCGCGTAAGTTGTATCAACTCCAGCGAGTCCATCTTCCCAGTTTGACCCTTGATACGCTGCAGCTTTTGGTAGTTCATGTAGCCGCGCATAACGGCGTTGCTACTCATCAGTTCGCGCTGACGTTCTGGATGCGAGACAATGGACTCCTTGCTAAGCATGCTGTCTAGGTGCTTCTGAGTGAAGATGTTGCCGCTGAACATATACTTGACGTTCTTTGCGAGAGCGAGTTCTTGGATGATCCAAGTCCTAGTAAACCACGGCTGGGTTAGAGCCTGGAAGGCTGTCAGATAATGAAGAGGGTGCTCTATATCGTCTGAATGCGTCAATGCGTCCTGGACGCCCATTCCTCCCATGGCAGGAAATCGAAGGGTCGCTCCGCCAACTGAGACTGTCTGGCCTTCCACATCTCCCAGATCGACGTAAACAGTGGCTGCCCCTGAATATATGCGTTCCATGAGCCGGATCTGAGCGTCCTTTTCCACGAGATCTTGCTGATTGATACAAATAGCGTCTGCCCAGATGTAATCTTCTCTCTGCCCGGGTCTGAAGCCAGCACGAAGTCGCTTCAGCGATCGCTCCAGACTAGGTCGGCCATAAAAGACGCTGCCATTACATAAGAACTTGATATCGTCAGGTGGTGGTCCCCAGCAATACGATAGGGCTCCATATCGCGGGGCATTATCTATATCGAAGTGCACCAGTTCACAATCGACAGGATCAGCTCTCAGAAACCCTCGTTTGACCTTCAGAAGTCTAATTTGACTACCCGGCCGGGCGAGAGGTGAATGCTTGAAGGTAGGCACATTGTCGCCGATGACTAGCGGCTGTGTCCGCTCAGGCACTCCATTCTTCGGTGCAATTGCCGCCAGCTGCGCTCTCTCATCTACTTCCTCGCGTCGCTCCCCATTTGGCATAAGCCGATATCTGCGAACGCCGATCCGGCCGGAGCAGCCACTGTCACATTCCTCGTGTATGGGACAAGAGCTCTGGCCCGTTAAAAGTCCGGCGAAAAGTTGGCCGAGAACCTGGGTTTCATCTTGTGGACTGGGATTAGTCACTTGTGACATCTTGGACCAGAGAAAGTGTCTCCAAATGGCAATTTAGTGGAAGTTATCAGAGAGTAGAGTTATAAAAAGCCTCAAAACGATATCATGATAATTCATTATTCGAATGAGCCTCATGATGATAAGATGATAAGATGACCACAACGCCCTTGAAACTAGCTGAGATATATATAATCGCGACAGTGTTACCATAATATTCTGACCTATCGCCAAGGCAATCAGCTGCAAAACTGTAACTACCAAAGAATCAACTAAAAACACGCCACCTATTTTAGCTCCTTGTGTCTAAACATCGATTGGCTTGCCTCGCATTAAAATCTCTAAAGCTGGACTAACACCCATAGCAAGGTAAGGGATGCTCTTGTTCTTCAATGCCAATCAGTACCCCGCATCTGTCGAGGTGCGGCAGGCTTGTAAGTATACTTGTATCTTATTTTTAGAAGTTTTTTCCTCCAGGAGTCTTGAGAGTGAAGGTATGCTCGGAAATACAGCTACACAGTTTGGTGGATAGCCCGAAAGCCGAGGGCATCAGAGATGAGGACTATTAAAATAATGACATCTATTTCAGAGTGTTATAGCAAGTTCTGAAACGCAGAGTTAGAAAATTTTGCCAGCTGCGTTGCCGGCCAAACAACGCCAATGGTGTTGGTGGTGTACTAGCCACAGTTTAGTAGCAAGAGCTCTTGTGACCATCACCTTTCCTGTGAACCCTAGGATCTTGGCATATCAGCTAAAATTTCAAGCGTCGTCACTAGATTTGTTTCATCAAACCGAGTAATACGAAGATACTGTACTCCTTTCAGACTCATAAAATGCTATGAATTTTGCAGTGAAGAGGCATGATTATTGGGGATGGGCACTCGCCACATTAGAACTCCACCAGTGTCAGGGGCCTCAGGGTGGAGGAACAAAGAGATACACTGTATATAGCCAGAGAAGTCTGAATGCCTTCAGACTTCTGACCTTTTAGGCCTTGTGCCACAATGAGACTTACTGTATACCTATAGCTCTTCTGACAACTAGGGAAGGTAGTTTCTTGCTTATCAGGCCCAATAAGAGAGGTAGCTATTGGAGAGTTTCATGCAATAAGTGTATGGACAGTTGTTGGACATCTAATACTGGCAGGTTCTCGCCACATGTGCCTGGTGTTGGTGCATGAATCATGTAGCTTTTCTTCCGACTTGGACATCTTTCTGATACAATTGAATTTATCTTCTACTGTCCTATCTTCGGTCTTTGGGTCTCTACTTCTTGATATAAAAAGATGTACATGCGGTATAGTAATTATAAAAACATATGATACATCGCGTCATCTAGCTTGGTGGATTTCCGACACGCTACTCTTTCAAGGCTGCTACCTAGTCTGGACTCTGCCCAGTTTCTACGCAGAATCTAGTTCTGTGGTAAAGAGATTATATTCTACGAAATTTGGCATATTTCCGCCATATATTTGGTTCTGAGGCAACCGTTCTTGAGAAGGCGGCCCTACTTGATGTTTATTTGGGCGAGGGTAAAGTAATTTATATGTTCCCAAACGACGAAAATGTGTGAGATACGAGATTCGACTACCCCTTTCACTCATACAGTCTACATTTCACCGCCTCTCCTGCATGCAGATTATTTACCTGCTTGATGGAGGATGGCCGAAATAGTTAGGCAGGAGAAAACGCTAGAATGTGAGGTCAATGGATGTCAACCGGTAATATGGGTTCAGAGGTTCGCAGAGATAAATTTATCGAGCGATCGGCGTTTACGCTTTAGACCGAAACAAGCTGACAGACGACTTGTTTGTTGGATGATAATCAGCATCTTCAGCTTCTGTGCATGGGAGTGATTATGCTACAAGGCAGTACATTCTTAACATAGCCGATGTACGGGAGAGGGTCGTATCTTCACGAATTAGCAGCCACAGACATATCACTTCATTAATCTAAATTTATATTATCATTTCATCTTAGGGAAGGTAGACTGTCCATCGCGATTGCGGATGTTGATAAGACTCTATTCGCCGATCTTTGGAGATGTATACTACAAGGTCGAGATAGGCTATGCTGATGTTGAATGGGATGACCTTATCTCCAGTTTAGCCATTCACTTCATCATTGATTTCCAATCATCCCGACGATGGAGGAATAATTAGATCTATGCATGGAATTATGGACTTGTAAAGCGATAGTTGTGATCTATGGACGGGTTGGTGTTGCGTGTAAGTCTTATTCGGAGTTACGGAGTGATGAGTATCACGGCGTGACTCAGTATCATGCATGATCAAGGGTTGGTAACTAATGCAACAACGCCAGAGTTGTAAAGCTCATGTAACCAACTCTACGCATCCCACGGCCTCTAGAAACTGCAGAAATTCATCAATCAACAAGCGAGAATTAAACGGAGGCTATACATGACGACATCGACTTTGAGAGTGATGCAGGGGTGATAACATACTTGCCAGTTCGTCCGAAAATACACTCAACTCTGTATAAAGAGGCAGATCCTCGAGTCTGAATTTCTGAAAAGCTGTCCTCTCAGCAAACTACCAAAAACCTGAGTGAGATTCACATATAAAAACTACTTGACTAGTGCCTTTCTCAAAATGGCGTCGACTGCAGACAAAACGAAGCCGTACATTCCTCTTAACAGCCTCCAACAGGACGGCTGGTCTACAGACACTGAAGCAACGGCAACATGCTTCTGTGGTACTGTACAACTATCTTTGGTAGGCGACAAATATCAGAATTCATCTTCAACTCTATATCATTATTGAAGGTTCACTACAGGCCTATTTGGTTTCTTATCACACAATCTTTTAACCTAATTAATAGGCAGCGATGCCTAATGCAATTCTCTACTACCTCTCTAAGGCTGGTAAAAACAATCATACTAACACATTTCCAGCCAACTGAAGGGCCTGGCCTCCTGGACGTATTCGTCTGTAACTGTTCGGACTGCCGCAAGATCACCGCATCGATGTTTGCATCCAATATCATTGCCACATCTGATACGGTCAAGCATCTCAGGGGCCGCGAGAACCTCAAGACCTTCAGCCAGTCGACCACCATTGGTTCTGGAAGAGCTATGACGAACTATTTCTGCGGTACCTGCGGGAGTCTGATGTATAGAATTAGCGAGAGACGCCCTAACGTCTTTATCCTACGTCTCGGCACTGTCGATGACTTCAACCTGGCCGATGTAAGTGTGACTTGAAAACTTTGCTTTCACCTTCCTCCATGGTTGATTACCTAGAAAATCCTGTTTCGAACTGACTTGGATTACCAATAATGTGCAAAACACTGTGAATAAACATGACTAATACCGCATGAAACAGACTAAGCTGCGACCAAGGACTGAGCAGTACATTGAAGATCGAGTGAGCTGGTTCACAGGGTGTGAAGGTGCGAGACAAGCCCACGGCATGGCATACCCAGTGACCAGCCTATAACGAGGACAGGGACCTGGGCTTAGAACTTGATGCTATTCGCAATGTAATTATCAACTAGGGCTGCATCAGTCCTTGACCAACCAATTCATTCTTGGCCTTGGTGGCTTGACTCGACTCTATGTGCAACTGGTCTGCCAGCCCTGGCCGCCTAGGTCTCATTGGCTTGTTTCATGAAGCGAAGTCTGTATAACCTCACTTTCCAATATTGCCCAATATTGCCTGCATGTCTCTGAAGATCATGAGCAGCCTGCAATGGCCTTTTGTATGGCTAAAGCGCAAGGCGAACTGCATGTTCAGATTGTGCGCGTGTAACACAGCCAGATAGCTAGATGTTAGAACTAGGAAAAAGAAACTGGGAGTATAGAATCAGAAGGAATCTGGACTTCGTGGAATAACGGAGTCTTGATTTAAACCCTATATTACCGTGTTGCATGACGCCAGCCGTCATGATGGTATTTTTCTGAATAGATTGTTGACTGGATAGCTACCTGCGTATTGCTACTCGTTAGATTTGTTGAGGATTTGGATTCTGCTTTAGGTTTTTGTTTGGATACTCTTAGATTATAAACTTATGAAATCCGACAGCACCCAAACGCGAACTAGGTCGGAATAACGTTTCTAAACGCCAAATAAAGCTCTATAAACATATCTAGTGTTCATTTATTGAATTGTATGAAAAGGTATGGATGAATTGTGCTACATCCTTGCTGAACACGATAATAGCTTTGATACTATTATCTAGGTTTTGAATAAGTTGGAGCTACTTGCCACACCATGTTAGAAGCGCGTGCCAGAAAGGCTGTACAAGGCATACAGTAACGCTCTCATTGTGGCACAAGGTCTAAAAGGTCAGAAGCCTGAAGGTATTCAGACACCTCTGACTATGTATTACAGGGTATCTCTTTGTCTCTCTGTCTCCAGACCCCTGACTGTGTATCAAGCCAGGCGCAACATTTAAAGCTCGTCACAACCTGTAGAAATTGCCTTCGGCTAGTAGATGGGCTATCAAACGGCTTGTTACATTCACGATACTATAACATGCTTGACAAAGCCACTATATCAAGGGATGGTGGCAAGATTTAAAAATGAAGCTATTCGCAATACAATAACCTGCTATGGCTGCTTTGGTCCGGCTCTTGCTAACCTCCGAAGCCCGTCACTATGTCTTAAATGAGCGAGGTTTGTATGACCTCACTTTCAATACGAGCTGCATGTCTCGTCTCTAGTGATATTGCCTACTCGATCCTATGCCCGTAACCGCAGGCGACTCACACGGTTGTATCAAGGTGCTCAGCGGGTGTAACAGCAACTAGATCGCCCATTCATGACATACCTATCTGAAAGGTGGATATCGGGGACAGTCCACTCGAGCCAGGGCATGGAGCATGTTAGAGAAAGAAAAGGTGCATGGATCTGGAGGGTATTGTACGGGTGATAGCTACCTACTACATGATAAAATAAGATATTATGAAGCGGGTGCACAGGCTCCTTCCTTGCGCCCATCCTCGCATTTCAGAGTTTCTTGATTGCCTGATATTACTGTCCACCATGGAAGTCAGGAGGCCACCTCAGATTACTTATCTACTTGATAACATCTTGTGAAATATGTAGAAGAGCACCGAGTTGTCCGGCGGCTTACCGCTGAAGACAGCCGCCTCGAGATTGGGGCTGACGTGTGTGTCGGCGTCTAATCTCACTGGTGTAGGGGTCTCGAGGAAGCGCGCATTATGTAAGGATGTGCTGGACGTGACTTTGTGTTGCTAATAAGATATTTGCGGAAAACAAGGTAGGTATTTGTTGTGTCACCAGGTAACCAAGTCCTTTATTTATTACTCGGGAACGTGATGTGGAATTTGGCAGGGGTAATTATCCAGAAATGCTGATCGTGATGCACGTATAACTTTGATGCCGTTAGTGTCTCTGCGTGGAGAATTTTGGACAGTAGTCATCGGTTAGTTCCGTTGATTATATCTGCGCCCCTTTATCTATTTGTAGAAATCTCCAAGTCAGGCGCCAGAGTGTTTGGCGTGGATGTTCACATGGTGCCGTGGCGGAGGGGAAACGAGTGAGAAAGAAGTGACCTGGAGAAGCCTGTTCTTTGGCGGCGCTGCTAGCTTGATGTCTCTCTAGTGAAAAATGGAGATAAGCAGGAGAGTCGACAGTAATTATCTAGGTAATGCCATTAATATACCTAATCATTACCTGTTTGTTATTATATAATTGAGGTATTATATGAAAGGAGAGAGAGGGTCAAGCGCGAACATGACAAGATGAGCGGGCATTTGTAGTCCCGTGGGGAGTTACAGATACCATATTAATGGGTGAATTAACTACACACTGAATGTTATTCATTTATTAAGCTGGAAATTTTCAGGATATTTTAGCATTCCTACCTCTGAAATATCTTCAACATCTGCATGTGTGGAATGAATGGCTTCTCTGCCCAGCTAAGTGCCCTAAGCATCCGCTACCGAAGTAAGTAGGCAGGTACGTAGAAGTACGTAAAAGTACATGCAGAGCACCCCGCGCTTTAGTGTATTGGGAGCGCTGGTGTCCGCTAGTGCTCCGCTGCTAGGCACCTAGGCAGGTGGGCATGACCCCGCCAGACATCAGATTGCCCCGCATGGATAAGCATCAGCCCCAGTCAGTAGCCCGGTCAGAACCCATGTCCAGCCTCCAACCGCACAGCTCGCCCCGTTCAACGCCCGTCAATTGACCACCCCAGCTGATTGACCCTATTCTAGCTGCCTGCTGTATTGGGTTGGCGATGAGCGTGGTTTGGAGCCTTGTAGGCGCCAAAGATGTGTATCCATGCAGTCACTACTTTGCGTACATGGATACTTCAAGTTGGATACCTAGTAGAGGTGCCGTATGTATGTACGTACAAGGTACAGTACAGTACATAATAATGTAATGTACCTCAGGTACACACGTAGCGGGGTTGGACCCTCTGAACCACATGTTGGGCCATGGGGGAGCTTCGTCATACCTCCGACATCCATTTGGGTTCTCACTATTCATTGTTCATTATTCATGATTCTTCTCGTTTCATTTCAGCCCGCTGTCCCAAGCAAGACTCGATCTCCTCCTACCTATGACCTTCTCTGCACTCGTGAACTCTGCTCTCAGCCGACGGACGACGTTTCTTGCTATCTTTGCTCCTAAGATCCCCTTTCGACTCTGCACGGCCTATTGCTGGGATTCTCAGCTCGAGCAACCTACTTATCTAGCAAGCCACCTTCCATCTCCTCTTCATCGCACCGGCGCCATCCACAGGCGCTTTGTCTGCGTCTGGACAAGAGTCACCTGAGACTGCCATCCTCGACGACCTTGTGCAATACCTATCTGCTACTCGTCTTTTTTCGCGTCACACCTGCTACGCCATCTTCAACGACGATTGCATCTGCCGCCATGTTTAACATTGTAGCACACTTCTTCGCGTAAGCAGACCTCTGCTACCACCACTTCCAATACCGCACCGCAGTCTCGACTGTACTAACCACGTCATTTACACCGCAGTTCTATCGCCTCTTTCCTCTTCCCACTCTTCGCTTCTTACAAGGCCCTTAAGACGTCTGATCCCGCCCAGCTGACACCATGGCTAATGTACTGGTCAGTACTGTCATGCGCGCTGCTCGCCGAGTCATGGACTGAGTTCATTCTCGCCTGGATCCCCTTTTACTCATGGATACGCCTTGGGTTCTTGTTATGGTTGGTCCTTCCTTCCACGCAGGGCGCACGTGTCTTATACGAGGGTTATCTCCACCCCTATCTCGAAGAGAACGAACTTGCGATCGAGGAATTCATCGCTAGCGCCCACGATAGATTCAAAGCCGCCGGCATTCGATACCTCAAGCAGGCTATAGAGCTGATACGAACACGAGTGTTCAACCTGCCACCTTCCGAGACTCGCGAGGAGCCGAGGGCCGCAGCCGCCGCGCCCCAGGGCTATACACAGGCACTGCTCGCTAGATTCAGCATGCCGGCTTCCCAGTGGGCTACCAACAACGCTGGGGCTGCGGGCCATGACTTCTACAATTTGCTTGCAGGAGCTGTGAACGCAGCTACGGGTGGCCTCTCGACGAACACCAAGAATGATGTCGCCGCCCGTGGAACACTTATACCAGATAACATTGGAGGAGCGCAGGAGAAAATCAGCTTCATAGCTGCACAGCGGGAGAGGCTTGCCCTTATGATGGGTGCGCTGGACCGAGAGGCAGCTGTACTACATCAGAACGAAGAGCAACGCAAGACTAGCGAGCAATCGAGAAAGCATGGCAGCTTGAGTCTGGACGGACAGGAACCATCGCGCCCACCGAGCGGATATAGCATTGGCAGTGGGCTAAGTAAGAGCCGAAGCGAAGTCGACTTCGAGAAGATTGACGCACCGAGCGGTGCTGAAGAAGACGACGGTACTCTCCGTAGACGAGGAGATGGCGACGAGACCCCCGGAGCTGCGAAGGGCAGCTGGAATCTCTTTGGCTGGGGCGCGTCTAACCAAAACCAAGGCCAAAGCACTGGTTATCAGGGACAATAGGTTTGGCCTCTGAGACACTGGCGTTGAGAAGACGTAGGGGAGTTTTGTACATATCACATTTTAAGTTATGGGCTGGCGTCGAGGTAAATGGCTTAATTATTAGACGAAGCCCCCTCGAGGGGTAGGACAAGACGAGGCAGCATTCTCATTCGAGAGGAGATTGAATGCGTCTAGCTGTGGTCCGATAGACGACTTCTATCATTTGATCTATGTTGAAAAAATTCCCCGTTTATGACCCCTGCGCTGATACTTTTGCGTGGCATGCTGCGAACAGATAACGCCGGGGTTGTATCGTTGGTGACTGCTATGCCTTGATCAGACCGAAATGGACGCACACGCTCGTAGGTATGTCCAACCCACCTGCCCTCTGAATACTTATACACGTAGACGCATCATCATATCGTCAGCCCGGCCGCCTCCTACTCCTCGTCTCACCCCTTTCCTACACCCATCAACACCCCTCTCTGCCCCACTCCATCAGCAAGAAAATTGCTGATTCCTCTTATTTCCCTCTCCCCATTCACAGAAAGCGGGAGTGCGTGAAAACTACGACTTCTTGAACGGGTAGCGCACCTCGTCGTCCTTGCGCAGCCAGATCTGCTTCTTCTTCTTGGTGGTGACGTGCTCGACCCACTGCTGCACGGCGTGCTCCTTCATGAACTTGCGGATGAACCGCGGGTCCCATAGCTCCGAGGCGATGCCCAGGTCCTTGCAGCACCGCATCAGCGCGTTCGACTTGCAGCCCTCGGCCGCCGTCGACACCCCGTCTTCGCTGAAGTATTGCTGCTCGCCGCGCGCTTGGCCTACGAATCTGTGGAAAATTAGTTTTTTTGGTTTAGTTTTGGAGGGGGGGAGGGAGAGAGGAGGGGCAACGTACCTCCCGTTCGCCACGAGCGCGTATTCCCTCGTTACTAGCCGGTCCTGAACTATTAATTCCCCGCGCGGAGCGAGACCCCAGCCGCCTGGGCCGAAGGCCGTGTTCAGGATCCGTCGGTACTTGATCTCGGGCAGGTAGATGATGCCGTCGGGCTTCACCTCGATGTCGTCGGGGTCGAGTCGTGCTTGCAGGATCGCCGACGTCTCGGCTGAGAAGGCGATTGTGCCTAATCCGTGGTACGAGTTCGTCCAGTCGATTGGCCCGCCGTTGCTGGGTGCGGCCGCCGCTACTGCCGCCGCTGCGTCGGCGATGTGGTTGTTGCTGGGCACGCTGGGACTCGCTTTGGCGGGCGGTGCGTCTGGGAGCGGCTCGCCTGATACCGCTGGTATCGGCTTCCGTGCGGCAGAGGCGGTGGCGGGTGTGGCAGCGGGTCTTGCGTATGACCTTGGTGGGATTGGAGGTGGTTTCGAGGCCGTTGATGGAGGGGGGATTGAGCTAGATGCTGCTGGTCTGGCTTTCGAAGTCGTTACCCATCTCTGCGTTGTGCTTTGGGTTCGACCTGGGGAAACGACATTCATGCGGCGGCTGGCTGCTCGTAGCGGATGTATGGCGCGTGTGACGGTCATTATTACTGAGTGAGGAGGATGCTGGGTTGATGATGTAGTATGGTGGTGGTGTATGCAAAGCAAATCAGCAAGTAAATAAATGGCTTCGGAATTTTTATTGGAGAAATGGTTTCGCCATTGGCGGATCCCTGTCTAGCAGCTGTTACAGTGGCGCTTTCTCTGCCTACAACCTGGAGTCAAGTGTGGACCTTCCATTATCTGAAGAACCCGTCTCGCCCGTCACTGAGTGCAATCATTGGACTTTTCATCTCTATACTACATTGGTTGGAAGATTGGAAATAAGTGAGTTATGGGATATCGTAAACTCTTAGAATCCAACAGGACTGCTTGAGCGTCCATTGCTTCGATAGTGATACAAAAAGCTGTACAAATATACTACAGGGAGAGTGAGTAGGGTAAAGTAGTACGTAGTAGGCAGTCAGTCATTACACATTCTCCTTAATTTGTAGTCTTCTCGTCGACGTTGTCCTTAGTAGACGTCCTCTCATCATTGTTGTGTTTTTTCCAGCATGCCCGAAATATTTCCATCTGGGTGGCGGTTAGCACCTCGGTCTAGACTTATCCGTAATATCGCAGATTTTCAGAGTAGTATACCAACTTACCTCCCGCTTACAAGCACGCCAGTCCTTCTTAACCCAGTAGCACTCGGTCAGATTGGCATTTTCGTCTATTGGACAAGTTAGTTAGCAGCTGTAAAATGCCTCAGTAGAAGTAGTAATTCCCTCATTCAGTGTCTTCTTTCACTCACGTACCCGCGCAACCCGTACTGAAGATTCTCTTGTCCCTATAAAGTAGAAGAGTTAGCTTACTTGGCTTTAAGACCTATTCATCAACATGAAGTGAGGATCCGTACCACTCGTCAGGCTCGTCGTCATCCAGAGGCACACTCGCAGTTTTTTGGGCTATATCTTCTTTCTTCGACATAGTGTATATTGCTTTGGAGACTGAGCTGTGTAGCAGCTCGACGAATCTCTGGCGCGCTGGGGACTTTTTCTGGATATAGGGCGGTCGTCCGACAGTGGAGGCAGGTAGGTATCAACCTGGAGCAATCTTTTAGTGGGCTAGGTACAGCTGGACCGGACCTCGGGACCTGTGCTAGGTAGATCAATCACCGGCGGTGCAGACCCGACAAGCTTCAGCCAATATCTTTTGCTTGTATAAATAACTCTGTCCCATGAACAACACCATTTATATACGGGCCTTTTCGTTAACACTCCCCATTTGACACCGCAAGTAAAAGACGAATCATCTGCGGGCCAGTCATGGTGTCCCGTAAGGTCAACGTCCTCGTGTATAACGGCACGGGGACTACAGTCGAATCCGTCAAGCACGCAATCTACTCCCTGCGGCGACTGTTGTCGCCCAATTATGCAGTTATCCCCGTTACAGATACTGTTCTGCTCAAGGAGCCATGGGCCCCTTCGTGCGCGCTTTTGGTCTTTCCCGGAGGTGCTGATCTCGGGTACTGCCGTGTATTGAACGGCCAGGGCAACTCCATCATCTCACAGTATGTGCGCCGCGGCGGAAAATATCTCGGCTTCTGCGCCGGTGCTTATTACGGCTCCAAGAAGTGCGAGTTCGAGGTCGGAAACAGGTCCATGGAGGTCATTGGGTCTAGGGAGTTGGCTTTCTTCCCGGGTACCTGCCGGGGTGGCGCCTTCAAAGGCTTCCAGTACAACAGCGAGAAGGGTGCTAAAGCAGTACAAATCAACGTTAAGAAAGACTCGTTCAAAGGCGTCGGCTTAGTGCCCGAGGTCGTCACATCATATTACAATGGCGGTGGTGCCTTCGTTGATGCACAAGACCCAAACAACGATGTTGAGATCTTGGCTAGCTATGCTGGCACACTTGATGTTGATGGAGGTGCTGAAAACGCAGCGGTAGTATATTGTCGGGTCTCCCAAGGTGCTGCTATTCTTACTGGCCCTCACCCCGAATTTGCTTCTGTCAATCTCAGCCCTCATCATGATGTTGATGGGTATAACAAATTGATTGCGTCCCTCCAAGAGGGGGACGCCGATCGAGTAAGCTTCTTAAAGGCTTGCCTAACGAAACTAGGCCTTGAAGTAAGCTCGGAATCATCAGGTGTGCCTTCCCTGTCCCGCCTTCATTTATCATCTATCATCAGCAGCAACGTCGATGATTTGTTGTATTCATGGGAGGACATAATAAGTAAGGAGGATGGAGAAGAATACATCAGATCAGAACACGACACATTTCATCTGGAAAAGCCCGATACTAGATGGAACATGAACGAACTTAAAGACACACTCCCGAAGAATGAAATTACGGGAGAGCTTACCACTCCATCTAGATCGACCGACGAAGCTTTAATCGACTATACAACAGTCATAAAGCGCATCGTCACCCATGAACGAGCATGGCCCGATGTCAAAGAAACTCCCTACTTTAACCACCACGCATACTTCTCAAGCTTAAGAGACTATCGTCGGGAAGACACCGATGCTGAGGAATGGGGAGACTACATGATGTACGGCGAAGTCTTAACGAGCACGAACACAATACTGGAAAAGAATTTCAAGCTTCTTTCCAAGCTTCCCTCTGGATTTACAGTTGCGGCGACTACTCAGGTAGCAGGACGGGGTCGTGGCACCAACGTCTGGGTCTCGCCTGCAGGGTGTCTGGTCATGTCTACAGTGATTAACCACCCAGGGCACCTAGCAGCGAGCCGGCCTGTCGTATTTATTCAATATCTAGCTGCCGTGGCAATTGTTCAAGCCATAAAGACGTACGGCAAGGGATACGACGAACTACCCGTGAAACTGAAGTGGCCTAACGACATCTACGCCCGAGACCCCAGCAACACATCCGACCAACCAACATATGTCAAGATCGGCGGTATCTTATCAAACTGTGTCTATTCATCAGGCTCGTATCAGATCGTGCTAGGAATCGGTGTCAACACAACTAACGGGCGACCAACGACCTCCCTCGACGCCCTTTTACCGCCCCATCTACCACCCTTCAGCATCGAGAAGCTAATTGCTCACATCCTAACACGGCTCGAAACGCTGTATAAGGCCTTCGTACGCAAAGGGTTCACAAGAGACATGGAGTACGCATATTACGAACACTGGCTTCACGGCCGCCAGATCGTCACGCTCGAGGCTGAGGGAGGCGCCAGAGCCCGTATCGTCGGAATTACTACCGACTGGGGCATGCTCAGGGCTGAAGAGCTCGGCAGGGACGACAAGCCGACTGGGCGGATGTGGGCTTTGCAGAGCGATGAGAATAGCTTTGATTTCTTTAGAGGCTTGGTTAAGAGGAAAATATGATGTTCAGCAAAATAAATTAAAACAGAAAAGAAAAATAGAATCCAATATACAATACAGAAAATTCGAGGTTCTTGTCACGACAATGCCTGGGAGTAGGGCTCGGAATTAAAGCTGTTCATAGAACAACGATCTCCTATTCCGGTCAAAGACCATATATAAACCTTCTCAGATTCTCCCTATAGCTGACTCCGCACCTTGCATGCAGTTATATCGGTGCTCCTGACCTTTGAGGTTTGTCGATATACGTAGATTATATCAGCTAGGGCTGAATAGACTACGATATGTGTGACCATACCCCACAAGTCCGACATGTCAGCCTTATGTCAAATAGCACTGCTTTCTTACCCTCTCGCCAGCGGGACGGGGCCAAGACTATTTATGGCCATTCGTGCTGTCCATCGCGACTATCTCGGAAGTAATTGCAGATTATCAAAGCTGCACTCGTTGAGTCTTGGTAGTTCATTTAATAGGCTTTATCGAAAGACAAGCAAGATAATTTTTAAGTCAGAAGGGCAGAAAATCTCACAGCTACTTCACAACCTTTATCACTTGATACAATCGTTGCCGAGAATGTTCGGTTAGAAGCGCTAGCGCTTGCATGCTTCGATTTCAGATTGGTATAGTGACTTAAGTGAAGGTAGACGTTGCATGCATCCCTTCTCTCTCGCCTCTTTTTAGCCCCCCTTTTCTCGCTTTGACTAGGAGAGAAATTCATTCATTAGGCAGCGGGAGGCATAATCTCAATCTCATGATTTTTTTTCATTTGACCGTGATAAGAGAATGCGATTTCCGCGTGCTGGTGGCAGCTCGCCAGATATGAGGACCGAAGCGCATCGGATATTGTTGAGTGCAATTCAACATAGATAATTTCAGTTATGTTTATTTAAATTCATAAACATGAAGTGACGAAAGCAAACTCATAACTGTAATTGAAACTCACATTATGCTTGTCAAAGATGTGATGACATCATGGACTCATCGTGCTCGCATACAGTCGTGTCTTGAGCCTTAACTCTTAGCTCTCGCGGAATTTGAATTCCCCATGTTTTAACCACGCACTACAACACACACAAGAGGAACAACAATGTCATGACGCCCACACCAACACCGCCCTCCGTCCTCAAACAAAGCATACCGCGCGCCCAATGGCTCAGCTATCGCATCGGCCGAGGCGAACAAGGCGTGCTCACCTTCGAACCGTATAAGTCAGCGCTACTGCCCTTCTGGCGTTTCCGCACCGTTCCCATCGCTCAGAAGAGCGCCGCCGAGCTGTGGGACAAGTTCGAAGAGTTTGGTGAACAGGATGATTTCGTCGGTATGGACATAACACGCAAGTTCATCCAAATGGGTATGACACGAGCCAAGAGATACGCAAACCACGCCGGCGGACGCAAGTATAGGAAAGGGACGCGGGAGGAGTTGCCTAAGAGCGAGAACCATGCTGATAAGAGCGAGAAGGAACGCGCGAGTCAGGTGTTTCGGGAAGTCTGGATGAGGTGTCGGGCTCATGAGGGCTATACAAAGAAGAAAGAGGAGTTTTTGAGGGAACAGGGGGAGATGGTGTCTCATGACCAGACCTGATCAGGTATTCGTGGGTTATTCCCAACATCTTTGAAAAAAATGTAGAGTTCTCGAAGAATAGCACTCGATTTTGGTATAGTTTCACAAATAAATTGTACAGTGTCTATAGTGATACAGTGAGCAGCTGTTTATCAATGTTGCCGCTAGGTATCCCCCCATAAACAATTCGAAACACCAAAGAACGCCGTGCCAATGCAGCAGTCGAGTGAAGATGCTTTTTCTAATGGTCGAGTCCATACCCCCGAAGCTCGCCCCTAATTCGTAACGACAAGGCTAGTGAGGTAGCCACGGGACCCAGTGTCGTTGCTCTTGAGTCTCCTTATTCCGCTTTACTACCGATCCTTGTACACCTTTGGCTTAAATCCTTCTTTGATTTCCGCCTCTTGCGCAGCTTTTTCCATGGCCGGCCGTATTTCCGATTCTATGCGCTCCCTCGCCCTCAAGATTTTGCTTTGTAGATAGAAGCTACCACCCTTTTCTGGATCATTGGCGTCGAATAATTTCTTGAAGCGCTCCATAATCTCCTCGGTATTCGTGCTGGCACCCTGTGGTGGCTTGACGTTGAGGATCTTGCAGGCTTCGTCGAGGGTCATGGCGCCCGCACCACCCCGCGTGGGAGCATTGGGGTTGATTTTGGCTTGCGCCCGCGCATAGTTGGATGATGCTTGGGCTTGTTTGTAGGCTTCGGTGAGGGAACGACCGAGAACTCGGCTGCCAGTGATGACTATCTGTGTTATAATCCGATGCGCCTGGAGATGCGGTCAGCCTCGGGAGTCCGATACCGCTAGAAATGCGATGTTTAGAGGAACTTGGAAGTCCTGGAATTGGAGGACGCGAATAATGGATAGAGAAGCTCACCATCTCTAGAATATAGCCGTTCCACTTGGGTACAGTGAAGGAGGAATACGTATGGTGAAGTAGAGCCTCGCGCGAACAGGTGCAGGTCGATGGCGACTTGTTCTATAAAAGAGGCGTCTTGCGACTAAAAATTATCTGGGTCTGGGTATTCCAGTGCAGCGACGAGATCCGCAGGCTGAAGCTTATCGATTGGCGCCGGTCTAGCAGAGAATCAGTGAATCTAACCAGGATGGCACCACCTTGACCAGACCTAACCTAGCCACAGTGTAGATCTCCCGATGACGACACCCAAGCCACAGACATGAACCCAGCTTCTGCCCAGCCACAAGCCCTAAATTCAGCAGCCTGTCACTAAACGACCGCCTGCGTCAGTGCTACAGGGGAAGCTCCAACCAACCCAGCTCTATGCGCACACTGTCGTCGCTGCTGGGTTCCCTAAGTAGGTTCAAGTTTCGACGCCACAATCGGTGAAGACACAGTTTAAACATCAACGGCATCTTCCTCCGCTCAACCATCCGCCTGTCGACACGTAGGCGGCTCTGCTGTCTACTTACCTACGTAATTACCCCCGATCAACACCACACCGTCTCGCAGATTCGACTCGTCCGAGTCTTCTATCCGCCCCTCCTTCCTTTCTCCGCGCGTGGTGTCATAGCTGAGCTCTCCCTCCTTGTCTTGACCGCCAACTTGGCTTCCAACATTGGACGCAATTCTCGCCTTAAACGCAAACGATGTCGCAGTACTACGGAGCACCTCCTGCAAATCAGTACGGTGGTGGCAGTGCTCCCGCTCAAAACCTACAGTTTTATCCGTCAACATACTCTCCCGGCGTGCCACAAGGGGGCGCACAACCATACGGATACGGCGCGCCACCACCGGGCCCGGGCAACTATGGAGGGTTTGGCGGCGCACCGAGTGTGAGCGGGCGCATGGGTGAGCAGGGTGGGCTACGGACGGGCTGGATCGCTGCTTTTTCGACAGAAGGTTACGATGGCGAGCCGCCGTTATTAGAAGAGTTAGGCGTCAACTGGGGGCACATTCAAATGAAGGTGAGATACGACATGGAGGAAACTTTGCGCTCCCGCTGGATCGTATTACTAATTCGCGATGTAGACCTTCGCCGTTCTTAACCCTTTTGCGCGCATCGACCAGCATATTATGGACGATTCTGACCTCGCCGGTCCTATTCTTTTTTTCCTCCTTTTCGGCACTTTCTTGCTTCTTAGCGGAAAAGTACAGTATGTTACCCTTGTACTAATTGTCCCCTACTTGAGCTGCTTGTTGCGTTGGAATCCTGCCGATAGGGCAAGGAATGTGTCTCGGGAGCATGCAGAATTCTGTAAACGGTGAGCCATTGCTGACTCTGGCGAACTATAGTTTTGGTTATATTTATGGTCTCGCATTGCTAGGGTCTATCTCTCTGCACACCATTCTGTCGTTAATGTCTCCCGATGGTCCGGTTCAGTCATCAGGTTCGGCATATGCGCCAGGGGCGGGGTATCCCGGTGACCCGGCTGCTGGCGGCCATGATGATCCAAAAGGTCATCTCAGCAGCACCTTGACATTCGTAAGAAGCGCAAGTGTACTCGGATATTGCCTTCTGCCACTTGTCTTAGTCAGCTTGGTAGGTATTGTAATGCCCATGGATAGTCCGTTTGGGTATATCTTAACGACTGCCGCCATTATGTGGTGCACAACCAGCGCCAGTGGTCTATTTTGCGCGGTAGGAAGAATGAGGCAAATGAGGTTGCTAGTAGCCTACCCTTTGGCGCTCTTCTACGTTGGATTTGGCATAATGAGCATCTTCAGCAGTCGAGGATCAGGGAGCTTAGCCAAGGCTGCGAATCTGTCGTGACAGAGCGACCTCTTCTCATTGGTACAATACTATGGCATTTGGTCTCGCCTCGGTATGATGACCTACCCTTGTACTATGTAAATGATATTGTTGGCATTGTGGAGTTCAAAATATATGGGGAGGAATTCTAACATCGGGACGGTCATGGTGGGCATTACGGCATATGATTGTTTCTGGGGAGCCTGCGCTTTAAGGGCATTTGATGCTAATAAATCCGATAAGCATAGTCTATGGTGACATGAAAGAAGTTTTCAATATTTGCTATAACAATTCGGGGTGCAATGTGTGCTGAATCAAGCGCATGAGTTTTACAGAGCACGGCCAAACCCCCTGACCACTTAAGCATGAATTCATAATCAAAATCAATGATGAATTACCTCGAGATTTTGTTGCAACTGTAAGAACTTCAAATAAAATGGATCTTCTCCATTGATATAGCATTCGCTTGTATGTATGTAGCTTGGCGATGACAAAGGTCTGGCTCTACTCTTGGCGTCAACTTTCCTATATAGGTCTTTCTGTAAACCAGCCTGGGCACTTTTGGTCGCCACACTTGACCTTTAGGTAGACAAGATGAGAAGGGCGAGAGATGCTATTAAAATCTAGGTCTGAAGTCGGAGTTTTAAAAATTACCGAACGTTGTTCTCGCCTAATGGTATCGCCATCGCCCAAGCTATACCTCCAGTAGCTAATTGGGACTCAAACTTAGGAATGCATACCTAATAGCAGAGTACCTAGATACTAACGAACGCCGCGTCAATCTAGAATATACTGCCGCTACACCTTAACAGTCACACTACGGACCGAATGACTGCCGCTTAATGAGCCGAGGTAGACAAGACAAGATCATCCGTCTCGAGTTAGCGTTGTGGGTTTGTAATAAACTTGACATCACCTCTTGGAACTGTGTTGATGGAATCTAGATGAAACTGTGAATGGAGGCTGAAGACTTGATTGTGTAGTGTCCTTGACGACGCTTTCCCAGACTTTATCTACACGAGCAATGGACACACTTACCTTGGATGAGGGACACGATGTAGGTTGTTACATCACACTAACCACTGCAATTGTTGCAATGAAGTCGCGTTCGTGCCTCAAGGTCGCAGACTAGTCAAGGAGTCCATCATGAGATCATGACATATGAGACATCCGGCAATTAGACTAGATATACTCATGTGGCAAGCTACCCTGTCTCAGGAATCGGTGGAGAGAGACAGATGCAAGGTGAACGGTACGGAATGTTTGATCCAGGGGTGAGCCCAACTTGCCCAGCATTACCTACAACAAGAGAGCTTTTTTGTCTACAGTAACTACTTTACATGTGAATAATCATAGTGACATCCGTCTCCTGGGCTGAGACGAGGTCTCTTATCTTACATAGACAATGCTTTCTAAGTACTACTTAAGTAGAGTAAGATCTGCAAGTAATGCATGATCTGATAAGAAGATCCGTTCTCTAGTGAATGACTAATACTGGACCCAAGCTTATACATGCCCGTGCTCACGATCTTGTAAATGGAACAGCTCTTGCTGGCCCAAGAGACCAATCTACCAAGCTGCCTAGGAGCTGGAGAGCATGTAGGATCGAGCTGTGCCTTGATAGTACTGGGAGTTTGCTTACCCGGAACTCAGATATGTGTGGGTGGACGCTGTACACGCCCCATCGCTCACCGTCTCAGCCATTCTTAGCTCTCCTGATTCAAAGCATTCTCACCACAGACGTGAAAGTGCCGAAGTCTGACCCGAGAGAAACTCAGTCGCAAAACTACTTGGTCTCAGAATCGCTGCCCAGGGATGCTAGTACCAAGCTGTGGCGAGCAAAGTGCTGCCGTGTGAGGCTAACTGTCGGTGTGGTGGACTCGGCTAGCCATCCTCGGCTTGACGCTTCCCCGCGCTACCCCAAAGCCCCAGCCAACCCCGGCCCTAACAAACCTGACAACACTGGCTCTGCCTGACCAACGACTCCAGCCCCGGTCTATCTCACCCCAGTTTGCCGTAATACTTACTCCAACAATCTTTGACAAATTTGCCTGGTCGGGAACCCGGCTGCCCAAGCCTAAGTAAGCTGGGGCACATATCGACATGTACTCTGTATGCGTTGTTAGTCGTAGTTATAGTGTGTAATATGTGTGTACCCGTCCTTCATTATATTATACCTCACTAGCCGAGCTACCTAGCCTAGTCCTTTTATCCTACACGCGGGTTGTGGGGTCAGTCTCGCGTTATAAGATAGGAGTTTTCGGCGTCGAGTCAGTCATTGCATCCCCGACGTATCTTCGACATTCTCTAGCTCCGTAATCGTACTACACGGGGCGCGGCGCAAAGCAATATTGAGAAATGGCATCGATATCCAACCACAGCTCCGAGCGTGGTGAAAAACCTCACTCGGAGACACTGGAGACCGCGTCCCACGATATAGAGAAGACCGGCGCCATAACAGATCAGTAAGTAAAATTTCCAATCACGCTTTTTGCACAAACTGATGTGTAGAAGAGCTTACCTCTAACCGTGTACTCTGTAGCCATGGCGAGTCCCTCGTTCGATTTGACCCTGCGGCCGAGAAGAGGCTTCGAAACAAGCTCGATTACATGATTGTTCCAACTGTATCGATTCTATACTTATTCTGCTTCATTGATCGCGCCAATATCGGTACGTTCTATCTCGTCCCCGCCTGGCCATGCTAAAGGGGTAGAGTACTAACGAGTAATGTAGGGAATGCTCGTCTGGCTGGTTTCGAGAAGGACTTGGGGCTAAAGAATTATGACTATAACATAGTCTTATCCATCTTCTACATAAGCTACATCGTCTTTGAAATACCCTCCAATCTTGCGTGTAAATACTTTGGACCAGGTGTAAGTGGCTTTTGTGTTGTCCGTCCTCGCCCTGGCCCGGATGCCGACTCGCCGGGCGAAACTTGGAAGCCTCGGGATACTTGAATGAATAGGCACGCTCAAAATGACGATAACTAATCCTTAATGATGCAGTGGTTCTTACCGGCCATCTCCCTCGGCTTCGGTATTACTTCTCTCGGAACGGCGTTCGTCCAAACCAAAGAAGCGGCCTGCGGTGTTAGGTTTGTGCTCGGCATTTTCGAGGCTGGAATGATGCCAGGTACGTTCTTGAAGTTGACTTCAGGCTGGCAATGCTTGATAATACGGCTTGACTAACAATAAAATAGGCATCTCCTACTATCTATCTCGCTGGTACCGTAGAGCGGAGCTCACGTTCCGACTATCACTTTTCATTGTCATGGCGCCTCTGGCAGGCGCTTTTGGTGGACTCCTAGCGTCTGGAATTCTCACATTAGATCACTTTGGAAGCTTACACGCCTGGCGTATGATCTTCGGCATAGAAGGGATTATCACCATCGGACTATCTCTCATCTCATTCTTCACTCTGACCGACCGCCCTGAGACAGCACGTTGGCTCTCCCAGGAAGAAAAGGAACTCGCGATCGCACGCATCCAGTCAGAGCGCATGGCTCAAACCACCGTCCTCGACAACTTCGACAAGAAGAAGCTGTGGCTCGGGTTCTGGAATCCCATGGTGCTGTCGACGGCCTTCGTCTTCCTGCTCAACAACATCACTGTGCAAGGCCTCGCTTTCTTCACGCCCACCATCGTCTCAACCATCTATCCGAACAAGACCACCATCGAGAAGCAGCTGTTCACAGTGCCGCCGTATGTGGTGGGTGCCGTGTTCGTCCTCGGCCTATCCTTTTCGAGCTGGCGCTTCGACCGAAGAGTCATCTTCATCCTGGCCACCGCGCCATTTACGATGGTTGGTTACATCCTATTCCTCGCAAGCCACGAGGCGCGCGTGCGGTACGCCGCAACGTTCCTCGCGGCCGTTAGCACCTTCGCAGCCGGCCCGCTGGCGAACGCCCAGGTTTCAGCCGTCGTGGTGAGCGACACGAGTCGCAGCATGGCTATCGGAACCAACGTCATGTTCGGCAACATTGGTGGCCTCATCTCCACGTGGTCGTACCTGCCGTATGACGCCCCCGACTACAAGATCGGCAATGGCATCAATCTGGCGGGCTCAAGTATCATCCTCATCGTGTCTGTGCTTCAGTTACTATGGATGGCCTGGGACAACAAGAGGCGGGATGCGAAGGACGTCGACGCAGAGTTGCAGGGTGTATCGGAGAGCGAGATGGAAAGCCTCGAATGGAAGCACCCTGGCTTCCGCTGGCGGCCATGAGCGACGAGTGTATAATTATGAGGGGTCCCATTTCCTTTGCCCTATGTACATCGGCCGGGGTTTCGTTATAGTTAGAGATCCGATGAAGACTTGGGTATAGTAGACCTTTGGTAATTGGGTTATTACAATATCTTCGAATAGCTATAGAATATTTCTGTTATCTACACGAGATGAGTGAATCATGAAGTTTTTGATATCTATAGTGCGATACCAAAACAGAGTTATGTTTCCAAAACGTTACATGCATACATGCATACATACATCCAGCGCGTTATTTTCCAGCTGAAATAAAATGATAAAACATCTCTATCTCCCTTGGAGGTGACCCGATAAGAGCTTATTGAAAAGCCACCTCCCACATATCTTGGGGCTCACAGAGATAGGAGAGAGCAAAGCGTCTACATAGTCTCACATCTTCTGTGCTGCTAAGCCAAAATCCGTATTGGGAGTCGATACTGACTAAGAATACCTTATTATTGCGCTCAGCTTTGGTGGCTTGGAAAGCACATCAATCATCCTCCCTTCCAATGTTAAGAATTCCTAGGTTCATTCGACGCGAGAGCCGAGAACCTCGTTTAGGCTCCCCAGATTTTCAATCAATGGTATATGCGACCTCCACATATACCTTACCAACTGACATCTTGGCTTCACGACGCATCCTGGATCGGTAGTCCATTGAAGATCCGATGTGCTGTCACCTGTTAATCCAAGATCCAATGATATTCGATCTGAAGTGTTTCGGCAGAGGTGCCCCAGGTGAATTATGTCACACGGCATGATTGACGACTAGCATGCCGCTATCCAAATACCCGGATATATTGCCTTGCTCTTCCGGGCCGGTCTTCATGCTTGACTGGAAGTGAAATGCCCGTACCAATTGGCAAGCTCTCCAGAACATGATACATACTCATGGAGACAGATAAGACGGCCCGACTGGTATAACATCTATAATCTAGCAATATTCGGCAATTTGCGAGATTGTCTCATATATTTGTTCGCATGGAATTACTCCGCGAGATACGTCCGCGGCTGCCACGGATTGTTCTATAAATGATTATTGTTGCCGCTCGGGCGCGAGACTATTACTCCCTAGGACACAACTGCTACGACAGCTCCTAGTGTTTGTCGAAGATCAACAGAAATGAAGTTCTCTCATATTGCAGCTTTGGCATTTGCCATTTCGGCAGAGGCTCACTGCATATTCCAGGTACGACGAGAGAATATGTTGTAAACATATGTGTCCCTCCTGTTGACTGAACTCGTAGGAAGTCTCGGTCGCGGGCCAAAAGCAAGGTTCGCTAGTCGGTCTGCGTGCCCCGAATGACAACAACCCTGTCTACGACGTGAGCTCGCAAGACATCATCTGCCAAAAGCAAGGGAGGACCTCTAGCAAGATCATCAATGTCAAACCTGGAGACGAAATGGGCGCGTACTTCGGACACGTGATCGGCGGCGCGCAGTTTGCCAACGACCCCGACCACCCGATCGCGAAATCGCATAAGGGGCCCATCACCGCATGGCTAGCAAAGGTTGACAATGCCGCGACCGCGAGCAAGACCGGACTGAAGTGGTTCAAGATTTGGGAAGATACGTTCGACCCTTCCTCTAAGAAATGGGGCGTCGACAACATGGTCGCAAACCAAGGCTGGACAAAGTTCAAAATGCCGCAATGCATCGCCCCAGGTGATTATCTGATGCGTGTTGAAATCCTAGCCTTGCACTCGGCCCATCAGAACATGGGGGCGCAATTCTACGTGGGTCGACCCTAAATGTGTTCGCATGAATATGTGGTAAACGGTGACCAATGACTGACTGTTAATCTTGTGTAGATGTCCTGTGCCCAGTTGAAAATCAGCGGCAGTGGCACTTTCTCTCCAAGCCAGACGGTCAGCTTCCCAGGTGTTTACAAGCAGAATGACCCCAGCATTTTAGTCAATATCTACGGTTTAGCGGGCCAGCCTGATAACGGCGGCAAGACTTATAACGCTCCAGGAAACGTACCCGTTATTCAGTGCTAGATGGAATCAGTGTGGTTACTGCGGCTTGCTGGGATTTTGCGCATGGCCTCCCCAGGGAGCTGGTCAACCTGCTCATGGTATTAGGAGTCATAAGAGGAGCAGATGCTCGAAATACCTGTCTACTAAGTCGCAATAGAAACCAATATTGTAATCATGGTTGTGCCGTCGAACGCGAGATCATGCCTCGACTATGCCGTTTTTGTGATTGGGGCTCGAAGGTGGCGGCAATAATCATGCGAGCCTCAGCCCTACCAGCACACTTTCAGGTGTCCAGTGAAGCGCAAGTCGGGCGGAAGACAACCCTTTTGTTCGTCTGAGATAGGTATTGAAGTTAGAAGGTGGCATTGATCCTCCTGTCAGCCATCCTTCCATATTCGAAACTAGGGTTGGTGTAGAAACGCGCTCTTTAGTTTCAAGAAGGAGGGGTGCATTTAGCTTTGTCTGAATTGATGTAGCACTTAAAATCAAGAGCTCGGTTAAGCTCCGTAATGCTAGGCGAATTGATTACGTACGCCTTGTGTCATTCGTAGATCAGCTACACTGTATGACATCCTATGTGTGATCAAGGTAAGCAGATCAACATTGCTGCCTTCACGCCTCTGTCATTTGTGTATCAATGCCGAACAAGACTCCAGATGCAGTCGAGTTATCCAGCTTAGTGCTCGCTCGATGGGTTACATGATCGTGATGGCCGACATGTTTAGCAATGCATGTTGGTTCATTGTGGAGTTTCAGCGCTGTCCCAACCCAAGCCAACCCTGCCCAAAACAAACCAGCCCCTACTTCGTACATCATGAGCTGACGGCGCGATCCTTCCGGGACTAGACCAGTGTATGTAAGCGCCTTCAGATGCCTATCACCCAGATCAGACGTGCCGAGAGAGTATGGAATATAGCGAGAGTTTGGGGACAAGACCTGAGTTCATCCCACTAACGGTTAACGCAGATGTGTTGCCTCCTGCAAATAATGGAGCCGGTTCTAGCGAAGTGGGCGGATCTATTAATACTTCGGCTCTCGGCCACGAGTTTTATTTATGATAGGAAAGAATGAGCAGCACAATAAAACCCCAGGCCTCCTCTGTTAATGGAAGATTGTACGAGGTCATGCCATTGTTGATGTTTCTTATTAATAACTAATTACACGTCTCTCATTTTCGAGTAACGTAGCGAAGTTTTTATTGTATTACACAAAAAAGGCAGAGCCTTTGAGGGTCCCCAGCTAGGTTAACGGTTAACTGGTCGCGATGGCGCCCGCTACCCTCCAATCTTCGACTACAGGAATTAGCACCAGTTCCGAGTCAACCAAGATAGACCTAGCCGACCAAAAAGAGATTGAGGCTATTTGGAAAGAAGTCCATGCCAAGGTCATTGAGCTTGCGGGCGGCGATCCAAAGAAGGTGCAGCAGACATTGACTATTGACGATGTCCTCAACTATGTCGACCGCGTACAGAAAGCAGATGAGAAGAAGTCAGAAAAGTATGGCGAGTTTACAGATGTCATCGGGAAAACGCTTCAGTGCATAGCGACAATAGGAGGAATTGTCACAGATGGCGTGTCTAACGTAGGCAACCTGCACTTTTCGGTCACTTGTAAAGATTGACACAAATTATAGGTGTTTGCCCCAGCTGGAATGTGTTACAATGCCTTGACATTCGTTGTTCAGGCATGGCAGGGCTATGAAGGGACATTCGCCAATCTTGCCGAGCTATTGGAGAAGTGCATGGAATTCTTCGAGAGACTGCAGTCTTATCAAGGCCGGATGGATGGCAGACTGACTCGCTTGGCGTCCCAAAACTTGAAACTCTTCGTCGAGATCTGTAGCCGCACGATCAAGTTGCGCAAAAAGCACACGAGGTTCCTTAGGTTCACGCAACAGCTGTTCCTCAATGATGACGGTGTCCAGGACTTATTAGGCATGATGGACAAGCTCAACTCTAAAGAGGCTATGCTCGTTGGCGCTCAGACTTACAGACTCGTCAGTGACAGTGCCGGTGATGTTAAATTAATTCTTGAAACGCAGAGAGAGCAGAAGCGCGAAGATGAAGCTAAAAAATGGCGTCGCTCTATAGCCAAAGCGCTAGGGTTTCCTGGTTCGACTCTCGATAGCGACGGGGAGCCTGTATCCTCCTGGCAGAGGGCATTTGACACTCGCCTAAACTCGCTGGTCGAGGGCACAGGTACATGGTGGAAGGCAAGCGACACCTTCTCTCATTGGGCTACGGCGAAGCACCCCGAAGAGTCAATATTTGTTCTTACTGGTACAGGGGGGACAGGGAAAACATCGAGTGAGTATTCTTAGCACAAACGGTTACTGCGTCGCGAGTGTCCATACGTGCAATATCTGATATGAGGATTTACGCAGTGATGGCCAACACGATCAAATCGATTAGGCGACTAGGCCCGGAAGCGCCATCGTCCCGTGTTGTTGCAGCATACTACTTTGCCGATGGTGATAAGCGAAAGCCAGACGACGAAGATGAAAGTACATATCTTCAGAGGGTTTCAAGGACATTACTTTGGCAGCTTGCTACATCGTATGAGGCTATGACTAAATCAGTGGCTTCGGCGGTAGAACGAGCACCTCACTTTGACGGAGCACTCGATCTATGGGAGCAGCTTTTCTTCACCAACAAAGAACTCCAGAACTCCAATACGACATTCTATATTTTCATTGACACCCTCGACCCAGAACTTGTCCCTTTGCTCCAAAAGCATAGCAAACTAGCTGACAAATCGAAAGTTCGAGTTTTCTTAACGGGAAGGCCTGAGCTAGTTGAAGGCTACCTGAGCCCAGCCGATAATGTAACGTACGCGGAACTCCCAATCACCAGATACAATGGGCCGGATGTTAAGAAGTATATCAATTCTCAAATGGATACCATGCAAATGTTGAGAGACGATACTAGACCAGGTATCTCCGAATGGCGACAGGTTATCTTAAACGAGCTCCAGGACAAGTGTGAGGGCGACTACTTCAACCTGAATACAAGTCTCACTGCTCTCTCCAAGGTAGATCTCACTGAAGATATCAGGGAAGTACTAAGAGATGCCGGCAAACCTCGGAAGGACCAGATAACAGCCGAACTTCGTCGCCTTAACAATAATCGTACTCTTAAGGAGATTCGAGAGATTAATGAGATCATTCTTTGGATCGATAAGGGTCGCCGCTACTTCTCTATCGAAATGATGGATGCGATTCTCTCTGTCAAGCACCGACGGCCTATTGTAGAACCTCAAAGTGATCAACAGTCACCAACTCTACGACGGCAGGTATCTAACACACTGGTGAAGGCTAGTGAGGCCGAAGAGCCTGTAGCGTTAACCGCACTCTCTTTGCTTCCACTAGCGCATAAACTCAGAGAGAAATACCCGATCTTCTGCGTCACAGATTCCGGTGCAGTTGACTGGCGAAATCCGGAGATAAGGAACCAGATACCCACTCTAGAAGTTCAAGAAGATGGGACACCCAACGGGAACGGTAAACTATCATCGCGGCTACAAGTCATCCAAGAGTCAGAAGTCAATATTGTCCGACATTTCCTAACTACCGTTTGTCCCGAAGAGCTCTTCAAGCGCTTCGCATTTGAGGAGTTTTTTCAAGAAAAGATGGGTGCTAGGCTCAAGGAATTTATACATGTTGATCCCGACAACGCCGATGCCAGGATTGTCCTTACATGTCTGACTATACTGACCGATGAAGAGCTAAGGAAACAAGAAGCCCTACGTCAGTACGCTATGTACTGGCTCTTGGAGCACTTGCAGGCTGTCGACTTGGCCGTGGCCGACCGAAAGCTCAAGGCATTAGTGGGACCTCTGCTTGTCCGCCTTTTTACGAGCGACTGTGGTATCGACTCATTATTTTGGTGTTTTGGTGAGTAACTCCGCCTTCGTTTGGATTAGCTCAGCGCACGACCAATCCATAACCTCCTTTCCTATAGAAGTCGGATATGAATAGCTAACTAGTACCAATGTAGATGCTAATGTAAGCATGAAGACCTGGGAGCAAGGTGAAGCCGAATACATACGTGAGGCTCGGATAGAGTGGGTGTACTCAACTGCTGGCGTTCACGAAGTTGAGCGGTACGTTGATTTCAGATTTGCGCAACCTGCTCCTCACCATCAAGCAACCAGCTATTTATTGCTCTAACTTTATGGTTGATATGGAGCTATGCCCGGTAATCGTTGGAGAGCAAGACGCTGACTTGCTCCATATAGTTGGCTGAGTGACTCGTCGGTCACGAAATATATCACGGACGAGGCAGATCTAAAGTTTGTGGCCGATATCAAATCATCGCCAGCTCGTCTACACGAGGTAATCCTAATAAGCGCGGCAAGGCGTATGGCAACACACCTTTTTATCAAGGTGGAGTTCCTTAAGCGCCATTTTCTGGCTGCAACATGTTTTATCCGAGGATATCTATCTAGAGTAAGGTTTCGAATTCTATAAGTGATACCCAGACTAACATCTCCTGAAGCTGGAGGGAAATACGATGCCCGATGACCCTAATGTCTATCGAGATGATAAATGGGAGGGATATGAAGACTGGGAGGGCACTAAATTCTCATCACGGGAGCTCGAGAGGATCGAGACATGGGCGCGCAAGGAGTTATTAGCCGATAAGTTCACGCTAGCTCAGGAGTCATTGTGGGAGATCCATGGCGCTCTTCAGGCGTTCCAGTTATGCGATAATGAAGAGGAAAAGGGCGAGATCTCACAACGACGAGCCAAGAAAGCTCTCGAACTGAACCCTCAAAACTGGCATGCATGCCATTTCGTGTCTAGCCGACCGGGTACCAGTAAGGAGGACGGGGTCGAACTCCTCAAACGAGCCAAGAAAGCTGTTGATGACATTCGCGCCAAAGACAAATCTTGGATGAGCGATTCTGCTAATACAGCCCTCTTAGCTAGAATTACCTTTGACCTAGGCAACAAACTCTGGGAGCTTGGCGACCATGTTACTGCGGCCCAAACCCATCGCGAAAGTCTGGATTACGAATATGTTCACTTTAGCGCATACTCGAAGGTCCTCAGCCGTTATGAGGAAGCACAGGAATGGGGCGAATTCATGGCCTTTATCGATACCTTGAACGAGAGAAGGGATGTGTGGGATGCCTACTTTGATGAGCTTGTGAATGAATTTATCATCGGTCTTCTTGACGAGGACTCCGACATGCTCTCATTCGCAGCCGACACCACGGGACGATGGGATATCATTGAAAGATTTTTCCTTATTGCCATTGATATTGGCAGTAAGCAGAAGGCTTACGACCTTTTGTTCTTGCTCCGAGAGGAATTCGCGCGGACATTGGAGCTTACAAGCGGTACTGTGGATGAGAAGACGGTGATTGACACCCGCGTGGCGGCATTAGAGTCCCTTAAAGCTCACCCTAGCAACACACTACCGCAAGCGAGAATATATGCAATGACCGACTTGCTAGCTCAGATCTATCTCGGCAAGGCCTTCCAACCTAGCATCTCCGACGAGAAAGTTGAGGCATTAGGAGCATCTATGGTAGCCTTATTACCAGACGTTAGCGACGGGATGGACGCTTGGGGGAACATTACGACAATATGTTGCATTATACGCTATCATTACAAGCGCGCGACGATGTCAGGACCAGCAAAGCGTTGGGTTGAGAGAATTGTCCGTGCAGGATTAGAACTTCTCTCGGACTCAGACGAAGGTACGTTACTAGAACAGTGATTCGCCGGCCCCCTTATAATTATGCAATCCCGCACTCACTAACAATCGTTCTTGATAGACAATGATACCTACGCATTTTGGTTACTAGGTAGATTATTTGTCACGATTGAGGACGACGAGAATCACAAGATTACGTGGAATATGCGCAACGCAGATCAAGCTAAAGATCTAGGTAACTGGGATGAATGGGTCTCAACCCCCATTGCTTCGCCGAAGTCGGCTCCGATACAATCGATGGCCAGCATGCTACATGAGAAAACCTCGCAGATGGAATCTAACAGGTCTATTTCTATGAAAGACCGGGAAGGGCCTGCTTCCGCAAAGACCAATGGTAGAGAGAACGGGCAACCCGAAAACGGCGACGCTGGAAAAGACGAGGGGAAGCCAGTGAGGACAGGTACATCCTCCTCGGCGCCTGATCCCACACACGAAGCTGAGGAATTCCGGCCCGGGAGAAAGCCTACAAGAATTACAACCGATATCATAGAAGCTGCGCCAGAAGATGCGCCACCCAAACCGACATGGTTTGTCGCTTGCGACGGATGCGATGAGCAATGGACTGTAATGGATCAGCCACTACTAAACTGCGCTGATTGTGTAGGGAATGTCCAGCTTGACTACAAATGCCATGCCCTGCTTATGAAAGATGAACTCAAAATTCCAGGGTTCAAATGCAGGAAAGAACACAAATTCCTAGAGATTCCGAGCTGGGATGAGGCACGTTTCAAAGACTTGCCAAAGAATCATCTGCCCTTATCCCCAAGTCTTAATCACCAGAGGAGATGGATACCACTGGACGAATGGAAGGCAAACTTGAGGAAACAATATCTAATGGACTGAATATTGTAGCAATTTGGCGAAGAATTGATGCAATTTAGTTTGGACCTACATGAGGCTGACGAAGCAAATACTAGTACCCTTTTACCTAGTGACTAATACATCTACCTGTTCCTCTTCGTAGATAACTGACTGACTGAGTCAAGCATAGCTTATGGAGTGGAATTGTGTGGCCTCCCATGTCATGCTATTCTTTACACGAACGATACCCTGGCATAGGATGCGAGTATATCAAGTACCCCGGATCCATCAGATATTCGAAATTGAGCCCTAATTTTTCTGGAGATAAATGCAATGAGTGGCATGTGCCATTTCTCAATAGCGCGATGACGTCGGAGCTCTTCCTAGAGGGGTCAGGAGAAGCCGGGAGTCCCCGAATAACCAGGACTAGGGGCTATATAATTCGAAGTTAAACACCATTATTTGCTCCCTTCACACCTCTCTCCTCCCGGTAGCAGCCAGGTTTCCTCTGCATAACTTTAGGTCACGCACTCAGTGAAGTTAATGCCAAACTTTGCTGCCTACACGGTGACCTTGTTATTAATTCGAGGTGAAGTAAAGCATTGTCAAACCTAGACTGAAACCTTGACGATTTTCGTCGTTCTTGAGATGTAGGTAAGTATAAGGGTTTATCTACGGGCTTGTCCTCCCGCTCTCCCGCGCACGTGTTGTCTTCTTTCCCTTATCACTGTAATCGAACTCCCTCTTTGCGCTGTCTCATTCATCAAGACAGCTCCAGCGCCTGTCATCATGGACCCCTATTACTATGGGACCAACATGGAGCATTTTGAAGTTGTCAATTATGAATACTTTGGTTGCACCCACTCTTACTTCGACGGACAGCCACAAATTCCGCGACACGACGCCGCCCAAACTACCGAGCGCCATCATCTGCTTAGGAACAACCGCCATTATGTTGAAAGAAAGGAGGCAGAAGAGTCGGCTAGCGACTGCAACAGCGTGAGTAGAACATTCGCCCCCTTAGTGAGTTTCTAGCTGCTATTAAAAGTCAGTCATTTCATCTCTTAAGGAGAGCGGATTCTGTCCATATAGGCATCGTCTATTTTTTGATCTAGACTCAATGCTTGCACATCAATTATGATCGCTGCTAATGAGATGAAAAGGCCCGGAATGCTTTCGAGAAGCCGAGAGCCCCGACCTGGCTATGGGAACCCCATCCTCTTTCGCTAAAGCACTCGGATGTCTATTATAGCGACGGGAATAGATGGAACTGGTACTACAAAGACGAGCATCGCGATGTGCAGTACACTCGGGACATCGCAGCTACGCAGTTCGTCTACGACGAATCTACTATTGACATTTCGAGCCCATGGATCGATGCGTCCCAGGGAGAAGGCCTGTTCAGCCAACTGGAGCGACTACACAAGGAAGACACATGCTCTGAAACTCCGCTATCTAGAATGAGCCCATCTTCAGCACGTCATTTAAAACCGCCAACGAAGAGCAAACGGGGTAAATCTGCTTGGTTTTCAAAGGCTAAGAATCTCTGGAATAACGTCATGGACCTTTACGCGCACTATCTTACTTTGCACCAATACAAGTATGAATCGATGCCTCCCCCCGGCCCTAATCCGCAGAGAGAGAACAAATATCGCGGTCGGAGATACAATTCATACAAAGATTCATGAAAAAGAAATTGGGGCACAAGTTCACGATCAACAATGGAAGAATTTGTGATGGGAATCCAGTGATTCCATGCAACATGAAGCAAGCCCATGACGAATTTGATCGTAACAATACCTTATTAATGTTTAATTATATTAATCTCTATTCCTTCTCGACATTAGAGCATTTTTCAACATTTCTTCGATGTTGCATTCCAGCCCTGTGGTGTCGTCGGGGTTTGACAGAGAATGTGCTGGTTGTGGGAATACAACAGAGGCCGAATGATCTCAATCGTTGATCATTCCCTTAATGATTTTGAAAGGCGAAAAGAATCGAGTGGGTCGGTCGTTTGGTATATGTCCTATCGTTGCCTACGCTCATTTCTGTTGCTTTGGTTTGCTAGTAACGATAGTAAAGTGGCTATTGGGATAATATTCTCTGTTTCGGCATGTATTAAGTTATCTCAAAATGTATTAGTAGCTGCAGTTGACAATTGGGTCCGTATACAACTCATTAATATTACTAGTAATGTATAATATACAATAGCCCTGTTTTATTCTACAAGTACAATGGGCGTCATATATGCTTTTTTCTTTGTCTTTTTTTCTGGTCAGCATTTGTTACCACATCACCTTGCTGAACAAAGAGATTCAACGACCTACATACATAGCCTAGCGAAAACTTGAGATCAGTTGGAAATCTCAAAAGACCTCACGTACACCATTGTCGAATGATATGATAGAGCTCGGGTAGACGTTGGTGTTGTAGTCATACGTCGCCATCCTCACCCTATCCTTGTAGATCATACCATACGTGCCGATTGTATTCAGGCCGTACACCCGGAAGTTGATTGCGTTAGCGTCATAGAGCACCATTCCTTGCTGGCAAAGAGTCTGGGCCCCAGCAGCAGAGCAAGACGTGTCATAATTGCTGAAGAATGAGTAGAGCCTGCAAACGATCAGGTTAGCTCATGAACTTTTAATAGTAGTGATAGATGTAACTTACCCAGCACCGTAGATGAGTACATTCTTGCTCGCCCTCACTACAAGACCCCATGCTTCAGCACAGTTGCTTGCCGCGGTTGCTTTTGGGCACGAAACATCGAAGTTGGGGTCGGTAGAGATGAGCGGGAAGGGCGACCTCGCGGATGGGTTAGGTTGGTAATAGGGGGTTTCCGTTTGGATCTGGCCACCGTAGATGTTCTGGGTGTTGAGAAACTGATACTGGTAGCGAACGTGGTGCTCTACAGAGGTACCCACGAGCCAGATCTTGCCTTGTTGCGACTCAACGAGCATACCGCGCCCTGTGTACACAGTGATCTGGCGCAGGGAAGGGTCATCCACGTCGTGATCAGCAGTCCAGAGCCATACGTTTTCCATATACAGGTTGGTAGCTGAGCGGGTAATGTGCATGGAGGTGTGACCAGATCTGCAGTTGTTATTGACGGCGGATGAAGTGGTTGCAGGACATTCAGCGTATGTGAGCTGCGACCCCTTGGTACCTCCTACGCGGGTGTGTACTATAAAGATCAAGGTCAGTAAAGACTATATATAACTCGGTCGCTAGACAATGAAATTCGACCTTTAAAAGTGACATCTCAGTAGCACTTACCATCCCACATTCCACTGGGCACAGAATCATACGATGCCAGATTCCATTGAATCAAGATAGCACCAGCCTGTTGAGAATGCAGAGTTAGTACATGAAATAACTGTTCAATTCAAAACCTTGGGGTTGAGATGAAAGTGAAAAATGAGTGTCGAGGCAAATTACGGCCCGAGCCATAATGAGAGCTATTGTGTGTAATAATGAAGATACTAACCTGAGCACCACGTGTAGATATCATCAAGTCACTCAATTCCACAGCGCCATATTGCCCTTGCTTTCCAACTTGCAAAACTGGCTTCGGATTTTTGACGTCATTGAAGAATGAACCGCTCGACATGATCACAGGATAAGCCTCTCCTACGATCTTGCTATTCGCGGGGATGAAAAGCGTTGAGGTGATGATGTAGGTACCCGCGTCGAAATACACGATCTTGCCGGCAGCAGCGGCAGCGGTGATGACTTGTTGCAGGGCCAGGGTGTCATCTGTCTTTCCATCGCCCTTAGCGCCAGCACTTCTCACGGAAACAAACGCCGAGAGAGCGAGCGTCGAATAGGTGGGCTTGTCCCGCTTGTAGTATGCACCGCCTCGGGTGAGCAACGCGGGACGAGAAACCGGTGTCTGGGTTTGGGTAAGCTTGTTCGGCCCATTAGGACGATAGACATGTCCTGTGACCCAGCTTTCGATAACGCTTGTGCCGGCCGAGCCTGCGAGAAGTGTAGACTTGCTCGGCGCATGTTGAACAGCGACTCCGACATGGTAGAGCTGAACATTTTCAATGGCTAAACTACCGCCCGTGCTAGGCTGCGAGTTCTTGTCTCTCGATATGCTAAAGGCGACATCCACATCTTTGATGTAGCTGTCAAAAAAGACCGCCGAGCCCACAACTTCCTTGCCATTGTCATTTCGGTACGCCATCTCGAGGCCAACGGAGCAGTTCGCTATATCAATTCCTTGGTATGTCCACCCCCAGTTCCATATCTGGGAGATGGCGGTAAATACGCCGGTGAAGTAGAGATTACGGACTGTGAACTGCTGGTTTCCGAAGACGGCACCATATTTACCTCCGTAGAATCTAAGGTTACTCAGGAAACCACCTGAACCCTCTTCGATGAAAAGGCCTTGGTGCTGAGTGCCGGCGTGGTCATCCATTCTAATAATAATATTGTCCAAGCTCGTAGCCTGAGACGTTGGCCAATGTATTCCAGTGGCGCTACTTGCTGAGGGAATGTTAGTCATGTCGATAACAAAATTCCTGACCTGTCGCCAGAAGATATTGGTAGCGCCATAAGGAAGTATGCCGCCTGGTTGGTACTGGGCGCCGTCGATGACTCCGAATCCAACGAAATCGGGGGTTGCTCTTAGTGTAGGCAGGTTATTGGGGTTTCCGATCATGAGTGTTGCGTAGGAGACAACGATGGACGAAGAGACCTTATAGATTCCGGAAGGGAAATAGACAACTGCATTGGTTGTGCTGCTCGACTTGCATGCACCGGGTGCACATCTGTTTCCAGCATTGATGGCCCTTTGGATGGCAGCAGTGTCATCGGTGGTTCCATCTCTGTTCCGTGTTAGCTACCTCAATCCTTTGTGACTTAGGATCAACCCATACCCTACTGCACCATAGTCCATCACGTTTCGGAAGATCTTATATGTCGAATCATCATTAAAAGCCGAAACGCCTTGCTTGGCTATGTCCGCAAACCAATAACTCTGCGATTGACGTTCCTCGATATTTCGGCGCTCTGCAATTGGTAGAGCTTCTCTGGACTCGACTGTGTAGTTGCCCGCCTCGACGTAATAGTCGCTGAAATGGGCTAACTGGAACTTGACGGCATCCTCAACTGCTGGGATGACCAGCTCTTCCGCTAGAACAAGCGGGAGGACGCAGCCTAGAACGGTAGAGAAACGCATTTTGAAAGAGGCAATGCGGCCAACACGCCAAGCACCCAAAAGCGAGGAGCATCCTGATCGAAGGTGCTACGGGTATTTTATATCATATTTATTGCAATATGCCATGGCACCAAACGCCGCCAGTCACGATGGAGATTAACCCAAACTACCTAATCCTACTATCGTGCTACTACACTATAATGCTACGCTACATACACTAAGTACAGCATAGATGACGCGACTCGTGGGAAAGAAAGAGTGGCCGGACCGGTCTAGCAAGATCTCAGCCTCAGATTGGCGCTGGATTGGGAACCTCCATCTTACCAGATTTGGACTTGGGCATCTACAGAATGGTAAAGCAGACGCAAGTCTAATGAGATGGCGCTCTTAGCCTGACTCAAGGCCGAAAATGAGCTAGCTAACCATGTTCACTAGCGAAAACCAAGAACACCTTCAGGGATCGCATCCAGCCCGTCGGACACCTCGCTAGAGACGATGTGGATAGCGAGCTGAGTGAACCGGGCAGGACATGAAGCCCCCCAAGAAGGGTCAGGATGCCGAGGCACTGAGATTCTTTGTAGATCGACTCTGCGCTAGGGCTAGATGCGCATCATCATGATGTAGGCTATGTCAATCTGAAGAAGTAGACGGCCAGAAGCTCTAGGCGACAGACTGGACAGGCCCTGGGATAAGTTTCGATCCATCCAGTCCACGTACGAGTCATTTCGCAGACTCCCCATGCCGCGCCGGCGGCAGCGGGCCCAGAAGCAATAAAATCCAACCGAGATCCAAAGCGGGTAGAAATCGCACTACACATTGCATTTCGCGGAGAACTTCCCCTGCTAGGTAGCTGGCGGCGCTATGGCCCTACCTACCCCTTACATTAGGTAAGTGACGCTATTGAATACGCCGCCTTCAACGGTTTTCGACGATGGTTAAAGGCTCGGGATGCGTGAAAGTGACTGGTGTATAAGGGCGGAGGTTTGGTCAGATAGTTCGATTTAGCTCATGGGTTGACCGAGGGCTCCTGTAAGGAAGTAAGGAAGTAGACAGACAGAAGCTACATACACATCTAAAGTGTGAACATGAACACTCTCCAGAGACAAGAACAAAGTTCGAGGGTAGAGGCCAATCGTTAGATTGTGGGGGAACAGGACTGGCGAGCTGCCATCGTGGGTTAGCGCGCGTCCCTGATGAACCCTTGCAGTACACACTGACAGCGAGTATCTTCATGGAGATACCTACCTATGCATGCATGTCTTGGCCTGCGTATCTATCTCTATCTTTACGCAGGTACCTACTCCATAGAGAGGGAGACAGCATCTCGCCGCAATGCGACTAGGTCTGGAGTCAGGCAATACCCCTCATCGTAATTGGCGCCGCCTCATCTCGCTAATTCTCGTCATCATGCTCGTCACCATGGGGGCAATGCGTGGCTTCGGCATCAGCTCGCTTGTCACGCTTCCGTTCATATTGCCTGCCGCGGCTTTAGCTCGTGAAAATGGCCCTTATAATAATTCGCCGGGCCTTCCCATGGTCATAAACACGGTGAGTAGTATGGGATTTGCAATCATGTCTTTGTGTCAATGCCTAAGGTAGATAGGTAGGTTATAGCTAAAGTCTGAGTGCTACAGTGGGGTGGTCCGTTCACGGCCGGCACCGAAGCCGCATATCTGTCTCTGCTGAAGACGGAGACATCGGCACTAGACGCCGTCGAGCTTGGGTGCAGCACGTGCGAGGCAAACCAATGCGATGGCAGCGTCGGCTACGGCGGCTCGCCCGACGAGAACTGCGAGGTGGGTGAAGAGCTTCGACCCAGCGGACTCTCTCAGCGCTAAATGCATCGCAGACAACCCTAGATGCCATGATCATGGACGGCACCACGATGAAATCCGGCAGCGTAGCAGCTCTGCGACGCATCAAGAACGCCATCGGCGTCGCGCGCGCAGTGCTAGAGCACACGACGCACACGATGCTCGCGGGGGATTTCGCGACCGACTTCGCCATCAGCAACGGGTTCGCAGCGGAGAATCTCACGACCCTCGATTCCGCCGCGTCCTGTGCCGAGTGGAAGGCCGGTGGCTGCCAGCCGAACTACCGCATCAATGTGATGCCTGACCCGTCGTCGTCATGCGGGCCGTACTCTCCGCTCCCGCTGAACTCAAGTGCGGAAGGCTATGCTTCGCAGCTTCGGGGCCGGGATAGTCCCGAGGGACATGATACTATCTCTATGATTGCCTTGCATAGTTCTGGGATTATGGCCGCGGGCACCTCGACGAATGGCGCTGGCCGCAAGATCCCTGGTCGCGTGGGTGATGGACCGATCACGGGGAGTGGGTCGTATGTCGATGGTGATGTGGGTGGATGTGGTGCGACTGGCGATGGAGACATCATGATGCGCTTCCGTAAGTGTTTTTACACATTCTCTATTCCTTTTCCTAGGGTCATCGATAGCTATGCCCCTCTCGCGTCTAGATACAATCCAGGAATCAAGCGTCTTTCGAGACATTCACAGCTCGTATTTACGAAGGTTCAATAGAAAACTAATTCAAAGCTTACAGTGCCATGCTATCAAGCCGTAGAAAACCTGAGATTGGGCATGGACCCGAAGACTGCGGCCGAGGATGCCGTCAGACGGATGATCAAGAAGTATCCGGCCGTGCAGAGCGGGATAGTGGTCGTCGACAAGGATGGTAATCACGGCGGCGCGGGCTCGGGCTGGACCTTTACGTACGCGTATCGTGGCGGGACGATGAATGAGACTGTTGTTGTTCCTGTGGCTCCTCTTGATAGTACTTCGGAACTCTGAGCGCTCTCGGCGCTTGTGCCAGGCAGTACATTGTTCTTGAATGAAAATACTCCCTATCAATGAAAGCTGGTCTAGAAACGTGATTTCGCGTCCTCAGAGTCCTCTAGGTAGGTGAAGCGGATGCAAGTGATACGGTAAAGCAGTGGGATGATATTTTGCAGTATTTCGTGTCCGACTGTAAAGCCGTATCATCACATATGAGCTGGGTTTTAGATTCTAGTTATGATTAATCGTGACATCTATATGTAACCATCATCCGCTATTGATACACCATAGCCATACTATGCAAAGCTTGACGCAAACCCGGTTCATGCCATTCTACTCAGTCTAACTCCACACTCGCTAACGCCTCGGTGATAAACCCTTCCCTATCTGTGGGAAGGCTATTTTCGTGTTGTTTCCGCTCTATCGGTAGATCAGATGGCGTAGAGTGTGCCTGCTTCTCTCCGTCGAGACTCGCCCAGTCCCTGTCGTCTTCGTCGCCGCGTTCACTCCTACTCGCCTCGCTGTCTGTCTCCGGCGGCGTCTGTACACCGCGGGCACCCATGTTTCGCTTCAACATGCACAGCTCGACGGCAATACCAGGGCCAAACGCGCATCCAACCACATAGTCCTTAACCTTTCCACCCGGTGCTAAGGAATCCATCTCTTTGCTTCGAAAATGATCCATGACGCTGAAAATGGTTGCGGAGCTCGAGTTCCCATGTTCCATGTACCGATGATAACTCGCACGCATATGCTCAGACGATATCTTCAGTGTTCGCTCGGCGTTCGTCAGAATTGTGAGACCGCCGGGATGCATCGCCCAGTCGAAATCCGGAGCCGTCCGATATTCCTCGGGTAGTTGATGCTCGACACCCGCTATTAAGTCTGCAAAGGCCGGCTCGAGAACTTGCTCCGTGAGCTTCGGCACGCGCGGCGAGAGCACGACCTTCCAGCCCACAGGATCGACATCGAAACCCAGATCGCCCTCTGTGTCGGGTATAGTCCTATGATCCCAGCCTAGTAGCTCGTACACGGGCTCTACGGTAGCCTCTCCCACGCCGTTACTCAAGATTACAGCGCTCGCACAGTCTGAGAAGAGACAAGCCCCAATGCGTGTATCCTGAGTCTTGTCTATGCTTTCCAACTCGCTACGTACTAATGTCGTGCTTACTTCGAGTGCTACACACAAGATACGCGCGGCTCGGCCGCGGAATCTGTGTCCCAGAGCGAGGTTGGCCGCGGTGCGTAACGCGGTCAACCCGCCCGCACAGCCAACACCATGAAGAAGCACTTTCTCAACACTCGGCGCAAGCCGTAGCTCCTTGGCGACATAATGGTCAAAGCCCGGGTTTGCGCTGTCAGTACAGGTAGTGGACACTACATGTGTGATCTGTGAAGCATCAAGACGCGCCTCTGCCAGTGCTTTCCGCGCTGCCTCCACTGCGAGCGGCACGCCGTCGCTCATGAACGTTGCGTGGAGGTCCGCTATAGATGGCGGGGCAGCATTGTTCACCAGGGGATGGTCTGATGTCCCGATTGAGGAACGAGTCTCAATTCCAGTAAATCGGTTGATTGAAAGGACCTTTTGCATTCTACCACAAGGGATCCCATGTTAGTCTACAGACTTGTATTACTATGAATAGTCTATAGTAAGACTTACGCGGGTGACTCTGGGTGGAATCTGGCGGCTAGCTTAGCTACCTCCTCCGGCTTGAGCTTATTTGGCGGATATTGAGCTCCCAGCCCAATAATCGAGAGACCCAGCTCTCCGAAGGCATTGTTTGTTGTCATGGTGCTGACAGTGTTGGGGCGAGCCGAGCTTTAAGATATACTGTTTAGATAATGGCACGTCTCGTTGACCACGGGAAGGTTGTGATTGTTTTATGTCTTGTCTAATAATTCTTGCGATGCTGTCGTCAGGGATATGACATAAGCAGTTTCAGATGAGAGCTCAGGGGGAACTGGGATTTGATGCCGAATAGAAACAATGTTTGACCGGGATAGCTCAGACAGTTTAAGACAGCTGTTGGGACGGCCCGTTTAGCAGGACGGGTATTTTATCAGGCTGTTGCAACAGTGGCTGTGAGATGCACGGCCGTCGGTATGAGCCAAATTAAGGACACACATACGACGTGAAGAAGGCGACGTCGTGTTACCAGGAAGCGGTGTGACGATGGAGAATGCCCTAGGATTCTTGAGTTACCAACAAACAAGTCGAGAGTCGAGATGTCGGGGTGCTAGCGAGATAGATATAACAAGTCTATGACGACTTTGACTTTACAGGCTTAGCATGCGGATGCAGATGTGCCTAACTCGAACTCGCAGCTCACCGCGCCATGATGACTTGGATACGTACGTCTTCCACTTCCACAACACAGGGTAGATAGCGGCTCAGATCTCACATTGCCGGAATGGGAAAATGTTGAAAAATGTTGAATACAACGCCACTCCATATCTCTCGCCAGCCACGCGTTTCACGACAGTTGCGAACCAGCTCCAAGTCGCCATCGTGCGGGCAGGGGTTCAGACAGGAAGTGGAGGACGGGTATAGGCGGATGCCAATGCCTGAAACATTGGTCTGCAGCCTGGAGATAGAGCCTGTGCGATTCGGCGTACTCGGGTACAATACGGACTCGAGGAGAACAATTGCCAGATGCGTACATTTGAGACTGATCGCGACGAGAACACTTGACTTGTTGCCAAAACTGGAAGCCCATGCCTACCTACCTACATGGTACTTACATAGGTAGTACCTGTAGGTGCCTATCTGCACCTAACCATGGGCGTTGTAGTTACCTCCCCACCTACCTGTAGGTAGCCGGTAGGTACCTAAGGGACCGAACCTAGCGCAGTAGCCACAGTGGGTAGATAGTGGATGGAGTGGCAATTCAAGCCTCTAAACGCCAGCGCGCTCCAGGTCTGTCCAGGCCAGAATAGTTCACTGGGGTGTGACGACGACTGCAATTTTGCTTCGAGATTCGAAGATCAGCCATAGACATCCATCCTTACACATCGCCATCGCGCTCACCAATCGAGACATCCAGCATCGAAAAATCGTATGCCAAGCACCCGATTCGATGGGATAGTGGGACAGCCATGCGTTCAAGTGACCTAGCTTTCGTCATGCACGCTGCCGTGGAGACAGCTGCGGGAATCTCCTTCATTGTGCACCCTGAGCGACAGCTCCCGGGCTGTACGCCCGCCGCCCGGCTCATCCTGAGGCAGTACGGAGCACTCTTGTTAGCCTCGAGCATGGTCTGTCTAATTGTCCTAAGCAGACCGGGTTGTAGTACTGCTACGACACGGCTGATGGCTGCTGCGCTGGGGTCATATCACGCGTGGCCTTCCTTTCGAGCGTTTACTCGCCTTCGAAACGAAAAGGGAAACCAGGAAACCTCGGTGCTCGGCGGTCCCTCCGTACACCTTATGGTCCATTTGGTCTGCCTGGGGTTGTTCTTGTACGCCGCTGTCGCCCATACGTGATAGGTTCAATGGTCTGCGTCCGAAGCCCGTGGCGACATCAGCAGCATAATGCCTGAGCAAAGGACACTTTTCCACATCGCTGCCGCTCATCTTGCTAGTCGAAATCGAGTGAAGTGCGGGCATGTGCTGTCGGAGAGTTAGGACGATACCTCACAAGAGAATGGGAAGGGGCATTCTCCAGCATGGTTCGTACTCCATTTGGTGTCTGATGGAAGGTACACGCGCAATAGCAATTGAATTGGCGAGCTCCTCAAGCATTAATTTAATCCAGGCTCTCACTAACATGGCTAGTTCACTTGATCAAGTGCAGTTTGACTATCACTTTCTCAAATCAGCGTTGAATGCAAATTTGATTGTAAACTACTACCCGGCAGGCTATCCCCCGTTCCAAACTGTCACAGGGTCTCTCTTCTATCAGCTCTTCGTCTAGTATCGGTATTCAAGGTGCCTGAAGAGGCTCGTAACAATGAATGGATCTGTTTCCGTTACCGATGGGCCAGCGATCAGTCCTGGAAACATATGCTCCTTCAAAGCTCCGTCTAAAGTCGCCCAAAGCTTCTTATCGAACACCAGGACCTCTACCATGATAGTATCCTTTGCTCCTCTTGTGTTGTTGACGATGCCAATGAATTGTCCGTCTTGCGATACAAGACCTCCCCAATCGATCCAGGGGATCATCACTTTTGTCCTCTTGAACAATCCTTTGGCCGCGCCTTCGTGGACAGTATATGCGCTGAAGCTCCGAAAGTCTTTGTTGCTTGGTCTGTAAGGTAGGTCAACAGAGATTTTGACTTTTGGATTGAGCTCTTGAGCTACGGGTTCCCCGAGAGTCCAGATCCTGACGGTCTCACTATCGCCAGGCCCCTTGTTGCTCACGAACCCACTATCATTGACAGGCTTCGTGCATTCGGTGCAACCCGCATCCTGGCAAACACGGAACTTATCGGCCACTTCGACGATGACGAAATTGTGCGTAGCCTGGTAGATCACCTCGCCGAGTTTCACGCATTCCTTGATGACATACTGGGGCTTTCGTGACACCTGTTCATCCCAGACTCCGTGGTCTCGACTTCCATCAATAGAACTACTAACAGTTTCAGCACCCGCAGATATCATGAATAGTTTCCATCCTCTCTGTAGCACGCAGCTTGCCGTGCGCAGTGACCCAAAGGCAGTCTGTACGAGAGGGCTGGTCGGCTTGCCTCGACTTAAACAAAATCGACGGGGAAGGCAGATTCGTTCTGATAAAGACGCATCTTCCTCCGATGCAGTGATGATAATCCAAGCTGATAAGGGATGGAGGGATTTGTAGTATGGATCAGCATAGTCTGGGGACTGTATGGCTTTTCCCTTGCCCTTGTCGCGGGAGGCTGTGTTCGACATGGGATTTGATGATGATTCTAAGGACCTCTCTTGTGTGCTATGCTTAGAATCAGTTATAGCCCGAGAAAATAAGAGCGTGAACAAGAGAAACTCGGTTGTAGGGTTAAAGAGAGTCTATATATACTGGGATTTATCCCTTGTGAGATGTAGCTTCCCCTGACTATTAAAGCTGAGACTAGTAGCTATATATAGATGCATCAAGTGTCAATCAGCAGACACCTCTAGAGGTACACATTACCTCGAAGGAGATTGTTCATATGACACATCATGATGGTATCAAGGGAGCCATTGTCGTCGTGGTTTGTGTTATGCAAACTTGACCGCTATCGAGTCACAGGAGCCTTTGTATCAACCAAACTGGTGTGTTACACTCTGGCTGGCACTTGACTACCCGACCAGATGCATGTCTGTATCAAGGTGTGTAAACGGAGCTCTTAGCTTCATTGTAATGAGACTTCATATCATTTGACATTCCATGAAAGAGCTTTCCAGCTCACCACATGATCAAGCCATCGAGATTTCTGTAACAATGGGACATGGATGGGCGTCACAGAGTGAGCAGAGGTTAATTACATAATGAAATTGAGTTAACGGTGGTGTCAGGGTCAAGACACGATCAATTGATTCTTAGGTCGCCCATGTAGCCAGGCGACAAAACAGACATATTATACATGACCAAAGTTCAGAATGGTAACCACTCCACGGCCGTTCACGCAATCACATACCCTGACGCATTCGCATATATGGGTGCAAAGATCCCATATCCATCCAACTTCAGCATAGCCAAATTAATGGCTATACCAGGCTTTGGCAACTCCGTCCTCTAGAAAGTTCCAATCACGTGCAGACGGACGAAGGTAGAGCGCCCATGTAGTCATCATCAAATAGCCGTGGAGCCCTTGCCTGCGCGAACCAGATCAGCTTTCTGCACAGGATACATCCAGATAGTTTAAGAAATAAGCAATTTGGTAGTAACTTACCAGGACAGGAGGTCTGGTCTCTCCCCAATCTTCATAATCCAGTCCATCAAATCGTAGTCTCGTCGGACGCCGAGGAATTCGAACTTGGAATGCAGGCTCCGGATCAACGGGAAGAAGCGCGTGGCAACCGTGCAGCGGTGACGGAAGACGTCCCAGTCTAGGCCCACGGTAGTTTGGACGGTGATCACGAACTTGGTCTCCCCGTAGTAGATGGGGATGACCTCGTCTCGCAGCTGTCTGTTGACGCGGGCGAGGGCTGGTGGAACCAGGGTTGATCCGTAGCTGTCGCCGTGGGTGGCGTCAAGCACGGCGAATCTGTATATCATGTTCCGAATCTCGCCGGGGAAGCTTAGGATGAGGTTCTGTGCTCTTGTTTAGCACGCTTGTGAAACTCGTTGGGAAGGTTGGTGATACTTACGTGAGCCTCGTGGGTAGCCATTGTCATGAGGTGTGCGTGTGAGTTCTCGAGATATATTTTCTGGTTTGTTTGGGAATTGCTCGGGTTCTCAGGTTGTTAGATTTGAGAATGGCGTTGGTAGGCCAGATGAACAAAGACGGTGAATGTGGTCACGAAATCCTACTTATGAGAATATCGATGAATCTCGGGGTAGTACTCGTCGCCGTTGGTGCGTAGACTTACGGGAGAAGTGTGAAAGAAAGAATAGAGGGTGAGGTGAGAGGGTTACTTATATACATTTACAGAGAACGACCTACCTCGGCCATTGATACTCAGTTGCTATTGACACTAATTGCCATTGAAGAAACTTGTTGCGTATTAAGGTTGATTGCCCATTCACCGAAACTCGACACTCTATTAGACACAGTGTGTAGGTCTATGATAACCAAATTGAATAACCGTTCACGCCGTCTATCAGAAAAGCTGTACAAGTTATACAGTAAGACTCTCATTGTGGCACAAGGTCTGAAGGTATTCAGACTTCCCTAGTTGTATACAGTGTATCTATCTCTTTATCCCTTTGTCTCCAGGCTCCTGACAGTATCACTGTGCACAACCTCACACTTTCCTCATGTATATCACGCTCCCTAATAATCTTAGCCACCTCATAGAGCAATGCCAAACATCACTCGTTTCCATCAGTTCCTGTACCATACACCCTTGCTCCGCTGCCTATTCATATCTATTATTTATTCATATGCCTAGGCCATTGATTTCACGGCACGCAGGTGGCCACTGATTACATGAGACAGCTAGTTAAGACGCCAGAAAATCGATTGAGGGAAGTCTTCATACTCAGTGCTATCTTATCTGTGCGTATTTGGTACGGGCCTATGCAGTCACATGGCCTAGTAAACAAAGATAATTAGTATCCCAACCTAAACTGATTAAAAGAGAGTTACCTAGACCGGTAGGAATGATCCTTCTGTGTGGTTGTAATATTTGAGGCAAGTAAAAGTGAAATCGCTAAACCTTTCAACAATACCCGTAACTAGGCAAGTGGCTATGCATACATCTGGGATTAATTTCAGCTCTAAATGCATGTCACAATCCTACATTTCAATATCATAGGATGGGTCACTTCTGCTGGGACTTGAGAAATAATGAACTTCAGATATACAGTTAGTTACATGTCCAGAATCTTATCTACATATTCAATTGTATTAGTGAGGAGTTATTGGACCCTTCGCAACTCAGTATTTTCATAAAAGCACCTCGATTTAGGGATATTTGCAAGATGAATGCAGATTACCCTACTCTCTTATTTAGATGACTGCTACACGAGCATGGCTCTATAGCACAGGGTGCAGTAGAAATTGGGTGGATGTTTAGTTATCCTAGGACGTCCCAACATTCAAATATGTACAGTTGAAGATTTCGATTTCGACTAAGTATAGTGAGGCACGAATAACATGAGCCTTCTGTTTTCCGTACCTCGAGCGCTCATTAGAAAGGAGAATTTTCGGACGGCATTGACTGACTTGGGGAAATCAATACTAGCTTTACTGGCCCGTGCGCCATACGGAGAATGTTGGCCATGAAAGAATCAATTCGAATCCATGTTCAGGGGCCTAGCGCTTGTGCCTCTTATGGTGACAAGTTTGCTTGCAGCTAGTCTGTGTCGGCGTCAGCTATCGCAGCCAGATAACGTTGCCCAGGACGTTGCGTACACGTGGCTCTAGCTCACAATGAATGGCCCTCTACGAAGGATCTGCACAGACTCATCAGGTGCGGATATACATGAATGCTCGTGGCGCATAATCAAGCAATCGGCTCGAAACATTCGTCCCGAAAGAGAAAAACGTGTATGGCCTTTGGTGGATGACACACTAGGCTAGGATCTGTTTGAAGATGATTTCGCCGACACCATTCTCTGTCCTCGCCCAACGCTGGTCGTCATAGAGTCCTGCGGCAACTAGGAATGTCTCAAGCCGCGAGGCGGGCAGGCTCACGGCAGCCTTTCTAATCCTCAGCTCCAGGTACTCCGAGATACGGGGTAGAAGTGCCTTGAGGTACATATTCCACGCATCAAGGTTGAGGTCAATGAAGAGGATGAGGTAACGGAATCTCTCGACGTCTTTTCCGAGGATATTGAGCCATTTCAAGCCGACGGTACTGGTATAGACGTGAAAATGGTTCTTCAGCAGGAAGACGTCCAGGGCCTCGGAGCGGATTTGCTTGTTGACACGGAAGAGGGCGGGTAAAGGCCGGTCCAGGACGAAATACTCCTGTGAGGTGTGGCCCCACTCGTTGCTGATGACAAGCTCGTAGACGGCGCTGCGGATCTCTGGCGGCATTGATAGCAACGACACGGTATTTACAACGGAAGAAGTGGAAGTCATTGTGAACCGTCAACCTGCGTGATTTTCGGATGATTTAGAAGCAGAAGCAGAAGCAGAAGCAGAAGCAGAAGCAGAAGCAGAAGCAGAAGCAGAAGCAGAAGCAGAAGCAAAAGCCAGAGCCCAGAGCCAAAGCCAGCGGCAAGCCGGGAGATTGAGGGGTGAGGTGAAAACGGATTTATGTGAGGCCAAACACGGCTCCTCGGCCTGTGGTACGGAACGGAGTTAGGATTCTCGCTGTCTTGGATGTCCATTGTAAGTAGGTAAATGGGATCGGGATAGGAGATATCTGCCCTTCCAGCCAGGGTTTATTAAGCTAGAGCAAACATGTGAATGACTAGGGGGACGTACCTACGTAATGCACGATTACGATAACAGCCAAGCCACCAAGGATCTAGCCCCCATACAGCCTTTGCCAGCCGTGAAACCCCCAGTTCGTAGTTACTTCGTAAGTATGTGTTCAACTCGTACATAGTAATCTGTTTGAAGGTTGCAATGATCTGTAGTGCTACCTCGGGCTTATCTAAGAATCTTCATTGCACTACCTACTACTTCGTACTGCATACTGATGGGAGATCTCATGTTTAAAGTGGTTGTGGTCAGAATCAAAACGGAGCCTCATCATGCATTTAACTATTTACTTAGGGAGATGCCTAGGTAGTTAAAATAGCTGAAACCAAGTATGGTTCGGGTTAGACTTCCCCTCTATATCTAGGTACATACTACTGTAGATATACAAATATCTAGGTTAGATGGTGATAATCATTGACGACCCCTCTCTTGTATAGGTAGGTATTTGACATGTAGATCGGGAGTCAGTTCTTTCGCATCTTATTATGCAGACATGATCAGGGGCTCTGCGAGAGATTGCGAGAGATTGCGTACGTATCTTACCTTACATTCCTGCTTCGCTGCATTGCAGGTGGTATTTTTACCCCGTACCAAACAAAGATGCGCTCGCTATGGGGCAGTGCCACGGCCCAATGGGCAGAATATGGGGTGCGATACTGGTCTCCACAGTCGCTCTTTGGCGCTATTCAATTCATTCAATACCTACTACGATGAGAGGAAAACATCACGAGCGATGGAAGCGAGTGCATCCATCTGCTATCCTCAGACACTTTGGGGGCTTCGTACATGCAGACAGATCACTCAGTATTCGTATCATCAGATGCCAAGTTCATCCCCGTTTCTCATCCTGTTCCTTTCATACGACCTAAAACCTGCTCGCTAGTGGTGGGATGGGATGGGATGGATGGTGTGTAGGTAGGTCCCTTTGCGTGTCTGTCGGTTCCAACTATGAGGCTATAGCGAACAAAGCCCACTGCCATGTCCCAGCACAGCCTTCTTGGTGCAACAAGGCAGAATCGTCATATCGACCATTTATAACGCAATGTGGTTGCAGTTCAACGTAATCCAAGGAAGACGGGGTCCGGGAACCGCTGTTTTGCCGCGAGATGAGAATGGATGCTCTGGGGGTTTACCAACATAACAAACTGTCGCCATTGGGCCGACGAGGCCGCACTCGAGCGGCCCAGCCCTGCAAAAAGACTCGCCGCAACAACAAGCACAGGCAGGAATCCATCCTCATGCCACAAAAGGGAAGCCTGTGAAGGCCATCGAGAAAGCAAGCCAGGATGTAGCCGAGCGAATTGCGCCTTCGTTTCCTGGCCCCCTCCTGCTACCTTACGATGAACTCAATTGGGATCCTGACTACCCACCCTAGTCATTTCGATCTTGGCTCGAGGAACCCGAGCGAAACAAGCTCACGCCCGAACACAAGACGCTTTATGTCGCTACACCGCCCACCATCACATCAAACGTGCGCTTTATGAATGGCTGGCAGCTGCCCACGGTCGCCACTGCAAATGAACGTGAAGGAGGGTTGAGTCAACCTTCGACCGACACTTGCTTGGAATACCTCAACGTGTTCTACCATGGCCTTCCTATCAAGTTCCTTCCCCAGCGGCTCCGCTTCGTGCCGTAGATAGAGTCCTCGCGACGTACCCAGTCTGCAAACAATCATGATTATATTGGTCTCGCGTGTGATGACAACTGCACTCGCATTCGTACTCGGGAAGCCCCAGACAAAAAGTTCAAGAAGCAGTTGAACTTGAGCGATGTCCTTGATGCAGCCAGTGCCCTGCTACCTGACGATGCATACTCGATAGTACTTATGATGGATCTTGATATGTACGAGGGTGACGAAGATGAATTCTGTTGCGGAAGGACGTACGGCGGCTCACGTGTATGCATTGTATCCTCTGCCCGGTATCACCTGGCTCTTGATGAGGAAAACGTTGATCACGATCATATGTGGCCCGCTTCACACTGCGAGAAGTTTACCGACAGCTTGTGCGCCGTGGAAGGGCTGGAGCCGTAAGAGCTTATAAAGTCGAGATACGAAACTTCGGATTCACCACTCCACCAGGCTGTCGGAGCAATAAGGCGGGTCTCAGCGGCATCAACCCCGGACGCCCAGAATGGCTTATGATTTTCGCGTGTCGCCCGCACCTTGGTCCATAAACTCGGGCAATTTTTCGGCATAGATCATTGCATTTTAACGCTTGCAACATGCAAGGCACTTCATGCATGGCAGAAGATGTGAGGTAACCACTATACCCATGCCCAGTATGCTTAGAAAAAGTAGCCTACGTTATCGCCTGCGAATCACAGCTTCGAGGGGGGACGATGAGTATATTAAGGAGAGGTACGCGGCTATTGCCGAGTTCTGTGAAAAATGGAATCATGTTGGCCTCTTTGCCGACTATGGCGCTTGGTCACGGGCAAGACTCTAGCAATTCGAGGCATAGGCAAACGAAGAAATGATCACCTTCCGTAGATGAAGCAGCTATCCGCGACCAAGTAAAACAGTCTCGTGCGTCCTACGAAACTATTAGATATTTAGTATTGCTTTTTCATGCATGGATCTTTAAACAAACTGAGCCAAATTTACATGTATTATGGACGCGCTTAGCACGATTTGGTAATACCCTTCAGCTAAGCTTTCCCACACCGCGTCTATTCGAGTCCTCATAGGCCAGATTATATATTCATCCATATGATCCACCACTTACAAGAAGTTTTTGTGATGCTGCACAACCTCCAGACCGACGTCGTGATGCATATTCACAACGATCAAGGTCCCGGAAGAACCCCTCGTCTACAAATCAGAATCTAAATATATACGAAGTCTGTGGAGTAAGCACCGTAGAACTGAGATGAGGCACAGCAATCCTCTGTCAGCACCTGTCCCGAAATGGGCAGCACCGAACGCGCCAAGCGTCATAAATGCAGGTCCGACCCGAAGACCTGCGAGGAAGCGAGCCCTTCAAGGAGGTTCTTTTCCTAGATTCTAGATCGTCGGGTGTAGCATATTTTTCGCACGGGCCTTAGCCGGACGCGCAGTACGATCAGATTCTGCTTATAAATCTAGCCCATATCTTCACACGTTAGGCCCGACCGCCTGTCATATGATCTCGCGCAATTGCCCGGGTAATTTGAACATCGCTCAAGATGGAAAACGGTAAAACCGAAGGCTCCACAGCCGGAGAGCCGAAGACGAATGAGACTGGGAGCGGAGAGCTGAATGCTTCCGTCGCCGGGCTCACGGAGCAAGAGCAGGAAAGCTTCCAGTCATTCGTCAAAGAGTGTCGCGAAGCAGGGTTGCTCGAGCGCCCTGCTGGATTGACCGAAGAGGACACCGTCGATGGCCTGCACGACGACATCACTTTATTGTAGCGAAGCCTTCATAGTTCACGCAGCGGAACAACTCGCTGACTTTTGCTAGGCGGTTTCTCAGTGCTCGCTCATTCGATGTCCCCGGCGCTCTGAAGCAGTTCAAAGAAGCCCAGGCGATTCGGAGCTCTGCCAATACATCTGAGGCTTACGATAGCATTGACATTGACGATTTTGAATACCTGCGTGGCATAGTATGTACTCATGTTCTCATCAAGTCCTTGCTTCGAAGCATTCAATCGCCTTAGATGTTCATGGAAGAAGACTGACATCTCGCATTGTTAGTATCCCCATTGGTCAGGCCAGCGCACTAAACGAGGCCTGCCAATATGTCTCCTTGACGCGGCTAGTCGTAAGTATCTTCTAGGGTTACTCTTCCGATCCTAGCCTCACTGAAAGTATGATACTCGCATTCGCACCAGAGCTGTGCATGAGGAGTTACGGTCCTGACACAAGCGTATCTCGCGCTTAGCATAGTAATTACTAACATCAAATGTCGCAGTGGATGGTCAAAACCTCACAAAGTACCGCAGTTACAGTGCAACTCAGAACACATGTCGCGCAATCACCTCGCTCGACTATCTGACGCGCTTCGCACTCCCGCTCTGCTCCATGATGACAGACCGGCCTGAGCCCGAGAAGCCAGTCTCCGGCGCAGTATACCTCGCCGACATCGCCAACGCAAGCCTCAGACAAGCCTGGGGTCTCCGGGGATATGCACAGAGCACTTCGGCGCTGCTAGCGACGTGTTATCCGGAAGTAGTCGATCGGATCTATGTCCTCAACGCGCCGCCATACTTTCCTAAGATCTGGGCGTTTCTGAAGGGCTGGTTTGATCCGAAGACGGCGGATAAGCTGGTGATAGTGCCGCCCGCGGATGTCCTGTCTACGCTGCTGGACGTGATTGATATCGAGTGCATACCGGAACGGTATGGCGGAAAGTCGAGGGATGAGCATGGATTGGTGCCGCTTGTCAGCGGGTTGAAAGAGCTCCTGGGCGTGGATGAGTTGCCGGATGGCCCGATCAAGTGGACGATGCACGAAGGAAAACGGACTGCTGTCGCGGTGGGAGTGAGGGGAGGGGAGGCGCGCAAGGAAGTGATTGGCCCGAATCATGGTGCCGAAGCAACTGCCACTAGCACGAATGGTGTGGAGAAGAATAAAGATGAGACCGAGACGAGTGTTACTGAAAAGAGTGGTAGTGAGAACAAAGATGTGGAAAAGGAAAACATCGAAAAGCAAGAGGTCGACAAGAAAGATGTTGAGAAGAAGGATATCGAGAGGGAAGACATCGAGAAGAATGGTATGGAGACCGAGATTGTCAAGGCGGATGTTATCGAGGTTACTGCATAGGGTTTTAGAAAGGATATTGAGAACTTATAGAAATGCCATAGATAGAGATTAAGAGCCATGTATTTTCAGCGTGTTAGGTATATCGCAGCTGCAGTAGCCTTGTCGGAAATGGATACATCACTGCGCCCTCTCGCTTCGCAATTGCTCCTTTACGTATCCAGAGGTTAATCAACGCGAGGTGCGGTGGTAGAGTCTTTATGCCACAAGTAGTTGGGGGTCATAAGCCACACAGAACTAGGATCGATTCTTTGACTATGTCCGACTACACAAGAAGCTCGAAAACATATGATTAAAAAGAGAGATACGATAAAATTATCGACATCGGGCGCACTTCCAAAGACCTTAGCATAACAACCAGGAATAAATCCTGAGGTAGAACAAGTGCAAGTCGAAGAAGATATTGACAGAATCGGCTAACTCGACAGCTAGTATCCTTCTCATCACCAGCATCCCCAATACGAGAATTTTAAAGCCGCCAAAAGCTCTTGATGGGTGGAATATGGTCTCTATTGGACGCCGGTGGCGCTAAATAGGGTTCCAAAGCGTACTGTCTGTTGCACTGCTAGTACCTACAAAAAAAAGCTCGGGATCTTGAAGATTAGGACTGAGGCTTTGGAAGCTAGTGCCAGCTGTGGACTCAGCTCCGCCTCTGCTGGTCACGCTTAGAGACCCAGTGGCGCTGGTGCCGTCGTGACGGGAGGCAACTATCGTGACGCCAAGGACTTAGGTCTTACCTTAGCCGTTAACGAGACCGCGATGTTGGGGGCCGAAAATTATAAAGCGTGTACTTGAGTATTGAAGTATTTAGTCATTAAAGGCTCAAGCTAGAACAAGTCCTTCTACACACTACGCGCCATGAGTTATGCCACATGCCACATTAGCGTGTTTCATCGCAGTTGGAGTGAAAAAATTCATGATTGTAAGGTTAGTGAGAAATGCACGTTACATAGATGGTGGTGTGGCTGGGGCTATGTAGGTATCTGGAGATAACCTCAATTGCAACGACCCCTATTTGCCCTATTACAGCGGGTAGGCCAGTTTATCACATCACCTGCCTATTTGAGCAATTCGGTACTATGGATGCTGCATCAGGTCTTGCTATGACCATCATATTATTAGCATCTCATAAGTTTTAAATCGAAAAAGCAATGATTTGATCAACTCTTGTACAGTCAAATTGAGTCATGATGGATAACCACAGATGGTTAACAATATTGGGAAGGGCCGCTTAGCTGAGCAAGAGTTGGCGATGATGTCTACATGTATATAATCAAATAAATAGGAAATGATACGGGACTTACCATACTTTAGCGAGGTCCTGTTAATGTACACTAATGCGGTGGTAGGTAAGCAGAGCCTCATTCGAACAAGAACTAATTGGGCGCTTGGTATGACTCGATTTTGTTTGTGTCTATTATCAATCCAACTGACTAATCTGCCATACCACCCACCATCTCGAATCTTTCCAATCAACCGATATCATGCCCTTTCTGCCCTACCAGAATCCTGATCTCGGTTAAGCGTCTCATGGCTCTCAGCCCATCCCCAAAGCTCTGGAAAGGATTTCCTTCGTCCCATACCTTTTACCAGCACCCAATCAGACTAGGTCGCGTTAGGGTGCAACTAATGTAGAGTACCTAATACAGCCTGCTCGCCTGTTGATTAAGTAACTATATTTAGATCCTGGCCACGCTAGTAATCCTCCGTTTAGCTATAGGGCTGGGGTTATTTTGGCCCCCAAGCAGGGTGAACAGGCGATGTAGGAGGTTTCTTGAGAAACCTGACGCGCTAATCTAACATAAAGAGCAAGGAACACACCGAAAAGATGGCAAGTGGTTTAATAAGCGAGACCCCGAAACGGGTAGGATTCTGCCAACAATATATGGGACAGCCAGCCGCATCAGAAACTCCTGCGGAGTGTTTCATGGCAGTCGGCACCTTCTCAACTTATTCTTCTTCTTTTAACTAAAATACGGCTTTCGCTGTCTCATTTCTATCTATTCTCTTGTGTGGTGTGTTTCTCAGCGTCCTTATCAACTTAAAGCGATTCTCATTCTCTGAACCTCCACCATGGAGAAACCTATGTTTACGGTTCACTCTCAACGGGCTGAGTCGTGGACTAGTAACACGACGTACCATTCACTATATCAACACGACGACGATAAGAGGACCCTTATAAATCAGAACGGCGCCGGAGATTCATACGCACCGATCGAAGAGCCCAAGGCTGCGTTGAGTACACGGTTAAGATGGCTACACCCACTCGTTCATATCTTGCCTGTGATTGCAACCGCCGGCATCGTGCAGCTTAGTTTCCGGAATATCTATTGGGCTGACGATGGCCACTACTACAAAGATTGGCAAACGATATTGCAGTTTCCCGCAAAGATACACGAGATCCTTATAGTGGGCTCGCTTTCTGCTATGGTATTACAGTGAGTTTCATCCCTCAACCATGTTGGGGTCTCTCAGAGGGTACTAACCTTCTCATCCGTAGTATCTTCCGTCGTATGCTCATTGGTTCCGATGGCATACCTCTAGGACTTATGGTGGGAGCCTTTCAGATGGGATCGGCCGAATACTTGTTCAGCATGAGCTATTGGAAGCCGTTAATCTATAGCTTGAAGAACTTGCGGCGCAATCAACTAAAGACATTCTTAGTTGCCTTAGCCCTCGGGTCTTCGATCATATACAGCTTTTTGGTTGGTCCTGCTTCTGCCGCAGCTCTCCTCCCAAACCTCGGTTGGTGGCGTATGCGCAACCCCTTTGGCCATCGCCCGTTGAACAGCTACATCGGTCGGCAGGCTTCCGAGCTTTACCCCATGGAGTTAAAAGAAGCCAACATCTACGAAAATTGTTTGACAGTAGACTACTGGAGCTCGCTATCCTGCCCTGCGGGCGGATTTAATACCCTCTTTGACTGGGCCTGGACGCGACAACAGGAGGGATATTGGTACAACGTGACGGACAGTCAACACTACAATCCAACTATGCTCAGCTCCTTCTCTGGCCAAGCACAAAGGGACATTGTTACTAGCTTGTTAGGCTCAGGAGACTCTAAGACGAATGCAGCTTTAAGTGCGACGCTGCACTCGAGTTTGCTGGCGCTGACCGATGCTTTCTGGCATTATGTCAATTCTCACGCGGTGGGCAAGGTAAACAAGGCTCAACAGCCCAAGTTCCTTCTCGGAGAGGAGAGCGACATATCAATCCCTCTCGTACAGGTTCAGTGTCAATCCTATAACCTGGGAGCAGCAATTAATAATGAGGTGGATTTGACATTTGAAACTGGCGCAATAATCAAGGATTTCACAAAATCTGGATCAGACGCATACGCGGGGGTCGATTGGACGGTTCCAGACGAATCGTGGAATTACCCTCGCACTTTTTGGAATATGACCAATGTTACGTGGGTTGACGCTGCCTCGGTCGAAGGCAGTGACGGCCAAAAGTTGCCTTCGTCTCTCGCCGCCGTCGTGACCGTCCCAGCAGTCTGGTCCGTCTCAGGCTCCAATGGAACGATGGGATACCAGCAGGGCAGCGTCGTGGTCCCCTGCGTAATCGACGCACGATGGGCCAGGACGGACGTGTCGTTTGACATCACGGAATCTGTTGTCAGAACAGGTCTTACGGACTGGCTAGACAAGGCCAATCTCACAGCGGGCCACGTTAACGCTAAGGATTCACTGTCCAAGTGGAATATCGGCGAGCCTATCTCCATATCGCGTGACTGGGCGCATGCCATCAACTATATGAATGACCTGATCGATGGCGTCTTGGAACAAATCTTACAACAATTTGTGACCCCCTTTTCGACAGACGAGCCAGATCTCTTGAGCTTCGTTCCCACCTCCAGCAGCGACGAAGAGTGGACTAAGGTTTACGCTAATGGTATCTCCATCGTTCTCAGCACGGTGATAGCTGACTGGGTTTCGCGCACGGGTCTTGCACATACGAGTTTCACGACGGTGTTGTCACGCGAGAAGGATGGCAATGTGGACACCATCGACCTGCTCAATCAGAAGGACGCCAGCGGATTCAACAACGTGCCAGTCTCTTCCTTCGCGGACCAGACCGAAGTCATCTACAGAGTGGAGCGATACGGCTGGGGTTACGGCCTGAACTCCAAAACAATCTGGTTCTCGATCATCACTCTTTTGATACATGTCGTGCTCGTGATCGTATACTTTGCCTACTCGTTTATCTTCTGGCTACGCGCCAAGGGCTGGACTAGTCAAGCATGGGGATCTGTCGGCGAGTTCCTCGCATTGGCGGTCTCTTCACCTCCCGCAGATGAATTAAGGAACACGGGCGCCGGTATTGATAAATCTCAAACATGGATGACGGCGCTGCGGATTCGCGAAGCGGGTTCGGCCCAAGATAAACTTGAACTGATTGTTGGGATCAGGGGCGGTACTGTCGTGCCCAGTGATAACAGGTTAAAGATAGGCAAAAAGTATTCATGAGTCAGGCGACATAGTCATTATAGAGAATGGTTGGTAACGTTAAACGTTAATCAGTTAATCAATTAATCTAATTCGGATCAAAAATGAAAAATAAATCAAAACTTTTAAACTCCTTAGACAGATGAGCAAGTACGCCTGAAGCCTGCGCTTCGGCCCGCCGACGCGCTTATGGTGAGTATCACGTACAGATCAAGCTTAGAAAGCAGCCATTTTGCTCTCCGCCTCGTTCATCTTCTGCAAAGCTTCAGAAACTCGCGCAAGCGTTAGAGGATCAGCAAGACCACCTTCGTTTTTGGAGAGGTTCTCTTTCTTCTCCGAGAGCCACTTCTTCCACAGATTCCAGCGCTCAACACTCAGCAGACCAACTCCCTCTTTCCCCTTCTCGGCGTATGCCTCGCCAAAGCTCCAGAAAGCCTGCTCGGTCTCTCCTTCTGGCTCATCGGATTGTTTCAAGTATTCGAGGACTTTTTCTGCGCAGCGGATTATCCACTCGGTCGATATCCACATCTTAGCCTCAGGCACAGTTGCGCTGCTGTCGTATTTCTCCAGCGTGTAGCGCAAGTCCCATACCACGTAATGAGGCGTATCTGTGACACCAGAAGCGTATAGTTTGGCGAAAAAGGAGCATAGATTCGTCCATCTCGTGTAGTCGTCGCTGTAACGATCTGTAAGGAGACATTAAGTTAGCAAAATATTCAAAAAGCAAAATGATAGCTGCTACCATTGGTAGCTTTATACATACCTAGATTCTCTCTCTGTTTCATACTGAAATCGGGGAGCTCTTTCCACGAAAGCTCCTTTGCCTGTGTCTGAGTTAGCATTTGATTTGAGTGATCACTTAAGGATCTGATTGAACTGACGTTATCGCCCCGAGCGGGCAGGTTCTCGCGGCTCTTGAGAATTTTCAGGGCGTCGACCCAGATGTCTTGCCACACGTGGTGCGGCGGAATATAAGTGATCATTTCGAACATCATGTCCCAAGCCCACCCGAGGATTGCTTCGGGGTCTTCGTCTGCTTCGGCTGAGTTACAGAAGAAGACGATATCGTCCGATAGCCTCTGGGCCAGGACATCGGGTGCATCAGGAAATTGGAGGCTTGCTCTGAATACGTCGAAAATTGACTTTTCAGACTCAGTGAGCCCTTCGCCTTCCATGCGGTCAAAGAATGATGCCATTGTCGAATGAAAATGGAATGATAGATGATGGGTTGATGAGTTGATGAGAGGAAGAGGTGGTTAGGGAAACTGTGCAGTATTTATGGATGTCCACGGAACGAGCGAGCCGAATTCAAGAATGAATTGTTAAAGATAATGTCAATAAAAGGCTCTTTGAGTTGATAAAGAGCTCCTAAACAGCTCAGGCGTGTAATTCAAAGAGAAAGGGATACTCTCATCGCAGAAGAGGGCTCATGAATGAGTGAGTGAGTGAGGCAATGAAGACGACAAACGCTTCCAAGTTGGTTGCTAAAGGCCCCGCCACTGCACCAGAAGACGCCTACGCAGCGCTTAACGAACCCGCCTAAAGCTACCTGGAGCAGCTAGAGCATAGGGTACAAAACACGCTACCAACGCTGTAGGCTACAGCAATACCAACACTACAAAGCATCACCGTGTTTGCATCTACATGCAAATAATCATTTGAGACAAACCTACCAACTCAGCATCACTAGGTATACAGCTCCCTGCCCTATCCAAATTGACGGGCGATGTATTGAGAAATGAAGTAATGTCTTTTTCCAATGGGTGTTTACCGCCTAGAAGTAGCATGCGTAGCTTATTCCATGATGAATGTTGATGATAGCTACCGGCTGTTTGCATGACAGTCCCTGGTCACAGGGCAAACTGTTGGGTGTGATAATAAGATATCATCACAGCATCAATTTCTAGAAAATACCGTAGGATACATGTTGTTTCTCACCGATCCTGGTTCAGACTCACCTTTTTGATCAGGGGCATTAATCTCTCGTATCTTCTGTCTTCTGTCTTACTATCCATTATCCTGTGTGTGTCTTCTAGGCTAGGTACCTGAAACATCCTGTTGTTTGTTCAACCATTACCACCAGCTTCTCGACTGTCGATATGCCAGTAGAATTGGACACGATGGAAAATCGGCCGCTCGGAGCCTGATAGAAAGGTTGTGGTTCTGGAAGCCATCGAAAGCAAACCGCGAAGAACATTCTATTATCACCTACACTACGCGAGGGCAACCAAGTGTCTGCGTAGTCAGTCATTCTTTATTTCTAGCATGAGGTGTTAGAAACATATAAGATGGCGCAGTCGCTCTTCAAGTCTGTCTGTGAGTGTTACTTAGATCAGTACAATCCCAAGCCCTTCTTCGCATCTTAGACTTCATTCATAACAACCTTACCGCCTTTTTGAATCTTCCTTGCTCGTATCATGTCTGCACAAGAATCATCTGGATCGGCTCCTCCTGACTATTCACCCCCTCGACGTACACCTACAGATTCCTCCTACGTATGGAGCAACCCCCACCATCCTTGCTCTTGAACGATATATACTAACTCCGTATTAGTATGACTTAAATGGGACACCATGGGACTCGAAGCATCCAAATGGCCAGGACTGGGTGTATGCGAGAGAAGTTCGAGCACAACAAGCACAGGCTCCCCTTGAGGCCCCTCAGCGAGCAAAGTATCCATCGAAATTTGCGAACTTCGAAAAACTACCGCTCACCACGCCGGGAAAGCCCACTCCCAATGGTCGAACCCCAGCGGAATGGCTTCACTACCCAGTGATCCCCGGAACAACAACTACATACAATGATATGAGTCGCGCTCGACCTGGAGCTATGAGGACCTTCTACACCGAAGGAGATCGTTCCAACTTTGACGTCGGCTATCACGACCCAAAGACTAAAACCAGTACGGGCAAGGATGGTTTCTCATTGGCGAAATATGTTCCAGCATCGCCCAAATCGAACACCTAGATGGACAATGGACTTGGATGGAATCTGAGAGACAATGATGTATCTAATTTGAGACATGGACGTTGGCTGGACCAAGTCTAACAAGTCTGGCGTTCTGTAAGGGGTATGCACATTTTTCGGAGTATTCAATGTTAGGTTAATACACAAAACATCAATTCGGGAGAAATATTGTAAGCAGTGTTTTAGGTGAGATAAAAGCGTCATAAAGATAAGGATAACATGGCCATATCGAGAGTACAGCTAAGGCATGAACATGTATTAGACAATATGTGAGTACTAGTAATAGGAAATAGGGGAAGCATAAAGCTAACATTGAAGCCTTGAAGGAATTGTCGAGTCATAGAAGCGTAGCGAAACTTACCGTGTTCCCGCAAGCGCGGACTTTCCCAATGATTCGTGACTTTTGCAATAATTGTGTTAGTACTCTATATAGATTCAGGTAGAGCGAGCTACAAGATGTATCTTAAATATATACAATTTATTATCAGCAGCCAGGAAGGCATGATAGGCTGAGGAGATCCAAGAGAGCTTATCCCGCCCCCCACTCCTAATTCTATCTTCTTTTTCCATCTATCGTCGGACATAGTTATCTCATATCCCGTTATATCTACCCGTCAGTCTCTGCCACACTCCCACTTCTCACATCACCAATATGTGTTCACAAAACTAGGCTCCATGATATTAGTCACAGTCCGTGAGTCATAATCCCCAAACTGCGACGACTCGAATCCCATCATCACAGTGTCCCAGTCCTGCTGTCCCATCGGCAACGTGTCGGCGAATTGTTCCTGGTCCTGGTCTTGAGGGAGACCCTGATGCGCATTATCGTATTTCGCAGGGCCATTGCTTGATACAATGCGATCTGCAATATTGCGAAGGCTTTCGCATGCGCCGTGAACATTCCGGATGAGTGGTGATCTTTCAGCCACTGATGCTAGAACATTTGTCATTCTAGACAATAGCAACATGTCATCCCCTGAAGATGTCGCAATCGTGTGCCCAGCCAGCACAATGAACGGCCCCAGCGGAACAAGTGACAAGATACTGTATTGGTCTGTTAATCCTCACTCAATTCAGGATATGATGACCTGATTGGCCTGCTTGTGCCCACTTACACGTTCAAAAACGCTGTCCATCGATCAGCATGGCCCAGTGCCAACGCCTCTTCGCCGACTTTGAGAAGCATGGATAGTGCCACGCGCGCCTCGTTTACGCATTCTGTGGAACATTGCAGAGGACTTCCAACTATTAGTATTGTGCTCTTCAAATGGAATTAAAATGTTCAGACGCTGAAACTAAACGTCTTGAAATGACTTACTGGGCACCCAGAAACCCTGCTGGGAGAAATCGATATACAATTGCTAGCTGGCAGTGTAAAATAATGTGTAACGATGTGCTTAATCCCCCCGTGTTTCTATCGGCATGTAAGTTCATCGCTCCTCTTGCAAGGAGCAGGCAACGGATACGTACTTCGATTTCAGTGTACTCCAAGAAGGATCATCGGGAGATACCTAGGACAGGCCAAGTAAGCGGCGTTCTTCAATGCTAGATATGCTGCCGCATACTGTTTTCACATCGTCCAAAATCTGTGTAAGCCTGGCAGAAAGCCGTCTTACATGCTCAAGCCTAACTTGCTGCGACGATTTCTGCGCCACGACCGAGAACAGGCTTTCTTCGATATCGCCCATAGCTACGGCCATGAAAACGAAGGCGCGGTAAAGTCTAGCGTAAAGGCGTTAGCTACAGATACTTCTCCCATGCGGGATCATATGAATACTAACACGTTCCGTATGCCGTCCTTACCAGGCTCTACAATCACATTATAAAGGTCACTCGTAACATCAAAGTGGCGTATGGAGGGAGATTTCCCGCATGTCATGGCGAGCCCTTTTTCCCAAATATAGATGTGCCAGAAGATTGTCAGCTCTTTCCACGCGTAGTTTCCCTTGTTTCGATCGCTGCTGGTTAAACGATGTAGGCCCAGATCCAGAGCCGCTCGTGCCGCGCCGCTGGCCAATCTCCACGCAATCGTGCTGTGTCCTTGTTTGACGTAGAAGTTTACCTAGAGGATCAGAAGAAGTCGCTCAAAAATAAATTGAAGGTTCGATGCTCACTAGAACCGCGAGGGCGCGGCAGGATTCTAACGATGGCTCCGAACACAGACGGAGGCTCTGTAATGCGCGCTCTGCATTGGATCGTGGAATTGTGGCGTGCGCTCGCATCGCCTCGACCGTTGTCCCTAGGCTTTCACAGTTGGCCTCGTCAATGCCCATGAAGAGGTTGTAGAGGCCGACGTTGACGCATATCCACGTCCAAAGCGAAATCGGCTCTAGCGCGAAGTAAATGCTTCGACACATTTCTATGAATTCGTCTTCCGTAAAGAGGGGTAGATCGACGAAAGCTCGTTGTTCTTCGGTCTTAATCAGACGCAAGAGCTTGAGGGTGACGTCATTGGGTGGCAGCGGCATCTTGCTCAGTCCAGCGTTCCTAGGATCTGTAGAAGTATGGCCAGGCGACGCTGAGCGCTTGCCGTTGCCATTATCCAGGGGTATGCCCAGGGAGGTCTCAAGTTCAAATGGTGTGAGCGTGGCCCCTAGTGCTGTTTTGACCTGGTGAGCGTGAGATGTGAACGACGTATCTCCATCATAACCTTCCTGAACATCAGTTAAAACGGGCAATTGCTCGTCAATCATCGACTGTGGCGTGTAAGCCGATGCATCCGAAGAGGCTGTCTGTGAATTTGAAGCCAATAATCCCGTGTCTTTGCTCAGAACGTGAGCTTGGAGCATCTCCTTGACATCAGCGAGTTGACGACTGAGGTCTAGCACAGCATCTTCGTATCTGCCCGACAGGAGAACCCGCTGTCGCTTCTCACCAGTTCGGTGTGTAGTTCGGCACTAAAGTTCGTTGCAGCTGAGCACCTAGACTTTCGAGTGCAGAGGAGACAGTGTCAGACATAGCTTACTGGGACGTTGAGCGTGACACAGCTGGCGCATGGTGACTTTCGATCGCATTTGGTCTACCCTCAAGATCAACTTAATTGAAGAGGGATTGAGTTACAAAAATTTACCTACTTTGCGAGTTTTACACGCATCGCACTGCAAGTTTCATAGCACGGTTAACACCTAGTCTGGACGTTGGGCATAGATACGTGCGGTCAAAGGGGATCCTTACAGCAGGTCTTCGCTCCAACGCGGTACTTGGGTCCGTTTCGCTCATGGTGTATGATATATGTTTAGTTTACGTAAACCGTTAGATGATAGTGGTGAACGTACAAATTATTGAGCGTTGGTTTTAATATAGTTCTTAAGTCCAAGAACCATGACGCGTAATAGACCGCACTGACATAGTATGGTGGAACGGTATGAAGTGTTCCTAGCTATGTATTTGCGGACCCGTGTAGGGGCATGGGCAGTTTGCCGCGGTATCTAGATATCTAATTATGCTCGAACCACCCGAAACTGCGATTTTATGCAAGTACCTCGACTTCATCGCAGTGGGGCGAGACGTTAGCGCGCGGAAAAGACCAGACAAGGAACACTTTACGGAGTCCTCAACACAAGGGAATATCTAGATTAATTAGTGGAGAATGTAAGAACCACAGGGAGCTACGCACACTACCGTATACCATAGTTTCGACAATTTGACCGCTTGGCGGGCCCATGTTTTACCGTTTTAAAAGCTACTGACCCACGGATCTACAGCCTATCGATAGAGAGTTTAGTGTATATTCTCGGATTAATCTGAATCCGCTGCTATTAATAGTCATCAACCAAAGTCACATGATGAATTTCCCCATCATTAGCTAGACTTTGGAAGGTATGGCTTCGTATGTAAAAGATTGGGCCCGCCAAGCGGCGGAATTCTCGAAACTATCCGTACACTAGGCAGAAGTGAAGAACCGGCAGGGGTAAGAGATGAATGGCTCGCCTTGATGCCAAGTCCATATTTGAAACAGGCAGTTCAATCAATTCTAAGTAAGACCCGGGTTAGGATTTGAGTTTTATGCAGAGTCATGTATTCTTGTGTAAGACCTTAGAGCGAACCATGCTTAAAAGCAGTCTTATGCGGAGGAATCATATTGATGTATCTCCGTTCTATATCTCTCAATCTATATCTACCAAAACGAATGAAAAGTACGACAGGTTGAACTGAAGCAAGGTTGTCTTCAACTTGATATTACACAGTAGTACACCTACTGGACATTTTGAATCTTGAATCCGCCCGGAATGAGCGTCTGGAACACGCCGGTAGGGTCATATTTTGCCGCAACATCCTTCATGAACTCAATGTTCGAAGCCCCGTAAGTTCCCAGAGGGTTCTGGCCTGCGTCTGCGTAATTCATGTAAATAAATTCCATATCTCCTTGCACAGACTTGGCGAAGGCGACAACCTCGTCCTCCATCTCCATTAAGAGCGCATACGCCTCGTCACGCGGCGCATCGTCTGAAAACATCCCCACTCCAGCCGTGTATAGGAGAGCGTTGTTCGTTAAGTCATCGAGCCCGAGGACATTACCACCGCGTTGCTTACCGATCGACCAACGGTAGGAAGGCAGTGGCTGAAGGAACATCTGCGTGAAGAAGTCTTCGGGCGCCATCAGCTTTTTCAGAGACTCGACGAATTCTTCATGGCGTGTGACAACGTAGTTCGCGATCTGCTTGTCATTGCTGAATGTCAACGTCATGCCGTAACTCCTGACTTCTCGTTAGTCAATCAGTCTACCCAATTTTCGAATCACGATAACATACCAGGCGCCCGGTGCGACTTGAGACTGAGCAGCAGCGGTTGCAATATCTTCTACTAGAGTAAAATTTTGTAAAGCCGGTAGGGATCGTGCCTCATCAAAGGGCGTGGGGTTGTTTGTGATACCCTGAGTATTAACATGGACCGCAGCAGAAAATATCTCAGGGCTAGTGTCGGTATCGTGGCTGAAGAAGGTAAAAAAGGCATCGTCGGCTAACGACTCATCGGAGTCAGCAAAGCCAACAACTGCATCCACCATAGCATAAGAGTAGTTTTTGGACAAGAAACGTGTGTCGGTGAATATCAGCGGTGCTTGCACGGCCTCCATGTCGAATCGTGTGACAATACCGAAATTGTTACCGCCGCCCTTGAGAGCTTGCCACAAGTCGGCGTTCACCGTCCTGTTCGCATTGATGATGGTCCCGTTGGCTAACACGACCTCAAAATTGATCACACTATCGCACCCCCAGCCCTGCCGTCCAGAGTAGTACGAGTTGCCACCGCCTAGAAGAAAACCACCAACGCCAACATCGCCATCACGACCGCCGGTAACAGTGATGCCATGCTTGAAGAGCTCTTTGTATACATACTGCCACTTCCCGCCAGGCCCGATGCTTGCAATGTTGGTTTCAGCGTTATAGGACGTCGCATTCAAGGGGCTCAGGTCGATGGTTACGCCATTAGCGGTGCTACTAAACCCAGCCGCATTATGGCCGCCGCTGCGCACGGCAATGCTTGAGTTTCCACCGGCTATGGGTCCGCTCGTTAGCGCTGTAAGCGCAGTGGCAACTTCTTCGCGCGTATGAGGTAACACGAAGCAGTCTGCATTTTGGCGGCCGTTCTTTGCCCACCACGAATTCACTTCGGAGATATACCCTGCGTCGCCAGGCAAGATCAGTCGTTCACCGAGACCGGCAGCTTTCAAAGCATCGCACTGAGAGACCTCAGAATTAGCTTGATATCATGGTTTGTAATTAATCAGGGTTCGGCTTACTGGGGATGTCGTTGCTCCAGCTGCGACTCCGCGGAGTAGAGCAGTTGCGGCCACAGAGAATTTCAGCATGACGGATAGTTATTCCAGGTCTTTGAAAAAAGAACCAAAAACGAAGGTTTCTTTTAAGATATGAAGATACAAGAGCAGCTATATGAGTGCTTTCTTCTTTGATTTGTGTAGTGTTGAGTTCTTGCTATTAGTCGAGAGTGCTACTTCATTTATATTTACTTCCTTCCCCCTTTCTGTCACTTTCTTACTGATCTTCATCGGGGCAATGCTTTGGAGTTAGTAAGACTCAACCATGTTTTGCGTGGCATCCGCGTTAGACTGTGATGATTTGATCCTAGTGAGACTCGGCTCGGTGAGGCCATGAACAGACCACGAACAAACACATGAGTTGACATAGCTAGCGGTGGCCGAGGGCCCGGTGAGACAAAGTGTGAGCAAAATGACCCACAGCCGGGCCCTCGGCCAAACAGCCAAGATACAGTATTGTGCCATATCGAAGAAGATTTGACACTATTTGCAAGGCTTTCAATTTCGATTACGCATATCAGGGGCGTCAAGCAATACGAATTCTACTGACAGTACGGAGGTCGAGGTCATATATGCCCATCACCCTTTGTGCTGGTCTACCATGCCAAGCCTGATGTATATTTGCGACCGAAACCTACGTAAGCATGATGACTATGTCTAGAACTCCGGATCCTCGGGAACCACCCGATCCAGTATTGGTGAATAAACTAGTACTTCGTGGTCTGTTCGTCGAACATGCAACCCACTTGTTAGAGAACTGGGCTAGTATGGTATGGCTGTGCCAAGTCGGGTTATTTCGCAAATGCATGAAGACACGTCATTGACCGAAGAGTGTAATGTTGCGATACTTCGTAAGTAGAGTGCACGACACAATTAGATGTAGTTTATCATGACTATCGCATCACCACTAGACTATTGCATAAACACATGCAATTGCTTATGGAAGTAGGTAGGTAACATACATATGCCGGACAGGAGATGTTTTAATTAGAAAGGAATTATGGGATATGTAAAGTTGTAACAAAACAGGAGGGGGAAGTCATTAAATTCACTGTACTATGTATGCTATGTACTTTCATATCACAATTTCATAGGGACATTTCTACATTTTAAATTCGTTACACCAAGTAGGCCATACTTGCCTTGAAAGCGTAGCTAACAATGAATGGAGACTGAGATAACAGGCATAGAAGAGGAAAAAATGATAAGAAGAGCAAGAACAAAAGTTCAAAATGAAAGGCAAAAAATTCGTTTAGCTCTCGATCGGGGAATCGAACCCCGGCCACCTGCGCATGTATTATGAATGACAAGCAGGTATCCTAACCACTAGACCAATCGAGAGGTGTCTGTTGAGTTATGTGCGCTCTTTCCCTTTACACCATCTATATATTGAAATAACCGCACGTGGTAGACATCCTTTGAATCCATTCCGTTTTGGCTCCAACCTCAAAATAGTGAGACTCATATGTAGGCGATTATGGTAATAATATCTATGCGACACCTTGTGCAATGATAGGGTTCTAAGGAACACAAGAGATTTAGGCTCCCAGCTACACTATCTCGACTATGTTAGCTAGGTACTAGGTTAGTGGTTTGCTGCGGAAATATTCAGTAGGCGTAGGATATCTCCGCTCGGTGCTCGGGGCCAGCTTCGGCGCTCCTGTTCCACGCAGCTGTTATGACCGAGTAAGCTATCTAGCGACGATGACCGTCATGTCGAAGTGGCTCGATGCCAGTTCATGTACTGCATGCTTATACCCGAGGCCAGCTCTCCAGGCGTTACTTCCGCCAAAGACATCTTGGGCCCGTGTCATTTCGCAGATCTCGTGCGATGATCCGATTCACATACTGGCGTTCCGAGGATCTCCGGCGTCGCGCCTTGTGCCACGTGGTACGACATGCAGACTACGCGACGCAAATAGTGATGATCAAGTGTCACTTGCCACGAATATAAAGGCCGGCCATGGCGCCAGCAGTGTTGTTTCTTTGGGTGCTCCCCTCAGGCGAGGAAATTCCCGTGAACAATTCACAACCCCTCACCAGATATTGCCTAGGTCAGGGCCATAATTGTAAGAGAATACTGAGAAAACATCATGACTGCCAACACGCCTCGTCTTCGCGTAGCCGTTGTCGGCTCCGGCATCGCGGGTCTAGCAGCAGCCCGTGTTCTCCGGGAGAAGCACGATGTGACGGTATACGAGCGCGGGGAGCCATCAGTTGCAACCGGGGGCCAAGGTATCGCGAACTTTCCCAATTCGACGCACATTCTGGAGAGCATAGGCTTCGACTACAAATGTGCGGGCTCCGTTGAGCTGGGAGGATGGCACTCGGTTGATAAAAGCGGGAAGACAGTCTTCAGTTCGGATCATGATATGAGAGACCGATATGGTGCGCCCTTAGTCAGTCATATGCGCGTGGACTTCCGTACAGAATTATGTAAGTGGGTATATTATCTTTTCATCGTACTTCAAAGCATAGACTGCTTAAGGGGACTTCCCTCACTCGCACACCGCACGCTTGGGATAGCGGGACTAATTAGTCAATGCAGTGAGGCTGGCTACGGCTCCTGCTGAAGATTTGGGCCTTGATGCGACCGCGGTTCCTGCTATCACAGTGTGGAACAATGGGGCCGTCGATCTTGATCCTGAAGGTGGAAAGATCACGCTCGAGGACGGCTCTATCATTGAAGCAGATGTAGTCATAGGTAAGCCGCAGGCTAAGTCCTTTCATACTAGCTAGACAGGGAGTAATAAGAAGATCACAGTCGCGGACGGTATCCATTCTCGTCTACGCAATAAAATCCTTGACGAGACCGTCAACGCTCAAAAGACAGGGATGACATGCTGCCGCGTCGCTGTCTCTGCAGCGCAAGTCGAAGCAGCGCTAGGCAAGCTACCGCAATGGTGGCAGGCTCAGCGCGATACCGGCAAAGGCGTAATTCAGCTCATGGAAGCCCTAGACGGCACATCGCGGCTGGTGGTGACTTATCCGCTCAGAAACCTCTCGTGGATGAACATGTCGTGGGTCTTCCCCACTCAGGAGGAAAAGAAGTCCACGACAGAGTCGTGGAACGCAGATGGCGACAAAGAGGAGATCCTCAAAGTATACGATGATTTTGACGAGGATCTGAAAACGATGTTGCGGTGAGTTCTTTGGGGTAGAGCTTGAGGGTTGCCTTCTTACTGATGAGACTCAGAGTTGCCGACCAAGTCAAGCTCTGGGAATTGCAAGATCTCGAACCCTTGCCAACATGGACATCCGGGCGCGCAATCCTGATTGGTGACGCCGCCCATGCAATGACGCCATTGCAAGGACAAGGTAAGACTTGATATAACCTCGTACCTAGAACAGTGCTGATACGGACCCAAAGGTTCTAACATGGCCATCGAAGACGCGGATGGTCTCCGTCTCCTCACACAGCCCGGTGTCACACGGGATAGCGTGCCTGGGATTCTCCAGAAGGTCTCCAGTGTGAGAAAGCCCCGCGCCACGAGGGTCCTTGAGAACACGCGGTCTAGCACAAAGATTTCCAGCGCGGCTGACAGGTATGCGAGATTCGATGATAACTGTACGTACCCTGGCATATTCGGTGTCCTTCAACAGCAGCAAGCCACGACAGCTAGTGCTGCATGAAAATCTAGGCTTGAAAGTACTACCGATGATGAGGAGGTCATAATATCATTGCGCATCTATCTATACATAGGTACAGATTGATTTCATAGTTTGGGTTCACGTTAAGATATGCCCATGCCACATTGAAGCCTCACATATTCAAAAAAAAAAAAGGGGGGGGGGGGGGGGGGGATGTTGTGATAGACGTCCAAGGCGGCATGTTGCGCAACTCAATCGATTTTTCTTCATTTGTTGAGTAGGCCTTATTCAGGAACGATATTAGGAGATAACATATGAATCCATAGGCAAGTGTTCTACTAGGGCTAGTATGTGGCAGGTCCCAGTCTCAGTATATAATTTCATTCATATGTGAGACGTCATTAAGATCACCCGATAAGCTGGGCTAAGTAATGATACTGGTTCCCAAGGAAGCGGGATTTCCAGTGGCGGATCGTGATGTAGGACGGTATGATGCCTCGAACCACGTGAACCTGAGAACATAAGTGAGCCACGGATAATTCCGTCACAATGAGTCATTGACTTTGTCTTTCTCCTCAATGATATCTCACTGTTATCTTGTATATCGAGCTAACTTCCCGGAAGTACTTGATCAGCCATCCCTGATCGTGTTTAGCTTGAGCCTGAACCTTATATAAGACCATAATTTTGATCCTCGCACCAATAGTATCGCCTCGAGCGTCACGGCGTCAGTCTATCTCCGTTCGCGTCATGTTCTCATCACAAATGACGGATTGATATTGCCCAGTTATTAACTTGTTCTAACGACACTAGAGCCTCCCTCTAATATGTGAGACATAAACCCAGTACAGCGTAGTACCTCATCCTCCAAGTAATCTCTTTTCACCAACAAAACAACGCTCTCAACAATCGCTAATTCATACTCAAAAATGGGCGAACCAACTTACGTGGTGATGCCCATTCGGGCGGATGGATCCACGTCGCAGGAAAATGACAGGCAAAGTAAGGCCCTCCGACCTGACGACATAGCTACCCTCGTTATAACTCACTTTTACGTTTAGTGGCCACCGCCATCGAAGAGTCACTACATGAAAGACTACATCCCACTGAAGATGAACCAGCTGCTGGGCCTTTGAAGAAAGCTATAGGTAAGATACCTAATTTGTAGATGAAGGTGATTACAATGCTCACGCCCTGAGATCATAGCTCATCAAGATAGCCTATATAAGTATATCTCTGTGAGTCAATACCTCAACCAAATAATACAGACAGCTAACATTTCCTAGTGGGAGGACCCGGCTCGAAGTATCGGTTCGTACCTCGGGATTGTGGCGCTGATGTACGGAGTGCATTATCTTCATTGGGGACAGTGGCTTCTGAAGATGGGTGCAACTGCCCTTGGAGGTAACTTCATTCTGTCCGCAAGGGTCATGGAGAACTATAATTGACATGTAACATGCAGTAATGTCTCTCGCCTCTTTTGCGAGTCACTCGACTAGATCCGACTTTGTTGGACGCATGCGACCAGAGTATAAGACAGTGCCGGAGCCGACCCTAAACGCCACACTCAAGGATATCCACGACTTCGTACAGTACCTCGCAATTCAAGGACAGAAAATTCTCTACGGCGAGGACTTGAGCAAGACCTTTGGGGTGAGCCTCATTTAAACTCATACGGAAAGAACGATTCAAATTGACTGAACCCTAGGCTTTCCTCGGGCTTACGGGTTTATTCTGGCTGGCTAAGATCCTGACTCCCTTCGACCTGGAAGTTCTAGGCCTTAGTTCAGTCTACCTTGCTCCTCTCATATTGTCACCCAAAGCTCGTGAGACAGCTCAATGTGCCAAAGCCAACGCACAGAAGCTAGCTTATACAGCGAGCGACAGTGCTCAAGCTAATGCACAGGACCTGACCAATTCAGCAGCCAAGAGTGCCAAAGGGGCGGTCAACGATGTTAAAGCCAAGTCAGCAGATATATCATCTAGGTCCCAAGAGGCTGCCGGGAATTTGGCCTCAGGAGCTCAGCAAGGCGCCAAGAACCTGGCGTCTAGTACGCAGCAAACCGCTTCAGATTTGTCATCTGGAGCGCAAGGAACTGCGGGAAATCTGGCCTTAGGGACTCAAAAAGGCGCCAAAAATCTAGCATCCAATACCCAACAAGGTGCTAAGAACCTCGCATCCAGTACACAGCAAGCCGCTTCTAGCTTGTCCTCAGGGACGCAAGAGACTGTTGGGAACCTGGCTTCAGGAGCTCAACAAGGTGCTAGGAACGTGTCATCTAGTACCCAACAAGGCGCCAAGAACCTGGCGTCGGGTACGCAGCAAACTGCGTCAAATTTGTCCTCTGGGACTCAGGAGACTGTAGGGAACTTGGCGTCAGGGGCTCAGCAAGGTGCCAGGAATGTGTCGTCTGGCACCCAACAAACCGCTTCGAGTGTGTCGTCCGGGGCGCAAAGCATGGCCGGGAATCTATCTTCGGGGGTACAACGGATTGCCGGGGGAGTTTTGCCCGAGAAGTCTACGGCTAGGAACTCGTCAACCCGCTATGAACAGCCCAACGCGAATATACAGACCCGTCCAGCGGACGTTGTTCTGGATGACAGCTCTGCTGTTGCTGACAGATTCGCTTTCCAGCATCATGTCCAAAAGGACTAAGGTCAGTGAGGCGCGGTCTTATCTTCAACGCGAAACTCGAAGAACTATGATTACTGGGGTTACCATCGAAATATGTGTTATGTGTAGCACACAGTTGTCCGCACCAATCATTACATACAGTCTGAGATGTGTCGCAATTCGGCTCTGTGGTCCGTATTAGAGGTTCCGGCCGTTCTATGGCTGAAGGAGGGAATTAGGTCATGTCTCTACTACTTTGTACGACTTATATAAAATAAACATGTGGTTTGTATATCCATCTGTGAAGGGATAGTATACTCCGTCGTTATAGGTTGCTTTCCGAAATTATTGGATAGTGTTGCACGCGTACAAGCTGAATATACAGTTTGCCTTGCACTTCGGCCGTACGAGAGACCATAGCAGGCTGTTCATGATTATTCAAAGACATAGGCAATATTGGAAAGTGAGGTTATACAGACTTCGCTTCTTGAAACAAGCCCTTGAGACCTAGGCGGGCTGGGCTGGCAGACCACTTGTATATAGAGTCGAGTCAAGCCACCAATGTCAAGAAGGAATTGGTTGCTCAAGGACTGATGCGGCCCTAATTGACCATTGTATTGTGTTCGCCCGCTATGCTTTGTAGCTACTCAATCAACATGCTCAACGTTTGAGGCAGACATGATTCCTGTCAATCCTAGTCCACAAAAAGAGGATGTTGTTTCATTCCATTGTGGCATACACACACATCAACATGTAGGTAACACCACAAACGTAGAAAGGGTTCTGATCCTATCTCTTAGCTTGCTCTCAGAATCTCCTTTAATGCATCGAACTTATTCTGACCCATTTTCGGGAGGTCGTAATCATGACCACAGAACGGGTATCGGCAGCTGATATTAGCTATTTCAAGGAATTCCTCGTCGACAAAGGGGCAATTGCGGATGTATTGCCATGTCAACTCAGGGTTTGCTCGCGAAGAAGAGCCGGTCCGCAAGATACGGAATCCCACCAATTCGACTCGTGTGAGATGTGGGAACTGTTCTTCAGTGAGTACTGCAAGCAACCGATGGAGGAAGGCCGAAGTTAGGTCAAAACACATGGGGCGGTAGGTGAATTTCAACCGCATCCGACCTGTACCACACACGGTGCGCAGCACCTCGTCTCCGCAGTGGTATATGGGATTTTCTCCCAATCCAATGGATAGAGATTTGAGTGTATCTTTCGTGCTACAGTTATATCCGTGGTCAGCCGAGTGCTTATGTTGTACACTTGCTCGTCTGAGAAATGAACAGGGTCAACGCGACAACTCCCATACCTCTGAATGAATTGAACTGTTTCGTTAAACATGGTATTGTAGTTACGTTGGTCAAGCGTATGGGTAGCAGGGATCAGCCTAATTTGAAAATGGGTCATTGAGCTCAAGCATTGTTGACGCAGCAAGCGCAAGGGAAACCACATTGGCCCAGGAAAGATAGCAGCTTGGCCTCGCTCTTGCCGCGCCCAAAGCTCATCATCAATACCAATGCTATCGTAAGGATTGCCAGACCTATGGGCGTATTGGCGGGCCAATCCACTCGGTATTGGTTGGCCGTCAGGTAAAGCACCTTCATCCTCCAAGTAATGAAGTTCAAGAGAGGCCAGCTTGGACGCATTGAGTGAGGAGACTATGGCTTTCACCAGTCCACGGTGCATCCATCCCACAAGACGGAGGCGAGTAACGGCGGGAAAGAGCCTGGAAGGGTTCTGTCGAATGAAGGGTTCATAGCCGCCGATCTCATGCAGCGATGCGAGGTCCAGGTATCTGACGTTTCGCAAAAGAGCAAATACATCCCAAGTGCGCAGGTCAATCTTTGATAGTTCCTGCTCGCCAAAGTCAATCCATATGAGAGTCCAAGCCAAAGCCTTCACGTATATCGCGAGCTCGGGACGATCAGTCATAAGACGAAGAAACGCCCTCTGACGTGTGACCAGGTTCCCAGGCCGGTATCTATCAGAGTAGTCGGCCATGACAAGGCTAACCGGGGGGAAATCCTCGTCCTCATACTCAGGAAGCCGACCGTTGTTGTGGCTGCTGAGATCGACACGGCTAAGCAAGGTAGGAAGAGAGACGTTTCGCCATTTGCGAGAGACCAGCCCGATAGTGGCGAGGGTATTCGTGTCGCCAATTAGTTGTTCAAAGACTAGCCAAAAGATGTCAATAGGAAGACCCTCTTCGAAGGCCATGGCTCATGTCTGTGTGAGAAAGCCGCGGTGGGCGTATCTGGGTATCTAGGTAGCTGGCTAGCAAGATGCTAAAATGACTTGCCAAACCACATCTGCTTGACGCGATTAACTAATATCTATATTAGGAAACTGGTAGCCAACTGCAGAGGTGAGCTTGATGTTGGGACATGGGACAAACCTAAGACTCAGTACCTAATTGGGTACATCCAGATCTAGTGTCTTTCTTCAATATCGGCTCAGTACATGCCCTGAATAGCCACTCAATAAGTAAACAAGCAGTAACAAGAACATATAACTGCAGCTACCTACCGAGCTCGCACTATTCGAAAACGAGAGGTACTGAGCTAACGTAGAAGATCCTGTGAATAGGTGGAAGAGCCAACGTTTAGCGTTTGGCGTTATAATAGGTACCTAGGTAGGTGTTATATTTGCAGTGAGTTTAGCGGCTTACTCTGCTATAATTCTAGCGGTCTATGCTAATCGCAGCCTACCTAGTGTACCTACCAGAACCTACCTAGGTACCTACCTACCTACGGAACAAACAACATCTAAGGTCACTTTCTAGTCACTTTCTAGTCACACACAGATATACGTGTCTGTCCACCTGGTCGTCCCGGAAGAAGACCGGGCAGAACGTTATGCTCGTAGCCGTCTCGAACTGGTATTTGGGTTCGATATATGTCTGTTCATCAGTCTTGTAGGGAATCCCTGTGATGGCATGCGCGGCCCCATCACCCACCCTGTGGTGGAAGTCAGAAGATCATGATCATCAAGAAAGGGGAAGGGCAGGGCGAAGCCACAGGGGAGAGCCTACCCGCAGTAAAGCGCTGAATTGTCTCGATTCATGACATGGTTGTCAGCATTGCATATAAACCGAAGGAGCCCAGGCCCCTTCTGCTCGCGGGTACCAGGTGGTGATACCGCTCTCTTAGTCACTAGGTTAAAAGACTCCTTCACGAAGTCGATTCGATGGTCCTGGCCATTGAACATCTGGGCAAACGCAGGATCCGTGTTGAAGATATACTTTCGGTTGCCCGTGTTCACAGTCCTACCAACCGGGTTTGGAAGTCCATTCTGAAGCTCTTGGAGATGTTCGAATGTCCATCCAGCTAGTTCGATGCTGTGTTGGAACGTGTTTACAATCTTGGTGCGGTGGTTCGGATCAGAACAGCTTTCATCCCAATCGAACCACCGGTTATCTGCTTCCTTGGGACCCACGCCAGTTAAGACTCGTGACTTGGGTGTAGTATTTCCCGTGACGTGATCTTGGTGACCGGGCTCATTATCTAGATTCGTCAATTGTTGCTCAACTCTGGCGACAAGCGCATGTCCTACAGCGATAGCTGAAGATAAGAAGAAAAGAGTAAGTGGTTTCATTGTGAGTCTAGTTCATGCGTAAGAGAGTCACAGATAGATCTCATGCGTTTAATTACCATTCTCAAGCACAACCTCAGCCATGGCTCTTTATATCTCTTAGCCATCTTGATCTAGCATTGGGCGTGCCCCAATGGTAGCTATATGTTTGTTCAACCACAAATCTGCTCAAAATATCTCTCAACTACTTACTGAAGATTTGTATCTGGTGTATGATAGCCTTCTAAGTATCTCGATAAAAATAGCGTTCTACATATAGCAAATAACAACCGAAGCAAGTAGCCTTTCAAACGTACTTGGAAGGAGACGCGGTTCAAGATGTGATAGGTGATGTCCGTGCTTGTTGGTCCAGCCCCGCCGGAGAATTGAAGCTGTAGATAGATAATACATGCCCATGAGCATGACGGGGTCGGTTTGCCTGTATTACACAGAGAATGGATGGCGTAGATGTTGGTATCTGGTTGGCGATAAGCGAAGTTTATACTGTTCTAATAATAATCAGTGGCTTCTGGTGGCACTCGCAGCAACCTACGCAAAGATATCCAGAGCAATGTGTTGTATTGTATGAGTAATATGCAGCTACCTGTATTGGCTATGTTGTTGTTGCAAACACTCAATCTAGAAGCGCTGATACGTGATCATCTATCACTCTCTATTCGAGTGCTCATCATCTGGTCTAGCCAGTGATTTCAGTGACAACGGTACATGGGTGTCGGATGGGTACTCAAGGCATCTAGATATATGTTATATGCCTCACTCTGAGAGTGCGTTAGATCCCTAGAATCATTCAATGCATGTGAAATATTGTATTGTATCTCTCACATATTCAGGACTTTCAAGAGCACCCCATCGTTCGGAACGCTAGCAAACGGGTTCGCCACAAGCCGACGATCATGTATCTAGGTGAGTGTTTGTAGAATAGAAAGACTTTCGGTAATGCTCCCATCATTTAATTGGCAAGGCCATCTTACGTGAAGTACAGCCGTAAGTGAATACGAACGGCGCCGTGAGATAAGGCGTCCTTTATAGACCGCCCCGTGTGAGTGAAGATTGCCGAATATCATCTCGCCGCCGCAGTTTCGGCCGTTAGCTACATTAATACATTCTTAGAAAGGGGTTGCTCGATGATACCTTATGCGTCTGTAGATCTAAGCATGTTGGTCCACCTAGCAGAACTTGTTATTAGTAGCCTGCTTTTCTGCTGAGCATGATGAAATACTCTGTATAGGATTCAAAAATAGAAGCTTAACAACGTAACGGGGAACATGTGTCCCGTGTTTGAACTTGTTGGTCATCGTCAAGAAGTTGTTGGTATTCACCTTAGGAGGTGTTGGTTCTTTTTGGATGTACCCCCTGCCCAATGCTACCATGAATCCATTTTCATGAGAAAACAATCATTACTGCTTACATACTTGGCGCATTAACGGCATATATGTATCGTTCTGGGAATTAATTACTTCTATGTATATATAAACCCACCTGGCAATATCAGTTGGCGTGGGTTCCATACGCCAACTAATCAGGCATTCCATAACTTCAGCCCCCTATTTCTATGATGTTCGATCAACGAAATATCTCCGTGAAGTGGCTAATAGCCTATCTGCTCTTTTATAATGTGTCCGAAGTTTCTGCCCGACGAAACCGCCGGCAAGCAGCGGAGTCCACTGCAACATCCAACATACCATCCATTACACCTGTTACTTCAACCGCTACCGTCGACGGGCAACTTGTCACTGCAACTTACACACCCACATCAATCTCTATCACAGGTCTTGCTCCCCCAATAACCGCCGCCACAACAGTCACGACAACTGATGCGACCGGCGCAACGGTTGCCGTTGCCGTTGGAGTGGGGGCTGGCATCGTTGCTGGTGGAGCTCTGGCTGGATGGTTATTCAAACCTGTGCCAGGTATGCCACCAGCGCCAACCACGCCACCGGCTTATACGACTTCAGTCCAAGATCCTCAACCGGAATCCACCACTACCTCTGAGCAAACAACTACAAGTAGTCTTTCGGCCTGTCCATTCTCCACCTAGGGTTCTCACCTTCAGTTTTCGCCGGCAGCTCAGCAGCCAACATGGACGGCCAAGATACCATCTCAGACTGGTAGCACCCACCATCCGCAGTGCACTCCGTCTGGGGATAAGCAAAAACCCTGCCTCACAACCACCCCCCGTCACGACCAGGGCCCTAGGCACCCTAAAACGCGCTTTAACTCCCAACCATTTAATTAAACATTATTTAATAATGCGACTGCGTTTAAGTTTTACGATAACTTTTTACCCTTATTTTATTTAAAATTAATTCCTCTTTATCGTTATATCTTTTAATTTTAAAAATTATTATACTATAATTGCTATTTATATAATTTAACTTAAAATTTTAATTTAAATAATAATATATATTTAAGGCATTAATAAATTATATTTATATTATTAGCTTTAAGGTATTTTTATTAAAAAATAAACCTATATTAACCTTTAAGCTTTATTAACCTATTATAAATATTAATTAATAAATTAAATAATAAAATAAATTAAATTAAGCTTTATATCTTTACTTTTTAAATTTAAACTTATAATTAAATATATATTAATTGCTTTAAATAATAATAAAAGCTTTAAAAAAAAGTAATATATATATTTTTTAATTTAAAATAATAAGGTTAAATTAATTAAATTATAATTTATTAATTATATATATATTAATAATATAATAATAATTAATATTAATTTTTTTTAATTACTTTAAAGCTTTAAAAATTATAAATATCTTTTTTAATTATTTTTATAATATTAATAAAATAGGTATAAATTAAAGTATTAATAATAATTATTAAATAATTATTAACTTTATTTTATATTAAACTTTTAAAAAAACTATTAAAAAAAATAAATAAATTATTATTTTTAAAGTTATTAATATTATTAATAATACTTTATTACTATTAATAATTTAAAAGGGTATATAAATATAAAATTAATAATTTTTAAATTAAAATTAAAATTTATTTAAAAATTAATGCTTTAAATATTTATTTAATAAATAAATTAATAATTTTATAATATTAAAATAATTATAAAACCTTCTTATACTTTATATTTAAAGTTATTATAATAATATATAATATATATTAATATATAATAGTTATAAATTATATATTAATAATAAATTTCTTTAAATTTAGCTTTTATTTTATAAACTTTATTATAATTATATATTATAATTATTAAATATTAAAATTTTTAATTTATTAAAAAAAAGTTAAAAAATAAATTATAAAAAATATTTATAAATTATTTAAAAATAAAACCTTTAAAAAAATATATATATTAATAATATATAAAGTTATATATAAAAATATAATAAAGTTAAATATATTAAAAAAAGTATAAAAAATAATTAAAATATATTTAATTTATTAAAAATAGCTTTAAAAATAATAATTAAAATATCTTTTAAAAGTTAATAATTATAAATTAATATATAAAAATTAACTTAAACCTTCCTTTTATTTAATAATTTATTATAAAGGTTATTTTTTATAAAGGTTAATAAAGCCTTTAATAAAAAGGCTAAAATTATTATATTTTTATAAATAAAGATTAAAGTATTAAAAGTTAAACTTTTAAAAAAATATTAAGGTTAAATAAAAAGTAATTAAAATAGGTCCTAATAATAACTTTATTTATATAATATATATATAAAAGGTAAAATATAAATTATATAATTGTTTAATATATATTAATAAAACCATTAATCGATATATTTTAAAACGTAAGGATACCGATATAAAAAAGGTTATTAAGGTTAAAAACAATAGATCTAATTAAAAATACTAAAAAAAGCATCGCGAACAATATATTCGTTGAGAAAATCGCTTTAGAAGTTGGGTAATTAGTAGGTAGGGGGGGTGGTCGTGAGGCAGGGTTTTTGCTTAATGGTCAGCTAGCTCACAGAGCTGACCCAGGATTCATCGAGGAACTCACTGCAGTCTTTTGCAAGACTGATCAGTCCAGAGACGAAACGTAAACGATTGGTAAAGATGACCTTCCCGATGACTCAACCTGGAAGCGGGACAGTGGCCCAGAGGGGGAAGTGAAGTTCACATTCGACTTCAAAAGTAATGCCAAAGGATGTGCCGAGCATTGCCAGGGTGCATATCAAGACTTAATCTCTGGCTATAAGAGTCATAGCTTAAATCTTACTAGTATAACAAGGGCTCTTATAAAGGGCTTGGAACTTAGTCATATTCATTAATAATCTACTAGGGGTCTTTAAGGCCTTAATCTCTTTTTCTCCTTCTCCTATCCTAGAGTAAGAAATTCCTTAGCTATTTATGCTTATTTAAGCCTTATACAATCTATAACTCCCTTCTAACTATTGGGCATTTATACCTTAACTGTTGGTCTTTTTATAGCTAATAGATTATTTTTATCTAATCGCTTATAGCTTTACTTTCCTTTATAGGTCGTATTGGTTATTTTCGGTTCTGAAGTTTTGGCCGTATGATACTATCTCCCTCCTTTTTAATGTTCGACTTTAAGTATAACTTAATTCTTTAAGTAGATTATAAGTTTAAAGTTACGATAGTTCGGGGGTCCATTAGTTTGCCGGGATTCTATTAATAGAACTATTTAATAAAAGCCTTTATGTTAATACTATCTATATATTTATAGGGTTCCTAAATTTAATGCCTTTTAGTTGGCTAACCTTTCCATTTAATTAGGTACTTTATATTCCCTTAGGTTTTTAAGGAATCCTTAATTTCTTCCATTTAATAGTCTTCGGACTTTATTGGAGGTGCTTCCTATAGAACCTAGTCAGGGTTAGGCAGTACCTAATTGCTAGCGCGGTAGGGCTTAATAAGCAAAATGTAGAATGAATTATAGATTCTCTAACCTTTGGATAATATAAGTCTAATAGCGATAGGTAAGATTACCTTACGGATTTTAAAGGGACTAAGCATCTTTTTATTTAGCTTTTTAATAGGTTTTTTTGTTTTAATATTTTTTACGTTTAATATTACTAATTGGTTTTTAGCATATTGGGGCGGAGCTCCTTATCTTTTATCCGCCTATTTTTTTATATATTATTGGGCCTTTTCCAACTGTTCCTTAGCTTCCTTATATACCTGTATTATCTAGTAGGTATATAGCCTGCTAAACGGGTTATAGGGTTATACTATAAGAAGGTTATATATAACTAAGTAATAGCTGTAATTTATATAAAAGGGGAATATATATATCGAGGCTGATATAGTATTATTATATATAAATTTAATAATTAATAGAAGGTTTTCCCAATTGGACATTTTATAATTAATAAACGTTTAAAGGTAAATTTTAAAAATCTAGTTAAGCCGTTTTATTTATCCGTTAGTTTAGGGATGGAAGGTTATACTTATATAGGGTTTAATACTAATAAGTTTTAAAAAGTTCTTTTATAAATAGCTTATAAATCTAAAATTTTTATTAAAAATTATATTAAGGGGTATACTATATAATTTCTAATAATGCTTAACGAAGATTTTAATAAAATCTTTAATTTTTTTCTCCTTAATTTTTAGAGGTATAAAGTATTCCATTTTTATAAAGGGATCTATTATTACTTAAATAGAGTTATAGCTATTGGATAAAGGTAGGTTAATAATAAAGTCTATTATAATTAATTGCTATAAAGTATAGTATAATTTTATAGGTTAAAGTAATCTATAGGGGGCGTATCGTAGGGCCTTGTTTTATTGGTAAGTATAGCAGCTTTATATAAAGTCCCTTATGGTTGCCTTAATATTGGGCCACCAAAAGTTTCTTATAATAAGTTCTAACATTTTATCCATTCCTATATGCCTAACTATTTATATATTATACTTTATTTTTATTATTTTTTATTATATAACTATAGGTACCTATAGGCATCCCTTCCTATATAATAGGTTATTTATAAGTTTTATACCTTTAAAAGGCTTATCCTTTTATAGGTAGTACTTTAAGTCGTCCTTCGCTACTTTTTTAACGAGCTTAATAAATTTTAATAGCTATTTAAGTATAAAAAGGCTATAAAATCATTTAGAGGTTAATAATATAAACGCTACTAAGTCGAACATTAATCCTTTAAAATATAAAAAATATTTATCCTATAAAACTAACTTAACCGGTTAATCTTTATTCCCCCCTTTCTTAAGGTAATATTAAACTAATCTTAATATAATATTAGCCTTTTCGTTTAATTTACCAGATTAATAATTTATTATAAACTAGTACGTTAATAGTTGCTATGCCCAACAGACCTATCGTCTATTTAGGACTTTAACTGTTATAAAATATAACAGGTTTTAATAGTTAAAGTAGATTTTAATCCGGTATTAAACGCCTTTTAAATACTAACGCCACTGGTTAAATCTATCCACTATTATAAGTAGCTCTTTATTATATATCTTATAATTCATTTCCACCGGTATTAACTTCCGGAAGTAAAAGGCAACGGGGTGGAGTTTACTATCATCATCCTTTTATAATAATACAGCTCTAAAGGCAAAGTTAAAAGTATCGGTTTTAATATAAGCTACTTTAAAAGGGTTAAAATGGATAAATATAGGGGCTATAATAAAACGGTACTTAAGCTTAAAAAAAGCTTCATTTATAACTTCTATCCATTTCTATTATTATTAATCCATTTTATTTACATCCATTAATAGTTTCACAATTAATAAGAACTTTTTAATAAATCTTTAATAAAAGTTTACAAATTTAATAAATTGTTATAATTTATACAAAATAGCTAATACTTCCCATTTAATAATATAGTTAATCTTATTTTAAGCTATTAAAATACTGTTAACACTAATAACGTATCTAAGGAATTTAATTTCGTATATGCGCCATTTACATTTCTAGGGTACCACTGCCAGATTATACTTACTAAAGCGTTATAATACCTTTTTAACTATTCTATTATATTCCTCCTTTATTTCTATATAGATTAGGAGGTTATTAAGGTATATAAATAGCCCTACGTTAATAAGGTCCTAAAAGATATAATTTATTATAGATTAAAACATTATAGGAATATTAATAAGTCCCATAGGTATAATTATATATTTAAAAAGTCTATATTTATAACGGAACGCTATCTTCTATTTATAACCCTCTTTAATTTTAATTAAATAAAATCCGGATTTTAGGTCGATTTTAGTAAACTATTTAGCCTTCCAAAATCTAGCCTAAAGTTTTACAATAAGGGGAATAGGATACCTTACCAATATTATAATAGTATTAAAGCCTTAATAATCCACAACGGGGTATAATAGATTATTCGGATCTTTCTTTTCTATAAATATAAGGGGTACCCTATATAATACAATAAATTTATAAATACAATTAATTTTAAACATTTTATCCAACTATAGTTTAAACATATCTAGTTCGTAATTATTTATAGCGTAAAGGGGTCCTTAAAGTAAAGCCTTCCCATCTATAAGGTTAATTGCGTAATTCTAAAGTTAGTAGTTAGGCAACCGTTATACTGCTACTTTAATCATAATTAGGAGGAATTCCTTAAATTCTTCAGGGACTTATTCCATTGCTGCCTTAATAGCTACCTAAAGTATAATCGTTATAACCTTAATAATCCCCAGGTTAAGGATAATTTAACTAATACAATTTTTACAATAATACTTAAATATAAACACGATTTTTTTTATATCTTTAAAAAAATAAGCAGGCTAATATTTTTCTATTTATTATTAAGGTAGGATAATATTACAATCCTTATTAAAAATATTTAATTTAAAGCTAAACCTTATAAAATAGTCTTCTTAATATTAGAAAATAATTTATTCCATATAATACCATCCTACTTTTTATATATATATTATATCGAAGGCTAGTATAGGTTTAGGGTATACTTTTTTAATAAAAAGTAGCTTCTATTATCTAGCCTTTAAAAAAGACATTATAGAAATAATGCTACCTATATCTAAAAGCACCCTAATTAGGTATTCCTAGTTATTATATAGTAGGGTCATAAGAATAATAGGCCTACAACCTATTCTAAGTTTTAAACTAGCCTTCTTTTAAGCTAGTTTAGGAAGTTTATTTCCTACTTATTTAGTTATACTAATGTAGAAAAAGTTACCTTTTTAAAGGTTTAAATTCCTATACGGTACTTCGTAAGGCCTAATTAAAAATCCAAATCTAATTCCTCTATTTCTATATATTATATAGGATTAATTACCTTTATAGTAATAGTATTAATTTTAATTCGTTTAGCTATAGATAATAGTTCTGCATTATTATTAAGCCTTCTTTTAATAAAAGAGGTTTTTTTAAAAGCTAAAGGAAATTCCTTTCCGTTAATATCCTTTTTAATGTAGTAGGTAAGGGTATAATAATTATTCCTATTATATCGCTAATAATTAATTTTATCTTATTTTCGTTTATTAATAATAGCCTAATCGATCCTCTTTAACGTAGCTATAATATTAAGCTAGTAATTATCTTTAGGATTAATTTTAAGCTTATTTAACTTTTTACTAGTAGGTTTCCTTTCCTTATCCTTTTTTAAGGATTAGTTTAGGCTTAAGTTAAAGCGATTTTTTTTACTTTAATTTTAATAGCTTAATTTTAATTACTCCTTTATTAAATTAGGTACGCCTTTTAAAGATAGCCTAAGGTATATTAATATATTTTTATAAATAATGCTAACTTTTTAAATTATATTAAAAAATTTACTATTATTCTTAAAAATATAGCCCCAATTATAATAAACTATTTTTATAAGTTTAAATAGTAAACATTTAATAATAAAGATTTAAAATATTAAACTAAACTATTTTATTAAATTATTATAGTTAAGGATTTTAGTAAAAAATTAAGCAATATTATTAAAATATTTTACTTTTATAAAAGTATTAGCATTTTAATATATTGTTAATAGATCTTTAAACCGTACTTTTAAAACTATTCGATAAGCTACCCAAGTATTAATAACATTAATATAATGGATTTACTTTTAATAAGATTAATATTATTATAAAGCTTTATTTATTATAAAAAAATTAATTTAATTAATATAATGCTTATTAAAGGGAAAACTTTTTATATATATAAATATATAATCCCTAACTTTAACCTATTATAAAAAAAACTTAAAAATATCCTTTTTATTATAAATATAAGGCTTATTAAGTTAAATAAAATTAAATATTATAGTTATAAAACTAATATTTCTAAATATAGCTAAAAAGGTATACGTTAATTTATTAATAAAAGGGCTAAGGGGATTATTGTTATCCAAATTTCCTCTAGGTCCTCCATTAGGATTTCGAAGTAGCCCTTAAGGTAATCCTTTAAGTGGACCACAGAGGGGTTATCCCTTAAAGGGGTTATTATTATTGTTAAAGCTATTAGGGTTTCCTCTTAGGTTACCTTCGAGCAGCGGGGCAACTTTGGTAAGGATTCCCGGAAAAATTTTCGTTATTATATATTAAGCTCGAAAAGCCCAAATAATTAATTAGGCCTTTACTACCTACAATATTTTATTATTAATTTATTATTACAAAATAGCTTTTAATAATAAATACTTTATAATAAAATAATTAATAAAGCTAGTTATAACGCTATACTTTTTTAACTTATTAATAATCTAATTTATATTAGGTATAATTTACTTATTTAATTATTTTTAAATCTTTTAAATTATTACCTAAATATAGATTTATAGTTTATTAATTTAATTAAGGTTTATAATAGGATGGTTTATAAGCTAATTAATTTATCCTTTAATTATAATAGCTTAATTATTTATAATTCCTTAGGTTTTTTAATAGTTAGCTTTTTATTTAATAAGCTTACTTTAAAAAGTCCGGAGGGCCTAATAATAATAATTTACTACTTCTTTAAGCTAGCTAATAGCGTTAACTTAAAATTAGGTATCTTATATAATATATATAATAGTTCCCTATATATTTTAAAAAAAAGTAATGCTTCCTTATATAATTTTTTACTAAAAACATTCTATTTATTCCTAGGTTATTTATATATTCATTTTATATAAACTAATTAAAATATTATATATATTATAAATAGTAATATATATATTTTAAAATGCTTTTCTTTATTTAAGGGGCATTCCTTACTTATATTTTTATAAGGATTAAGCTACTTAAAAGGTTTTACCTATATAATTATAAATATTTATAACCTATTATAAAAGGTTTTAAATTATTATATTTATATATTTTATTTTTATATTCCTAATATCTTTATAAATAGCTAAGTTATAAAGGGTAAATTCTATAGCTTTAAATATTAATTTAGGGGCTATAATAAAAGGATTTTATTATAAAGTTAATTAATTAATAAATCTAAATAGGTCTTTTAAAGGAAGTAATCCTTTAGGAAAAGGGAATATAACTTAACTAAAATAAACAGGTTTAAATATAATAGGTAGCAACGGAAGGGATATAGCTCGTTCAAAGGTAAAGGCTAAACTCCAGTTAAAGCTAACGGAATATTCGCTTAATACTTCCACATACTTTAATTTAACCTATAAGTTGCTAAAGGGCAGGACATCCTTAATTTCGAGCTTTTAAGTCCAATAAAGTAGCTAAAGCGGATAATTTAACTACTATTCGTCCTTAAAACAATTTTCATATAATAAAGGAAATCCTAAGGAATTAAAGTCTAAACTATCTTTATTAGGATAATAGGAATTAAAATTAAAATCCTATAATTAAGGTATATCCGTAATTTTAAAAAAGTTTAAAGCCTTAAATTAATAAAGTTATTAACTACTTTTTACTCTTTAAATAAAAGTATTAAAATTATAGCATATAATATTTAAATTATTAAATATAAGGTATAAACTTTCCTAAAATACCTCTTATTTAATAAAGGTAAAGGAAGTATCTTACCAAAATAACCCTATATTTATAGGGATTTAAGCTTAAAATAGCATTATATATATATAAGGATTTTACTAAAGCTTATCCGTTATATAAAAGCTTAAGCTATATTAGAGTATCCTAAAGGGGGATAATAGATTATTTATAATAAGGGCTTTTATAAAGGGCTTAGAACTTAATTATATTTATTAATAATCTATTAGGGGTCTTTAAGGCCTTAATTTCTCTCTTTCCTTTTCCTATCCTAAAGTGGGAAATTCCTTAGCTATTTATGCTTATTCAGGCCTTATACAATCTATAACTCCCTTTTAACTGTTGGGCATTTATGCCTTAACTGTTGGTCTTCTTGTAGCTAACAGATTGTCCTTATCCAATCGCTTATAGCCTCACTTTCCTCTATGGGTCGTATCGGTTATCTTCGGTTCTGAAGTCTTGGCCGTGTAACAACTAGTCACAGCTAACTTTGGTATGACAGGCAAATATAATTCTCACTATCTCTATGGAAGTGGTACACTGGAGCAAGGGTGTGGCACCTATACACTCGAGGTCCAGGGAGAGCCTCGTACCGAACTGAAGTGTGCTGGTGCTCAGGACAATCCTCTCAATAACTACATATATCGAGACGCGGCGTTAGACGCCATAGGGAATTTTTGCAAGGCCCAAGATGGAAAAGTCGTCAAGGAAGGCGATGAGGGCAGTTTCATTGAGGAGACCACCTTCTCAATCCGATACACCGACTCTTGTATGGGAAGCGGGTCATACACGGTAAAGCATGATTATTGTGTCAAATACCTTACCCAAGCTCTCGACAGTTGCGACACCGACACGATCGTGTACAAGCATGGCGGCATTCTCAAAGACACAGATAACTGCGGGTTCTTCGAACTTCACCCGAAAGGCTATGATAAAGTGGCCTGTTACCCCGAGAATAAAGAAAAGGGCTATATCACGGATACCAGGGAGCACTTGACCGTCACTCAAGAAATGGCGCAAGATGCCATCAACACCTTCTGCGATCGCTCCGGCAACGGACAGCAGTATACCCTGTACCCTGATTTCCAGCCCAGTGGCTTCGTACAGGACACATGTAAGGAGAAAGGCTACGCTGCCTGTAACTACTCCTACCGCAAAGATGGTAAACGGACAACCAGAGGCGACACAGGAGATGTTGTTATTCGTCTTGAAGCCTTCCACAGCAACTTTGGTAACCAGCTTACGTGTGGTCCTAATCAAGTTTATGAAATCCATGGCGAAAGGTTCGTCCCACACCCGCAACCCTTTCCGTCCGCGGCTCTTGCTAACTGGGGACTTCTCACAGATGCAAACAAATGCTGGGCAAATTCATTGGAACAGAGTCTGTCAGCGAATGCGTAAATGACAAGAGCAAGTTGGACCTCGGATCTTTTATCGAGTCGGGTGATAAGGGGTGCGTGGTGTGGAATATGTGGGCGATCAATCCGCACTGAGGAGCGCCCTTAGCAGACTGTGATGAATCCGAGTCTAACGATTTAGTTGTAAAATGTCGTGATGCGTCTGCTAACAAAATATTATACCAGTACTTGTCGATATATTATAGATGAGTGAATCTAGAGTACTACATAACTTATTGATTTTCAGAGTATAATACATAACGGCTCATTGAATAATTACCTACTTAGATAGATAGGCCATCATGTACGTACAAAGTCATCAAATGATCCAAGGGGCGGGGTAAGCATTCAGCGGTTAATGATAGTAAGTTACTTCAGCAGCGGTTGATGGAAGCATAGTGTGACGGTCATGAGGACTCTCCCCGCGCAATCAAATGCTGCTTATGGCTCATTGTAATAGTTCTAGAGGAAGCAGCAGAATTACTACTCTCAGGGATTCACATGATGGGACACTCTTTCAAGCTGTCCTCACAAGTTTACCTTACTTAAACCCTACCTAGGCATGATTCCGCCTCATCCCCTCTGATGATCAATTAGTTTGCACTCAATGGCCAATTATGACCCGGACGATTTCGTAATAGCTCCCCAAACCGGCGCGTGCAGGGCGCAAGGGGGCTGACACTCCGCGGGGTTCGGCCGGTATTTGCCGACCGGAAATACTGATCTCACGCACTGGGCCACTGAACATCTGCAGCAAAACAAATCCCGACTGGTCTATTCTGGGCGGCATCATATTTCGGCCTTCGGCGTGACACTTTAGAACCTTTGAATTATAAAGAGTGAGACGCAGAGGATTCACGAAACCTGGCATAATTATATGTTTACTTGATAAACAGTTTCAATTCATATGCATATTTAAGTGTCTTCTTTTACGCCGAAGTAAGACATCAACACTATACTGCACACTCGTGTTTCCCAAAGCTACGATATTCTCATGGGCCCTGCAACTCCAATCTGGGATGAAGAGTCAGGCGTGCCGGTTGGCAATCCGCCACCAAAGATCGATACAGAATCGTCGCCTCAGAAGCAGCAAACTCATTACAATGGCTGGCGTCGAGTTGTCATCAACTTCACGCCGGCTTGGTTTAGCGTGAACATGGGCACCGGGATCACCTCGATATTATTGCACAACTTGCCATATAATGCGACGTGGCTATATTGGATCTCAGTCGCGATCTTTGTTATCAACATCGTTCTCTTCCTCGTGTTTTTAGCCATCAGTATCTTGAGATATACCCTATTTCAAGGGATGTGGACTGCTACGATACGGCACCCCGCGCAGTGCTTATTCTTGGGTATGCTTTGCCCCTCTGAGTGGAGTCACAACTCAGTACGCTCTTGTTCAAAGGACATCGTCTCCTGACACCTATTCTAGGCACTTTCCCAATAGGACTGGCCACAATTATCAATATGATTATCTACGTGTGTGTACCTGCCTGGGGTGGTTGGGCAATCACGTTAGCATGGGCATTGTGGTGGTTCGATACTGTATGCGCGCTTGCGATGAACTTATATCTTCCTTTTGTCATAATGTGTCACCACAAGGCAAGTATTCACATATGAAACCTGAAATACTCGGGGATAACAGGGACGCTAACAACTGAGACAGACGACGGTAAATACCATGACAGCTACTTTGCTGCTACCAGTCGTAGGTACTGTCGTTGCGGCTGGAACGGGCTCTATTGTGGCCGATGTGCTTCCGAACGATCAACATGCGATATGGACTATCATTATTAGCTACATACTATGGGGTTGCGGTCTTCCCATTTCCATGTTCATCTTGGTGATCTACTTTCAGCGCTTGATAGTACATAGTATGCCTCCCCGAGAGGTTATCGTTTCCGTCTTCCTTCCTCTCGGACCCCCTGGATATGGTGCTTTCGTGGTAATTCAGCTAGGGAAAGATGCACTCAAAGTTTTCGAGTCAAACAAATTTATCCCTGCTGCCCCATTCGCAGCCCAAGTGCTATATACTGTGGGTATTATGATGGCGCTCATAATGTGGGGGTTTGGACTCCTCTGGCTGTCCTTCGCAGTCGCATCTATCTCACGTCAAAGGTTCCCCTTTAACCTCGGATGGTGGGGGTTTACCTTCCCCCTTGGCGTCTACGCCGTTGCAACGACAACACTTGGGAGAGAACTACCATCCACCTTTTTCAAGAATCTGGGCACTGCATTGAGCCTTGTGGTAGCTTTGCTGTGGATAGTGGTGAGCATAGGGACTATACGACATGCCTGGCTTGGAAAGTTCACTCAGGCTCCTACCATCCCAGATTGGGAGGCCAACAAATTGGCGCATGAGGAACGACCATCCCATGATTGAGCATAGGCACGTCTTAAATCTGACGGTGTATAAAGTTTATCCTGACCTCATTATTCATTATAGATAGAGATGTAGATATGGGTATAGTTGGCTTTTCATTTATATAAGCATCTCAAAGGAGACACTGCTTTAATGGCTAGATAGGGTTGTAGAACACGTGGCGGTTGGTCGGGCTAAGGGGGGATTTGCCAATATCTAGGTGCCTTCGACTGTCAGAAAGGGAAGGCGGTTATACTTGCGATCCACACACTGGAGCACTGGGAAACTGTATATAAGACCTTCATCCAGCCAGATAACTGTATTGTAACTTAGACTTCTAGATAATTTAATGGGATCACAAGGTTGTTGAAAGCAAAATTTGTCCTGTTCCACACTCAAAACCATTGAACTGACTACTATAGTTATATATACACCTGACAGAAGCTGATTTTGTCTCCATATAAGTCTGATCACCTTGAGTGGTTATGGAATCTCATAGCTATCTGTGAGGGTATAAGTGGTCATCCAAGTTAGGATCAAGGTATTTGCTCAATCTAGTCTAGTCTTTAAGTCTGCCAAAAGTCGGGGAACAGGGGATGGAGAGCGGGGTAGTGGTTAGGGGACTGAGGAATAATCTAATGACCCTTTCAACAAGTTCAACTCATGCCTTAAACTGCACCGTCGGAGCTGCCTGGTCCTCCAATGAGGCTCCTATGAGATGAATTTCAGATGTGTAAGAAGCTAAGTTTGCATCATTCACCACTTGCGCCACTAAGCATTTTCAAAATCCTAGAGAAATAGCACTATATGGGGCTTCCCCGCATTATGATCCTTGTTGGGGGACTCGGTGGGGCTTCTCAATAGACTGCGGCTATTGCTTCGTCTAAGACTCGATATCACACTCCGTGCTACTATGCTGAGCTAGGCTATAAACCAGGCCTTCAATTTATTATGACTGTGTACTATAAGTGTCAATGAGACTCCAAATTGTTTCTGATGTCTGGCATTCATGTGGGTAGGGAGGTTTCGAGCCTCGCAAAAGAAAAGACCCAGCTTCCCCACGTGCCTAGAACCATCTGGACTCATTACGCTCAGCAAAAAGATGGAGGAAAGTCATACGAGACCTCAAGCAATTCTATTTCTTCAATCTTCATGGTGTGGACATAAAGTCAGCCCTTTTACTTACTAATAGTCTATTAATTGGTTGAGACACACTTCGACCGGGTGCGAAGAAACAGTCTGTCACAATTCAAGGGTTACCGATAAAGAGGCTTGCTTATGTAGCCCTGCCTAGGCACTAATGCTTGGAGAGACCTTGGTGCAACAAGAATTTCCACATAGTACCCCATGCTTGCAGTTCTGATCAATTGCATGTAATATTATGATAGGTTGCCGGTAAATATAGATATAGGGCGAGTTCATAAAGTTATAAGTGCTGTCATAAATAAGGTAATACGAGGCAAACATAAAGCCTATTGCTGTTGGGTGGCTTTAGTAGGTTAGGAGTGGAAGTGTTCAGACACCTTTGCCAATCTATTCAATCTTTATATTTTTCGTTCCTAGTTCTGAACGTCAAAGGATATGCCGCTTGATTTGAACGCCCCTGAACTTGCATCGGTGATGGGCTATTATTGGTTGTTCTTAATATGCTTGATGTTCAGACATTGGCTACAGTGTTAAGAGGGGTAAGCTGCCATTTAGTAATTCACAACTTGATCGATGATCAAGGTACATGGTACAGAGACTTGTTTTAAACTTAAAGCTTGAAATTTGCAGTAGAACAAAGACCTTAAAAGACTATCACAACGAAATCTCAATATCTATTTCAAACGTGAAAGACAACACGTTCTTTCACTCTAGATGCACATATTTAAGAGGATTGTAACTTATTTATCTTCCTTACACTGAAGAATACCATTTCAAATCCACTATGGGTTCTCAGCCCCGTGAATCGCTCCCTGTGACAGGGTTGCCTATGGAATTGATAGAACAGGTTGCCAACGAGATCCTGACAACAAAAACATTAGCTAACTTCACACGTACTTGTTCCACTGCCAAGAGAATTGTTGAACGCAACCCTTTGCAGTTCTATTTAACTGACATACGCTTTCAAAAGCTAAGGAAATCTGATCCAGAGATTCGGAGACAGTTCTCCCCTATGATCCCAAGTCTAGTACACGCAATACAGCATGAAAATCTGGACAACTTCAAGAAAATCCTTAAGTTATATCAGAAAAAGTTATCGCGGAAAATTATTGACACTTGGCCCACCGATGAGAATGGAGGTGTCCTTTCACCCACTGCCTATGAAGCGGTTTTAACTGCTGAGCGTTTCGATATATTCGTTCATATGGCCACAGCCGGCTGTGGATTCACGTACGATGAGTATACAAAGGTGGTAACTCATCAATTCTACTACATGTTGAAAGACGGGTTAAGGGAGCGGCTAGTTGCGTTTATGCTGATACCGGACTATTCTGCCTCACCCCCAACAGTGCATCATACGTGGTATCAATTGCCAATACGATAGCTGTTAGAAAAGAGGTGTCGTAGAGAGTAACTGGGAGTTAAAAAAAAATCTAGATTACTTAATCAATATTTCATCTGATCCATAAACTCTGCCCAAATTGAACTGTAGCTGTCACATGTCAACATCCCTATAAAGACACTAGCCCATATCGAAGATGTCCCCAACTGAAGTTCGGAGAGGTAGCTGTAGCCATATAAAATGAATTACTGTAGTGAAGAGGTGATAGAAGCGATTAGAGTTATGTTCACTGGCTTTAGTGGTGTTTCGCCGCGAAGTGGCAAGGTAATCGTAAAGCGTTCAAATGCTAAAGAAGTCCTAAGCTATACCCATACAACCACTATATTTAAGATACATTGTCCCAGATACTACGTAAGGAGGATATTGATAAAAATAGAATACGAACCATATAATAGCAAGAGCAGGTCATTGGGCTTGGAGTCTGATATTCAGAATGTAATAATCAACTAGAGCTGCAGAAGTCCTTGGCTAACCAATTCCTTCTTAGCCTTAACGGCTTGACTTGACTTTAAACAACTGGCTTGATGCTCTAATAAGGTATCGATATTATAGGTACATACCTAGATGGAGGAAATCTAGTGTTAGGTATTATATCATGCTCTCGCTTACACTAGAATCTGGATCTTTTACAATGATGAAACATAACATAATAGAATTGAATTTCACAGGGATTAATGGAAACAAGAAAGTGTTAGAAACCACCTAGTAACGCCCTCTACGTTATTGCTCAACTAAGTAAATAAGCTGCCCAGCACATATAGAGACAACGCCTATTATAACCCTCCCAGCTGATGTAACCCTCTGATTTGCTTGGTCCATGGATTGCCCTTGGGTCGTTTATCCGTTTTATCGTAACACGAGGAGAACGACACCTTGCTACAGAACCTAGTGCCGGCTTGGCCAGACCGGTTCAGCTATCAGCCATCTTACCATCAGCATCATCTGTTCCTTCATTGTATTCTTATCCGGACCTATAGGCACGATGGCAGACTTTCGAATATTAACAATCCCTGTCTTGCCATCCACATACCCTTGTACTATACGGAAGGTGGGACCCGAGATGGTTGCAACGGTGACCTATCGGATCCCCAGTCAGCAACAAAGAGTACATGGGAGGGGCAGTTCACGGCGTCCGGGGAAATGGGGGGGGCATTGGAAAAGGTAGCTCACCGGCACAACTTCGAACTTCGCCTTCTGCGGGTCACGATGGCAGTGGATAGTTAGCCACAGGATACACCACACCTCACTGAACATGAGCGTGCTCTCGTCGAGCTCTCCGGCTTCTGTCAAGGTGCAATTGATGTGTGGCAAGCTGGCACCTTTAACATCCAAAATGTTCTCAACCGCCCAGTTACAGCCAGCAGGGAAATACCGAAGTTTATTTAACATGACGTGATCGGGTCTATCGTACATTAATTAGCACGAGTCGTGTTCAATAGCTGGGCGTGGAAACACTTACGGGTTGCAATCCCATGGCAATTGCTCGACAAGAGTCTTGCCATCATCGGAAGTAGCGTCGAGATGCCGGCTGAGGTAGCTGGCCATATGATCTGAGTCGTGGAATGGGTGGCGGGGATCTCTGGATGGATCCCTTATCTGGTCAAACGCGTACTGGCGGGCGATGCGTCGCATCTGCTCGTGTGTCATCAGGCGCAAGAAGTTCCCTCCATTTTCCGACTCCCAACTGAGATCGAGTTTGCTACAAGTGATCTGCAATTGTTCCCAATATTTAGGATCAATATGCGACCAAGCGATGAGAGGGTAGAGTCGTAGGATCAAACTGGTAGCAGCCTTGTTGTTAGGCTTTGGGTACATGGGTGGAAGGGGTTGAGAGGGTTTATGTGAAGGCATGGTATTCTGTGATCCTGTTGATGTTGATGTTGACGTTGATGGTTCAAGTTCGGTTCCTATTTGTTCCAAGCATACCGGACCAGCCGACCTTCTGCGAGACATGGTGCTTATTTATGCGTTGAAGCAGGGTGTAGGGTAGGGTAGGGTCTTGCCGCCAGGGTGGAGAATAGAACTTGATGTTGGTGATGCCGTTGGGGTGATGATGCTGTGGGTGCGTGTGGCAGTCAGCGAGTTAGAGGGTGTAGAGTCGGGTACATCACGTTTGCGTCGCCGCCTTGGGCCCATTAGCCTCCCTGTTAGCCCTCCCTGTTAGCTGCTGGCCGAGTGGCAAGCGGCAAGCATTCAGCCAATCAAACTTGCCAGAGGGGGGCTGGGGCCATTCTTCACGTCCACCTGGGCCAGGCTTTTTCAATGTTGGCTCAATTCAGCAGAGGGGTCAATGTTTGCTAATAATTTAATCAAGGCCTAACCACCAGGCATTAGGTACTCTTCGTTGTTAGTTAGTTACCTGGCCATGATTATACATTGGCTACAACTATGTTATGCCCCTATTATTGCCTGGTTATATAGTGGTTATATAGTGGTTATATGGTGCCTGGATTAGCTGGATAAACTAGCGGCGGGACCATCGGCGACCGACCGACCCACAGTCCTAGCAAGCACATGTCACCACCACCACAACAGCACACTGCTAGAACCAACAATGACGCTTAAAGCAGAGGTCTGAATGGCTACTTCGCGAGGCTGTGGGTGTGTTTGTCACCAACGGCAGATACGTATTTGGTAGACAAGCCATTCACCGTCGTGCCGGGTACGTTAGTATGTTGGAAAGACTAACAACGCCGTAATTAACGCCGCCCGGCTGACTTGACCATCAGTATAAGATGATGCGAAATTCCACTACAATGTCGTTCCTTCTCGTGATATACGTGACATACACCTTTGTTTATTGTTTCCAATAATCCTTCCCAACTGGCACAAATTCCTTCCCTTGTTATAGGTATCTTGTCAGGAACAATGGCCAGCACAGGAGCGCTACCGGGGACCCCTGCCGAGTGGAAGGCCAAATCCGAGTCTTTAGGATGGAAGACTATTCATGAGTATGGGTTGGGTAATTCTAGCTCGAAGATTACTGAAGACCAGTTTTTGCTGCTCCGTACTTTATGGGTGAAATACACACCAGATGATCTCTACAGACGCGATAGGGCTCTCTGGATAGATAAGTCCAATTTCGAACTTGCGCAGAAGTTCCTATCCTCAAGTGCCATAGCACCCACCTGGAAGAAATTTCTCGATTCCACCAGCACACCCCCAGATACCCTTGAAAAACAGGGTTATGATGGTCTTCATACGTTTTCTCTGGTCAGATACCATCAGGTTAGTCCCTCGAATTATCCATTTCCCGTATATGCTGTGTTCTTTCTAGCAATTCTTATTAACTCCAACGTGTCTAAAATAGATCCAGTCGCAGGGCTTGAAGTCCAACGATCATGATAGTGTCAAGGTGGACATGAGTCCAATTGCCAAGAGAACAAGAAATCGGATCAAGCAAAGAGTCGCCGCTCAATCGTCTCCAACTCCTGGTCCAAAGCTCACAGGTCTATCAAAAAGTTTAGAAGCACTAGATATAACCAAATCCAACCCCAACCAGCCCCCTACTACACCAGGTTAGTCCATGGAATTCTTCATATCTCTCTTAAGCATTTAAACTCCATACCACCACTACCATTAGCATAACCACCTACATAACCACCCACATAACCACCCAATAACCACCTATATAACCATCTATATAACCATCTATATAACCATCTATATAACCATCTATATAACCATCTATATAACCATCTATATAACCATCTATATAACCATCTATATAACCACTATAGTGGTATATTATGTGGAAACAATATAGGAACAACTGTTAAAACTAATTGCTGACTTTGATGTTAAAACTAGATAGGGGTGGGGGTGGTTCTAATGCTTCATCTAGTCCACCAACACCAGCGGACTTTTCCTCTCCATTTGAGGATCCCAGAATATTTGAAGCCATTCAGGATGAGCAAATTGTGAATACGGCTCTTATCGAATACCTTAACGCCTTAGCGATACACTGCAAAGATCTCAAAGCGAACTGGAGTTTGCGTCGTCTGCCCTTGATCACGCGAGATCATCAGGGACAAAAGATATACGAAGCAAGGGTAGATGGCTGCCTGGAACGACGAACAGATCGGAAGCCCTTGGCAGTCATTGAGGTCAAGCCGTTTGTCAGAAAAAAGAAGCTAGGAGATATCAGGATGCAGGAGAGTGCGCAAATGGCCGCATGGATTAACAGTTATAGGCCGTTGAATACAGACCCGAAACAAGAGAACAAGTAAGCGTCTGCCTCCGCAATCTACAATTCTATATCCGCGGTATCTCTAACAAACTATGATCAGGCGTCTCATGATCTCACAGGATCGTCATGAGATTTATCTTACTTTCGCAGTGTTCGGTGCAGATTATGTCGATTACATCTGCGATAAGCAGGGAATTGATTACAACAAGCCCTCATTCCTTCAGATGAACGAGTACGGTCCATTTGATGTTGGTAACCGAAATGATATGGAGATGCTAGGCGAACTTGTCCTAGGCTATGCATTGGCCGAATCCCAGTGATAGCTACGGTGGTACAGGACTTTGGTGAAAATTACAATGGTAATTATCATTTATGTGGTGTGCAGAAGGTCGTCATCGGATCAGTACGCGACTGTTGCCAGGGTATTTCAGCTGGCCGCGATATTTGCACACTGTATACTTCGAAAAGCGCACCAAAATTAGGGGTTTGCATAGTGTAAGGTTATCGTGGGTTATTAACAAGTGTCTTTTTCAACCATGTATTTTAAAAGTACAACGTTAATAAAATCGTTAAGTTCGGAGTACTTAAAGAAGTCTCAGCTACCTAGCTATGAACAGTCCCTGTATGAAACATCAATCGATAAATCATCTCGATACGTAACCCCCGTCTAGCCTCGAAGGCTCTGAGTTATAAGGAAAACACCATGACTTGATATCGAGCTATTGTGCACCAAAGGCCTCACATGAGATTTCTGCCTTTTCAACAACATTCTCTTCATCATACTGTTTGCCATCAATGTTTCCTGACTTGTAAAGTACAGGTGTAGAGACTATTTCGATGTACCTTTGTGCATCGAGCTGTCTTGGCTCTTCCTCGTCGTCATCGGAATCCTTCATGCATGCTGGGTTGAAGATGGAGCTCCTGCCAACTGTCATTAGGCAAGGGAATCGGACGCTCCATAGAGCTCGCTGGCGTCTGAGCAATTGGGCGAACTCTAATGCAGGTCTATAAACGGTTTCTATGAGGTGCTTGACAGCAGCATCTCTATCGACTCTCGGAATAATAGGAGCGATGTCGTGTACCGCATCCCTCGCGTTCTCTGACATGAAGCACCACGCATCGTCGGAGATGCTAGGGTATTTTTTGAACAAAAGAGTCATAGTGAGGGATCGCCATTGGTTGAAGTCGCTCATACTTAAGCATTTGCCTGCAAAGGATGCGGATGTCAGCAACTCTATTATAAATGTCAATGCAACAGTGGTCCACGGTTGGTGTACCTGAGCTCAGCAACGTGTGCTCGACTTCATCCACTGAACCGCGAATCTTGGCGGGGATCCAGATGTCCGACCCGGACTCATTCCCACTTGGCCCTGGCAACGTGCGGAATATGTCATTAGCGATGTGGAATCCAATCCATCCACGGACAAACTTGCGCCGTCGCTTGACATCAAGGATTAGGGAGATGAAGTCGTCCTGGTTCTTGACTAAGGGTAGGATACTCTGGACAATACCCATCCTCTTTTCACAGAAAAGTCTGTCAAAGGTACATTCAATGTTGCGCCGGGTAGTATCGCACCATTTACTGGTCCAGTTCTTGATGGCAATATTCATGCTTTGGAATGGTGCTTTGACATCCTCGTCGGACTTTTGGTGCCCTAAGACTGACTCATCATTGTCAATCTGTGCTTGGAGCTTTTCATTTCGCCTTTTCAGCTTATTCGACTTTTCATCGCCGTCTCGAATCATCCTCTTAAGCTCCTCAATCTCTTTCCGTTGGTCTGAGCTTATCTGTCTTAATTCGTGCAATTCCTTCTCTAACCGTTGTTGCTGATCGACGGCAAGCCTTTCATCCCGCTCAAGACCATTCCCGCGTATCTTGTTCAAGTTGTTCTTCAAGAACTTCCTGGTGCCAGAGCTATGCTCATAACTGGCTTCTAGATCTTTCCCCGGGCCTGATCTATATCAATATATTTTCTAACGGGTGGATAAGTAAGTATCCTACCTAAGTCATAATCACCCTGTTCACACTGGTCACGTTGGTTGTTCCGCCCTCGTCGATGCAGCTTTTTCGAAGCATGACCATCTGGACCACCTCGGTTCGTTGGAAACGAGTACTCATAGTGTAAACCTTGGTCATGATTTGAAGCCATTGTGTAGTGGTTGAGGGAATGATGGAATGTGAACGTCAGTAGACAAATTTTTGGATGTGATTCTAAGAATTATTAGTGATGGGAATAGATGGTGTAAAGAGTGTGGGAGGCTTCCGGGGAATGTCAGATGTCAAGAAGACTTCAGTTAGGTATTATAGGGCCTAGTGCATAGAAGCATGGGGTTGTCGTCCTACGCACAACAGACATCTCGGCTGCGGGGATAGTCTCAGACCTGGTTTGAGATGTCGCCTCGTAAACAATGTCCGCTGGAGAAAAGGGTCATGGAGATTTCATCCTGCCCAATTACAAGGGACATCATGCTTGACACAGCTGGTGACCATTTTTTTCCCTTTTCCTTTTCTATTCTTGGGATCACCTATGACTCCTTAATTACTTGACACGACTCCACCCGGAAAAGGGCATAAAGGAGGGCGCCACCGGCGGCAGTAAGCTGTGGCCTCGATACATTTTGGTTAAGGCTGAGGCTCAACTTGCGCAGATCTCTGCTGCATTCGGGTATCTCCTGTTCGCCATGCATCCACAAAATCGATAATAAAAGCGTATGTGCTTGGACACACGCAGGCCATGGAGGCTCGCAGTCGCCGCTTACCTCTTGGATTCAGACCTTGCTTCACATCATCCGATCTCAAGCGGAGTCGAAACATAGTCAGCGCGCTTACATTGAGGTTCCAAGTCGTTTATTGGGCGGTTAGAAGTGCATTTCGCCCTTAGGCAGGCTGCGTCGCTTTGTAGAGGCTAACCCTTGCAGTTGCATACTTTCAGAATGCAAACTTTCTTTTGTTGTGCCTACGGCATATTACAAATGGAGTTCGAACGGATATTGGCAACCAATCATGCTATTGAAAAGTTGCACTTTGGAGAATGTCTTATTGGTCCAAGTTTGCTTATGGTATTGTAACCTTGGAATATGATTTTTAGGCGCCCCTAAAACACTTAGATGCACACGCGTGATTGATCTATTGCCTAAGTATAGCAGGAACTTGCGAAAAGCACTTCATGAGTGGCTACTAACTAAATAATGAAGTTTCAGGTGAAAATATCAACATGCATACATCCCATAATGACAACCCATCACGATCCACTGCTAAATAACTCTGTCAAAACACTCACCAGCCCTCCTACAGGCGGCATGCCCACGAATAGAAGCAACAGATTTACCGCGACAGGCAAAAGGGGGAGGGCTTTCTTGGCACCTGAAAGCCAATGTGACTTCTTAGCCTTGATCTCTTGTTCAACCTCGGCCACAATGTCTCGTTTCAGGCTTACCTGTTGCTTCTCGACTTCCGTCAGCTTTCCTCTTTGTATCTGCATATCTGATTGAACCTGGAGCTTCATCAGGCGGTCTCCCTCGCGGAGCTGACGACGGAGCTCCTCGAGATCTCGCAAATCTTTCTCGAATTGGGCTTTCAACTTGGTAACGCCGTCGTCAACGTAGGACCCAGCCGCTGTTTGGTCAAGGTTCTTGCCCTTATTAACAATCTCATCTTGAATTTGCAGCACGACGGTATCTTTCAGTAAGAGCTGTGAAGCGATGGCGCGGGCTGAATCGCGGTCTCCATGGTAGCGATTGAGACCAGATCCATGACCGAGCATGTATGCCCAAAACCGTTCCCGGAGTTCATGCTCCCTGCTTGCCCCTACCGGCTCCCCAACTTCGTCCCACCGACTGGTAACTAGAACAACGTTTGCCATTGCTTTCTCTCCACATATGCGTTTGAATACCTCAAAAGTCTTGATTGCAGAGCCTGCATATCTATTATCCGTAATTCGATGGATATAAATGATTCCCTTCAACTCGAACCCCAAGGCAAATTGGCTTGTCAGAAGTTTTGCGATCTCGCCGAGGATATCTGCGTCCTTGCGATCGGTATCGTCAAAGCCGGGTGTATCGATGACCAATGCTTTAAGACTACCGACCGAGATAGGAACCATTGTACACTGTTGGGTACCTACAGATAGTCAACTCCATTCAACGGTAGGAATCCGAGTTTTGGTGTGGGAAACAACGGAAACATATTCGGTGTTGTCTTACAAGAATTGAGGGAAGCTCCCTCCTCAACGATGTTCTTCCCTGCCATCTGATTGATGAAGTAGCTTTTTCCCGCACCGGTGACCCCCATGACCATAATCATAGGTAGGCAATGGTCTGGCGGCAGCCTGGCATCAATAATGTCTTGAGACTCGATTCCGCTCATGATCGCAATGATATCCACAAGTGAACCTTATCTTTTAACTTGCGTAGTCTGCGGAGTGAATCCCATTTAATACATCAGAACTATGAACCCTTCTAATCTAATACTCAATTCCTCGAGTGTTAGAAATGGGTAGTACCTGTCTGATAGCAACAGGGTCTAATATCACAGCCTCATTGCTAATAATTGTCTCGGATAATGGGGTCGGCGCATGTGTGAGTATCGTCGGTAAGAATCCTGATATCATGCCGCCGAGCGCGTATGCACAAGATCGCTGGGGCATGATTGGTATGCAGGTCCATAACATGTCCTAGACTATTATTTGATGAAACGAGGACTGAGGAGGTGTGGTATCAATGTACAGATTCAGGGGCTTGCTAGGTCGGCGAGTCTGTCGGATATACATCGCAAAAGCGAAAAGGGCGATTGGCTAGATCATGAATCTATTTTTCGCATCAGGGACTCATCTCTTGGTGCTCGCGCCATGCTAGCGCGTGAACCTTCCACTATTTACTCAAATATACTCCCTGTTCCCTCGAGTCCGATATATCGTACAATTCATCAACAAACCTGCGACTGTGGGCTATTCACGACTCTCGCTTACATATCGTTCCTCATGTCTCCAAAAATGTACCAGAGTTCTGATTCCTCTCTCTCCCTTGCCACGACATACGGTACAACAGCAACATCGATTAGCCAGAATGATACGTTGCTGGTGGTTGGTATAGACTTTGGCACTACGTAAGTCGTCAGGAAGCGATGGTATTAACTCGCAAGTTGATGAGTGCTGAGGCTTATGCTATATTAGCCATTCCGGCGTGAGCTGGGCTATTGACGAAGGTGACAGGAAGGTTAGGCTGATCACAGACTGGAAGAATCCGTCTGGAATGAACGCCAATGAAGAAAAGGTCCCCTCAAAAATCTCGTATCAGAACGGCCGTGTTCACAAGTGGGGATACGAAACCTCGGTGAAGGAGGATAGTTTTAAGTGGATCAAGATCCTCCTCGAGCCCGAGCAGAAACACGCTCATACGACCGCTGAAGTGAAGCTTAGTAACAAGCTCCTCAAAGAACTGGGAATGACTGCCGATCAGGTTGTCAGGGACTATCTCAAGGAGCTTTGGGCTTACACACGAGAGAACATCCGAAGGCGCCAAGAGGACGATGACTGGGAATCTACATTCCATTGTCGTGTCATCTTGACTGTACCAGCGATGTGGTCTCATCAGGCTCGGGAGCGAACATTAAAAGCTGCCAAGGATGCGGGGTTTCCTGATGACATTCAGATGGTAACAGAACCCGAGGCCGCCGCGCTAGCGACATTGAAAAGCAAAGCAGCGGAGAACACACTCCGTGTAGGCATCTTACCCTGAGCTTCCTTTATGCTGATGACTAACCGATGATCAAACTAGCCCGGCGATGCGTTCGTAGTCTGTGATGCGGGAGGAGGCACTGTGGTAAGGAAGTCATATGAACAGTTAATTTGCGTAGTGCTCCGCGTGTGGCTAACTCCAGAAATTTCAGGATCTCATTAGCTACAGAGTCAAGTCCACGAAACCTCTTCAACTGGAAGAGTGCGCTATGGGTGATGGTATGTACGCAACACAGAGAGAACTCACGAATCCGTACTGAAGATATCACAGGCGACTTGTGCGGATCGGTCTTCCTTGACTTAGCATTCGAGAGATACATCACTACTATAGTTGGGGAAGAGGCGTACTCCTACATCAAACAGGTGAACAAAAATAAAATGCTTCGCGAATTCGAGTTCGGGGTCAAGCGAGCATTTGATGGCGCTGAAGACAAAGATTACTCTGTCGACCTTAAAGGGGTAGAAGACAACATAGAAGAAGGTATCGTTGACGATACCATCCCGCTAAAACTGTAAGTCTATTCTCTCTCACATGGTAATGAACAGGTACTTGTGAAGATTATATCGACTGATATTGCCTCCGACGGCATTCCAGCAATATGCTGCGTACGATCTTTGACCACATATATTGCCAAATAGACACTCTTGTGCAGAATCAAGTGAGTCAAGTGCAAGCTAAGAACCTTGTGGTCAAGGTGAGTACTCAAGATACACCGAAAGCAAACTGAGCAATAATGTTGATCGATTCTTAACATAGAGCATATTGTTGGTCGGGGGCTTTGGTGGAAACAGGTATATTCACAGTAGACTTGAGGCAGCCTACCGATCTCAGAATATTCGTGTCCTCCAGGTAGAAGGCGCGTAAGTACACCCCTTCACTTTCGCTAGAGATCTTTGGACGATATTAAGCCCTCATGATAGGTGGTCGGCAATCTGTCGAGGAGCCTGCCTTTGGGGGCTAGAACAGCCTCTAACGACAAAGTCGGCCGACACCGGTCCACAAAGCCCAAGGATGGGTGCTGAAGTATTGGGAACCGTCGCTTCTCGTATCTCAAAATACAGCTACGGCATTAAGATCTTGGAGCCATTCGACATAAGGAAGCACGAGTGGCATGATCGCTGCTGGAGTCCGGCGAACGGTGGATGGATGGCTGACAACCAGATGCTTTGGATGCTGAAACGGGTACGTTATTACTACAGCCTACCGCTCAAAATTTGTTGACACACTAGATTGACCGTGCAAAGGGCGAGACATATGAAGTCGGCAAGACATTCGGGTCGTCGTTGAGACAAGCGGTTAAAGGGATTGGCTGGCGAAGCAAAGGGGTCCGTTCATTCGAAGAGACGTTGTACATCTCAGAGCAGGCAGTGCCTCCAAGTAGAGAAGATGGAAGTGAGTCAATGAGAATCAGCTTGCCAAGTGCAAGCATTCCTATCGTTTTCTGGTGTGTTCTAAAGCTAATGCTGCGGTGCAAAGACGTCCAAGCTTTGTGCAGCGTCACGTTCTTCATCCCGGAAAGGTTCATTCGACACAATTCCTCGAGCTATAGGGACCCTCATGAGGGTCACAAGTGGAGAGACGCTGAATTCGAAATGGTCATTCGATTGCGCAGCGCGACTCTAGATTTCATCGCTTGTTGTCAAGATGTCCCAATCGGCCATACCGAGGCTAGTTATGAACGGATGGGACTTCAAGTAGCATAGCAGATCAGCCATTATCATTTGAACAGCTTTTTGATGTTATCGTCTTCTTTTTTTCCCCCCTCAAAGAAGGGGGGGAGGGTTGGTGTTGGACTGGAGCGGCACTGTTTCTGTGGGGGACGGAGTAAAGTGAGAGTCGGCTGAATAGGGGCCAGGTCTTAGGTAGTTGTTGATGGTCGAGTAGCCGTTTGCTACTTGAATCTTCGCATGGTCATCGGCTGTGATATTGAGTACCCCTGGCATATTCAGTATACAATACCAAGACGGATTGAGGAATAGAGGAAACACCTGTAATAACATTATATCCGTCAACGTTACCCGTTACTACATTATTGTTATGAGCTCCACTGTTGTCCGTCGAACCCTGATTAACAACCCCCTTTCCCTTCTCCAAAGACGATTCGCCCATAGGTCCTCTCTTCTAAATTGTGCCGCATTGAAGCAACTATTTCTCGATTTCTATGTCCGCTTTTACAGCGTTCAGTTCTCAGAGATCCTGTGCTGTTATCTTCTCATCACCAAGGTGGTTGTCGCCGACCCCAATGCCCAATAGCTTAGTGCGGGGAGATTACTCATCCGCATTTAGTTGGGGGCCTTAACAACTTCGCTAAAGCGCAAAGATCACAACTGATCTCTCATTGCTAATGGCTTTTTTACAGGCTAATGCATAACGGGTGTGCATGCTAATGCTTTTGGAATTGCACTCCTGTTCATGTACGGCTGACTGCGTGTCTTATTAGTCTTCCAGAAGAACCCAGAGGTGGATGCTGAGAATTGATCCTCCTCCTTTCCTGAGCTAGCATCGTTACTATCCAGACTTATTTGATCATCATATTGACACAATAGCTTCTAGACATACATTCTATAGAGTTACGATAGCTGTATACCTGTTTCAGTCACAAACCCAGTTATGAGCTGCTTCTAGACCACCACCAGTATACCTTGCTACTTTCGGCCACGGGCATACAGTTCTCTGGCTCTCAACAACTGGTGCTGTGTCATTCACAAACTTAGTGGCAACGAGCTCATCAGGCGGCACACCTTCCTCTACCCACTTCACAAGAGCCATTACAGAGTCATGTCTAGCGTCCATATATCCAGGTACCGAGTGCGTGATATTGTTGACGCCGGTCAACCGTCCCGCTATTCCAGCAATCTGCGACGCCGCTGCTATATACCAGGGGGCGCCTGGTTGTGTTGGTGCGTTAGACACGCAGTGGCCCATACCGGGAATGAGGAACAATCTAAGAAACGAAGAGAGTTGAGATTCGTCGATGCCCATAGTAGAGAGGGTGCTCGTAACGTATTGAATGCTTGAGCCGGCAGGGATCAGAGGATCGGCATATCCATGGTACATCAGAATCTTACCCCCACTCTCCTTAAAGCTTGTAATATCGAAATCTTTTGCTGTTGCATGGCCAGGGTCACCAGCGGCCGCGGCAATATAATCATCGTCAGTATATAACGTGAAGTTGTACGACGTATCGTTGTAGAGGAAGTTTTGGAAATATCCATAGCCGATAGGATTACTTTCAGAAGCAAGTAAAGAAGGGTCGCTTCCAAGGGGTAAGCCTGGAAAGACGATTTCATCGTTAATCGTATAGGGAGATAGCATCTTTCTTAGAGTTGCGAGTTGAGGCTTAGTTAAGCAAGCAGTCTGCTTTCTGGTTGGGCAAGAGCAAAGCAAGAAGGCGTAATCTATACTGCATCCCGCAGAGTCTTGAATAATGGAGTCGATGATGCCGTCTTGGCTGTCGCATAGAGATGTAATTCGAGCCGTGACCGAATTAAATAGAGATTCGGGAATATGATAGGAGGCATTGGGGGGATAGTTCTGAAGCGGCATCCACGTCGACCACGACTGAAGATTGGTAGTTTGCCAAGCCGCATCGCCAACCAAGACACCATCAAAATCATTCGGATAGAGCTGAAGCGATCGTAGACCTTGACGACCACCAGTGGCACACCCGGTGTAATATGAGAATTTAACAAGCGATGCGGCAGTCTTATTGTTGCTGTAATAAGCCGGAACAATCTGCTTAGCAAGTGCAACTGAACCATGTAGGGCACGATAACTCCAATCGACAATACTCTCCGGGTTGTTCAGCGCCCATGAACTGTCTCCGATATCTGAGAGATGGCCAGTGTCTGTCGAGACGCTGACAAAGCCGTAATGTGTGTATTCGCCCATATCAGGATACTGCCAGTGATCAGTCGTAGTCTCAAGCACGCAAGTTATCAAACTAACATTGATCCCGCCGCCGAAGCCTCCATTTCCAGTAGTCATAAGCCGTCCATTCCATCTCTCTCGACCCGGAAGTAGAATCGCCAAATTGTATGAAGTAGTCTCAGATGACTTCACGTTGAACTTAACAGCGCATAGCTCAGGTAGGTATGTAGCGTTTATAGGATACTCCGGACTAGGATCAAACGAAGAGCCACCAGGTGGAATGGTCGAGGCGTATACGACCGACGAACTCGAGAAGCCCTCTAGCTCCAATGTTTCCAGCGCGGCTTCAAAAGCAGCCACGTTACACTCAAGACATGAGACATATGCAGTAAGCAGCGCCAATGCTATGGAACTAGCCCATCTTGACTTCATGCCGTCCAACATACTAGCTTAGACATTAATAGTGACTGTCAGTCAATGCTTGGGCTTTCGATAGCGATGAAAGAGACTTCACATGTAGTAGCGGTCGTGATGTATACGCAGATTATAAGACTGGAGTGAGTTGAGTGATGACGGATTCGCGCACATAAGCCAAGGGCATCACGTCGCGACGCCATACCAAGTCAGCAGACTAAGTACTCAGCGCCAAGGCCATTATACCGCAAAGAGTGGTGATATTATGTCAATATCGACGCTAAATATCTACTAATCAGTAGTCTTCGTTCGCTTCTTACATTAGGCGCTACGCGAGTTCGTCAACCAGTGTATTATGTCTACCCAAAGACACATGACGAAGCAGGGCAATATCCCTACACCTCTTATGGTAATCAGATTATCTATGTATAATATAATCAATAAAGCCGCAAGTATTGAAAGATTTCAATAGAATGAAGAAGATATAAAGAAGGGCCATCAGCGTATCGCAATCTCAGTGATACACTCGTTCAAGCTGTCGTCTCGCAGAAACGCTTCGCCCATCATGATCCCGTGTACATAAGCATCTCCCAAGAAGACATAATGATCGCCTACCTGTCTCAACACATACGGCACGTTAAATCCCTGCATAATGCATATCACATCACCGTCCTTTGCTGTGTCCGGAACCAGCCCTACATATTCCTGATCCGTGACAGCAAATCGGCGTCCCGCGATTGCTCGACACATGTTTGCATATCCCTGGGGATCATCTAGACGACGACGACGCATTGCTTCGCCGATGGGAGCCGCTTCAGGACGGAGGGATGAGAGTTCCGGCTCGAACAGAAGATCTCGCGCATGCGTGTTCTCCCAGAAAGAGGTCACTTTCGTAGGACTCCTCCGTTGATTCGCTTCGAGCAGTATGCCGGCTACTATATCTTTTTCCTCTCCAGTTGGATAAGGTGACTCCATATTCATAAACATCTGAATGTAGGAAAGTATGGTCATGAAGTTCGTCAGGTTTGGCGCTTCTATGATGTTGGTTCCTGGCACTGGCCTATCAGGACCTACGATGGCAATAGATTGCAGGATTACCCCTTTTACGAAGAGAATATTCCCTTCGATTCGCATGCAAGGCTTAGGGCGCTCCTGGCCGTCTTTCCGGGAGCCAGTGGCGTTAAAAAACAAGTTGCTAGACGCAATCACTATCTGACTGAGATCAATACGAATAGGAGGCTCCGACCAGTCAGGAACCCAGGATGGTAAGCTTGGGTCCTTTCGGTGGGTGAGCGCAGCCTCCGACAGTATGGACCGCCCTTCTCCACTCTCGAGGGCAAGCTCGGCAAATTCACGATAGGCATCTGCCTTAGACTTTAGGTAGTCCGGAATAGGGGTTTGAGCCGCGGATGACAGGTTCAGCAACGCAAAAATCTTATCTATAGGGAGTGTGGAATCCGCGGTTCGGCAACGCGAGAGCAGCCGGCTCAGGCCAGATTTCGTCTTGCTCTCGTCTGCTCCATGGAAATTGTTTCGTAGTTCATGCATCTGCATTATTTGTGTCAGAGCTCGGAAGAAATTTATCTTTTTCTCTCGTGGTGTGATATGGTCCCAGCTGACTCCGGCTTCCACGAACGAATAGTAGAACATCATGGAAAAGCTACCCCATTCGCACAGGGTTTTGCCGCAGTACATATCAACCTTAGGAGATACAACGAACTCCTGAATTACCCATATGCGCTGGAACCACGGTCGACAAAGTAGGTTCACGATGGCCTCCTGAACGCTACTTTGATTGAAACCCTGGAAGAGCTTTGCCTGACTAGTTCCAAGCGATTTGATACAAATCTGCATCATCTCGCCGGCGTCTTCAGCAACTCTTCTTTGGTTAATGAAATCCGCCATCGCACATCTGACGCGCCAAAAGTGGTTTTCGAGATATTTTGCCGCTAGGTTACTGTCGGCACTCTCATCACCAAGATAGACGACAGTCTTACTCGCTTTCCGATAGATCTGCTCCATCAGGACCACCTGTTTCCCCCGCTCTAGGAGATCACTCTGGTTAATGCAGATTGCGTCGACCCATAGCATTCGTGGTGTCGAATCCAGACGTAGATTCATTAATGCTGATTGTAAGCTCGCCGTAATCTGCAAGTAGCTATCGCCGCAAAGGAGAATATTTGGTTGAGCTGAACTTCCCCACGTATAACTCAGAGCCTCGTAAGTATTTGCTGCGTCATTGATCAACACGTGATTGAATGAGACGAAGAGCTCAGGCCCGTCACATGCAGGGCGCAGTTCGATTAGCCGAATCTCACCATCTCCTAGGGGGGAGTATTGATACCTCATTTTTGTCTGTTGGAGGATGTAGTGTCTCACGCCAGGGAAGTTGTACCGCCTGGGACCATACAATGACACCTTGAACGCCATGTTCAATAAATATCTTGCTGTGAATTTCGGAACATTCCACTTTATTGTTCAGTCAGATTCTTGAATTTTGTATTTCGCTTCATAGGCGTAGAATGTCAGCTGGTCTCAGCCTCAGCGGGTTTTAGCCCACCTACTTCGGCCCTGCAACCCCCCTGCATTGGCTACCCCTCTTTCAACACATTGATGATTATCTTGATTGACGTTTTTTGATACTTGAATTAATATTTTAATTGTGGTCTCTGTAGCTAGTAGAGGCGCCTACAATTTGAATTATTAGTTCTTGGATATTGTCGACGAAATTCTACCTAGCGTGGAGTGGTTGAATTTGCGTCTGTGTAGAATTTCTTCCCCAAGCTTCTGCTTGCTGTTAGCCATTCCTAGCTTGTCATTTAGAAAAAGCTTAGAAATCATAATTATTATACGCCAGAATACTCGCATAGTGTTCTCTATTTCCCGTCCAGGTATATGTGTATACCCTTCCTTACCTTCTGTAAGCTATTCCCAATGATAACAGCATGTACGCCTTAGGGTCTTTTAGTAGAGTGATGCAGATAGGCACCCCGAACCGATTCAGTCGTACTTTGTATTAATTGGATGGGGTTTTGACCGGGTCAATAGGACTCAGCAGAGGTTATCTTTAAAAGCTTGACGGCAAGCTATAAGTCAGCCTCGCAGATCGCTGCATCTCTCGTTGATGATTCATTCCGTCTGAAATGAGTTTTCCTAATATCGTTGCAGCACAACAAAAACCCTCGATCGGCCGTTCCATCATTCCAGAATCGATCGACTAGGTAATAAGAAGGAGAGAGAAAAGAGATACCTAGGTACCATAAGTTTGAACCCTAAATACTATGAACGGAAGGTTTAGGCTTGGAATTCATGTTTGGACAACGGTGTGCTCTATTATGCGACAATTATAGGCTTCGAATCAAGCATACTAAGTCGCTTGAGATAGGGCTCACAATGCAAATGTTGAGAATTGGAGAAGATCTTCCATTATCTTAACTTGAAGAAGAAGCTCTTCCGAACTCCTGAGGACAGTGTGTAGTGAAGGGGGTCATTATACGCTACTGAGAGTTACGGTAGATAGATATCAACACGGTGCCTCAAAAACTTGATGAACCTAGTCTAAACTAGTCTAAAGTCTCTCCTTACATTTATGATTCACACCTTTTCGCATGTGATGGCACTCTGGCCTACTGAGGTGTGCCATCTCTCAGACCAGGAGGCTAGAGCTCGCTCTGCAGTGGTTTGCCACTAGAACTATGAGATGTGCAGATGCACTGGCATCGCATATCGTGCCATTTTATCATGGACACTTTGGTTCCTGTGATTTAATACGTATCACAAACGCGATCTCGTTTGCGCAGATGATAGAATCTGCCAAGACAGGGTTGGTAGCATTCGCTCGAGCATGGAGTCGGCATCGAGGCTCGACTTCTTCCCAATTGAGTTAGTTTCTAGAGAAAAGGGTAACGAGTAATTCGCGGCGACCCGACTTCGATCTTTCTGTCACACTTCATATCGGAAACCAGATAATTACCAACCAGTCTGGGGCTGACAGGTCAACGGAGAGCGAATCGCTAAAAGAACGAAGGCTTAACCGACACGGAGGAATCTTGGATTAATAATGCAGTGCATCCCGCGCAGTGCCATCATGATGTCAAGCACAGCTTCCTAATGTCCAGCCCACCACTTACACGGCTGGAAGATATCTATGTTAACACACCTATATATATTACATACTTAAGGTAGCCTTGGTACACCACTGATGATATAAGTCCATGTCGATAGGTAGGTAGGCAGAAAGGTAGTTTGTAAGCACTCTAGATACGGGGCAGATATACTCTCTCTCTGCTGCGTACACCGGTTCTTCTCACCGGGCACAACTTGGGGCAGGTAGCATTGTCGTCGGGCTTATGCAATCGCCCACAGAATCATGGTGTCCCATATCCCCCTGACAAGCCACCTACCGCCTACGCTAGGATGAAGGAGAGATGAGGATTGGACAGAAGTGCAAAAGAAATTGCCTGGCCACGACTCGATCCGCAGCAGCGGGCGAGTACGGAGGCCATTGGCACGCCCGGGAACACAAACATACGAAGTAGTAGCCATAAATACCTGGCGACGAGGTTATGTAATAGCCTGGTCGGCTCCGATGCTGTGTATTATCAATCCTGTCCCCCCCAACACCTTCGGGCGCGCGAGTTGTGTGCCGCCAGGGTCAGCTCAATGTTCACTAATCACGCGGAAACGTCCTCAACAACTCCATCAGCATTTGGCTGTCTGTCGATGCCACGCTGACAATTCCTCCATTGCGCGAACCAAGCTCGCCATCTAGCTGCATCGGATCGCCCGCAGCGGGCACTCGGCATTCCGCGGCGTGGCAGCCCCTACCAGTCTGGGCGCCCTCTAGGTACCGGATCGCGGAAACTAAGGACCGTCCTGCTCTGTTCTGCCGCTGCTGGAATTCCCTGTCACACACGTGTAGCCGACTCTACGCGAAGGCCCGCGGGCGACGTGCCGACCGCTGCAACGGTTTTGTTACCTCTGCTGGATGCTACGCCAAGGATCAAGCAACGTCGGGGCTACCAAGATCTAGATAGGTCCCAAAGAAGAGCTGAGCGGGTCAGCGGGCACCCGCCTCGATTCGTGCTGCGGGCGGTCAGGACAGGCCGGCGCGAAATGCAATATGGGAATATGGGGGATAGCGATTTAGGCATACGCCGGTTTTGACCCGTCTTACTATGTCATACCCTGTTGATAACGGCATCAATTCGGGGCCTATTAATAATCACACCCAACATCCCTACCCTTACCCTTACCCTCAATCTCAACAACGGCATCAGCTCCCTCAACATGGCCAACCCCTTCCGCAGCAGCAGCAGCAGCAACAGGCGACTCCAAGCTTTGGCCTGGTCTCACCTTTCCACAACGACAACAGCGGCGGCAACGATAACAATAACACCTACACACAGAACCCTCAATCTACATTTCCGCTCAACCCCGCGTATAATAGATCCAGTTTCGGCCTCGGTTCTTCGGCTTATGGTGCTGTCCCGCCCGGCGCCTTAGCCCCCCAGGAACAAGATACTAGCCTAACAAATACTGCAGTACCTCCTCCGAAACCACTCTCGTGGGATTCTCAGTCTGGGACGTCGTCTCATCAGCACGCCGGGCTAAGTATTGGTACTTCGTCATACCAACCTGACATGCGGTACATCAAAGGGCCATTGGACGTGCTCAATGCCGAGCAGTATAATGATGGCCGGTTCACGGGCACGCGGGGGTTGTATAAACCAGAGGCTCACGCACTCCCCACGGCAGCTGCCGCATCTAACCCGAAAAAGCGTGGGAGAAAGGTGTCACAGAATGATCGTGTTGAGCCTGTAGAAGAAATCAAGAGGGCTAGAGGTCGCCCTCGCTTAGAGGCAGGCGATCATCAGGATATGAAGGAAGTAAGTTTGTAGATTCATCGATTTTGGTCCGTTTTCCCTTCCAGTCTAGAGTATCTCTTGGAGGCACTGTGGCCACAACATAACATGACGGAATCATACATCGTCAGACTACTTGTCACCGCCATGTATGGACCACATCGGGACAAAAGCTAACATGAAATCAGCGGAGAAAAGAGCAAATTCGTATGGCGCAGAGGGCGTACCGTTACCGCAAGGAGACTACCATCAACCACCTCGCAGCAAAGGTGGCGGGTCTCGAGGCGGGCAACCATGAGGTCAATGCCGATTTTCAAAAGCTCATGGAGTACGTAAATAAGCATGATATAGCTACTCAGAATCCTGAGCTTGGACGACGTTTGCAGCAATTCCAGTCTACACTGACCCAGCGCTGCCCTGAGACAGCTAGTCCCGGAGACGATGACACAGCTTCTGACGCAAAGCCGCGAGAAGACAGCGCGCTTCCAGATCAATCACAGATGAAGAGCCAGACTCCGAGCAGCCGGCTCGAGTCACAGTCCAGTGCCTCGTTACCTACGACGCAACCACAACCGCTTCTAGGCGGAATCATTGTGACACACGAACCGGAGGCACAACCCGTTATCCTAGACTCAGCACACCCCTCAGACGCCTCCATCGAGGACGGGACACTAACATTCGTGCGCATGGCCAACATAGACAACGCCAGTTTCGGATATCCCCTGAACTTCCTCGACAGCTCGATGCAAACCCCGTGGTCGCTGCCCTGGGAGCCCCTATCCATCCTCGACTCAGGGGCCTACCTAGAACGGACCTTCGGGCGGCGTCTGCACCGGCGCACGACCGAGCGCGCAGCCAAGCTCCTCTCCATACCAGACTTACCCGTCGAGGCAATCCTCCGCGTCTTCGGCTTCGTGATCCACTACGCGAGTCTCGACGAGATCAAGCAGCGCATCAAGTCGACGCTAAGCCGGGGCGCCGACGAAGACATGAACGCGTACGCGCAGCCCTTCCACCACGTCGGCGGGTCGGGCACGCACTTCGCCGGCGGCGCCAAGACGATCGCGTTCCCCGAGGGCGCGCCGTTCCCGAACTCCGGGTTCGGCATGGGCCCGTTCAACGAGAAGACCACGACCGTGCGCGACGACCTGCTGGACCACCTGCAGCATGCGAAACTGCCCGGGTGGGAGGGCGAGTGGTTCGACGCGTACGAAGTCGAGCAGTATCTCGCGCAGCAGTCGATCAGTCTGCCGCAGGGCGGCGGCGACGGCTACGTGGATATCCCGCCGGGCGAGTTCTACGACAATCCGCTCGAGGAGCCGCAGGCGAAGAGCAGCAATGGCGGTAGTAGTGGAGGTATGCAAGGGGGTCCCGTGCGGAATAACCCGGCGTATCCGTCGCCCGGGTCTAGCATCGAGGGCCTGCTCTCGGTGCCCGCGCCGACGGATCTGTGGTCCCCCGGGTCCCTCGGCCCCGATTATCTGGCCTCGATGTCGGACACCATGTCCTCGGCGATAGCATATCACAACACCGGCTCGCTGGGGTTCGCGGACGCCTCGCAGTACGGGTACGCGGCGTCCTCGAGCGCGATGAATCTGGTGAGCAGCCAGGCGCGCAACAAGAGGGTGTGGTTCAGCGTCGATAAATTCATCGAGAGTAAGTCGTCTCGCGCAACTCGTTTACATGCAAACTGGACAAGAGAAGTGACTAACGCGTTGGATATAGGTCTTGGCGCTAAATGCACATGCGTGGGAAAGGGGCCGGCGTTCCGCAAAAAGGATGTCGTGGCGGCGTTCTGGGAAGCTGCGAAGCCGGGTCCCGAATGAAACTATCTAATCAATATCATGTGTAACAGTAGTTGTTATATTGTGTTATATCTGTATACGTGACATCGGGGATTACCTCTCGATGCCTTTGGCTTATGAGTGCTCGATGAGAAGTAGAATTACCCTCGAGTAGGTTGATGGAAATATGGATTCGATCCATTGCTGTACGTACATGATATAGACGTATAAGACACAGGATTTTGCAGGATGTGATCGTTCGTGGAACAATTCTCCGTGTAGTACGATTGGTCTGATAAGCCTTGCTAGGTATAGAGGAAACATCTACCTAGGTTAGATACGTAGTAGCTTATAGCAATAGGTATTACGACCCATCAGCTCTCTGTATTCTCCTTTTTGGTAATGATATCATGGTTTTGTGTTCGAAGTACCCAGGCGAAACGTTCGTCAGTGATTCTTTAGATAAGTATTTCTACATAGGGTATCTAAATGAAGTTGTGGTGATACACGATACAGGCCAAGAGCGTATTTTACAAGATCTCAAGGCATCGTAATTACTTCATATCTGAGAATACTTGTCCTCGTCACTAGTCCGCGGGCTTCGCCTTCCTCTCTTTGAAGTGTGGGAATAATTCCCTCCATCCCTCGCCGTGTTGCTCTAGCATCTTAGCTTCCCACCTTGCCCGTCTCTCGGCAGTCCTCTGTGCCTTCTCCTGGGCCGCGAGCGCTTTCTCTTGGTTGACGATCTGGCGCATGGCATCGGCGCGTGCCACTTCATTCATGCGCTCGGTCGTCAAAATTGTCAACAATTCATTGGTACCGTGGCGTTGTATCGTTTCCGCGTATGACCCCCCATCGATCCCGTTCTGTGAATCTTGCAATCCCCCGCCAGAGGATCGCTTTCCCGGGGTCTTGTTCTTGTTGCTCTCCGATTTGTTCTCGCTCAGCATAAGACGCTCGATCTCCGCGTCCCAAGCATCTTCAATCTTGGCGTTGGGAAGCGCTTCCTTCTGTAGAGCCGTATACAGCTCTGTACGCGCTATCCGCTTGTTCACCTTTTGCCTGAGCACTCGGCTCAGTATTGCAGGCTGTGGCTTTGTCAGGCGCAAGAATGGGATATCGCTTGCCATGTCGATGTGCGGAACCTTTCGTTTGCCGGTTCCGCCTAGTTCGGATAATGGACGCGGGCGGGTTGGAATAGCGTAGGTGGGTTTCGAGGTTGGGCCGAACGCATTTGGGGGAGGCGATACTTTAACAATCAGGGGAATAGTTCCGGGGCGTGGCCTGTCGGACTCTGGATCGTACGACGGCCGAGGAGCAGGCCGGTTAGCAAGACTACGCTTTCGTTCTTCGAGGCGCGACTGCAACAGTTTAATAATCGAGGCATGGTGCTCCGAGTTGGGCGCGGTCGCAGCGTCGTGGAGGACAGAGAGCATGCGGTAGCCAGCGCTCAGAGCCGGATACAGGATGCGCGGGCTCGTGTCGCCTACATTGTGTTTGAACGCGCGCCGTATATGGATCGCTACGGGATTCTTCCCTGGGCCCCAGCCTGTCGCAAGATCATCTGGAAGGGAGATCTGCGGCGCAAGGCGCAAGAGCGCGCGGTATAGGGCAAGACCTAGATTGGGCGATATGCCATGTTAGCCCCAATCAGTCACCATGGACCTGATAGTGCGGTTTATGAGAGCTGGGGCCTTACATGCTATTCTGTGTCGAGAGCTACGGGCCGGGATGAGAAATCTAGTAGGTCTGAGTGATGTTCCGTCTGGCATTGGGAGTAGAGGGGTTGCAAAAGCTGCATTATTGATTGGAAGAGCTGCAGGCTATTGAACTAACCTTAGCTGAGTAGATAGATAGATACTCGATTAGCTGATTTTCTCCGGTGCTGTTGGGGGAACCCTACTGGGGGCCGAACAGATCCGCCTGTTAGTTGTGGCATAGCGCCGACAGGTTCCAAATCATGCCGATCACCGTACCGGTAGCCTGGGCTAGAGCAATGAAAATACAATACCTACACATGTCCACGTAACTATGTACATACGGTATCATATTCATTATTCACTGTGTAGGGCTTCACCACGTGCAAGTGCATGTATCATTGTTGTGAGACCAACAAATGGTCTCCTGAGTTCATTCGCAGTTGAGGAAGAAGGGCGGGAAGCGAGACAACCTGTCCCTGACTGAAGTTAGAGCCTGTGGGCGAGTAAGTTCTCGTCTGTGCCAACCCACTGCGCATAGTGTTGCACTCGTTCACCCTGCCGACACCATCCATTGCTTCCAGATACACAAAACCCAGGAAAAACACATGGGAAAGCTTTTCGTGATATCTAAATCCCACCCTTGCCACTAACTCCTGTCGATTCGCCCCTCCATCAAGGTGATGATCCGCGTCTTGGGGCGTAATTCATTTCTCGTAGCAACGTCGTTTCCACCAGCGCCACACGTGCGCACCGACTAATTTCCAGGAAACACGGAGCCCTCAGGCGGTTGCGGGAGCTTCTTGCATTGACTCGAGGCCATGTATCTATATCCAGATCAGCCAAACTCTCCCATCTCTCTTCCCTGTCGCGCGCGAAGGTGCCCTACCGTCGTAACTCAATCAGGATAGTTTCCATGGTGTTCTCTCGCTTCCAATTTGCCAGGCATGGTAATTGCTTTGGATCAACCACGCCGTTTCTCGCGCTTACACAGGGTAGGTTGATCTGGCTTATGAACTGAATCGTGGGAGGACTATCAGGATATTGGGGACCGCAGTGCATCTTGACTGAGTAAATCCGGTTCTCGTGAACACTCTGTATGAGTATGCTATCGTCAGCCTGTTATGCTATGCAGAGTGAAGGGAGGAGGCTCGCTAACATGAGGTGGGCCGAGGATGGTGCCGTTCCAGTCCGACATTAGAAGATCTTCCGGGTTATCTAAGCCATACGAACAAGCCTCTACACGAATCGAATCAGCATGGCAGTCTAGGGGGTGAGAGGTTATAGATGCCAAGTTGCGGCATACCTGCACCCAAGCCCTTTTCTCCCTTTTCAAGCTCCTCCAGGAGCCGGAAATTTCGCGGAATTTTGGCAGTCATATTGGATATCGAAATAGGAGCGCGTGGACAGGGCAGCTGATGTGATGAACCACGCCGTCTAGTGGTTTTGCGTTACTGGTAGTATAGCACAAGGGCTGGTGCTTAATAACTAGTCAAGGGAAAGCGGTGCGTCGTACGTGGAAAATAGGGGGGTTCCGTTAACTATCATGAAAAGTTGAGTACTGAGATGAGGCTTGAAACTAGATAAGTTTAGCAATGAATAAGTCGGCTGTTTTGGAGGTTTGGAGGTTTGGAGGGGAGGGTGATCTGATGGGCAAGAACAGGCGGGATGGTGGGATGGCGGAGCGTGGGTGGTGGGGTGAGCACCTGTACAGTGAATGCGGGCGCTGTTCTGCCCCCGCTGTGCCCACTGCACTGCACAGGTAGGTACCTAGGTACAGTGCGGTCGGTGCACGCAATGCCCCGCGATCCGGCCGGCTGCCCGGGACGGTACCTAAGGACATGTCTGGAGATGGATAGGTGACTGCTGAGTCATCGTCCAGGTCAACCCAAAGGCCCTAGTAGGTAAGGCTGGGCAGGTAAGTGCCTACCTAGGTACTGAAATAGTGTAGTACTTATGTGGCCGTAGCCAAATGCTTTATTGAATAACTCGACCAGCGAGGGCTGTAGCCAGCTAGAAACGAAGGTTGTAGATGGTCAGGTTGGTGGCCAAGGGCCCCAATCCAGCCCGCTATTCTTATATGCCCTTGCTTCCGTTTGCACGTACCTAGACTAACGGCCACAAGAAAGGCTGGATAGAGCTGAGACATACGAAGTACCTAACCATGTACTCCACCTAGATGCCAGGTGGGCTCAATCTACCTAGGTACCTAGGTACCTAGTCTAAAGGCCGAATCTGGCAACAAGCTTCGACCTCCTTCTCAGAAGACCACCCGTCGACGGCCGTACATGAAGCAGCCATCTATCGACGTGTACCTATCTATATAAATCCTGACCGGATGACATCTGCCTTGCAAGTCTTCACCTCGGTGCGAAAGGCAGCTGAATAAAACAACACCTCTACGTCCACGTCGGCGAATCGGCCTTCGCTAGATGGAGGGACGCTAGAACCACTGTTTGGCCAAGATGACCACGCAGCTGCTCGCTACCGAGCTGGCAAATCTCATTCAGGAGAGCAAACGCAAACATAACGATTTGCGCCAGGTATGTAACACAGGTCCATCCTTATAGCGTATGCAATTTTGAAAAATAAAGTCGTCAACCAGTCCGTCGGAGCCACACCTAACCTGGCCGTCACTAGGCAGCCGAGAAGTCTCTCGATGAACTGAAAAGCATCCGGTCTACCTCGGAAGCCTCATTGGCAGCTGGTACGTCGATCCCAGCAAGGGACTATCCGTCCAAACAACTCGAAGCTTACCATCTCGCATAGAACTCGCGCAAAGAGTGAGCTTTGTCAATCCCTTCATCATCGCATGCGGTACCAAGAATGCCAAATTCACAGGCATCGCCATCGTGTGCCTCTCACGTTTGATCCTCGTGGGTGCTTTGCCATGGTCTAAGCTGAGCCCCGTGCTAGAAGCTCTTCGTGAGGCTACCTCGGCTGGCTTAGATGTCCAGCTCAAGATTCTACAGGCCCTGCCCACTCTGTTGCAAAACTACGCAAATGATATCAGAGGTGACCTACTCGTTACGGCTCTCAATATCTGTTTTATCTTACAGACGAGTAAGAATGGCGTCGTCAGTAACACCTCTGCCGCTACCCTCCAGCAGCTTATCATGACCGTCTTTGAAAAGGTCGCAACTGAAGATAGTAAGTCATTCTACTATCGCAGGTTCCATCAAGTTAACCTAATATAGAGTCGACATCGGGCACAGAAGTTGCTGGCGAAGCACCTATGGGCAATGGTGGAACGGTCAAGCTTCGCGCAGCTGCAATGGACGCGCATCGCGTCTTCAAGGACATCTGCTTAATGACGGAAAATCATCGACCTGAATATTTGCGTTTCACCGGGCTCCCGCAAACCTTTGGCCTAGAGTTGATAGAATCGGTCTTGAGTCAACATGCCGGCCTCTTCCTGGCACATGCCGAACAAGCCTACATCCTTCGTACCAGGGTCATGCCATTCATTATCAAAACACTAAGTGGAAAGCCCGACTTTGCTACGTCCGTCCGGCTGGTGCGCATCTTGTACACCTTGCTCAAGAAGCATCTCAGTATTCTGCCATCTGAGGGTGGAGATGCTCTAGATGCCTTGACTCAGTTGCTAGATCAAGATACTGTGATTTGGAGACGAGCTTTGTGCATGGAGGTTTTCAGAGGTATTTTCGCTGAGCCTGCGCTGATGAGGCGCATCTTTAGACTATATGACAGCCAGGGAGGCAGGAGCATACTCAAAAGCTTGACAGCAACATTTGTCCGTGTGAGCACCGAGAAGCCAGCGGTCATAGGACTCGGCCATCAATCCACGATTCCTGTTGCAGATCCGTATGCCAACATGGGGGCATCTTCGGATCAAGCTATGCTTGAGTCGAGTGGTGTTACAGGGATTATTGGTGGATCTGTAAACGAAGGTCATAATACTGGCATAAGCTCTCAATGGAGTACCGTTAGAGTTGCTTGCATAGACCAGCTGGATAAGACGGATCCTCCCAGCATTCCTGAATCTTACATCTATGCGCTTACGCTATCCTGCATTACTTCATTATCAGAAGGTCTAGCGAAGTTCATATTACCACTCACAGTACCTGGCGATGCTCGCTCTCGCAAGAGGGGGGCGAAACCCTCAGACACCGGTAGAGACTCGCCAGCGCCAACGGAAACAAGCAGCGCGGATAGCACAAAGACTGGATTGGAGAAGAGCATGAGCGCGACCTCCCTTGACAGATCTTCGTCTTTCAAAAAGAACCCTGTACCTGTTAATCCGCTAGCGTTGAAAGATCATCCTTTATATATTGATGTCAAAACATGTGCCGACATCATCGATGAGTGCTGGCCTGCTATCCTTGCCACCTGCTCAACTTTTCTATACGCTGCATTGGACTCGGAGTATTACCATGGTCTCGTGCGAGCGTTTCAAAAGTTCGCTCATGTCGCCGGACTTTTGCAACTCACCACCCCACGAGATGCCTTTCTCACAACGCTGGGCAAAGCAGCTGTGCCGCCCAATGTTTTCACTGCTTGCCTCAACACTGGCTCTTCGAAGTCCCATATACCCAGTCCGACTACCGAGACGCCCAATTCCATTCTTGGAAATGCCAGGGGCTTATTGAGTGTAGAGAATCTGGTGACTCCAGTGGGTGTCGCAGGTGAAAGGCAGAGACAGGCTTCATTCGACGCGAGCAGTATACCACAAACAATCAATACTCGCAACTTGTTGTGCATGCGTGCACTGCTCAATTTGGGCATTGCTCTTGGACCCACGCTCAGTTCCTCATGGTCAATTATTCTGGAAACCTTGCAACAAGCTGATTTTGTGCTATTTACGAATGGAAAGACTCCTGGGAAGATCCCAATAGTGGCCAAAGTCTCTGATTCAGCAGCTGAGGCTGAGGCCGCAGGACTGCTAGCTAGTTTCAGTACGGAGATACGAGCCGTGGAAACGGCTGCTTCGAGACTTCTGGAAAGCACCGTTGACTTTCCAAACGATGCCTTTGTCGAAATAGCCACAGCCGTTTGCCACCTTCTAGAACATCATCCGGGACCTTCATCAGAACCATCGGTTCAACCTCGTTCTCCACTTCCCCCTGCTTCACCCGCTGCAGGAGTGCGATCGCCAAGCGCGCAGCATAGGAAGTTATCCGGTCTTTCAACCACTGTCCCGTCTGGAGCTAGCCAAGAAGATCAGTTCACACTCGCTAAGATCGGCGACTTGGCTGTCATAAACCTCGAGAGACTGCTTCTATATGCCCCGGATGTATCAGGCTGGAATCAGATTACTTCTGAACTCGTTAGGGTCCTCAGCTCCAGCGGCATAGCTGCCCCGGTGAGAAGTCGGGGGGCTGACATTCTAGTGAGACTCATGCTGGATGCTGTGAAAGCAATAAGTGGTCAAACCGACGAGACGCGGGCGCGAGTTCAGTTGCGGGTATTACAAACTCTTCGCGCTTCTCTAGTCCCCTTGGAAGAAGAGAATCGAGTGGCTTCTGTAACCACATATGCCACCGATGTTGATATTCACAAGATTATCTTGGAAGGGTTAAAGGATCTTCTCGATGAATGCGGAGAATCGCTTCTTAGTGGGTGGAGTGTCATTTTCGAGATTATTGGCACCATTTTTATTCCGAGAAGATTTGCTGCTGACGACAGCTCCGATGAACGCCCAGCGCCGCAAGGGCTAGCTACGCGATCTTCCAAATTGATACGCTCTGCATTTAGCTCCATGCAGCTCGTCTGCTCGGACTTCTTGTCTTCTTTACCTAAATCATGTTTCCTTATTCTCGTTGATACCCTGTACAAGTTCTGCTCTCAAGACGATGACCTTAATATTGCATTGACAGTAAGTCTCAGACGATCATGCATTGAGTTATTCTAATGTCTCATCTACACAGACAGTCACATTTTTCTGGGATCTCTCCAACTTTCTCTCGGGAAAGAACAAAGCACTTCCCATTACCAATAACCTCGTCGGCGATTTCGATGAAGCTTCTCTAGTCGAGAAGGCCTCGCATGCTGAGAATGCATCTTCAGACGCCGCTCTTTGGATGCTTCTTCTTATCCGACTCACGAATGTGACCATCAACGACAGATTAGACTTGAGAAATAGTATGATCCACAATCACAACTCTATCTTTATGTACTAACACCCACAGGTGCAATCCAAACACTTTTACGAATTTTTGATGCGTACGGCGACCAGCTTTCTCCTGAAGCCTGGTCCATCTGCATTAAAGCAGTGATATTTCGTTTGATGGCTTCCATTGAAACTGAATTGCAAGCACTCAATGATGCTGAGTGTAACGAAAAGACCCGGAACGAATGGCATGATACGGCAGTTGTCGTCCTCAACGGCATTTCTAGTCTGCTTTCAAATTATCTAGATGTTCTCACTGTCCATCCAACTTTCAATTCCTACTGGCAACAACTGCTGGGCCATTTCGCAACATTGCTAGACCTCCATGTGCTGGAAATCAGTACAGCGACCTTCAAAGCTCTTACGCAAATCCTTTCCCATAGTCAGACCGGTTCAAACCAAAATTTCAATAAAACGACCATAGATCTCGCGTGGGATCTGTGGTCTCGCGGCATACCCGTAACCAATCTGGAGACAACGGATAAACCCCTAGATAACCAGAACTGCTTGCTAGCTTATGTCGCCGCCTTGCGTGACGTATACCGCTTGATACAAGACGATCTAACAGTTGAGCGAATTCGCCGCATGCTCACGCTCCTGCGCGACGTCATGCGAACGGCGGCGCCTGGTGCATTTATTGCAGACATTGACCATGCCACGCCATTACAGGGACAAGTGCTAGATGTTCTTAAGATGATTCGAACCGATATTCCTGGGGCGCCCTCTGCTTTGATCACCCAGACCTCCGAATTTGTCTCATTAGCTTTTACTGATGGCGACACCACTGCAACTGAACGTACCACGCAGAAGAGGACATATGTCGCTATGTCCAAAGCCAGCATGGTGATGTTACAAACATTGGTACAGTCACATGCGTCAGACACTGATATTTATAATAATGGCTCTTTACTGACAGCGCTGGCGGCTTTATCGAAACCTATTGAGCTCAAGTACCAGTTTCCCATTATCACCAAGTCAGAGCAACCCTGGAAACAGGCAACAAACTCGGCTATAGCTATTCTAAGAGCCACCATAAGCCACCTCGTAACGCTTGAGATTCCTCGTGCCATGCTACAAGATATTTGGCAAATCCTTGTTATCATTACGAATGGTATATCTAAAGCAGACTGCGAGGCGCCGCCTGATAAGATTAACATCTCTGATGACGAAGATTTCGATATTACGTCGTTTATGCAATTACGAAACTTGATAATCCCCTCATTGGGCGCAGAAGTTGTTCCGGACAAGACGCGAAAACTCTTTGCCGAAAACCTTTTCCGCATGTCCATTATTCATGCGCCAGCGCCTGCTGAGTCCTCTCTCATTTACGGAAACGAGGGAGGTGACATGGTTGGATTATCGAACCTCTATAAAACCCGGCGTGGTCGTACCATTGACCCTCCACCATCAAAACGTAGCAAAATGTCGTATATTTGTCTAGATGAGCTCTTCTCCCTTGTCGCGAGCCAGGATACAACCGCAGAGCCACAGACCACTATCCAGCCATCTACAGCCAGGCCAACGCCATCTTCCGGCAGCGCTGCTTCGGAACCTTCTCGCGTGCTCAGAATCCGACTCGCGAGGACAGCGGCGCCATATCTAATCTTGAGAGCTGCTCTGACGCTACGCACGTATGTCGCGGACCAGCCCCTTCGCGGCCGGATGCCGCAGCCTCTCAGTCAACGCAGGGAGTTAGCCCGGATACTAGAGCGCTTAATCGAACTCAAGAGCGAGCCGGAAGCTATCCCCGACACGCCCAACGTCGAGAGCGACGGAAGGAAGCACTTGCTCCGGCTCTACCCGCTCATTGTCGGCGCCACTAGAGTCGCTGGTAACACCGGCGATGCCTCTATTTCTAAGCTGTTGACAGAGGCTCTGGAAGTAGTCGGCGTCGAACTAGGGATGTGATACATACATGCGCATTGAAAGAGGAAGAGAAAGGATTCTTATATATATACACATGGACCGGGCCTAGAAACTGAGTATGGACTGACTAGTGTTTAGAGTATATTTAGATGAAAGTTTGTACTGCATCGTTATAGAGTTTATTGATTACGAAGGGAGGAGCAATGGGCATTCTTTGTCAATGAGGAGACTCCTGGCTTGCTCCCTATGGGAAATGCACGAGTGGTGTGAGGTACATAGCTATCGTCATGGTTTTGTTCTTTTTTTTGTGGTAGAAATACATGTGTCAATTAAGACTTGAAATAGATGGCTTCCCGATTGGTGATGATTGATATGTCCTTTTTTTTTTCTCTACCATGTCGTCTGGTGCCATGTTCAATGCCTAGGTGATTCCTTTTTCTCGTGCCCATCCTGGATTATCTCCAGGATGTTTAATGTGCCATCTCCTTCTGATGTAGTTATACAGGAGCCGGCCTCGTCCTGCTCATGGTAGAGTGTAGAGTTTACATAGAGGGGCGTACCGTTGGATTCCTCTAACCTAGTTGGGTACATGTCCTTCACCTATTCATGATCTCCTAAACAGTAGTCAAGGACTAGTTAGCTCGCTCGCTCGATCACTTTATTTCTTGGCGGTCGTGCTGTCGAACTCGCGCACGACTGAGTCGACGATGCTCTCAGGCTCTTGGCCCTTCGCCTTATCCGCCTCGATCGCGCCGTTCTTCTCCAGCAGCTGCTTGGCCATGGAGCGGCCCTGGGCGTCGCCGACCTTGCCGTAGACGCTGAGCGCCGTGGCGATCATGCCGCCGATATCGCCCACGTTACCGGGGACTACGACGGCGGTGCTCTCGCGCGCGAGCTTGCCGAAGGCGTCGACGTACTTCTCGGCGACGGAGAGGGACACGGCGCCTTGTGCTGAGGCACCGCCCGCAGCGATGGCGGCTCCTACGGCGTCAACGCCGGCGGCGGTCGCTTTGGCTTTTAGGAGGATGGCCTCGGCCTCACCGGAGGCGCGGTTAATGTTCTCGGCGCGCAGGGCCTCGGAGGCGAGGATGACGCTCTGCTTCTTTCCCTCGGCGATGTTGATGGCGCTCTGGCGCTGGCCTTCGGACTCGAGGATTTCGGCGCGCTTCGACCGCTCCGCCGTGACCTGGCGGTGCATGGCCTCGACGACGCCCTCGGGCGCGTGGATGTCGCGGATCTCGTACCGCAGGCAGGTCACGCCCCAGGCTTGGGCCGCCTCGTTGATGGCCGCTGTGATGTTGGTGTTCAGTGCGGCCCGCTCTTTCAGGACGTGGTCGAGGGACAGTTGGCCGATCTCGCTGCGCATGGTTGTTTGAGCCAATTGGCTTATGGCGTACTCGGCGTCTTCGACTCCGTAGCTGTTGAATGGACTCAGTGTTAGAATGATTATGCTCCCAATCTTATGGCTCTTCAATTCTCTTGCCACTTCTCTCGATATCTTCCTTTACTTCCTAGTGCACTTCATATCAGGACGGAGGTAGGTTAAGAACGCACCTCGCTTTGTAGGCGTCAAAGACACGTGTATACAGCACACCGTCAAGCTCTAGCGTCACATTGTCGGCTGTTATGGCGCTCTGGCTCGGTATTTCGATTGCGACTTCTTTCAGGTTCTTGACGTAGGCGATGCGGTCAAGGAAGGGGACGAGAATGGCAAGGCCGGGCTCGAGGATGCGGTTGAACTTGCCCATGCGCTCGACTATCCATGCTGTCTGCTGTGGGACGAATCGAATTATGGTGTTTGCGGGGAGAGAGGGACGCTGGAAATACGACGGCGGTATGGGGCCCATGAAACTGCTGCCCGACGAGGCCGGTGCGAGGGATCTTGACGTGCTGTGTAGCGTTCGCTGTGCACCGAGCGCGAGAGAGGGTGCGAGGTTTCGGAGGTAAGGTGAGGATACGGTAGAGGACACGGTGGGATTACGAGCGGATTGGAGCAAACCTCGCCGTATGGCGGGCCGCAGGGCCTTGTCTGCTCTGCTCAGCGACGACATGGCACGTTGCTGATGTGGTTGGGATGGTTGTCGGAGGAGAGGAGCTGAGGCGTGGGAGGCTATCGCAGGCAGAATTTAGCTTAGGACTACAATGATGACATCTCTCCAGGCGCGGCGCACGGTTAGGGATTAACAAGCGGGTCCCACCTGCAGGTACAGCACTGCCAACCCAGATACCTATGTAGATAGGTAGCCTCTCTCGAATATACAGTCCTCAACACTAAATGGATGGTGATTGACAACAAGAAGCTATTTAGATTTGATACAAGCATTCAAATAATGGTTCGTACTCTAGATAATCTTTTGGCGTAGTGCCTAGATCTCACAGAAGCCGCCCAACACAATCGACCTTCATTACTGTGTACCTAGGTACAGTAAAAGTATGCCCAGGTGTGATTGATTCTGTTGACCGATCAATTCAGAGGCGTTTTCTTTTATGAATAACGCCCTATATTCTGAGAAAACTCAACTATTGAAAGCCAGAAGAATAGAGAAAGGAAAATTGCCTATCGTACACTCCCAGTGCAACATGTTTAGTTTACCATTCTATATATTATATATCAACTGGAACAACCTTGGAAGGCTCTGGTAAAAAGTAAAAGCAGAGGTATGAGGGTGTGGCTCAGTGACTCGTTGTGGCGTTGTGGCGGTGTCACGATCGGGGCACCTCCCGAGGTCCCGCCTATTCTTCCCTACTTAGTGTCCGTCTTGGCTCTATTCCGTCTCTATCACCACCCGGCCCTATTGACTCCACAACGCACCCTACTACTGGAAACGGGACCGTCCAGTGCCGTGCTGCGAACAACACCGCCGCTAATCTGATCAACTTCTCTTCCGGATCACCATAAGCCCTCCTAGTTGGTCTTTGTAATAATGCCGCTCAAGTCACACTCATTCGTGCAACGTCACATGAAGTCGATATTTCGTCTATAACAAGGGCAGGAGTACTGGGCTTGGAATCTAGGCAATTCAGATGATAATGATCAACTAGGGCTGCATAAGTCCTTGACCAACCAACTCCTTCTCGGCTGTTGGTGGCTTGGCTTAACTCTATATACAATTGGTCTGCCAGCCCAGACCGCCTAGGTCTCTGGGGTCTGTTTCAAGAAGTGAAGTCTATAATTATAACCTCACTTCCCAATATTGCCTGCATGTCTTTGAAAGATCATGAACAGCCTGCAAAGGTCCTTCGTACGGCCGAAGTGCAAGGCGAACTGCATATTCAGCTAGTACAGAGGTTACACGTGTAACATTAATACAACTGCACATTCAACCTTCCCCTGAGACATGCCCTTCTTAGGAGGGGGGGTTTTATCCCTAGGTGGCCCTCTTGAATCGAATGTAGTTGAAGCGAAGAAACTTTTTGGACTCCCTTTTCTTCTGAGAGGCTGATAACCTCTTACTAGACGATTTCCTATCCTAGGTCTTGTTGACTTCATCTGAGTTGTCACAGAGTTGTTACACTTCATACTGCTGTAGGTACATACACCAAATACTTGCCACCAAACTAAGTGTAAATACCTACGTTACGATACACCAATCACACAAGGCTTGTGAGATTTCGGCTAGAGCTCAGTGTGGGGATTGGGTTTCATGCGACGACTTGGTGAAAATCTGCCAATCAAACGGTTGCCTAATTGCTTGTAACTTTCTCGGTGAATTTGGCCATAGCATTTCTGCCCAACCCTTTTGCAGGCAAAAGCTGAATGAATTATTGGTGCGGGGATTCAAATTAGGAGCCCCCAGTAGGTAGGTACCTATGCTTGATAATGGATGGGGGTAGCGCAGCGTGAATGCAACCACGGTAATCACATACGCAGTGAACCTGGTGTCCTCTTTTCGCCAATTCACATTCTAATTGACGAGACTCCCTGGACTGCCATATTATGAATGTGGACTTGCTCAAGCGACACACATTCGATTTCACGGGACCACACCATGGCTTCTCGAACACCACTGAAACCAGACGGGTCCGAAATCCGGCTGCTTGGCTTACACCCAGGACACTCTACCGACGAGATACGATGCACACTTCGAACAGTCACATTTGACCAAAATCCCAAGTTCGAAGCCTTGTCTTATGTCTGGGGAGACCCAAAGGATACCAGAGAGATCATAGTCGACGACCAACCGTTCCAAGCAACAGTGAACTTGGAGGCTGCCCTTCGAGCCCTACGGAAATCTAAGAAAACACGTGTGTTATGGGTCGACGCCATCTGCATCAACCAACAAGATATCGATGAGAAAAACGTCCAGGTGGGGAGGATGCACCTTATCTATCCCCGTGCTTATAGGGTTCTAGCATGGCTGGGGCCGTCAGATCCCAATGTAGAAGTCGCGGAGTCTTTGGTACGCACATACGTTTTAAGGTCCTTCACCTTCAAATCCTGGTACTGGTTGAACTTGAACATAAGAGCTCTCTTTTCCATAAGGGCGAAATTTGAAAAATGTCTGGCAGTGGTGCAGGGGCTCACAGGGTTTGTTCACTTCCTTGGCAATCCTTACTGGGCTCGCATGTGGACTTTTCAGGAGTATCAACTCGCATCACGTCAGCTGCTCTGTCTTTTCGGCGACCAGGCTGTCCAGCACATAATATGGAACGAAAATTTGTCAGAATTCTTTGGGGATAGAAGCGTTAAGGCTTGGGAAAAAACCCAGCAGCTCGTCAGAAGCCCGCAAGGTGGCAGGTATATCGAGCGAAATCCAGAGTTGTTGGAAGCTATCGCAGCAGGATTGCAGAACGTATGGTCAGTTATCAACTGTGAGAACATATATGCCGGCGCCTACGTGCATATGCATACGTCCCCACGCAGTCTACACCCAGAGAAACGATTTTTGGTCTTAATGGTACGAACGCGTCGGAATAGATGCTCCAACCCCTCCGATAGGATCTTTGCGCTCTATGGTTTATGTCCGGCTCTTGCGGACATTTATCCGGCAGACTACACAAAGCCATATTGGCAGATCACACTAGAGACAACGGCGTATATCGTGAACAACGAACCGACGGGCGAGAGTATTCTTAATCTCTTTGGGCCTAGGGACGGTCACCTCACTGATGACTCAATTCCATCCTGGGTACCTGACTTTGATCCTGAGTGTGATTCTCCAGAAATTGAAAAAAATAGGTATGCTGGCCCTATCGATCATTTCCATGGACTATCCAGGACAAAGGTAACTGCTGATCTTAGGACACTTCGTCTCTGGGGGAAAAGGTGGGAAAGGTGCAACGTAACATGCCGGTTTTCTTTTGAAGACGACGCATGCGCAGCTCAAATTCGACAAATTCGGATGGAGCCATCCTATCTTCTCTGTCGTGATTTGAATAATACCTCCTTAAGAATGTCGGAGAACCTACAGGCGAGACTGAGCTACGCTTGCGCACCTGAAGGTCTCTATGACCGTGAGAAAGTCTTCAACCACATCACAACAGTTCTCAATGATTGGGCACATTCTCGGCTCACGCTCACAGAGTGGAAAAAGGACAAGAGCTTGAGGGACTTGGATACTATATTAGCATATCTCAAAGGAAAGACTCTGATAGTCACGCAGAATGGATTTTTCGGAATAGCTTCGCAGCATGTTCAAGATGGCGACATCGTGGTCTTATGCCTAAAGATATTGTCCCTAATTATTCTTACAACGCACGAAGAAGGCGCGGGGAAGCAACCGAACATTTATAAGCTAGTCGGAACCGCGTATATCGATGGACTCTGTGTGGGCGATTTTGAGGATACCGCTGCTGCTTCCGAGATTTGGAAGCAGCGAGATCTAGAGGAGTTCATGGTTCGATGAGCTCGGGATTCAGACATTTCATTAATTCGGAGTTTGATTGAGTCTACTTTGCCTCGTTCCAGCCGAGGGATACTACTCTTTTACTTCTTTTCTGGAATTGAGGGCGTCTATGTCGATGCTAGCTATGAGTTTGATGATGCGTGGCAATTGGGACCACTCGTCAAATTAAACTCGATCCGCCACAAACATTGTGTGAAATTTGAGACTAGAGATTTAATTGATAGGAATCCATTCCGTATTGTTGGCATATATAGCAGTACAACTAGGTATTTGAGTACCCGGTGCATCGGTTTTTACTCACACGTATAAAGCATTTCATAATATAAATGAATCTTAATAAAGGCATAACTACTGTTTCGTAGCATAAAGCTTATTATGGAAAAGTTCACCTTTGCTTGATACTTTAGGATAGGTTAAAGACTTTAATGCCCGTAGGCTATCGGAATATTTAGACTTTGATCACCAATGGCAATTACATATACAATTCACATTGAGTTTCTGGCAAAAGATGCATATTTTCTTGGCCAATTTTAATACCTGTTGGCTTCAAGGCATATTACATCATTGTAACTACACTATCATATAAGTCGTGTCTAAAAAGAAAAAAAGTATATCCATGAACAATCGTAGACGAAAGCCATACCACCCCTCATACCAAGTCCTCGGAGTCGTATTTTCCCAGAAAAGAAACTGTACCTAGCAATGACCCCAACACCCACTATTTCTACTCCAGTACGACATCTTACACGCACCTCAGGAGTTACACCCTTCGTACATGATTAAAGGAAAATAAGAGGGAAAAAGGGAAAAGGAAAAGCAAAACCCGAAACCCGCCATAAACAGTTTCCTATGAATATGACGCAGTCCATAAGTGCGAACTATTGAAATCTATGCAGTTAGAAGTTTTCACTCCCATGACTTTGCGTAATTGACTCGGACACCTTTGGTAGCAGCCGAGGTTTCACCAACGAAGAAGTCTCGAGTGAAATCAACGTCTCGCTCCCGTACAGTATCATACAATTCAAACCGCCTACGATGAATCAAGGTCGCAATGGCAATGTATAACTCGGCATGAGCCAGACTAGACAAGGTAAGTTAGATCAAGTTGATAAAGAACATGGGTTAGAGGAGACTTCTGCTACATAAGGACAGATGTAGTAGACACTTTGACTTACTTAATACCGATACACATGCGACTCCCCCGGCTAAAGGCCACAGAATACCGGTTGCATCTGTCTAGGTTGGGGTTGCTTGGGAGCCAGCGCTCGGGCTGGAACACCATGGGCGAAGGAAAAATCTCTGGGTCGAAGGAGATCTCGCGAAGTGTCATGCTCACTGCTGTCTGTGAAGAGTATTGTTAGCGCTTCCAGTATCAGGATCAAAGTTTCTGCAATGGTCGACTTACCCCTGCCGGCAATGCCCAATCCTTGTATTGTAAGACCTCGTCTGGAGCGACACGGGTCAACCTCGCCGTTATTGTGCTCATTCTCAAGGCCTCTTTTATGACAGCAGTCTATTACATACAGTCAATATATAAAGTGATGAGAGCAGGAGCTAGGTCAACGCACCAGCCATGGTAAACGTTCGAGATCAGCAACTGATGGTCTCGAAACACCAGACATAACTGAGTCAACCTCTTCTTGCAATCTTGGGAGAACATTTTGTTTATCGGCAAGAATAAAGTAGATTGCTGTTGTTAAGGCACTGGCTGTTGTCTCGCCCCCTGCTGCTAATAGAGTAACAGCTTCGTGTGAGATCCGGTTGAAGCGTTTCTCATGCGGAGGCAACCCGGTGTGTTGCAACAAGGCGCGGAATACTGCAAACCTTTCTTTAGGGTTGCGACTAGACGATGAGTCTAGACCGCTCTTCTCGTCCTGTTCGTATTCCGCGACAGCTTGTGAGGCTTGAACTTCCATGTCCTGTTGAGTGTTAGTAAACCAGCCATGAGTTCTTTCATGATATGTAAGCATATAAATGTGGTAAAGAGAGTCAAAAGGATCTTGTATGCTTGAAACAGGGTGTATGTTACGCAAGAGGAACACAAGTACTGAAAAGAATTATGTGTATCAAGCAGGGATGGGCATCGTGGGACTTACATGGTGCATTGCTGCCACTCTGGCCATATTCAAGGAAACCATTCTCATGAATGAAACCGGGATCTTTTGTGAAAGTGGGATGATCCAGTTAAATTGCCTGGTATAAGGGATTATCTTGGCTAACGCACGGATGGAATCATGCCACTCTTTCCCCTTCACCTCATCATCGAGTAGGTCAAATGAATGTCCAAGACAGTATTGATATACTACATCGGTAGCGAGGCAGATGAAAAGGGTGCGCAGCTCTGCATATCCATCGCGGGCAATCTGGATGTCGAGCCGTTCAAGGAGCAGGTCAATCTTGTCGTATATGAGTCCCTCGGCCCTGATGGCACAGGACCTAGAGAATAAGGGGCTGAGGGCAGCACGACGTCTTCGATGAGTATTGTGAAGAGCTGTTCCGAATACTAAATACTTAGGTTGGCTTTTTGTTGTCCACGAAGGGGCTAGTCGAATAGTTACCTCCTTTTGGGGTGCCTGCTTGATTGGCTGCGGGCACATATTTATCTCGAATACCCTGTAGCTGATTAGCTATCCACGACACTAGGATTGCTGTTTGAATTCCTCTTACTTGAGATGAACTGACTAGTAACGTGTCTACCCAAGCCGAATCACTAACATGGATCTCAGCAGGACTAATTCGTACAATGGGACCTATTTTTCTCTCTTAGACTTCAATTATGGGGCATGGTAACGTTTGCCTTACCATAAGTACTGTGAAGCTTATGCAACTTATACATGAACTGCCCTCCAGGGTTCTTGAGATCGTGATATGTTTCATACCAGCCAGTTGCAGCCGCTATTTTGGGACCCGGGAATTTCGCTAGAGGATGAAGATAAAGACGATAAATTAGAGTGCTGATAAGATACAGCAAGGCCGCTGAAGAAAGCAATACCAAAATCGTTGAGTTCGCCATCTTGGTGTGCTAGTAGTCCAGTCGTCCAGCAAGAGCTATGATCCTAGGAGGACATGAGGGAATCGTATGGTGAGGCGGCGGCAGCATTTATCTTGTGGTACGACAGGGGGGATCATAGACTCGGAGGTTGCCCCCCCAAAAGAAAGCATACTCACAATAACCAGTCCCAACATATTCAGGAATACATACGTGCAACATCCCACTGGATCGAGGGTCAATCAGGCATCCGGGGCAATGTACGAGGGCTGTCATTCAGCACGGACGACAGGGAACATCAACCGGCGGCGTCATCGAACGCCAATCGCTGATAGTAACCCCCCAGCAGACTAACACACATATCTACACACCAACAGTACACAGCCGCTATCTGTACAATGTTGGAAGCACAAGGATAAGCCTCACCACATCTGCATCGCATTCCTAACAATGAGCACATGACACCGGAGTGGAGTGTCTAGGACTTGGTATTATTTTTGTTGGCATCTTCTTGCAATCCTCCATCACGAGGTTGTTTGTTCTGAGAGCTGGGCTAATTAGCTGTAATACGCAACATGCGGCATACTACCCTTCGGACATACCTATGATGTAGAAGTGATGCAGGCAGCTCTGGTTTCGGTTGCGATTGGACGCCTATGAGCGACGGTCCTACGTCACGCAGCCAATGCGGGCGCGCAAAAAAAACTTCTGATATTGGGAGGCAATACGACGACGCAGACCAGAGCGCAAAGGCGGCACCTCAGCTGAGAAGAGGAATTGCCCGATACGTTACACGCCAAGCACGGTTTCCTATCGGATCCAAGTAGATGGGTGAATGGCTACTAGGATACCTAGTTAGACTACGTACCGCATCCGGGTCATTGGAGTACATAATAGAAGAAAAGTAGCAGCGGGCCAGCCTCGATGCGAGCAAAATCTAGATGGGAATAGCCCCAAGGGTTTATACAACATGTGGAGACTCCAGGTGTGTCAATCATGCCTATGAGTAGTGAAAATGCGACGATGTTGGCATCCGGGACTCTCTTTTCTCCTAAGCAGGCTGCAGCGTACCGTCTGTGCGCCTAACCACAGAAAGGATCTAGTAATTGAGACTCTTGAAGCCATCCGAGGCAGAGAATGCGACGACAGGAACTCGGGATAAGCGTGAGCAGGTCGGCGAATGTTCTAAGTCAAGATAGATGCGCATAGCACATCCGCTGAAGGTGGAGTGGTTCCTACCCGTGTCCTTGACTATGTGAGGGCCCATGGCACGAGGGACACAGCCAAAAGTTGGATTGCAAGAGGAGAGATGGCAAGATCGCTCCAAAAAGAGTCCCACCATGGGATTGAAAAGTGTCTCATGGCAATTAAGCAGTGCAGCTGTCACTTTATGACCTGTTCCCGCCAAGCAAGCTTCAAGTCCCTGCTTACTTTCACGAGCGGCCTTGGTTAGGATCTCCGGCGAGGGTCTGTGGAATGTTAGAAAGCCAGTACACTGTATGGAGAACGGACAGGTATAAGCCCTCGAAGCGCAAACCCATAATGCTGATGATCCTTGCACATTATCCCAGTTGTACCTGACACCTTGGTTAAGTGGCTCAAGAGCTTCTTCACCAGATACTAGCCTCAAGCGGTAGACAACAATCGACAGCATGTTTCCGTCGGCATTATCACGAACTACCTCCACAGATCTGTAGAATGGCGGCTTAGTGTTTACGTAAGCACAATTGCGTTGATCCCTTCCATTTGACATCCATAGACTGCATTGGAACGTAGATAGCCGTGGGGGGTATCTGACTGCAATGTTACAGCCGTAGCTGGTTGTAACCTTGTTTGGCAGGCAAGGACCAACCATGTTGCAAAGTCTGGGTAACCAAGTTATCGTCACCTTGAAACACGATGAAACGAAACTCATCATTGTTCTTCCCGTTTTGCGCTCTTAATTAACATGGAGCCATTTCGTATTTAACCTGGTTGTATAGTTTATTTGTCAATGGTATCTGTCTGTCAGAGTTGCATTGATTTACATGTACATATCTCCACATGTCGGTTCTCCAAAGTGAGGTCCGCGAGCTTTGCCCTGCTGGCCGCAACACACCCACATATAACAACTTTGTATGGTTCCCATCAATTAAGGCTAATTAACCTTGATTAACTTCGTGGGAAAATGGTTGCGCTCTTAATGAGATATCCATTTTACCCTCTCACATGAACAAATGGGCCGCAGGTTGCCGAATGTGACGCCATGTAAGATTCGTGTTGGTGTCTCAAATCATGTGCCATTCCGGAAAAAACATCCCGAACCAAGATCGGGGCGATTAGATAATATACCGAAGAAATCTAGAGAAGGATAATTACCCCAGATGTCAGACCAGCTTGTCCAAATCGTGATTCTAAAAATGTAAGCAGGGACATCCATACAGAAGTTGCCGTTTTAGGCAGCCGAGGTGGAGCGAGGATACAGTAATAGTAATGACTCTCAGCCGCTCGAGCATCAGCTTGGTCAAAGACAAAGCAGGGGAGGCGGAGTCGTCGGGATAGAAGGTCAACCGACGTGTGCAATGGCCAGGTTTATGCTGGTATATCTGGTCAAAGGCGGTTGTCTACATGCGGAATGGATGCGGAACTAATAAAAAGGACCGTGAAATCTATATGAATGTGTGTATCTGTTAGCTTCTATTTACCGATCCCGCGCACGAGCGGCGCTTAGGATCAAGTCGCAGATCTACCAAGCCATCTAGCCCTAAGAGTGTAGAGTTCTTATAATTAGATAGGCATCCCTCAAACCCTTCAATAACCTGTCGGAAACCGGCAAATCTTCTGCCTTACCATGGTACTGTCTAAGCGCCGAAAGGGGCTTTCTTCGTTCGTAGAGAACTTGTCTTGGGTGCTCAAACGCCAATTGTCCAAGATAATTAAGCCTGTCTGAGCCCGCCTTAACGCTTTGTCAATTCTGCTAATGAGCACACATGCCCCTTCTTTGTTAAAGAAAGCAACCCCGGACAACCTCATTCCAGGCCCTTCTCAAAAAATTCCCGAAGCTTCTCACATCTTGTATCGGCTTGGGTGACGGCGGAGGTAAACCTCCACAGTACCATGGTCGTCTTGGTAGCCCCATTGATCTAGCAAGTAACAGCAACCCAATCATATTGGCTTTTCCTTCAAACTTAAACAGGCTCAGTTTGAAATATTTGGTGCGAAAGCACCTGTCGACTCATCGTGCCGGCATAGAAACATATACGCTCTCAGTATTGGCGGCTAAGCCAAACTTAGGTATAAACTTTGATATCGGGCTATAAGAAAGAAAGTGGCTGTATATAGCCTTAGTCTAGACTCGAAGCCTTCAAAACCTAATTATGACAACAGTTATCAGATGGTTGCGGTCCTCACAGTTGGTCAACAGATGTGAAAATATTAGTAGCTTTACTATTCACTAGGTTACCAGATACAGCGCAGTGCAGCGACTTCAAAAGTTCAAATGAGTGTGTCCAATCTCATGTAAGTCATAATTAGAGTCACCAATATCAAATGAAAGGACTAATTTCACACGGACCTTGGCAGTCATAGCAGGGTATTGCCTTATAGCGAAATAAAGGCTAATTAAGAAAATATCGCTCCTGATGCCTACGTATTCCGATAATCTCAGTATGCCCTTTCCCCTAAAGAGTTGCTAAGGCTCCTCTATGTTGCATCGTCTGCATGGGTAGGATCAGCCTGAGCGATGACAGAGGCAAATATCCAGAAATTTCCAGTGGCGCCATTAACCCGGGAAGTGGTAGCACCTCCTGAACTGCTTTGATATTCCCTCCGATTTTAAGCATGCTCTCAAGACAAAGCTGAAACACAGCCGAAAATCCGACGACTAATCATTGCAAGATCTAAAGTATGATGCCAAACAATAATTAGGCGTATCTTTTCATTGTCATTATGGCAAAGATGAAGCATTGTACAATGTGTTTGCAATATGTGTAGCTGTGACTGCGGACAAGACGGTGGTCATCATTGTTACATGATATCCGCGTATTTATGACTTATTGATTATTTCGGCTTCTTCATCTTTTTCTTAAGAAATGTTTTCAAGTACAATGAAATCAAACGCTTTGATCCGGTCCATATGCAGGTGTATGTGCGACAATCCGAAGGTGCAACGATAATTTCAAAGCTGGCGGCTTACCTGTATATTTGTCATTCTCAAACGTCTACATCACAATATTGTTATTTTTAGCTAACGTACCATAACTGACGCCTTTAAAATTCGCCGCAACAATACGCAAGCAATTGTCTATAGTCGCAGTTCACACATCTTGTAGCCCACAAAGCCAGCCAATCAGCAGATTTTAGACAGCAGTGACGTAGACGTCCACAGGCTGTAGTCCTTGAGAGAGAACTTTTCATATCCCTGAGTGCCAAAAGCTTTTAGCATAGTATGTTAACCAATCAAGCCGCTCTAATCACACTGTAAAGCCTAACAGGGTAAAACTGGCGCGGCGTCTAAGAAGCGATCTTTTACACCACAAGATGTCCATATCTGCAGGGAATATTATGTTGGTACTTTTGGTTTGCAAGGGTCCGTATCTCATGTCAATAGGCACCAATCTCACACATCATTTAATCACAGCTTAGATGTTAGCTGTGGCATGAAGGCCACGGCATGGTCATCAGCCTTCCCCGTGGGGCTCGGCCAACGGTGAGAACCAACAGCTCGAGCCGCTTAGGGACGGTATTGATAGAATGGGTCATTGAATCCTTGATTGGTTACCGGTTGTATGGCTCGACACTAAATCAGGGAGCTAATTAGGTTGATTAATCCTGGTTATTCCCACTATCAACTGTGTACCATTGGTGCCCGATGAACGCTATAAAAGTACTCATATAAGTGCCCAGTTGCATCTCCAACGTCAAGGTCTATGCAATGGTCTAATGTATATTACGAAGAATATGCTCTAAAATCACTCTTCAAGTTAGCGGCTTGCCTGTCCTAATCCGAAATAGTAGTTGCTGCTGGTTCGACGTTGTAATGGAACGAGCGTGTGACTATCTAAATCATGATCCCTGCTCTAAGCTGAACAAACAGCCACCAACCATCATCGAAAGATTATCACGAACAAATCAACAGAAGAACTATTGATGATAGCCAGTCCAGTCACTTGGGTGCTTCGGGTTTATGGATTAGTTGGTCGACCAGGTTGAGGGGTATCCTTCCGCTCTATTCTCATCGATACTATCTATACTAAGCTCAACCATTGACACACTATATGAGATCAACTAGACGGCCAAGACAAAGGCCCTCGTATGAAAAGTCTACTGGGGGGCTGAACTTGAAATTAAATGATGTTGCCACATTTCATGGCAACAGTAGTGAAAGCCAAATGTTGATTATTATTTTATGATTTACAGTTGTTCTGGAACTTATATGATGCCTCATTCAAAACGCGCTTCTTTATTTGGAATTCCCGCACGACTCCTTGCCATTACCCCCAAGCCAAAAAGTCCCTTCCACCTCAACTATATCATCATCGTTTAATCGATCGACCTCAATGATGGTGCGAGGTGGATATTTGTTTGGATCTAGATGAGAGTTAAAAATTAATAATCCACCGTCTCTAAATATAGCATGCCTTGTAAGCTGAGAGACACATACCATCTCCCCAAAGCTCGACCTGCACCTCGTTGCACATCGGGCGATACCGATACATGTCTGTAACATAGACAACCAGTCTTGTGCACGAAGTGATATCTGCTCCGGCCATATCGGCTAGCGCAGCCATGTTCTGATAAGCTTGTCGCACTCGTGGCATGCCGACCGGCGCCAGCGTGCTGTTTGACGGGTAGATGCCCCTCATTCCTATCGCACTTCATCAGTCTACCCTGGTGCGTATCGAGCTGAGCATCAGATCGTACCCGCGATGTATAATGTATCTCCAGCCTGTGACATAAGGCTCCATGGCCCAGTAACATCGAAGAAATTCTCCGGGTTGAAGATCTTAACTCCCGCTGGAGATGTGTAATTTGGCTCGAGTTTAGCATGTGCCTCGTGCGCTCCTGATAATAGAAGCCCTGCAGCTAGAGACCAATTAATATGCATCTTGCCTTTTTTCTTGCGGATTCGGCGTTTCTATGTGCTCCGACGGGAAAGAAAATAGAGGCGTTCAAGGTAGTTGAATCCTTGTAATTACTAGCACTAGAGCGATATCTCAAAAGAAGATATCGGATGCTGGGCGAACTATGCCCGAACTATTGAACGCAGTCATGTTCCGATAGCGTATCAGTGGATACTGTCACACCTTGGCAAATATCATCAACTATCTTAGGTGATCGAGGCCAAAGCAAAGATAGCCACCAGAGGCTAGCCTACTAAGAAGTGCATATAATAGTTAGGCTACAGCCATCTCGTGGAGCTCCAAGCTTCTCATAGCATATAAATAGCATGCTATGGAATCTATGTCCCTTCTAGTTACTACATTGGAAGAATATTCCGCCCTTGTGAGGCAGCATTAGCATAAGAGGCTCGCGTCTCTAGACATCTTTCTTCCACAGGTCAGCGCGAAGTTCAATCAGCCAGGTGAGCCATCCTTGTCGCTGAAATCATAGCCTTAAAGGCTGATGTATAATAGAACACATTGAACAGGATCATAAGATCCAAGAGCAACTCATAAACTGCTGGAACGGTTCGATGTTAGGCTGTGGAGATCCATCACTCACTTTGATTACCAAAAGCTTCAACGGTCAGCTGAAGCGGCCATATGGTAGTGTTGTTAGCTGGTTGGACGAGTAGCAGTGGGTCTTTCAGATCATAGTCAAATACTTCGGTTGTAGCGCAGGTGGGAAGAGTTTTACTGAAACTAGTCTCTGTGTTCTTGACAAGAAACTCGCCAGTCTCTGCAAAAATAGGAGCAGCTAAGAATTGGTCTCTTAAGCTGCTGTTCTATATAGATAGAAAAAAGAAGGGGGGAAAGACGTGGGTATCACTATTGAAATTTCGCCGGATTGCTGGGTATCAACTTCCTCAGAACTTCTATCTGCCGTGACTGAGCCCTGTTCTTCAAGTCTGCTATGCCACGCTTATCGAGTCGTCTCGTGCCGTTCGAGTAAACCACAGTGAAGTCGGGTACCACTTCTCCGGGAGCAATCACGCTCTTTGGTGTTAAGACGCAATGCTGTGACGCACATATCAGCAAGGTAGATAGAGCTTTTGCACAATGAGGCCATCAAACCTTCCCTAACTGTGCACCTTTGCCGACCCGGCTCCCTACACCCACCTGGCATCCCTCACCAATTATGGTACCTCCGGACTCGATGATGGCTCCGGTTTCAACTGTAGCGTAGTCACTTATTACGACCCCATCACGGGATTCGCTCGGCGTTGGGTCAGCTGAGACTGCTCCGATACTCGTTCGCTCGTGAACCATACACCTCCGACCAATAGTAATCCTGCCATTGGCTGAGTCGAGCTTCGCGCGTGGATGGACTACAGACTCGGAGCTGATATTGATGGTGTGGTTGCCGGTTAATAACGCAGAATCGGCAATTGTGATCGAGGAAGAGAAGTTGACGGGTGCCTTAGGACCAGATTGGACACGCGGGAGAACGGATTGTCGTTTGGTGGAAGACGACATGGTACGCGACGTTGGGCTTGTTCCTTGTTAGGCCTCCTGCTCATAAATAGGCGATATCAGTCTTCATAGCTGCTTCGAGTCCCGAAATCATCGAACAGCTCATGCTAACGCTGTAGCACCTACACTTGTTCGTGAACAATAGGAGGGCGAGCATTGCAGGACAATGTGCTTTCAATCGGTATGTACCCGATAGGCCGATACCCGCTAACCCGAGCTAACCCGGGAAGCGATGTCAGTGGCCCAGACAAGCTTTGCTTGCCACGGGTCTCCACTCCAAGCTCCCCTGGGCCAATCACGATGTCGCCATTTGGGAGCCTTCGACAAGTGCCTCAGATCAATTACTCGACGTCGTTCAAGTCCTCCTTAGCACTCTCATCGCCACTGGACTCTCCCCTCTCCCTGCTCAATTGAGCGCCAATCCCACCTTCACCATGCTGTCCAGGACCACTACGCCGTCGGCAGCCTCTGTGAAGGCTTTGTCGCGCGTCGCCCTCCCCGCCGGCTCGCAGTCCCGGACTTTCGCGACTGTCCAAGAGGGTTCGCCGAAACGCACCTATGGCGGTCTCCGAGACCAGGACCGCATCTTCCAAAACCTCTACGGCCGCTTTCCTCCCGACCTCAAGTCCGCTAAGAAGATGGGCGATTGGCATAAAACGAAGGAGATCATATTGAAGGGCCACGATTGGATCATTGGTGAGATCAAGGCCTCCGGTCTAAGAGGCAGAGGTGGAGCTGGCTTTCCCTCCGGCCTCAAATGGGTGCGTTTTCGCCGCTCCCCCACAACAAGTACATGTCAAGAATATACTGATAAGAATAATGGAAATAGTCGTTCATGAACTTCAAGGACTGGGACAAGGATACTAAGCCGAGATATCTGGTGGTCAATGCCGACGAAGGCGAACCGGGAACGTGCAAGGACCGAGAGATCATGCGAAAGGACCCCCACAAGCTCATCGAAGGATGCCTCGTGGCTGGACGGGCAATGAACGCCACCGCCGCCTACATCTATATTCGTGGAGAATTTATTCACGAAGCCGCCGTCCTCCAACACGCCATCAACGAGGCCTACGCCGACGGTTTGATCGGAAAGAACGCCTGCGGTTCAGGTTACGATTTCGATGTCTATATTCACCGTGGTGCTGGTGCTTACGTCTGTGGCGAGGAAACCTCCCTGATCGAGTCACTCGAAGGCAAGCCCGGCAAGCCCCGTCTAAAGCCCCCGTTCCCCGCCGCTGTCGGTCTGTTCGGCTGCCCCTCGACTGTAGCCAATGTCGAAACAGTAGCCGTGGCTCCTACGATTTGCAGAAGAGGAGGTACCTGGTTTGCTGGCTTCGGCCGAGAGCGAAACCAAGGAACAAAACTCTTTGGTATTTCTGGTGCCGTTAATAACCCCTGCACAGTTGAGGAGGAAATGAGTATCCCTCTACGAGAACTCATTGAGAAGCACTGTGGTGGTGTAAAGGGTGGCTGGGACAATCTTCTCGCCGTCATTCCCGGTGGATCATCGACACCTATTCTGCCTAAACATATTTGCGATGACCAAATCATGGACTTTGACGGACTGAAGGACAACCAATCTGGTCTGGGTACAGCAGCTGTTATCGTTCTTGACAAGAGCGCCGATGTCGTCCGAGCTATCTCCCGGTTATCTCACTTCTATCGTCACGAATCTTGCGGTCAATGCACACCCTGCCGTGAAGGCAGCAAGTGGACAGAGCAGATCATGAGCCGTTTCGAGAAAGGCCAAGGCCGTGAAAGAGAAATTGACATGCTCCAAGAGCTTACAAAGCAAGTCGAAGGCCACACTATCTGCGGTAAGTGAGGATTGATATTTAACGTAGGCTTAAAGTGATGTTATACTAATGTCAGTGTAGCTCTCGGCGAGGCCTTTGCATGGCCTATCCAAGGTCTGATCCGACACTTCAGACCCGAGTTAGAGGCAAGAATGCAGAAATTTGCCGCCGAGAACGGTGGCGAGGCCTATGCCGGTGGTTGGAAGCGTAGTGCGCGTGAAGAAGGCAGACTGATCGCTCCTGGCCAATAGACAATTACATATCAACTAGATAACAAAACGCCTGGCGTAGACTTGGGGGCTTTAGAAGGGGTACTACGCCTTGTACACTTTGCCTAAGTTAACCGCCACTATATATATATATATATATATCCACCGAGCATTATTCAAACAAGCAAGTTACTAATTATTCACCTTTCGATCAATTAATTGTGTGACTATATCGGACTTGGGCAGTAGGCCAACGCCAACAGAACATCTTAATACATAGGTTAATAGGTAGATATAATAAACGGAATAGAAAACGGTTACATCCTCTTATATCACCATATCACTACCCGCCCCAGGCCTACAAATAGGCGTGCTTTACAAGTACAGTACATATGGATGTGTACTTTTTAGTTAGTTACGCCAGCTCCGTCCTCTTCTCCGCCTGGAGACGGAGCACACCCCACTCCTAAACCATACCTACATAGTATACGGCAACTGAATTCTTGGTAAGCATGCATATCCCTTATTCTCACCAAAAACCCAACTTCGAACTGCCGCACCGTTGCAATCTACCTCTGCCGACATCCTACATCGCCAGCTTATTTATACTTACGTATATATATTTAGTCGATGATCTTTTTTTTCTCTTCTCCCGTTAGTACTTATTGAGAAAAAAAATAATAATTATAATGTTCTTCTTGTTTCAGTATTGATAGCATTTTCCTGTTCACCGCCGTTGTTTCATCCGATTTGAAAGTTATAGCTTTTTGACTTTCACGCTGGCGCCTTACTAGATATACATATACATAGTACATACATACTATACCCGCTTAGGTATATATACTGTACGATGTCGTCGCATACCTTTGAGCAATTCGTGAGATTCACGACCGATGCGGGTACGAGAGAAATCAATTCATTACGTCGTTACATTCGCCCCTTCCTTATGGCTCCTATTCTTGTGTAATTATTGGGTATTTGGATTCATGAAGGGTGCTGGGTGGAGCATACAGATACCAGCGACTCTTCCGTCTATTTGTGGCCTTCATCTGAGACTATTCCTTACGCTTCAAGAATTTCGTCCCGATCTCTCTCTCTTCAGTTTCAATTCGTTATCGACTTCTTCCCTTTTCTCTTTTTCCATCTCTGCAAGATTCGGTAACGAAGAAGAAAGGGACACAGAACCACTCCCATTCCTCAAACTCACGCAATTAATCTAAACACCGAATCCTCGTACTAATACTATATCAATACAAAGCCGGCCTAGAGCGAACATTCCGCCTCTTCCAAGCCACGGCGCAGATCCTCTCCTCGTACACCCTCCCCTTCAACATCCTCCTCCTCCTCCTCTCGTTCCTCCCTTCCACCAGCCCTGCTTCTACTCCCACGTACCCCGACGCCGCGACGACGCACGCCGTCCTCGTGGGCCTGCGCACCAGGTTCAACCTCGCGAGGCGATATTTCCGCCTCTTCCGGTTCCTAGAGTCCTTCCACGCTGCGCAGAAGCTGTACGCCTCTATCAGCTCTGGCCCTACTGCTAGAGGTGGTAGTCGATGGGGTGATGCGCCGCTCTGGATCGATGTCTTCGGCCGCTCCTTCAACGGCATGTATCTCCTCCTCGAGGCCTCTACGATCCTCGACGTGCAGCGCATCGACGGACTCGCTGTCTGGGGCCCTGAATTAGAGCCCCTGGTCGCTGTTGAGGGCCAGCGGTTCTGGTTGTTCTCGCTTGTGTGCGGCGTTTTGGCGGGCTTGCTTCGGATCGCTGATCTTGTTGTGCCTTATGTGCCTGCGAAGCAAGTCGCTGTTGTTGGCAAAGAGGGCGAGAGTGTGCATGAGAAGGGCGAGAGTGTGCGTGAGAAGGGCGAGATTGTGCGTGAGAAGGGCGAGATTGTGCGTGAGAAGGGCGAGAGTGTGCATGAGAAGAGTGAGGATGAGAAAGCTGGTGGTAGCGATAAGAAGGCGGAAGTTGACCAGTTAGTCAGAAGACAGGAGGTGCGGTCTCAGATTTCTAATCTTGGCCGTCGTGTCGTGTCTGACGCGCTTGATATCACGTTGCCTGGGAGCGTGGTGGGCTGGGTACCGGCGAGTACAGGCACGGTTGGTTTGGCTATGTTTGTAACGACCATATTGACGAGTATGGATATCTGGGAGAGGTGTGGGCGGGAGGTCGCTAATAGCAGGAAGTGAATGAGATAGCTCGCATTCTATATCAGATAGAAATCCCTATTAATAATGTGACACATACACGAATCAACTCTTAGATCTCCTGAACTGAACAGTTGGGTATTGTATCTATGCCATTTGACACCTTCTAATGTTAGGATGTGCCTATTCCCTTACGCCTTGCCTCTTCAATCGCTGATCCGGTGTATACCATTCTCCCAAATGCGCCCAAAATAAACTATTATATACATGTTAATCCAAGTCCTCATACGTGGACAATGTTTTTTCCGAGTTCCAGTTTCATATCATCTTTTCCCCTTCTAGGATACGCCTGTATGCCGATGCAAGTCTCCTGGCACGTGTCTGCTCGCCCATTGACACTCATTACCGAGAATGCAAGGCCATTCATACGTTTGATCATAAATCATTGCCATTTTCTAACGCCGTTTCCTACCTGGTGTTGAACTCCTTTGGGTTATCTTGCGAAGTTATGGAACTCTCCCACTATCCATCATGATCATATATGCTGTGTGAATGGCAAGTATGTAGAATGAAATTGCGACGAGCAATCTCTAGCTATATATCACAAGATATTTCGACATATACTCGCAGGTTCGTCGCAAATGATGCTGTAATAGGTGCATATTGCGATAGTTTATATAGGAGCTGAGGTCAAAGCCGCCCCTCGGATTCAAAGGGTGGTAGGTGGTATGACGGTAAGGGTCAGACGACAATGCGTCTTATCCTGTTCATTATAGGCCCTATGATTCCCGGCCTATGGGGAATCCAGCGGTGGTGAGGTGCGTGTAGGTGTAGCATCTGACGTCTCTTCAGGCTCGGCTGAGACCACAATCTTTGGTGAACCTTCTGCGTTAAGGATCATGATCGGAGAATGTGAAGAAGATGCTGAGCTATTCCTGTTGCGTATGTGTACCGGCTTCGGCCGGTGAGGTACATCAAGTGTGTCCCGTCTTGCCCTCGAAGCTGAACTGGTGACAGGCGATGTTGTTATCCTACTTAGCTCCGGTGGCGAAGATTCCCTCTCCGCAGCTGGCACTGTACTCGAGCGAGAGGGCGATCGAGGCGGTCGTGATGGTGATGTATCACGGTCTGCAGAGCTCCCTTCAAAGCCACGGATGGAAGCAGCGCTACCAATTCTAGATAGCCCAGGCATGATATTCCCCTTATCTTCTTGCTGGTGGCTGCTTCTATACCAATCTCGAATATCTTCGAAGCCGGCAACCCGCCCAGCTTCGCCCGGTATCTCGGGAAATTCTGCTTTGCCCTCTTGAAAAACCGAGTTGTCATACCGGTCCGGGGCTGGTGTGCCAAGATACTCCCCAAACTGGCTCAGAAGAGTAGCCACCTTATTCCTATGCTTGTTTGAAATTGACAAAGAGACTGGCCCATAAGTCATATTCATAGTGACGCTTTCTAGCTCACTGGCTTCCACTCTATGGTCATGAGACTGTGTAGGCGTGGGAGGGTCATGGATGCTATAGCTATCCATTCGTTCGACGGTTCCTGTGTCACAAGCGGCTACTGGGCCACCGCTGCGTATACTCTCCTGATCGCTATTGCACTGTGTGGAGGGCCGTGGTCTAGGACTCCTTGAGCCTTGGGAGTGGTTGGAACCCGCGTCCTCCTTTTCTTCATCCCCATCAGTTTGAGCATTCACATAAAACAACGAGCCAAGCACAACTAGTGCAGTCGCTACCAGGTTCGCCCATTGTCCTACACTGCTAATCGGCTCTGTTTGATAAGTAACTTGCCGGCTAGAAAAATTGAGTTCGCCCAATACGAGCAAGACAATAACAATACCGCTAAACACGGGAATCTGTATGCTACTTAGGAAGCTCCGGATAGTGCCGTTGATGAAGGTGATCATCTTTGGGGTAGCCCCATTAGTTCCTTCGATGAGATCATTACCACTTATTTCTTCTTGAGCGAACCGTCGTTTCCAATTAATTTCCAGGATTTTTTCCCAAGTGAATATCTGCGTAGAGAGATATAGGTCAGCAAAAAGCGTCCGGTGCTTCTGCGTCTGAGTACCTTCAAGGTGGGTGAACCAGAAGGATGTTGCGTTGCGAAGACCTAATGAATGACAGCTAGGGGGAAAAAACCACTTACGAGCGTGAGTACGGGAGGTATGGAGCTGCCGGCGGCAAGGAGGGTGACTGCACTGAAGGAAAGCCTGTGTGGTACAGGAATTACGGCGGGTTCAGCCGTGGGATCGCGGCGAATTGGAGAATATGGTCCACCTTCACCAAATACGCATTGCAGGCCGCAGTCTGCACTGCCATAGGGGAACTTGAGCAAGTTGAAAGGGTCGATTGGGGTTCCCATATCGTCAAAGGAGCAGCTGTGAGGCTCGGTACGAAAGAATTCGACGGTCAAGCTTAGCATTCCTATGTCTCGCTTAGCACGTTCATTTAGATTTGTCACTGTCATTTCTTACCGGCGAGGAGAAGACTTGTCCATATGAAAATAATGTTTCTTCCGGGATCATTGAAGTAAGTCTTAGAGTTGTATACTGTGATTGGTGCTGCTAGTATTCCTATAGAGCAAATCTGGAAGGCACCGTATATATCCATATCGACGGCGGCTGTAGAACAAGTATTAGATATGTCGAGTTGGTACACCAAGTACAGCACTTACTCTCTACACTACAACATATATCAGCATATTGGTTGAAAGGAATTACAGCTTGTCATCGAGCTCCAAACCTGCCTAGTGTTCTGACAGCCGGCGGAGCTCACACTTCTCCACATGAACTCTGACAGAAAGCCAGGAAAAAGCACTGGAGATGATTCGAGCGACTTACTGAACTGCGGCTAACACTACAGCATGAATAGCAGCGACGGCTGGCAGCAGCAGTGCCGCAGCTAAACATGCGTTTCTAAGCCATTCGGTCCTCCGTGCTAGAACGCAGGTTGCGACTAGGATATAGTAACTAGAGCATCATTTCTGTGAGCAGAAGTTTTGGCAGCGGTAGTATTCGGTATTGGCTTACATTATCCGTGTTCCAAGACCATACTGGCCGGAAACCGGCCAAGCGCATATAACTTGGACTGCGGGCTCAATGGTGTTGTTGGAAACGTGCACAATTGTGTCTCGGCCAATGAGTGAAAGTAGCGGCGGAGTAGTGTTGAAAGGGGGCATCTAGACGGATCGGATACGGCTGGCTGTGCGGGCTATTGAGAGTGGTGAGGCAGACCGATGGGCGCCTTTGATGGTTGACGATATGATGCGAGCCAGAATGGTAGGTAGAAGCACAATTGCGGAGTTGGAGGCTTAGATCCAGATGGAGATATATGTACGCTTATGAAGTAAGACCTGATAGTTACCAACTGGATCTATGCGGGAGAGGGCGCGTGCAATGCATGAGACAAGGCTCTGGGGTTCGAGCCTACATTGGTGTGCATTGATGGGTGAACGAGTTGAGACAGCAGGCGACCATTTCAGTGAAGGGCCCGGGCAGAGAAATCCGAGTAGCTTTTACTTCCAAGTCCAAGGGGGTACGAAGTGATGAAATAGAAGCGTTCGGAGGAGACCTGGCGAGAGCGATAGGAAATGAGATTGAGGCGACTACAGTCAGATCACGAGTTCTATGAGCCGCAAAGACAAGTCGTCATGGCATACATCTCCTTAGCTTGGCTAACACTTACTATACCTGCCTGCCTACTCGAAGACGCCCGTTCATGGCGGTAGGTAGGGACTCCGATTTGTCAGAAGCGCAGGCCAAGTCTTTCAAGTTGTTCGAGCTGAATGGAAGCAGCGTGGACCAGTTCGACCTACGTAGCGTCTGCGGGTGATCGAGATGGATGGAATGAGGCGCTGCTTCTACAGCCATCCGAATCCTGTCATGATGATACCAAAGGTAAGGTTCCTATAAGATACCTATTTGGGTTAGGTGGGGAATTGATAATCAGGTGTATGGCACGGCACTAGACGCACTCTACCGTACTATAATCCCGCATCCGAACTGCAGAGTCAGTGCAGAAATCCCCAGCGACCCCAGCGACCCCAGCGACCCCCAGTGAACAATGAGTGGGCGTCCCCGCCATCTTCTCCCCTCTCCCCTCTCCCCAGAGCCAAGCCAAGCGCAAAATCCCGTCTCCGCTTGACCACGCCAGTCTCTACCTACCTAGGTACCTACTCACTTACATCTACACGACCGCTACTCTCTGACTAGGTACTATACGTGGGTAGGAGTTAGTGGATGGATCGCTTGAATGGGATTACACATTGTGATATGGTCGGTAGAGTGGATGTGTTCGCGAACCTAGAAGCTAAACCTATAAGGATACCGGCAGGCAAACTAGCTGGAACAATCCATCGCAGCCATCCTGTCAGACAAGACAGTATCTGCTACCTAGTAGTACATGACAAAGATCATCGCAGTATAAGTCCTACTCGGGCCAGTGTGTTGTTTCCAAGTAGCGTTAGCTCTTCGTGAGGCTTTTCCCGCAGTCTCTCAAAGGAATCGGGGCCTAATCTGATGTTCTCAGCCAATGACAGATGACAGCGTCTCGTAAGCCTCACATACTTACCGAACACTACTTTGGGCAGTTGGGAAGAAAGACAGAGACAGGCGAGAGGGACCTGCTTATACGCTTGTACGCGAGCTACTTGGCAGTACCACAAGCTCTCAAGCATTAAGAAGTTCTGCCAGAGGGTCAGCAGTATCTGACGATCGACGGTACTGTAAGCTGTGATACCATGTCTACGTATGTAGCTAGCCTGATTGAATGCAATACGATAATAAGCCTGCAGTCCCTAGGTAAGATTATTCAACCGGCCACGGATTGATCATCATCGACCACCAAAGGGAAACTGATGAGAATCGATTTGTACAAACACCACCAGGGAGAGCGCACAGGGCAGAATGGATACGTATCTAGCGTGGGGGCTATGCCTAGGGCAATTCTTGCCTTTGTAGAAACTGTGTAGAACCAATCTTCCCTTGCTTCGAGTGTTTGTCTTCGTCTGTCTTCTCGAAGCCTACGCGATTCGGCATAGAGCCAACTCTTTATCCAATAACATCCCGGTTGCGTTCACCGCCATCGGGCCATCGCGAGCACAGCCACCGCTACGGATCCGCGCCGTCGAATCGTTCATCAGCTCGTCGCCATGAGCTGTACCTTAGTGTGTAACTTCGCCCCGGCTGAGGCCGACGCAAATAACATGTTAGGTAGGTATCAACTATCAACCACTACAAACTCACATCACGGTCATCCCTTAGTCCCTCAGGCAGACTCAGGGTAGACGAATGGACATCCTTCCACTGCAAGTGTTCCCTACCTATCTTCGCCACATGCACATGCCCATGCTCTGCCCATGGTTACAACGTTGTATGGCCACATTCCACTCGCTTTGAGCCAACACTTCAGCTAGTGTCAGCGGGCCGATGTGCCCAAAGCTCCCAAAAACTGATACATAGCATTTCCTCATCGCCGCCATCTTGTGTCAATTGAGTCGGTTTCGCTACGAGTAATCCATCTCATAAAGGCACTGAACAAGGTCAACAGCGTCTTGGTATCTGGGCATTATCATCGCCTGATTAAGCATTGCCCAGACGAATGGTAACGGTGGCACACGTGCTTTATGATCGCATCCCCAGTTGGTGGACACCACTGGCAATCGCCAAGACCCCAAGCCAATAGAATTCTCATTTGGCCTTCTCCAGCTGGATCCGCCATTAAGCCCTATCTATCTACATTTACAACACATATTATCGCCCTTCGCGACTCCTTCATGAAGCTTCATTGAAGCCCAGATTTTTCTCTTCAAGGAAGACATAATTCCCGCCATGCTGCGTCAAGGGCGCTGAAATTTGTGGGAATTTGGACTTGGCTGGCCTTCATTCCGTACTCTCTACCCCTCCCCCTCCTTCTCTCACCATGTCCGACGTAATAGAGAAAGTCGATCTAGATACGTCCAAGATATCTCATTGGAAATCGATATTCACTCTCATAGTGTTTGTCATAGCTAGTAAGTGAAATGAGGCTTCCTGCGCAACCAGTTCACTTACCCTTTTAGATATCACCGTCCTGTTTCCGTTCCACATACCTTTACCGGTACCTCTTATACTATATAAGGCTGTGGTAAAGAGCTTGGTATATTCGCGCGTGATACCTGCAAGACAACACTATGACCGGAGAAAATCCGAGCTTAATTCAACCGATCAAACCGAGGGAAATGGCAGCCCCGTGAAGCCATATGTATGGTTTCAATTTCCGATCAACTTCGTTACAGGTCCGCTAATAGCGGACCTATTCTTATTGGCAATCAGCGCCATTGGAAAAGAAGAAGTGAAGGGCGGTATCGCCGGCTCAGATCATATCGTACCGTATGATATTTTACTCTTCTTTTTCTCGCTCGCATACATTGCCATCTCGATCGACGCATCGGGCCTCATCAGATGGCTTGCGTTTAAAGTGCTTCAATTAGGAGGCAAAGTGGGACACCGTCTGTTCTTTTATCTTTATGCTTTTTTCTTCGGCTTGGGTAGTTTTATCGGGAATGATCCCATCATTCTATCTGGCACTGCGTTTTTGGCCTACATGACTCGCGTCTCGAGTAATATTGTTCATCCCCGCGCATGGATTCATACACAGTTTGCGATCGCCAACATCGCCTCGGCTATCCTTGTTTCTTCAAATCCGACTAACCTTGTTCTCGCCGGGGCCTTCAAGATCACATTCATCAATTATACCCGGGACATGGTTGTTCCAGTCGTTCTAACTGCAGTGTTTCTATTCCCGTTCCTGCTCTACATCGTTTTCGCAAATGAATCTCTCATCCCAAGCTCGATTGAGATGCACGAGCTTGATGCGGAAGCAAGAGCCAGAAAACCTATAAACCCCAATATTCCATTCGGCCGGGGAACTGCAGGGGAAGAAGAAAAGCGGCTTGCAAGCAATGAAGCGGGCCAGCAGTTATCCCTCGAAGAGATCATGAACCCTTTCCTCGACAAAGCCGGTGCTGCATTTGGAGCTGTTGTAATGACTGCCACTCTCATCACTATCATCGTACTTAACGAAATACAGTCAAGCAAGAACCAGGAGACTTTCGTCTTCTACGTCACCGTCCCGGCTGCTGGTGTGATGCTTACGTTTGATCTGGCTTGGGGGTGGTACCACCGCAAAGAGACACGCAAGATCGCTCGCGATGGAAGAAGGCAAGTTGCCGAGGCTGAAGAGAGAAGGAAGAGGGAATTAGCTGCAGAAGCAGGCATTCTCGGGGCAACTAGCGATACATCTTCACCGCCCGTAGAGCTATCTGAGATGCAAAATACTGGTGACGGGAATAATAGTCGCGACGGAGAGGAGAGTCAGCTCAACACCCTGGACGAGAAAAATGCAGAAAACAGCACAGGAGACAGTGCAAGTATAACTCCGTCGTCCATTGCACGCCCAGAGCCGTCGTCAGAAACCCCGGTAGTTTCACAGAGCGGCGAAGACACGAATCATAAAATAGCACCTATACAATCGCAAAAACGCACAGATACACAGTCGACTGAAGCAATTGAGGAAAAGCAGAGAGGTGTTGCCGGGGCTATAGCAATGGCCAATTCTCCACGCGCAACTACAGCACCAAGAGGCAATAACCCTGCCACACTTGTGTCTGTCAGTGCAGACGCATATAGATGGCTACAGGATACTTTCCCCACAGTCGTCGCGGTTTTGAACCATCTTCCATTCGCGTTATTGCCATTTTCATTTGAGATGTTCATTCTCGTACAGGGCCTAGTAACAAACGGGTGGGTGCCCGTATTCGCATACGGATGGGACCACTGGGTGAACAAAACAGGGACGATCGGGGCAATCGGTGGAATGGGATTTCTATCCGTCATTCTATGCAATGTAAGTGTGCCGCACCGCACAGTCGTAAAGACCGCCAACTAACATGCGAGCGCAAAATTCTAGTTCGCCGGCACAAACATCGGCACCACCATCCTCCTGTCTCGCGTCATACAAGCGTGGGAGGAGATCCACAGGAGAAACATGCAGCCCATCGGCAACCGGACCAAGTGGGCGACGATATACGCCATGGCCCTCGGCGTCAACTACGGCGCCTTCAGCATCGCCTTCAGCGCATCCCTCGCCGGGCTCCTCTGGCGCGACATCCTCCGCCGGAAGCACATCCGCGTGCGCGGCTTCGAGTTCGCCCGCGTCAATCTGCCGATCATCAGCGTTGCCATGACCATCGGCTTAGTTGCTCTGCTCGGGGAGGTGTACATTTTCCGACGCGACTAAATGAAATGACGATAGATAAACAAGTCCATGATATACTTATGTTTAGGCGCTATAGAGTTTCTATATATACATATATATATACCTGTTTACGTTGACTTTGATGAATGAGGAAAAAAGACAATATTGGGAGCTAGTTCGCTTGCGCTATGGGTTCGTTTCATCGAGTAAAGGAATGTGGAATGCTATGGTTGACGAGCGAATAAGCTGAGAAATGCGAGTGCAGATGTATACTCTATCCCCGACCGGGACTCATTCAGCTCATGACCGCTAAATTTTACATTTATCAACAATGAGAGGACAGTAAATATTCATGCTTCAACCAGTATAGATCACCGACCCTGGTCAAATGGTATAGAATACCTATCGTGGAAAAGGGGGAAAATCCCGGGTTTTATGTGCTGTGCTATCAGATACCAAACGAGATCCCACCACCCTGCGAGATTCTGACAATGGTTGGTTCTCTCCCAACGGCACAATAGAGTTGTGTGGGGAGGGGACAATGTGTTATCAAGTAACCCGAGTGAGAACCAATCTACAGCTGGTGTGAGATAGGTCTATGCCAGCGCGATCTGAGCCCTGTCGGTCCTTTCGAAGCGGACGTGCGCAGTAGCCATTTTCGGGGACGCCGTGAGCACAGCAATGATAATGTGGAAAAAGCTATACATCGAACACGCGAATTAGTTGACTTTATCACATGGCTATTTGAGGTACTAGAGATAGAATAGTGAGATCAGATGGGAGGGACTCACATAGGGAACCACCCAAGCCCCGTAGTAAGCTGATGCCTGCCCCAGCCGTGGACGTGGTTGGCAATGGTCAGGGAGAAGAGCACGGCGAGAAGAGTGAGGTCGACCCAGAAGGCACGAGGCCATCCAAACCCTCGACGGCGGCCCTCATGGCCTTCCTCATCGTCATCTCGGGAGAGGAAGTTGATGGCTCGCCCGTCGCGCAAGACTAGACTGATCCGAAGCGAGGGCTTGCTTATCATTCTGGTCAGCAAGAGGATGTCCCAGGCGATGGTGAACCAGAAGAAAACGGTGAGGGCGATCGTGATCTCCATGTCCCAGTGCCGGGGGATGAGAATGAAACTGATGCCGACGGCGAGGCCGGATATCGCGGCGAGGATGCGCGCTGTGACGATCACGGCTGCGAGGTTGATATTGGTAGTGGCATTCCGAACGCTGGAGACATTGCCCTCGAGATAATTGGATGGTGGTGGTGGTGGTCGGAAAGGCAGGCTTTGCTCTTGGATGAAGGGTGTTTGTGAGTCTGTTGACTCGGTGGACGGGCGTGGTTCGCCGCTGTCTGAACCCATGGTGACTTGAGGAAACGAGGGATGAACTGAATAATTACTGCTTGATAGAGGAAGAGAGAATTGAGTCAAATAGATGTTGAAGTCGAACTATAGAGCAGGTGAGTACTAATAACTGAGCGAGGGTCAATGCCTATTATATCACATAGCTATCGTCTACTCAAGTGTGTCAGGGGCTATTTATGTCCGTACAAGGAGGAAGGGTGGCATGGCAGTATTCCTAATGGCATCACTATCATGTCTTAACAAAGGTCAACAGCTAGTACTAACGTCCTTGTTAAGACTCGATAGTGGTAAGCGTCAAGCCGATCATACGAAGATCGCTGGTTCACGGTAAGGCGCTGTTTGCTGGCAGTCCGGCCCCCATTGAGGCGGAGCGCGGGGCATTCCATGCGGATAATTCTGCTGCCTGGTTCCTAGCCGCCAATTGTTTCACGACGCCCTTGGATACCCATTCTTCTGCCCAATTGCAAGCCCGTGAAATGTTGAAGCCTAGAATGATTGCTGTAGGATCACTCTAACACCATATCTCGCAGATAATTGTAGCCTTTTATTGCACTTTAGCGCTGACCATTTCGGGGGGTTGGCAAAGCTGTCAGTCGGACATGAACTGGAGTGGGCTTAGTGATTGAAAGCGAGGTCTATGTTGCTAGGTATTGTCCCACAGTTATTCCGCGGCTATTAAGCAGGTAGGTAGATGGTTCTTGTGTCACGCTGTGTGGGATAAACAAGTGAAAGGCGCTCATCTGATACAATCAATCAACCATGGGTTGCGTATTCGATTTTGAAGAGTTAGTAGTTGCAGGCCAGATGTAAATGGGTTCTTGCAGCGCGTATCGTATCGTATCATATCGTATAGACGTCTGAGCGGCTTCTGTTGCATCTGGACAAGACAAGACATATTTAATGGTTGATACAGGGATACAATCTCAAACATTGACTGGCCTCTCAAGATTCACAAAGTGATATACCAGTAGATACCTAGGTAGGTAGATGGTGAGAGAAGTGCAGGTACTCTTGGCATTATTACATCTTCACATGTCACAGAGTGGACCCTGCAACTTCCTTATCGTAGCTTTATCGCTTTATCGCGGTCGCAATCCACAAATTTTTCTGAGAGGTGGTTGGCGGCCGCAAGAACATCCGACACACGTTCGCATCCGCCGCAGCGGCAAGAACAACCACCGCAACAGTTGCTCTTCAGCAGCATTTGCTCGCTCGCTCACTCAGCGGAGATAGGCCCTCTCTCTTCATCATCTCAAACGGCTTTCCCGGGCCATGTCGAAGAGCTCCAAACAATATAAAAATAATACAATTACATCTTTGGCATCCTCCGGGCCCCCAGCCTGGCTATTCACCAACAACTCAACCTCGACTCCCTCGACCCAGCCAGCTGTGACCCCAGACACCATGGCTAAGAAGGAGAAGAAGGCCCAAAAGGCTGCAAAGCAGCAATCCGAGCCTGTTGCAGCACCCGCAGCCCTCCCGTCATCCGCCGCCGAGAAGCCCTCTGCCCAATTGATGGATCTTGTCGAGTCTTTCCTTTCTGATCAAGGTTTCGACGATGCTCACCGTGCGTTCCGAAAACATCGAGCCACCAAGGCTTGGAAAGGCCATGGCGCCGGATTACCGGGTAACAAGGAGCACTCTTTGGTTAGTATCTATCAGACCTGGGAGACCCTCCCCAACGCCACGCCCCAGACCGCCAGTGTTAGCAACAGCAACAATGAATCTTCCGAATCCTCCAGCGACGACTCTAGCAGCGACGAGTCCTCTGACGACGACGACGATGTTGCAATGGCCGACGCCCCTGCCGCCGAGTTATCCTCCGATTCCTCTAGCAGCGATAGCGACAGTGACAGTTCTAGCGATAGCGAGAGTGAGAGCGACAGTGAAGAGGGAGAACCAACGGCCGTGACACTATCTGCATCTAAAATCGCCCCCGGCACCAAGAACCTGAAGCGCAAGATCGAGTCAGATAGCGAAAGCTCATCTTCTGAGTCAGACTCTGATTCTGATTCCGACTCCGACTCTGATGAAGACATGACTGGTTCGAAGGAGAAGAGTGTGAAAATTAAGAAGCCGCAATCCAAGAAACTCAAGACTGGGGACAGCTCAGATGAGAGCTCCTCGTCGGAATCTAGCTCTGATTCCGATTCCGACTCAGAGGTTGAAGGGGGCAAATTAAAGAATGTCCAATCCGATAGTGCCAGTTCTTCTGAATCTGACTCCGACGATTCTTCATCCAGCTCAGAATCTGAATCTGACTCTGAAGACGAAGTAGAAACAGCCGCAAAGGTTGCGCTACCTGAGTCCGACTCCGACTCCGACTCCTCCAGTGACTCAGATTCTGAATCAGAGCAGCAAGAACAGAAAATCAAGGCAGAGCCCAAGACTACGAATGGTGCAGCTTCAGACAGTTCAGCTACGCTAGAAAAGGCTTCTCCAGAATTTGCCCCTCTTCCCCCTGACCCCGCTACTTACAAGGCGAACAACAGGGGCAAAAATGGGGCAAATCCGAAGAAGACACAGAATGTACCCTTCTCGCGCATCTCCAAGAATGTTGTCGTAGATCCTCGTCTCTCATCGAATGCTTATGTTTCTCACGGATATGGTGAGCAAGCTCACCGAGACCTGATTGTGACAAAGGGCAAGGGCTTCACCAAGGAGAAGAATAAAAAGAAGCGTGGGGCCTACAAGGGTGGCCCTCTAGATGTTCATACAAGCCGAAGCTTCAAGTTCGACGATTAGAAATGCGAGCACCCCAGCTCCGACGATTATGACCTTGAGAATCTTGAGTCAGTAGATAATAATCCTCATGTCGGGTATGCCTCCCTTGACACACCAACGGCCCCACGGAAACGAAGATACAGCAGCTTCCCATTTGCCGCCAGGGCGAGAAATGGATTCAAAAAGCGAGGACCATCCAAACTTCGACGGGTTCTATAGTGAGCAACAAGTAATTCGAAGTATGGTCGCCCATATTAGCTGATGATTGGTTTTATGGAGGCAATTGGTCGATAGATCTTATTGCCTTCCACATCGTGGGGCTTGCAGATGCCGCATGAGACAGTGGTGGCCAGAATAGACCTTAGACAGTCTTGCGTTGGGGACAGTATTACAAGGTTCAGTATTAGAGATTGACAGCTTGTATATATTAAAGAGTCAATGCAAAATTAATCGTTACTTTGGCACACGCTGGTCTATATGTTCCTGCTTTGTGAGTCCAGTCCAAGTGTTATCTTACATCGTACCGATAATATTCCTTAGATTGCCTGGGTCCAGACTGGGTCCCAGAGACATGGAGACCTACTGCACACGGAGCTCGATGATATTAGTTGATAATATGCCCTGATAAGAAATCCTCGTGGCATCGGTGAAAATGCTTTATTACATGCGTCCAGGGCCAAGCTCACCTATGCGGCGATAGCTCAATATGAAGATTTACTCCTTCTACCTTGGCTAAATCGCATGTATTGGCCGTTTTCACGCAGCTCGAGCCCCAACCCGGCCTGGCAGTTTATACCAGGGTATCTGCGTAAGATGCTTTCTCGGCGTGTGGATGGCCACGACGCTGTAATGGAGTGTTTGTGACACCGGGAAGAAGAAGTCCCCTCTATACGGCTAATTTATGGTTTTAGTAGATTACCTAACGCTGCTTCGAGAGCCCTGTGGAGTTTTTTTTTTCCATAAATACTAGTGATCTAAGGTTTGGAGGTGGTGGTGCGCAGGACTGGGATCGTGGTATGGTGGGTGGACTTCTTGCCGTGGGTAAGCCGGTTCGCTAGGTAGTTTGGCTACATGCCTACCTACCTAGGTAGGTATCTATAGCTTCTTCATTTGAAATGCTTCTTCATAGTTTCTTGAGAGGTATGTGCTACGTTGATATGTGTGCTGTGTACACGGTCTTTAGCTGATTCCTGTGCCCAGGAGTTCATCTAGGCTGTGATGTACCTCGCTCTAAGATACGTGAATCCTTGCGATATCAATGCCTGACTGGATATTAGGGTTGTATTTCTCGATATAGACTTTACTTATGCCGTGAACAAGGTTTATGAAAACCGGCGCGGCCCGCAAGGTACCCGGCGCAAAGGTGTGTATATTAAGCCCGCGGTGTCCAGGTCTTTTGCTCTACCTTCTATTCCCTTTCGATATCGATGTATCTTAGGCCGACCGAGATCTTCATTCTGTCATACCACAGGGGCGCAGGGGTTAAATCCGTGTAGTATCTGGTCCATCTCAATATTGCCTATGATGATACCGGTCGTATCAAGGGGTTTCCTCTTGTGGCTTGTGACACCGGCCTCGATGAATCCAGCCTAGCGGATCTGTTCTTTTCATGTCACCGTTTTACCGCAAAAGGCTTGGGATTGTCGAGGTGCTGAGGCATACACTTCATTTGAGCTCATTTTTTGTCACCCGTTTTTGCTTGTTATTTCCTTGAAACTATTATGCTTTGCTGCTGTGGTTTGCCGGGGCTGGGTTGCCTTTTCGACTTATTATCTTTATCAACCTACCCTTAATATACTTCTTTTGTAATGAATTTTCCCAGTTCCTCTCTTGGCCTGTTGTTTCTGAACCCATCGTTAAAGGATTTGTTTTGAGGTAGAGCCCTCATGTTTCCTGACTCGTAGTGGTTACACTCTTGAATGATTGGCCACGTTTTTGGTTTGTTGTATTCTAGGGTATGATTCATATATGGCAATCTCATTTTCTAGCTTATATGATCTGCATCCTACTATGTCATCTTCTCACTTTTATTTCACGAGGTAGTCAGGTGATGGTCTTGCTGTAGTGTCATGTTGAATATACTGAGTCCCTTCCCTATAGGTGACTTACTATTCTACAGCCGCTTCCACTTTCTGTGCCTAATTGCTGCCTGCCAGTCACATTATGCCTTGCTGCAAGCCTAGACATTCTTCTGACGTATGGGCCCGAGCCATGAGGTCAAGTCTTGTGGTTCCTTTTTGCAGCAACACATGTTTAAATAGCCAACCCACTTTGAAGTAGAAACTGGATATTGCCTTCTCATCCATTAAGGTGCTACGAAGACCTATTGATCCAGGACTAGCGAAGGTAGTCCCGATTTTTATCAATCAAAAGTGAACACCGAGCTGCTCTCATTTCCTCTTTAATTCCATACTTTATAACATTAATTATTTCGGCACCCACAAGCTGTATCTTAACTTTAGACTGGGCTGTGAATCACTCAGAGTACTTAATGCTTGAGGCTCATCTACACTTTGTATCACGACATATCTAGTGAAAGCGTTGTAGCAAGTAAGGTAGACGGTATTTCGTTTGATTCGGATGTCGGTTTGATGGGATTCAGTACTTGTTTGCTGAGAAATGACCAATAGCCACTACGTTAATAAGATTTGACCATGTCTCGGGGCGCATGGGTATGTTTTCATCCCTTTCGGCACATTCCTTTGCTATAATCGGCATATTAAGTCTGTATGGTCATTCCGAGAATGCGAGAGGGGCCACTTTGTGTGGCATTGCTATTGACGTTTCCCTGGTCCTGTGGATTTCTTTCATGGTCATGGAATGATTGAGGTAAGGGGTTTGAGCACTTGTGAATACAGCCACTCAAAAAGTCTTGTGCAAGCAATGAGAAGATCTGCACCGACTTTGTTGTTAGCTGCGGTGTATCGAAAGTAGAATTCCTAGTAGATTTCCCAGATCCTCCCTAATTATGTATATCATACAATAAATATGAATAAAAGAAACTTGGATAAAACTGTAATACGTACATCACCCATTAGGACTCGAATATGCCCAGAATCTACCTAGGCAGTAGCAAAAGCCAAGGTTCAGCACTAATTCAATTTTAGAAGTAAGCAGACGCAGAATGCCTCCATTTCCATCAATCTTCGTTTACGTGTCGTATTCAACGTGCCCCGTAGGTCTATCGATAATGGAGACTACCCATGAATTATTCACTGCACCAGCCAGCTGCGCCGCTTGTAATAGGGGATGTGTTCCAATCACCCCATGATCACGGTATAATGTGTAAAGAGCATGTGTGGAGCCTTTGTCTAAGTCCAAGTGGATCTATAGACACAGAGGTGCAGACAGAGCTGACATCTCGTCGTAAAAGAATGCCATTGGCAGAGTATTTACGAGAACCTAACCTTACGTTGTGTTTTTACCGAGGAATATCTATCATCTTGAAGGCCATGCTTGACTGTAATCCGGTAAAATTTCAGCCTTCGTATAAGTTCCAATCTAGAGTTGATATCGACGTCGCGTGGCCTTGGAGTGAGCCCCTTGTGAAATGCGCCTCTGCCAACTGCAGCTTCGGAAGGCGATCCAGTACTTTGCGGGTCTCTACTGTTGATTTATTCCTACTTAGTTGGCGACTACTGTGAGTGCTGTTGGTCAAATTGGTACACGATAATCGTTCTCAGCGATCGCGAACTGCAGTCCGTACACTAATAAAGGAGCTGACTCGCTAGTTGATGCCGAACAACAGCCTTGCGAACAGAAATAGAACCAACGGCAAAGCTAGGGATAATAGACCGGCGGCTAGTCTGTTTCATGGAGGTGTTGGTGATGAAGGAACGAGCTAGGAGAAAAAGTGAAGATCAGTTTTGGCGCCTGAGCGGGAGCATGTGCCGGGAGATTCTACACTTCCTCCAAACAACGTGGCCGGAGGGATGCATGACCCCGGCCAACAGGGGGCGGGAACTCGGGGCTGAGCAGATAGATGGGAACGGGATGGGATGAAATCAGAGGCTGCAAAAACGCCCACGACTGTTGGGTTATTCTAACTTCTTCACTTTACTCGCTTTGTCTAAGCACAGGCGACGGCAGATGCAAGGAACCACTTGGGCTATTATGGGCTGTCACGGGCATTCTTCATGTCATTCCGCTAGGTTATGCGGATCAAGAGAGAGAGAGAGAGAGAAAGATACCAAGTTTAGTGTATCTGCTTATATCCGTATATAAGCTTTGGTAATAATGTCGGATTCCACTGGAAATTCATGCAGGCCAAATCTACTCAAAACAACAAGAAAAGGGAGTATCTGTGAGCGTCAGAGAATCGGAATTGCCCCTAGTTTTCAGCCGTTGGCGGGGATTGTTGACTCGGGGTCGGTCGTCGGGTCTGGTGTAGATACCTATCTTATCTACCTACGAAGTAGGGCTGATCGGTTATTTTTGGCGATTTGCGCCGGTGTCATTCTCCCCTGGCCGCATTCCGATACGGGGGGGAAATGACAGGTTAGGCTGTTACCATGCCATTGGTAAAGTTACGTGGAAGAACATGTTCAAGTCACGGAGTCGAGAGTCATATTTCGGCAAAGTCAGCCCAGCTCCTTGGCGGTTATTATACATCCGATATATGCATAGCTGGACCTGAAACCCCTCTTATAGACAAGTTGAGGTCCTCTTATAAGGATATTTGTATCCCCCAATCGAATATCAATTCCCCGTCCATGAATGCGCCCTTATGTCCAAGCCACCTGACCCACCATAGCACAATGCATGGTCATCTCTCAGCCCCTCCGCATCTGATCTGAGAGAGAAGGTTGATACATGGATTGGAGTTGGTTGGCGTGAAGGTGGGGTTGAAGTAGTAAGTAGGTAGAGACAAGTCCTTACAACCACCATAGCCTTACCTTTGGATCCATCGGCAAGTGGCAAGGCGAACCGCCTGGGCGCTGAGAAGTGCTTAACATACAGTACATACCTAGGTACCTAGACCTACCTAACAAGTCCCTATAGTATATCCCTATATCCGGGCAGAGCCAGCGCTAAAGGGCCGCTGACTAGAGCGAATAAGACCGCTAACTACTGCCCATACCCCCAGACCTAACAAAGACAGCCTATGCCCCACGCGACACCAGGTTCACCCATCACCCATCCCACTTTCACTCTTCTCATGTCATCATCCTTGTGCAAGTGACCAGATAACCGGACTGCCGCATCTCCCTCTCGGCTCCCTTCGTGTTGTGACTGTGTTGGGTATTTAATTCCCAGCTTAGGTAGACTTCAGGCATGAAAGAATTCCGATGCCAACCGGTCTTCTTTGTTTGCGCGCGCCAGACCATTGAATCCATCTCATTATCTCCATAGCCGCCCCCTTTGATCCCTTCACTTGCGCCTTACTCACCCCGGGCACGCTTCAAACAACAGTCGTCATAGAGCTTGCTTTCGTTAGGTACGAAAACGTTGAGCCGCTTCCTTGCTTGATAGGCACAGCGCAGTCGCACTGGTTGCGCTCTCCATGATGGGTACCTTCTGCAGTATAAGTAAGGGCTCCGAGTCCGATGAGCATGATAAAGAAGAATACGAAGACTCTCCATCCCACAACTCCCATACACCACATCCACAGCACCTCAAAATGGCGACCCAGAATCTGCGCGGACGACACTCGCGGCGCGAGAAGCCCGCCAACCAGTTCAAGTTTGAGTTCCAGAACGACATAGCAGCCGGCGCAAACGGCGGCGGGAACCAAAGTGAGGATGAGGCCAACAGGATAGTTGCGCACATGCGGGAGGAGGACAATGCCATCTTTGCGACACATGCTACCTCACCCGACCAACACTTCCTACACGTCCGTGATGCCGTAGAGGGCACTCGGGTATTTCAGGTCGCACGTATGATGCCTAAAGGCGCTCATCTGCATCTCCACTTTAATTCTACACTTCTGCCCGGTGTGCTTCTCGGTTTCGCCAAAGATATGGTTAATATGTATATCTGGAGCAACCATCGGCTCCTCACCGACAGTGATTTCAGGGACTGCAAGCTTGAATTCAGCTTGCGCAACCTCGGACAGGTTCGCAAGGAGATGCACGCGAAGGCCGCTGAATCAGGTGACAGCTCATTGTGCCAGAAACTTGCGCAGGCCGAAAGCCTCTCGGACGAAGCTGCCAAAACCCGCGCGTATGATAGGCTAGGCCCGGATATGTTCAGTCCCACATACCAACACGGAAGGAAGGACAAAGGCCAGAAAGTAGAGGAAATGCGCTATCAGTATTTTCGCGAGCGCTGGAATGAAAAAGCTCGGGGTGACTGCGATGAATGGCTTATCAGCAAGCTTACCTTCAGCAAGGAAGAAGTGGACTCATTCTTCGTTGAAACCGAAGGTGACGAGCTTGAATCCGATTCAGAGGAACGATCGCCAACGGTGAACTTGTCCCCGATTACTCCGATACAGCCTGCATCAGTCGGGGTTGAGCCTCAGAAGTCTGAAGAAGAATGGGTTATACAGACCAGGAAAAAGGTTTTAGCGAGTGACTTTAAAGGCAATCGTCTCAGCGCACGAAAGTAAGGCGACCTTTTCTAGATTGATGCGCAGAGCTAACATTCTTGTTCAGAGCATGGAGGGCGTTCAACGGACGTACTAAGATGATGAAAGGATTGTTTAATTACGAGACCGCCTTTCGACGATATACGCGCAAGTGTTTAGAAGAGTTTGTAAAAGATAACGTCCAATATGCTGAGATACGGCCAAATTTCATGCAAACGAATCAGATTCTCGATGATAGTGCCCAGACTAAAATCGATAATTTTGGTACGATGAGGTGTATTATTGAAGAATACGAGAAATTCATGCAACACATCGGCGACATGGATGCAGATGGAAAGATCATTGACGACCCTGATCATCGGCCCACGTTTAGCGGAATGAAGGTTATTTACTGCACGCCACGTTCATTTAAGCGGGAAGCCGTTAAGAAGGCCCTGGATGAGTGCATCGAGATGAAGAAGAAATGGCCTGATTATATTGCGGGCTTCGATCTCGTGGGCGAGGAAGCTTTCCCGAAGCCTTATCCTCTTAGGTTCTTCGAGGAAGAGTTTCGAAACTTTAGAACGCAATGCGAAGAAGAGAAACTCGACATACCATTTTTGTTTCATTGTGGTGAAACGCCAGACGATCTGGAGGGTAATCTGGAAACAGCACTCAATCTCGATGCCAAGCGCATCGGCCACGGCTATGCTTTGCCAGAGAAGCCAGCGGTTCTGAGGAAAATGAAGAGTAAGAATATGTGTGTAGAGACTTGCCCTATTTCCAACATGGTCCTGGGTCTGGCAAAGTGCATGGATGAGCACAGCGTGTATAGGCTTCTCGAAGAAAAGATGCCTTGTGCAGTGAGCAGCGATAACGGCACACTCTTCAAGTATGAAAATTACCTTTCTTACCCTTATGCGCGGTCTAACTTTGACATAGGTCTACACTCTCACATGATTTCTACGAGGTCATGGCAGGCAACAAGAACATTAACCTGTATGGATGGAAGCAACTGGCCCGTTGGAGTATAGAACACTCATGCTTGAGCCCAGAAGAGCTCCGAAGAACTCTGACTGAATGGGAGAAACGCTGGCAAGAGTTCATCAATACCATTATTAAGGGCTCAAGCGTGGGATCGCACCTTGCAAACCCTCAGCAATTAGCAGCATTAAGGGACGATGCCGAGGCAATAAAACTAGCTAAGCTTTGAAATACACGAGATGAGGGGACACGGCACGGAGTAGGCGAAGAAGGCTAAAGGAAAGCTGCTGGGCAGGTCTTGAACGAGTTTCTTCTTCATCTTGTGATGAGACGGCCCCGGCCGCTTAATCTAGCAAGGCGAACAAGAAGGCTACTTGTTTGCGTTTACCCTTAACAGAGGTTTCTTCTGGGTTTCGAAAACTGGAGTTTTACGGGGGGACATCAAAGCGATTGATTGACACAAGGATTCTGGTTTTTATGATACCAAAAGCGGCATAACGATTGACGTGCAAGGGAGCGAGAACACGTTGAGTTCATTGGTCATGTGCAGTAACTTACGGTGCGGCTTTCTTTGGGATCGTGTCAGAGCTCAGTTGGATGTTGCAGGTGTTCTGCGATAGATAGGTACTTGACTTTTTCTTACAGCAATGTATCTCCTGTTCTTCTCGGACTCATCCTCACAATCTGCATCCCTACGTAACCGAGGCCTTTTTTCCACTTGTCCTCGTCCCACAGAATCCGCCGATCTTATCGCATCGTCGGATTTGCGCGCGCAACACGAAGCAACAAGCACCAAACCCGGCTTGTGGTGGAAAGAGACAGGAAACGCCATGCCTACTGTACGTCTAGTCACAGTCACCCCTCATTATTGTCTAAGCCGCCCTTGGCACATGGCCGTTTGCTCCCTCTTCCAACTGCATGGGAACTGCATGGTGAGGGGATGAGGGGTTGACGAGGAGGCTTAGCTTGGTGTGTCGTCCAACTAGCGGAAAGACTATCGGTCATAGCATATTCAGCTACATGCGCAGTAGCCTAGTTTAGGCTTACTTCCTTGATCTCAGGATTATAGCCATACAGGTAACAATTGACAGAATATTCTCGCGCATTTCATAAGTATCTCAGCATTGAGCATACATGATGGTGTAACTGATACGTCACTCGATGTTGAAAGAGGAAGTTGAGGTAGGAGGTAGGTACAGTGCGATACAGTATTTATACCTACGCTATCAGTGATTCAGCGCAAGTGCTAAGCCCTGTGAGACCTGAGGGAACCCATCGCTTGCGCCTAGCGCCTCTGCCTAGGTATCTGGAAATTCTCCCAACGAGGCATAGTCGAAAGAGCCTAGATAGGCATGTTAGCGCTGTGCAGGCCGCTGTAGATATGGCCATCCAGGGCAGGTCGTGGCGGCTCACAGGGCAAACTCCAGCAGCCGGCCACTCAGCATCCAGAGCTCGGCGACACACTGTGCAGAGACCACCTGGGCACGCAACTCGCTGGTGCGTGTGCCAAAGCCAGACGCCAAAGCCACCACTGGGCAGTGACTGGGCATCTCTTTATCCTCCCTTCTGCTCCCTCCCTCTCCCACCCTTGCTCGCCCAATGCAACCCCGTCCTCCTTGTCGGATTAAATAAGGACGAGCTCCCCAGCACCTATTATCTTGGCGATGGGATCCTCATGTCTGGTGTCCATGTTCCCTTGGTAAACTTACTTACAACATACCAAAAAGACATAGACAGACATATACCTAGGTAGTCTCAAGAGACGTCACCGAAGAAACAGTCCCTTTCTAGACACGATTGGTTTTCTTGTTCCCTTTCCTACCTATAATAACACCCTTTGCCGGTTGGAACGAGAGTCGATCAACCGATAGCTCTTCACTCGTCTCTTGCAAAAGCCTATCTTTAGAATTGTTTTCAACATACTGCCCATCCTACGCCAATCTCGCGAAGTTTGACACTAAGGTTAGCGACGAAACACGCCAAACACGAGCCGAGCCGAGACGAGACATAAGACACGCGATAAGAGAGTAAGAGGGGCGCATTGCCTCCTCGCTTTAGCTCAAAACTCAATTCTCCGCCAAACCTTGACCGTCGAAACTTTTCCATTCTGTCGGTAACTCAGGGATCAATCGCATGATGGAAAGCCCAGATGGTCCCATTTATTCTGGCGCCGACAAATGGTTCTCCTCAGATGGTGTTGACGGTGATGGCCCCCAGGGTTGGCGTCTGGATGTTGTTACGCTGCTCGCCGTCATCGGCGAGTCCTCCATTGCAGAACATGCTCAGGTCATCACCGCAAGCGTCCTATGTCTCCTGCCGCGCATTATCCCTGCCCCTCAGGCCCTCTTGAAGCCCTCTCGCCCCCAGCGTCTACCCGAAACCTCAGCAAAGATGACCGGCGTCTATAGTGGTGTCGCTCTCGATACCGTCAGCTTTTTCGCCAACATCTTGCACCCGCTCGACGAGTTACCCGCCCTTGCCTTTAAAGTTCTTGAGATAAAGCATAGGGACAGGAATAATGCTGGAGGTATCGAAGTCCCTCCACAATCGCCTAATGGAAGCGCTTTCTTCTCAAGATTTCGATCCAATGGACGAACAAACACGAACCTCTCACTCGCAGCCAGGTCGATCAAGGGTCCTCCGCCTGATGCTCTAGATGATGAGCCGACGCCTATACGGGGACGGGCCACTGGTCTCAGCGTCGCATTTTCTGATATCGAGGCTGGTCCCGACCCACCACCTCAAGGGATTACCCGACGCCAAACCATGAAAGAGAAAGTCCAGGACTTCGTAGCTAACCCTACTCTAGCCAATAAGGCAGAGCGACCTGCTATTCCTGCGACCTTATGGTCGCCTATACATATCTTGGAAATCTTCTCCGTGTTGCTCACATTTAGCATTATTGGCTTTGCTGCCTGGCAGAAGGATGGAACGGCCATCATCGCTGTCACGCTAATGGCCACAGCAAGCTCGGTCGTCGGATTGGCTTCCTGGTGGCGTCCCATCCTAACGAACCGCAGCCACACCAATAAGGTACCCGATGGCGACATTATTATACGCACTCGTGAAGGCGCCTTTCTGCTTATCAAATGCACAGAGGAAGTAGCTCGTGAGCTCTACTCGGGCACAGAGGAGTGCGCCTACAGAGTTGGCGGGCAGTGGTACCGTGCGCTTATGGGACTAGGCACCTTTTTGCTGATGGCGTCTGTCATTCTATTAGGCAATTGCAAGTGGAACTCACAAATATTCGTGAGCGGTGCTTATGTCGTTCTAAACGGCATGTATTGGGCCTTGGGTCTTATCCCAAAACGTTACTTCTGGGATCTCAGCCGCTACGAATGTAAAGTCATAACGCCAGAGGACTCCCTCAACGCAGAGAAAGAGACCAACCCAAACGACCCCCGTGAAGGAGTTAAGAGCTTCACACGGACGCTTTGGTGGGCTATCCGCGAGACGAAGCGCACTGCCTGGGTCCATAGGAACGGCGCGGCACCCAATACTCCCCAATGGCAGAAGTGGCTCGCCGAAGCCGAGGCTGCTGCCAAAGCGGGCGATAGAAAGTGGAAGGCGGTTGCTCGCAAGGACGAAATCATGAAGATGAGTGAGGAAGATATCGCCAAGATTCCGTCTACGGCGCCCGCACGCGACTTTGACGAAGCTGAGCAGGCTGTTCCCGCGATCCAGATCCACCCTCAAGACAGGGACCAGGGAAAAGGTGGCGCGTTCTAGATTGAATCTTTTGGTTCTCATCTCTGTTTTTTTGTTTTGGTTTTTTTCTTATTTCCCCCTCTATCTATCTACTCATTTTTGGAAAATTACGGGACGATTTTTGAGCGTTGTTGGATACCCATACAAGAGCGAGCGAATGGACCTACCTATTGGCATTTTCGAAGTCTTGTTCTCTTCTGTCTCTAGATTGCATCACGGCCCGCGAGCCGGAAGAGTTAAATTGGTGGAGGGGGGCGGTCTACACATAACATACCTAGACACGTGAAGGGGGGAACGGACGAACACGGGGAAGCCATCTCTCTCCTTTGATCTGTACTATATACCATTATCGAAGCTAGCATCGTTTCTTATTGTTGAAATTGCGCGGTGTTTTAACTGCATTCACCAGAGTAGTTGGGTTGGCTCGGTTGGTTGTTTGTTGGAAATGGGGATAATTATATCAGCGACGAAGGGATGAGAAGCGAAGCGAATTAGGTCTGCATTATCTGTCTTAGGTCTTGATTCGGGGCTAGGTATTGGAAAAGTTCTGTCCGCTGAATTCAATTCATGATTACTTAAGTACCCATCGAGTGAGTGCTTTGATTTATTTATTGATTTATTCGTGGTTCCTTTCGGTGTTCTATGCTCACTAGATACTAGACACTGGTGATTAAGGCTTCATGCATAGAGAGAATAAGTGAACCTTTTACCTCCTTGGGGTCCTTGATGTTAGCTTACAAGTAGTCTTTCCCATTTTCTGCTGTCAAAGACACTGCCTACATAGTAGACGGATACCCGCCCAATCTACCTAGTATTTGCCCTGATACTCTCTAAAATCGAGATATGCCAATATCTACTGGTGGTAGGTGCTTGTATAAGTATGAATTAAATCACCATCATTATTACACTTTAGCTATAGTTCGGTTTAGTCCCTTGTTATCGCTTGTATATTTAGTCGTTATACCTAGTTAGTTATATGATCGTATTTATACCTTACTTACAGTACTTATAGCATTGTAGTCCACTGTAATGAGACTCCTTGCTGGATCCTTGCCTTATAAGTAGTGTGCCCTTTAGAACGCAATTGTTACGGGATCCCTATTTTGGGAGGTGTTGCGTTTGATTTACTCGGCAAGGTAGACTACGGGGTGCAAAAGCTTTAGATTTATATCACTGCGGCCTGCGTAGCATGAGGTGGATAAAAAATAGAGAAAAGGTTAGAAAAGAAAAGGAAGTCGTGCATCCGGATGTTTGTAAAAAAAAAAAAAAAAAAAAAAAAAAAGCTCACACTCTACCTATTTGCACTGCTACCTTTCGCCGCCAACCAATGTACGAAACGACAATGTAAGTGTACGTGACAAGGAGATCAGAATGGCAGACATCATGTAGATAGATATATAAAACAAGATAACCATCGTAAACCTAATAATATAAGTCAGGATGGAATTCAACCACCGCCAGCTTCACTAGACTACCTACAGACGCACGTATGAAACCCTCATGTAAACGCATGAATGATCACAGATAGCAATAAGCCCAGGTATACAAGGGAGGAAGCACCAGCTAGCTCTCGCGTGTACACAGTAAGTAGATCTCGATCAAGCAATAGCAATAAGAAATAAATGCGTAAAAGGGTGCATTCAGGCTCAGCCGTTCGCATACCTATCACTATCTAGTTAAAGTGATGATATAAGTATGTGAATTATGACAAGCCCAGGTCTCACATCTAATGATTCAGCCTCACTAGTATAAGACATACAAAATGACAGAGGAACAATTAGCTCACTATGGGCTGACCGAGTCAAGTGGTCTACAATAGAAGAAACCCTTCCTGTATCTTTATACTGCCGTTTCTATCGGCCCCTACATAGTAATTCTCGTTATTCACGCTAGTAGGATTCCTCCTTTGATCCCACGGCGAGTCGGCAACTGAGATCTAGCTTTAAGGCTATGTTCGACTCTCTATCCTATACCTATTCGTATTACTACATAGTAATGATGACACGAATCAAACTTTTCTGTTCGTTCCACAAACTGTTCTACTTAGTGGATTACTAGAAATTTCCGAATCATGAGATCTAGTGTGAATTGGGCGGTGTCATCCCACCCGTTCCGAACCACCGAAATAAGCCGTAGGGCGGGAGCTCCCGCGCTAGTTCGCGTACTAGCTAAATGCTTTGTTTGTTTAAACTACCTAGTTAGATTATCTTGGTCGTTGCTCGGGGATCCCTCTCTGTTTATTTGCCAACGGTTAGACAGACTGGTTCATTCGGTGAATAAACGGGGTTTGGCTACAAAGATATCTTCCCGGGACCGGACCCTGACCGGGTCTTGGCGTTTGGGGACCAGGGAAAGGCTCCTCATGGGTCTTATTTTGTTCATCTGTTGAAATCCCTGCAATTCGAGCGAATCCCTGCATAGCCACATGGGTAGCTAGCTCGTGTAGTATTCAACAAAAGGAAAGGAGGTTAGCTGACTTGACAGCATTACCTAGATGTTGCGCTGTACTCCGTAAGTATACCTACCTATGATTACATTGAAATCAATGGGTGCGTGTGTAAACTCGCTTACAGTATTTACTTGGTAGAAGCAATGGAAAATGGGGTTCATTCATCACTACTTAAAACCTTGGTCTGCCCCATCTCAACCCATCCGCCAGCGCACGGACAGCATGCAATTAATCGATGATTCCAACGGTATACTAAATTAGCGTAGCATGGAAGCAACAACGGTATATGAAGTAATTCTAACCTATGTCTAACAGAATTATATTCGAAATTAATGGTCGACACCAGGCCGAGCAAAGAAATTCGCACTACCACACTGCAGTCCATCGGCAGAATAAATCTTGTATGATATCGGCGCCTTGAGCTCGGACTACACTACTTTGACGTGGCAGCACGGACCTCCAGCTCCAGCTAGCTAGCGTCGATCATACCCAAGTTAGAACTAGTCTCACCAAAGACTTGTCAAGCCATTAAATTCTTTCGAAGTCCTAGTTGAGTTCGCGTGGCTAGTGTCTCTGAACGGAAAAAGATAGGAGAGCCGGCATCACCGCGAGACAAGCAAGCAATCCTACGGATGTCATCCGGGTGTCCTCCCATTTAGCAATCCTTGACTGGATGTACAGTATCCGCCCCAGTTCTCGCCAGTGCCGTACTCTCAGTGTAGGTACTAGACATGCTAGTGTAAAGTAAGGGTCTGCAAGGAAACTAACAAAGTCGAGCTGATGGGTGGGTTTGTTTAAGTAAGTTTCATCTCCCATGTCTCACCCATGTCGTATACCTTATGTCGATCTCAGTATGAGCTTCGAGAAGCGGACAAAGTTGCCTGTTCTCCAGTTATTGCTGGGGGTCTGCGCACTCAATGTAACGCTAATCCAGTAGATAATAATCCTCCCCATTCCCATTCAGTTTTCGTCCAAACAAAGAGAGTCTCGGCAATTTGTATGCAGGTTGTTGAAACAACAACTGTGCAGGGTGTGACTAGATCCTCCAGTATCTAAGGAATAAAACCATCATTGCCAGCCACAACAATTCCTCCCCTCCTTTTCTATTATCGCTCGCTTTGCTCTTTCCAAGATTCGAGATCCTTGGAGGAGTTTAATCATTGATCGAGGCTGGCCCTTTGCTATACCTAATAATACAAACGACTTTCAAGATGGCTTCCCGCTGGCGCAAGTTACTGACCAACCCACACGTGCTCGCATCCTTCCTGCTTGCTATCTCTATTTGCTTCTCGATGGTCAGCATAATTCCAATTCTATCCAAGCTGTACCTACTTCGAGCAGACTTCAGCACGGACGGTGAGAATGCCACTAGCTCGACGGTGTGGTTCGGTAGCATGGGCTATTGCACGACAACCATTAACAATGGCGACCTGTTAGTACACGCGAGTAAAGATTACCCGGATAATCTTCATGCTAACATGACTTAGTGCCTATACACACCCTATCACCAAATGTTCTTATACAATCACCGGCTACAACGCCCAGGAAGCGCTAGAGCAAGATGGCAGGACGATAATTTCTGTCCCTCAAGCCTCAATCTTATCAACCTTCCTTACTCACGGTCTATACGTGCTAAACGCGCTCGCTCCCGTATTATGTTGTGTCAGTATGGTGACCCACGAGGTTCTACGAATGAGGCCCACGGCGATGAGGTATGCTGTGGCACTAGGGAGCAGTTTGTTAGCACTCCTCTTCTCGGGCATTATGTGTATATTCGAGCACTCTTTGGCATCATATATCTCGAATGGGGACGCGGCGACGAATACCACCTTCACGACAACCAGAGGGCCACTTGTTTATACCATCACGATGGCCTTCTTGTGGCAGCTGGCCGCCTCTATAGTTGGGTTCTATAGCTGCATTGGGGGCAAATATCGCTGTGAAGGCGGTATTAGGCTGGGAGATGAAAAGGGGCCCAACACGAATGGCCATTACTCATCATTAGAGGAAAAATGCTGTCTCGAGAAATGATAGCCTAATTGAAGTAGGAATATCTACCAAATCTGTTTAAGCTCACTGTCGATTATCTATTCATGTCGTGCGTTAGGAGCACATTTCCAAGCACTCGCCCGCCCATTAAGGTCAACCAACATGGTGTCTCGGGATCAAGTATTTTATGTACGAACAAAACATGCTGAAATGTTTCCTAGGTGTGAGAACAAGCTCTATTGACTGTGGGTTAGAAGACATCTACTGGCCCCTTTTGACCTCCTCGCCCCCCTCTAACCCGAGCGTCCGTGGGAGAGGAGAAGCTGAGTCAAGACATGGTACCAACTCATTATGCCTTTATCCAACGGTCACCCCTAATGTCATGAGATCCCCCAAAATTATAAATACGAAAAACTACTCGGTGCCTCGGCAGGGGACCTCACAGCATCCAGCTCGGTAGGTTCATCGTATCCAGTTCCGGTGTCATACAGCTCGTGAGGAGCTCCAGGGTTATATCCAATCCCCGTATCTACAGCATCTAGCTCTGGCTTCTAGTACTCTGACTTCTCCTGATCTTCTCTCTTCTCGCCTCCCCACCTTAGAAAAACTTCCAGTCATGTCTCTGTATCATAAGGCCACCTTGTGGGATCGCTTTCCGCATCGCTAACCAAACTATAGCAACTAAATGCCGCGAAGTCAGCAAGCTCCTCTCAAGGCATTGTCATTTTGGGGTGCATAACCTTGGTAAGCTAGCTAGACATTGCTTGGATGTCTATCCAGCCCCAGAATCGACCTGGACTGGTTTTTCGATTTCTTGGGAAGATACTCACGAAGGATCAATATCGCTGCCATGCCGCCTAAAACACTTCCAACCACGATGCCACTCAGAGAGCCTGATCCCGCTCTGGGGTCATCAACACTAGTAGATGTCCCTAGTGAGCTTGTGCTTATTCGCGTGGGATTTACAGTAGATGTTACGGAGAACGGGTCCCGAAAAGACGTTCCTGTTGGAATTGGAATTGGAATTATAGATCGATTAGACATTGTGCTTGTGATTGAAATGTGGTGAGCAGTACTTCCAGGAGAAATATTATCTTTCCCATTATCGGGTTCCCCTTCTTTGCCACCTCTGTTCCCAGGCTGTCCGCCGTAATCGCTTTCGGATATTGTGGTGGTCGAAAAATCGGATGACGTCGAAAAGTCTGTATTGGTGTGATCGGTAAGTGTAGCAGAAAGCTTTACGCTGATTATTCGCGTCCCCACTGCTATTGTCACCACTGTCAAGATCACCATTCCTGGAGGAAAGATCATCGTCACTATGGCTATGACGACCACAATCGATGAAACCATCTATGTTGGTATCGTCATTGCCGTCGTCGTCGACACGCTTATTCGAGTGACACAGCATAACTCCAAGACTAGACCTCTCGAAATTTAAAAAGCTAGGTTTCGCTCATTTTCCAATGAGTATTGTCATAGTTGAACTTGAACTTGAAAATGCAATATCGCCATACGCCACCAGTTTATGCAGAGACGAAAGCTTTTGGAAAAGGTGTGTCCACTTCATTAGAGTCTAAGATATCCTTGATTTCCGACCCCTCAAGGCTAACCTAGGAGGTCACATCAATGCTCTGACAAAACCCCTCCGAAGGGACCAGATATCATTCGCCATAGGTGATGAGGCATATTGCCCCAGAGCTTCATGGTCTCGCCAGTGCCCTTGCAATCCACGTTGGAATCACTGTGGCGGCTTACGTTTGACCCTGTGATGAAACGCCATTCCCGAACCCTCACATGTCCAAATCAGAATCCAAGCTTTCCAGCAGCAACACTATGTCGCAATGAACGCAGCCAGCGCGAGGACCTACTACATATACAGCCCCTTTACTCTAACTGTCGTACTGGGCTATCGGCACATTTCTATCCGACTACCTCCACAGAAATTGTGTGATCATCTACTGTCAAAGTGCAAAATCATAGATAAGAATTGTCAATACGATGAGAGATATAAGCGAGAGTGGGATAGAATTGTGAATAGCAGATGAAACAATCCAAACGGGGTATTTAAGTCACACGGCCAAGTTATGGCCACCTGCACCTAGGCTATGGAGTAGCAGAATTTCGTCTCATTAACCCAAAACACCTTGCGTATATAGATATGTAAAACGAACGGCGAGACCCAGTCTCATCGAAGGACTACCGAAGAGCATCCACAGTTTCTGACAAGTATCGTAACTAGATAGTCTGCTGACAAAGGTTATAGCTTAACGCTTCCCCCCCAATTCTTCCCCTAACTCTTAACGTCGATCGTACATCCCCGTGATCGACGTCGAGGACGGCCAAATCACCAGAAAATGTGAAAACGAAGCAGGAGAATAAGTGAGAGCAAGTGTCGGCGTTACTAATAAGGGATGTGGCATGCTCTTCTCTTCGATTCTCGCATTACACAGAGACATTGCCTTGAACAAAATTAAGCTAGCTAACCATAACGTACCAACGCATGATTTCACTGTGAGGCTTCGTACGAATAACCTGAGGTAAATCAGGAAAGAAACCCACTGCATTTTCGGCTATAGATGCAGCTGAGTAAACCACCTTTGAACCTGATTGTTTCTTTCCATTAAGTCTTAAGATAACTACCCTAGTCCTTAGATTAGTACACAAGAACACAACATACATCTTTTAGTTACCATGTAGCATTACATATGGTTCTTATGTGACGCTGTCCTGTTGAATTCGAAGTTTGGAATCTTATTCTTCTCATGGATATGATTCGAGACAATAACTACAAGGTTGAGATATCGAGAGTCCCAACCTTGCCAAGGAAGTTACCCTCGGCTCCTCTCAAGAGCTCATCAATGTCGACAAGACCATTTGCGATATACTTCTCGCTCACGCCGGCATTGACACGCCTCGAGAGTAGATCTCGAAGCTCGGCACGCATAGCGCCTAGCTCGGCTTTCGTCATCTCCCTAGCTTCCTGCTGTTTCTTCTTGCGGCCGCCACCGCGTCCACCCCAATTACTAGCCTGTTCTAACTCGTCGCTGTCGTAGTCTACACCGAGCTCTTCCGCCGCGTTGCGCATCCACTCGTCGTCTTTCCCGCCTTTTTCTTTAGCTAGCCCGGCATCTGCGATCTTTTTGGCCAACGTTACGCGTGGCTTTAGGCGGCCTACTAACTTTCGATCCATATCTAGGGTCTGCACGAACAGGTTCTTCCTCGAAGTCTTTCTTTCCGAGTGTACCTTGGCGATGAGACGTCTGGTTGGGATCACTTCCTCTGGTGCACAGAGCAAGATGCTCAGACCGGTTTTGGCTGCACGCGCCGTACGTCCCGACCGATGTACGTACGCGGCAGCGTCGCGGGGTACGTGGTAATGCACAACGAGGTCGACATTGAGTATATCGAGGCCACGTGCAGCAACATCTGTTGCGATCAAGACGGAGGACTGGCCGGCGGGCGTGCTAGTAAAGCGCTCAATAGACCGTAGGCGGGCTTTTTGGGCCATTTGTGAATGTAATGGATGTGAGGTTATTTTCAGGTTCTGTAGCATTGGAGAAATACGTCGGGCTGCGCTGATAGAGTTGGTGAATACCAACGTGCGCACATTGGGGTATAACAGTAACAGCGCATAGAGGTATAGATCCTGATATTATCGTTAGCATGTTCAACCAGCCATAGGTATTGGCAGAGCTTGGTGAATGATGACCTACTTTCTCCATTGCACCACACTCCACTAAGCCTTCCTTCAACCCCTCGGCCATCTGGGATACCGGATTGACGTCGATAAATTTGGGCTTCTCCTCACGGAAATTCAATTTCTTGAGAAGATATTCCATTGAGTCTTCCTGGTTCATTAGGTTGAATTTTCCCTTACCAGCTAGCTTCTGCTGAAGGCCTTTGTGGAATGTTGCAGAGAAGACGAGTGTCTGTCTGGGTGAAGGATCGGCGTCCTCTTCCCCTTCATCTACTTCAACACGATCAAGGGCACTGATAATCTCCTCAGCTTCTTTGAAATGACCTTCGGTTAGAAGCCTGTCTGCTTCATCTATCACCAGATAGCTGGTGCCTCTAAAAGAACTCATGACTTCAGCACTTGAGCTCAGAACCTCCCATAACCGACCAGGTGTTCCGATCACGATGTCGGCCTTGGCCAACTGGCGTTGCTGCTTCTGCACTGAAAGCCCTCCGGTAATGGAGCAGATATACGGTGAGGTTGGAAGACCGTTACATAGGTTCTTGATATGATCTGTAAGTTGATGGGCCAGTTCTCTGGTGGGGGAGAGGATCAAGGCCAAGGGGGTTTTCGTTTCCGTCTCAGCGCTGTCTTCTCCTGCTAAGTCTAGCCACTTCTCAACAATGGGTATCCCAAAAGCCAAGGTCTTTCCAGATCCGGTAGAAGCTTTCCCTATTACATCATGGCCAGCCAGAATATCAGGTATAGCTGCGGTCTGGATCGCCGTAGGCTTAGAGAATTTCAACTTGGCTAGCGACGACAGAACTCCTGCAGAGAGGTCTAGTTTTACCCATTCGGATAAGTCAAGATCATCCTGAGGTTCGTCCACGGCATCTAACCCTGCGAAAACGTTTGTTTCCAGTTCATTGTCTTCTTTCGCACTCGACTTCTTATTCGGCTTCTTTTTGGGCTCTTTCTCAGGCTTTTTGGGTGCTGGTTTGGAGGCTTCTGAGGACACATCTACCGTAGGTTCAGTTAAGGCAGATGGCTCATCGTCAAATCCTTCGAATTCATCACCGCTGTTGTCGACGGTCTTGCTGTTCTCACCGGCTCCATCGCTCTCATCCTCAGACGGCACGGCTGCTCTCTTATTATGGTTAGTACCAGTGCGAACAATGCGACATGGCGCAAACGTACAAACTCGACGATGTTGTTGTCGCCGCGAACAACCTCAATGCCTTCCACCTCCTCCAGACCGTAAAATCCTTCAGCGTCGTTGAACATGTCCGGGAGTTTTGCCTTGCTCCATGGTAGGGAATCAATGCCGACAGATCGCTTCGCTCTCTTAGATTTGCCGGATTTATGGGGGACAGACGACGTTTTTGTCCGTTTCGATGACAGCGATGCGCCACCAGCTAGCAGCTTCCTCTTCTTAGCTCTGTTCATTGTGTGATTATTATTATTGCGCGATCAGAATTGGGCGTGTTTGGCGTTCTGTGATAACTTTTTGCAGCAGTCTTCGCAAAGCTTTAAAATTTCCCGTGGTCCAGCCCAGCATTGTAAGGACCCTTGCTGCAAGCCCCCACCATTGGTGGATTGACGTACACTGCCTAAATAGGTTAGTATTGGCAGTGGAGTACCAAGCTACGCTGGAAAAAGTAAGCGTCTAGGCCCATATTCTCACTTTGATGTCTTGACGCTGTGGGCTAATAGGCGCTATAATAGAGATCTAGAGGTACTGGCCCACTGGAAGAACAGCGCACAATTCGCCGCAACTTACACCAACTGGCTCATTCAGAGAGAACATTTCATTCGTCCGTTAAAAATTCAGGGAGAGCTCCTCTTCTTAATTCGATCAGCGTCTCCGTGGTCCTCCTCGTTCGAGTGGTAGCAATAAGTGACTCAAGATGGGAAAGTCATCGAAAGACAAGCGAGATGCTTATTATAGGCTCGCCAAAGAGCAGGGCTGGCGAGCCAGAAGTGCTTTCAAACTCCTACAACTCGATGAAGGTGAGTTTTTCATAACCCCTCCTCAGTCGACTCGGAATATCTCGTATGGCTGACGGCCGAGACATAGAGTTCGATCTCTTTGCCAACGTGACGCGAGTGGTTGATTTATGTGCTGCGCCCGGTAGTTGGTCGCAGGTACTTTCGAGGGTCTTGATCAAAGGCGAGAAGTTTGGCCGCACGGCGTGGGAAGACCGAGAAGCCAAATTCCGCCAGCAAATGCTCGGTGTATTTGGGTTGCAGAAGTCGCCTACTTTGCCGGCGGTGGCTGAGACTAAACCAGACTTCGAAGAGTTGAAGCCACGCGAAAATGTCAAGATTGTGTCCATCGACCTACAGCCAATCAGTCCTCTGCCTGGCATCGTCACACTCAGAGCCGATATCACTCATCCTGCGACAGTGCCCCTGCTACTGAAAGCATTAGATTCTGAATATGATTCAAAGATCATGTCACAGCAGGCTGCTCACCCCGTCGACTTGGTCCTCAGTGATGGTGCCCCTGATGTGACCGGATTACATGACCTGGACATTTACGTGCAGTCGCAGCTACTGTTTGCTGCCCTGAACTTGGCTCTCTGTGTTCTCAAGCCGGGCGGCAAGTTTGTTGCCAAGATCTTCAGGGGCAAGAACGTTGATGTATTATATGCTCAGCTCAAGATATTCTTCGAACAAGTCCATGTTGCGAAGCCTAGATCATCACGGGCTAGCAGTGTCGAGGCATTCATAGTCTGCCTGAACTTCCAACCTCCTAAAGGATTCTCGGCAAGCCTCGAGGAGCCCCTAGGCGTCGGGTTTCGGCTTAACAAGATGACTGACCAAAACTTGCAAAGTCTCCCACTTACTGCACCTACTCTAATGCAAAACCCGACAACGGGGGCTTGGGATAGCACCCCTCATTACGTCCAAGTCACTGATGAACACGGAATTACTGAAATTGAGTTCGAAGATCATCGTCAACACCATGAGAAAGACATAAGGTGGATTGCACCCTTCATTGCTTGTGGGGATCTATCGGCATTCGATTCAGATGCTTCTTATCGTTTGCCGCCAGATCATGTGCCCCTCGACCCCATACAACCGCCAACTGCGCCGCCTTACAAGCGCGCCATAGAACTGCGACGAGCTCATGGCGGCGCGTACGGAAAGACGAGCGCAAAAGTGTGAATCAGGGGCTTTCAGCGTGACTCCAATTAGTGCGATACAGCACCCGGTCCTTTGATCATTCCAATAGCTAACCCTCCCTCGCCCACGACCCAATTATTCGCCGCAATCGTCTCTTTATAGAGATCTACTGATCTGCTAGAAGTAAAAAGCATAAATCGGCGAAGGTGTGGCCAAGCTTTAATGACTTCATCCAAATAACTCAACATCCAACGTCCCAACCCCTTGCCCTGGTACTCGGGCAACACATATACATCGGTGAGGTACGCGAAGGTTATATTGTCTGTGATAACCCTCATGAAACCAATTTGCTTCGGGCTTCCCTGGCCTGGAATCATGAGCCTTTAACCATGTACACAACAACTGAGTGAAGAGAGGACCCACCTGCGATCTGAGAAGTAGACTGAGGAAGCTCATACAGCCCGAAACACAGTGAATTTTGCAGAGCTTCGAGTAAAGCATGTTTAGGAATTGCCTGTGTCCACCACATGACCTCTGAACCCATCGCTTCGTGGATGGCATCGACTTGAAGGAGGCTCCGTTCCGTCGACAGGAGGAACTCGTCACGATACCAATTCTTCGGCTCTGTCTCGATACCCATCGTAAATTCACTGATTAGACGTCTATCAAATTATGAGGATTGTCATTTGACAGTGAAATGCGCGAAACGGGAACTATATAAGGAGCTGCGGTTACAGTTTGAGTCATGCCAGTGAATCATACTTCATAGATAGACAACATTAGCTCCCCGCCTAAAATACGGTAGTACGACTCCACTGATCTCGGTCGCTGTTCCGAAGTGTGCCAAGGCCAGTCATCATCCCGAGTTTCATGATCATAAGGTCTAGATGCCCGAGGATTGCACAGAAGAGTGATAGCACCCAGCAGAGTGCAGATGCTTGTAATGTTTGAGATGCCACTCTTAGATGCGCGAAACGGCTCAGGTTCAATAAGCATAACCGACGCCGCTAGATGAGGATTAAGAAAAACTAAACGGCCACTTCACTCAAAATGATATCAACCGTCAACCATGATTGAAGAACACACGAAACTCGCACCGCTACCTATAATGCGTGTGTTAAAAGCTTAAACTCTCGGGCTTGCGTATAGCTCGGGAGTGACATAAATCTGCATGCTCAGCTCTTTCTCGGACAAGCCTTCTTTTCTTCCGATCCCTATAAAACTCACAATCCCTGTCCTCTCCTCAAGTTTTCGGTGCGTGCTTCATTCCCAAGTCAGCTTCACCATGTGATAGTGTGCTTAATGAACTCGAACAGACGACTTACAATACACATTTGAGTCTATCCTCCATAGACACGCCACCTTTGTTCATGCCATTTTCCATGAGCCAGGCATCCACTTTGATATGAGACATCAGTTATTGTTCAACCTTCAGAATAAAAAGGAGATAACTTACAGCCACGCAGAATAGACTCATCGCTTGTGGCAACGCTGGCCGGGTAGATGCATATCTTCGGCGCTGGGTACGGGGAATCAGCTGACAGAGAGAAGTATATGGTCGTAGCCTTTCGCCTAACATGTGTCGACGGTCGTGCATCATCCTTAACCTGGCCCCTCCCACTCGTCAAGTCAACCAGCTCGCGGAACTTTTCCTTGTCCTCGTCGAGCCCAGTGATCCGCCCACCCAGCGTGTAGTAGTCCCAGACCTCCTCAAACTTGCCCCCAGCCGCTCGTAAATAAAGCTTCAAGCGAGCTTTTCCCGGTTTGACGAAATCAGTTGCCAGATACCGCGCGCTATCTTCCCAGTCTCTCGGCTTCTCAGCGAGATACTCCTCGATCATGCTGAGTGCGCGGAGGATATTAGATTGTTTATCTATCCCTGGCAGCTGACGAATAGCTGATCGCACGACCTGCCATCTTGTTGTACTCTCATGAGCGGCGGCGAAGCAGGGCAGGAAGTAGACTTTGCCCATTACGGGTAGTCCGCCGCGTGATGCAGGCTTCCGATGGATGTCAAATCCTATCATTATTGAGGACTGATGGTCAGTTTTGGCGGCAAGGCTTTTCTGATCTTCAGACGCAAGGTCCGAGTGTGTGAACCGCTTCACAAGATTTTGATACCAAATATCGTTGAACCCTTCTATTCTCTGGGAAAGTTCATCTACAATATTCTGTGTGTTCATGATACTCAAAGGATAACTGCTATCGAGAGGGCGGAGTTTGGCCAAGTCAATCACGAACCGGACTGATGGCGTGCTAGATGAACCTTTGAGTTCGAAGCTGTATTCGATTGGACTACCATCCCAGGCCACTGAGAGACTAGAGATCAGCAACTATCATCCGTGCACGCTTTATGTATTGATGTGGAGATTACTCGAGAATTTGCTTACTCCCGCTTTGCCCTGACGTGCTATCCGGACGACAGCCAAGTTGTGGGCTGATTGTGTCGCGAAGAAAGCTGAGAAACTGTCGTTGAGCTTCCTCAGGGTACTCCGCCACAGACATCATCCGTGCGAGGTCACGCCCGCAAGTCGACCACCAAAATCGAGATGTTTCAAGGTTCTCCAAGTCGCTATCTCTAGCCGCGTTGTCCAATTGACGAAAAACTAAAGATTCTGTTTGAGAAGCCATTTCGACCTTAGTTCATGGTAGATGAGAGAGAGGAATGAAAGCGAGGACGATACTGGCCGTGATTGAGAGAACTAGAACATAACACGGATCTCCATGGTGAAAAGGCCGTACGGGTGATTGTGTAACATAGAGTTTGCGGGTTGCTGTACGCCACAGCCGGTATCACCTTTATTATGAGTTCCTCACGGCTCACCCAGATCACTCCCATACTCGCAGAGTATCCTCACCATCGTTTGTCTGATAGGCTATGTGACGAGGGCTCGAGCTTGTACCCCCGGCTAATCCTGTCGCATAACAATCTAGCACCGGCCTGCAAATTTATGAAAGGCGTGGCAATACGACAATGGTTCGGCTCTGGATGTGCAGAGGGGCCCAGAGCAAGAGGCGTTAGGTGTTTAGAGCAATTCCTTGCCCGAAAACAAGATTCTGGCTCCTTTGGGCCTCCTTGCCTTCGGGTCGGGATGAGATCACGAAGCATTCCCGGGTCGGATATCCGGCTTTCGACCCCTAATGAGCAGTAAGGCCTTTATACTGCGCACTTCTAAATGAAAGAAGCTTACACGAGACTACCAACTATACTTGCTCCAAAATAACCCCTCTGAAGCAGACTCAAACTCCTGGACCGTACTACACTTCAGTGAGAGCACATTCCTAGGTCCCACAGAAAATCAATCATGATAGGGTGGGCAGCACGTGAAGCCATCACAGACCTACTCCACTTCATGTATATCTAAGAGTGCAGATGAAGACTACCTGAAACAATTCATTCGAACAATCAGAGAGCTTCTGAGTAATTAGGAGGCCTGAGTTTCTTACGGGGTTATGAGCAATTGGGCAAGAAGAGTCTTTGCGTGGTCTAGAGCAACTAATAACACGTCCTTGAAGCGGGGCTTTTTCAGCTAATTAACCGAGTTACCTTTAGATGTCAACGTCTCTAGTTATTTCGCCGCTGTCATATCAGGGAATTTCCTGGCTTTTTTTTATGCCCGGTAGTCCCCAAACTAGGTTTTTGCATACCCTATCTCATGCTATTGGGCTCTTGGGGTTCCTTGCATATTCAGCTGGTGGTCTTCGGGATCCGGTGCTGTGTGTTGAGTTACACTCCTAATCCCGAGATAGGTTATGCGGCCTTGGCATACGACCCTGGCAGTGTAACGAGCAGGACGAATACCCGACGTCTTTATCATATAATGTCTTGTCAATAACGGCGTTGGTTCCCCCTATCATCTCAGAAAATACTGTAGTATGAGGTCTAATAAGTTAGGATACTATACAAGATTGCATATAAGCTAAGTATATGCAAGTCGTGAAGTGTTAAGACACTTTTCTAACCATAGTTAGTTTACAAGTTTGCTAGACCTAAATGGGTCACTTAATTATAGGAGACAAGGGTTAACTGTCAATCGAGGTTCTACGAAGGGTTGGCGTTGAAGTAGACATCGTCTATGACAACAAACCGTCAGGGCAAACCTGAATCTTCCGATTCTTAGAAGGGAATCTAGCACATTCCAGGTATCTATATTCTATCCGCATATTCGCGGTTGCCATATACACTCACCCCGCGTACAGCACTGGGCCAACCGACGGGGCTGTTTGGTCATCGAGTTGGAAGCATTGCCTCCTCAACCCGCTATCACAGCTGATCACCTTTCATCTCATCCACGGCCATTTCGATTCCTTGATCGTAGAAACTTCGGTTATGAATCACCTAAAATCACTTTGATTATTTACTAAATGTTTCCTATAGAGGAGTTGCCAGATTGATGTAAGGAAGTAGATCAGATCTTATTACAAGCTTCAAAGTCTACATTAAATTGTCATTAAGCGGGATACGAAGAGTATGAGCACCTCACAGGATCAATGAATGACCCTTTCCCGATACCAATGACTCTCGGTTACTGACTAACACTGGCAGTGATCTCCCCAAAGATTTCCTTAGAATGCGCAAGATACTCTTGCGTCTTCGTAATACGAGCTAGCATCTCGATCCCAAGCGGCAAAAACGTCTCCTTCTCTTTGCCCGCCCCGAAACCCTCGCCAACGACGAGCTGATACAGGGCTTTCATAGCCTTATCTTTATCGCCTCTGGGTACAATGTTCCCCGAGTCGAGGATGTCGAGGAACCGTCCCGCTTCGGTGCCTTTGTACGCCTCGGGAACGGGGCTCTTGCCATGCATGTAGGCGTTGGGCATATTGGTATTGAAAGAACCTAGCAACACTGTGATGACGCGGATGTTGAAAGGTTCAACTTCTTTTGCGAGCACTCTGGCTATGCCTGGGGGGAGTAACCCAAATCAGCAGGGGTGTCTGACGTTGGCATAGGTACCCGTCGCATACACTTTGTAATGGAACTATGAAAGCTCATATGATATCAGGAGTCGAATATGTCTTACCGTCGAGACCTGCTTTCGCACCAGCGTACGCGCCCATACTACCCATCCCTCCCAAAGCAGCACCACTACTGCAGTTAACAATGATGCCGAACTTCCTTTCGCGCTGATACGGCAGTACGGCACGGATAAGGCGCAGCGGCCCAAAATACATCGTCTCCATCTGAGCGCGCACCTCGTCTTCGGTGAAGGTTTCTACCGGAGCGTGGATAGAGTATCCGGCGTTGTTGACGAGTACATCGATCCTCTCACCCGATTTCTCCAGTCCCTCGATAACCTGCCCGCTGGAGCGATCATTGACGTCAAGAGCGAGCCATCTGCCGCCCTTAGACTCGACCTCTTTCACCAGGTCAGGGGTTCGCGAGGGATCACGTGAGGTTGCGATGACTTTGTGCCCGTTGGCCTGGACGGTGCGCACGAGCGATAGGCCCAAGCCAGATGAACATCCGGTTATTAACCACGTCAGTTTCTGAGTAATTGATGCCATCCTTTGTCTCGATGTTGAGCGTTATCTGAAGCTTGACCGAGAATCTGATCGGAGGGTGTCTGAAAAGCGCAGGGAATGACGAGTCCCTTTTTCTCCAGACGAGGACTGCTAGGCAGAGCCATTTTATATCCTCCGGTCGTGCCCATCTTTGAGTCTTGAATAGTGGCAGCTCCTTGATACGGTATAGCTGGCGGCATGTAGCAATACGGAGTTAGGTTAGGTTGCCCCTCCGCGTCATATGACTAAGATTATAAAGATGATATTTGTTATTTTACCAAAGACCAGATCCCCATGATGCGGCTATAGCCTTTTGGCGTAGCTGCACTTGCTGCTCATGATATGCCGTTTCTGGTGCTGTAGTGGGCCGGGACGTGACACTCGGTCTTAAGGGTTACATAAGTCGCGATGCATGGCCGGGCTTTAGCTCGGCATCCGGACCATGACTGGCAGGACTAGAGTGCATTATCATCCCGTAAACCGGATATATAGCGGGCTTGTCGACGGATTTTCACCTCATTGAAGCTTTAGTGCTATGTGGTTATTTTGGTAATACTATAGTTATGTCCCCGCTCTGCTAAAAGTCCTATTGCCATTGGCTTGGTCGCAAAAGCTTCATTCTGATTGGCTCACGTATAAGTGATGGCTTAGGTAGATGATAAAATCTTCAGAGGCGGTAACGACACACTACCTGAGAGTAAATATTCATATAGTCACAAATGAAAAGTTAGTTGGCCTCATTACCCATTGATACCCTTTATATCTACTGCATAGATCTAGCAGCCTATGTAAGAGCGAAGTGACAACAAGTGAGCGCGCGCATAAGTAACATAGTACAGATCATTTCATAGTCTCTGCGATCATAGTCTATGAGCGTCGCAGAGATCTTGAGAGGAATTAACTTAACACTTTTATGGTCTTTAAACTATGCATTTTCTCTTGTAATTAAGTCCCACAGATTAAAGTTTGCGTTAATCAGTTTAGATAGGTCGTTGCAGAAACCTTCCCATGACTCGAACAGCGCCTAGGTACCTAATCACCCTGATGCCCTTATTCCAAAAACACTATACTATGATTCATTTTCTCTCTATATGAAGCATATTCCCTCGTTGGAGAATGAACAGTCACGTTTACTCTGCATTCTTTTCCTTAATACGCAATTCTCATAAGCGCGTTTCTTTAAGTGTAGCTGGTTGTGTCCTAGCTTGGGTTCGGCGCATTCAGGTGATATAGGTGATAATTTTGAGATGAGAATTCATTGCATCCAATCAAATTCTCGATTGGTCTAGTGGTTAGGATACCTGCTTGTCATTGGATTCCTGTCTAATATTCGCCAAAGTGGATACTAGCTCAAGAGACATTGAAAACACTGCGCAGGTGGCCGGGGTTCGATTCCCCGATCGAGAGTTATCTTTTGCCCGCTGGGGGGTTATTGTATTTTTCCTAGTTGAGTTTGTGAACCAGAATGTGCTTTTAGGGACTGGGCATATATCTAGTATGATTGGTGGTTGGGTAGGTACGTCAACGTGTCTATCTATATATATATATTATATGTATGTTAGTTAGTGTGAAGTCACCTAACCTGATATGATAGACACTCTAACGAACACAATTGTCACAGTGTTTCCCCTAGACTATTATGAGTGAGGTGAAATATACGTTTATGTATGGTATGTTATGGGTTGCTTGAGTATATGCAAAATACAGTCGTCTTTTTAATACCGGGACGCCTCATAGGCACAAAAACGCTCCTTCAGCTCATCTGCTGCCACCTGCACCGTGCTCAGGATATCCATCGCAGCCTCAGTCGGATAAGATCCGATCCCGCTTAATAGTCTTAACTGGACTCCCGCATCCTCGCTGATACGTTTGGGCTCAAATGAGCTAGATCCTGCTTCCTCTTGACATTTTGAGGCATTGAGTTGGAGGAGCTCGAGCTCAAATCGAGCTTTTGCAATCCATATGCTCCAAACTTGTCGGTTGTGCGCTTCAGGTGAGGTGAACATTGGGTGCTTTGTATATTGGTCGAGAAGCCTACTCAATTCGAATTAGCGCGATAGGCAACGTCGGCGTGGCGTGTCGTACCTGGTGATAGCTTAGCAGAGACGTTGAGCAGAGTGAGGATAGTGGAGGTAAGTGTAATTTAAGCACAATCGGTGTCGGTGAGGCGTTGGAGTCTATGGCGAGTAACACTTTCTTAGAAAGATTTCTCTGGTTGGAGAAAAGGGGAAGATTGTGACGGAGTATAAGGAGCTCAGGGGAACCTACCCATTCCACGTCCGCGGGCGCGGTTCACAACACTTGTTTGCCAGCAAAAGATTAGGCTTTGCAGCAAAGGGCGAGTCAGTCGTGCACGCGCTTAGCTAGATTGCAAGGGAAGTTTCTAAATATAAGAGGTGGTTAGGGATTCCTTACCGTACAACTATTAATACCTAATCGTCAGTACGTTTGTTTCTGTCGGTGTGTGCGCGCGGGTGTGTATCGCGGCAAGGTGAGTTCTTGGAGACCAGCCCAAACACGTTGGTTATTTGTGGTATAGGGTATAAATGTACATCATAACCCTTAATTTCGATTCTCACGGTATTCCGTATAACGCACGCGCGCCACATGATATACAGCGCTTCTAACTTATTAATCCTCCACGGGCCTTCGTGCATCTTCAGCTAGCGGTGCGTTTGACCACTGGTTTCGTTAGCTCTGAACAAGTTTGTCGATGGACTGCCATCTGGTAACAACCCTTTCCTCACGTACCTTTCTGACAGTTGTGGGCTGAACAGTCGCTGTCTTTACCTCTGTCGTTCTACCTCCTGAGTCTTGCGCGAAGACGCACCCAGTCCCCCCGTTTATCCGCAATTTGGTCGTTCAGCTCCACTATTGCCCACTCGATATCAGCAATCCTCCGCACGCTACGGCTGGATTCGACCCAGTCTAGAAGCCCCAGCTGAACAGCTGCCGTGTCTGCGATCTGCTTGGGTTTGGATGTTGCTCCCCCTATGTCCTGAATGAAGCCTTCCATTTCGATCCGGATAGACATCAATGCTTGTCTCGCTGCGCTAACTCGCTGACCGAAATCTTGGGTTTGTCTGGGCATCACTGCTTATTAAAATGATAAGTAAGCTATATATTATTATTGAATTGTCGATGAGGGTTTGGAATGTTGAATCGTACAGGCCGACAACTGACCCGGCTAGAGACGTGGGAATAGTAAGTAAATAGTCCGGGCCATGAGCGTCTGAGACATAGCATGTTAGCCAGTTGAGGCATCCCTGATTTTTTGAGTGCAAGGGACAGCCATGTCGTACAGTCATAGCGTATGATAGAGCTTGGAAAAACGTAAGAAAGATATGCAAGTAATACAACAATGGTTCAGAAACGTTGGTTTAGATGGATGTAGACAACAAATAAAAGTAGGTTTTGCGACGACATAGCCTCATCGTGTGTAGGTAAACCTCGAGCGCCGACCGAGTGATGTGGGATTAAAAAGGGTCTCGCCTCTTGGCTTGGAGGAACGTGCCTAACTTTTCCCGACGGGCAACGTATTTGGTCTCATTGCAATCCGCTCTCGAAACATGTGTGAAGAGGTAGATGGGGTAGATGGTGCTTTTCCAACTGCCCACAGACGCAAGACAGTTACAAAGAGGGTTGAAGGGGCGCTAGAAACGGCTGAAAATCAAGAATGATAATCGGCCTCCACGTTCATGGCGCATCTAGACCAGTCTGGCTGTATAGAAACACGGACTATTAGTCTAGCCTTGCCGCAGGCTTCGAGTTATCTAAGGCATCTTTTACCGTGGATAATATATTGACGCTGACGCGTTGGAACCATGCAGCATGTCGATGTTACTATGTTTGTATCACCCAGGCATGATACCTCGACCCGTTCCTTGATATGGACCCTGAATTTGCTGCTGGTATCGGGTAAATTCGCCTTACGCAATGCGACGAACATTGCGTACGCATGGATACCGTTATTTTATTGTTAGGATCGAGGTCTTGGAGAATATTCCGTGGACTTTACATTCGAAATTGCCTTGATAGTTAGCTCAAACTCGTAGGCTAGCTGTCTCTAGTTCTATTCTCTTTTATGTAGTAAGATTCGAGTCGGGAAAGGATCGTCGTTGGGGGGGGGGGGGGGGGGGGGGTATAAACGAAAAATTAAAAGCACCACAGAAAAAAAAGTTATAGAAACCCGGAATTTTAACGCAAAAAAAAAGCCAC